GATATTTATTTTTCGGCAACGTAAACACTCTATCTTCCAAGGGTCAGAAACAATAAATTTTCCTTGGATGGATTGGTGCTCGTCCTGATGTTGTCGGTGGAGGCGCCGAGACTGAGTACATCTTGCCTATAGTCCCCAGTGTATCCATCTGTTTGAGTTGTGTGGGTGGTGGAAAGCACGACGTTCTAGTTTGAGCGGCATGTGGGGAGAAGCAACCAGTCATACCAGCCATTCTTTTTTTCGGTTTCTTGGCAGTCCCATATTATTTATTCTTACTCATAAGTTCTTCGAGCAACAAGACATTCTCTTAATCTGCCATCCCTAGAATGCAACCAAGCTCCTGATGTGAAGCATTTCTTCGTCTACCGTGAGCTACATCTGTCCATATTTTCGCTTTCCAGATGATTCAGCATTACGTAGTCTCAGCATAAGCATCAGAAGTTTAGTCAGTGTCTGACAAAGACTGCTTATGTTAAAGGACAACTTTGAAAAAGATTTTGTTGTTTTAGCATATGCGCGGTAATAATAGAGGGAGAGATCACTGTCATCTTGTGGGGAAGTCTTAGGTTGAGGTGTCTTATTAATCCGTACAAAATTGTACAGTGGTGCTGATTTGTTGGAAAGTAACTCTGAGGGTTTTCAAAAAGAATGATAGAAAATGAACATAAAGATTGCAGTCTTGATGTAAACATACATATGCATTCACGTTTGAGCATATGTGCGAGATATTGTGATTATATTTGCGGGGCAAAATATTTTGAAAGGCGAGTTTCTTACTTAACATTTTGAAGCAATGGAGATAGAATATGGGTATAGACGTCATTTCTTGTCCGTAGCAAATGTTTCTCCAGCCTCGCAGCCCTTAAATAAACAAGTTCACTGGGTCTTTTGAAAAAAAGCTTGCGCATCTTGGAAAGCAAAAACATGCAGTCCCACGATCTAGAGAGACATGAACGGCTCCTTACCTCGGGTTACCAGACCGCAGGTTAGGTTTCGCGTTAGTAGGTTGCAGGGTAAAGTTTGCAGCCACTCCTCTCGCCTTTCATTCCATAGAGTCGGGCAATAACTCATAGGAAGCCGCCATCGCGATGCACTGACATCATTCTTTTAGTGAAATAGAGTGGAATTGGTAAGAATTAAATGAAAATTTATGGAGTACGTGCTTGGCACGTGTTCTAATCACTCTGAAAAAACGTCTCAGTCAAATTAGAAAGTAAATTGTTAGGAAGAGTAAGAAAGCCTGTAAAAAACAATCCAGCTCTCTTGCTTAGCTCGTTTTGAATTTTCGCCAAAAGGTGGAAAGTCTTTGTAGGGACTTGATAATATATGCACATTTCGCACTCTACTGTCTCTTTTTAGAGCCTATATGCGTAAGTTCTTGCTGGCGGAGGGCTGTACACAAAAGGGCATCAGTTTTCAAGGAACTTTAATTTTTGAATGATTGGATCTACAACAGTGGCTATCCGCCCTTAGTCATTTATCAACACCCCTCTCGAAGTGCAGAGTCGAGATGACACTTTATGTTGGCCGTATGAGTGACTCTAATTTATGAATATCAATGTCATTTAATTTTTAGTAGTGAACGAGTAATCCCAAAGGTGCTAGATTGCTAGATCGCTCGTTTCGGGACCCGCTCGGTTTCCCGCTCTTGATGTTTTTTGAATGCACCTTACGATTCTCTGTATATCAGATTTCAACACATCTGAACAAACTATGCGAATAGGTCCCTGAAAAGAAAATGAGCTGGGTTACGGTGCTCGTAACAAGTAAAGCTTCCCTCTATCATTTTTAATGGCTGCCTGTCACACTCAGTATCTTTGCAAACAAAGGATTTCAAAACGATCTTTAAACTTTTGGAGTAGTATCTGTGTTTCCAAATGCGCGCACATCTAAACCTGCGATATATTCTTTCTGAATAGTTATCACTTATCCTAAAAGATTCGTGGAAAATGACGTTAATCGCCGACATATCTTACGGTAACAAATTTATTTTATACACGTAGGAAGTGTATAAAATAAATTTGTAAGTGCACCAATGAAGTAATGGGCATCGAGTTGTGAAAAGTGATGGAACGGGAGCACCGTGCCGCTCGGATGGGGGAGAGGGAGGGGAAGGGGGGGGGGGGGGGGGAAGGGGCAAGTTCATTTCAACTTTGACCGTTTTCCCATGGGTATGCTCCAGTGGCAAATGGGTCGCGAATTTTCTCGATGGTGGTTTTAAGCTGCAAGCTTCTGAGCTTTTATATAATATGTGAAGGATCATTTCTTTCAAGTTGATATACAAACCACCGTTATGGGAACTTTTTCTGGGCGTGATCCACCACGTCCTCTTCTTTAAAATTGATAAGAAAATTTGGAAACATTGAGAAAACTTTCTGAGGCACGGCTTTCTATTTGTGGCCTTTGTCTTTTTTGAGATCCTTTTCTAAAGACAAGGCTTTGGCATGCTTTGATAGGTTAGCATTGTCATTGTGTATTGGCTTCTGCTTCAGAAAGACGAGCAATCCTCAAAAACATTTTCTCACAATTTTTGATTCATTCAAGCGTTGGTCATTCAATCTCCTTCAAAATAAAAATCCTGCCTTTGCCCGCATTTTCGTCTCAGTCTTTCCACCAATCCCTTTTCAGTCCAATTCAAAGTGTCTTTCTCTAGCATAAAGAGATAGTTTCGTTTTGCTTCTTTCTTTTCTTTTTTGTTTCCATGAGAACATTAGCGAAGCTCGTTTGTAATCTGATACTCTGCATATCTGATGTAATATTTACTTTTTTCTTATTACCTTGGTATCATGAAATTCTGTAAGGCTCCCTCAAGGGCTGTTTTTGCTATCGAGACTGGAAACTTACAAAACTCCTAGCTTTCCTAATTTGCTATCTGAATCGGAATAATAGCTTGCCATCAAGGCAGATGTCTACCGGATACTTACAAGGGAAGCCCAAAATTGAAAACGGCTTTTCACGTGAAAAATATACCAATTTGAAGAGCATCAAACGCTGATTCCAAAAATGCCTTTGTTATCTGCCAAGCACCTCTAGTCGCTGAGTTATGAGCTTTGTTTGGGTCCAAAAAATTCAACGTGCAACTGGAACAAATCTGTCCAAGATTGCGCAAATGGCCCAACGTTGGAAATCAGAGTATCCTATGCATGAAAAAGTTTTTGTCTAATATACTCGTACTAAACATCTTTTTATTTGAGGGCTGGAAAGAAAATAACCATTGATTTTACCTAGATTTTGCTATCATTTTCGTATTTATCATTCATAAGTAATCGTCTAGAGCTGTTTGGCAAAAAACAAAGACAATTTTGGGGTCGGCGTTTGAGCTCTTCAGAGTGGTATATATTTCATTTGGGAAGCGGATTTCGATTTTGGGGCCTCAGCCAGTTTCACTTCAACCCCTGGCATACACTCTGACGATCCACCAAATGATGCGTGATATGTATCCATCGTGAAAGTTATCTAGATATCAGTGGAGCTGGAACTTGACCATCGTGTGCACAACGGCATACGCACTGTCCGTACATATTAAGGTTCCTTACGTGATGCGGGTACTCTTACGGCACGGTTCATAATTTGGATTCGAATGTTTTTGGTGTTTACTCGTCCGCTGAGAGAGAGAGGAGTGAATGTCCACGCTTTCGCAGTAAGAGGGGGAGAGAGAGGGAGGGAGGGAGAGAGAGAGAAAAGGAGACGCGTCATAAGAATATGCCTCGTAATCGATGCTCCCGCCTTCTGAGCGTCGGCGTTTTACGCTGGTGGTCTTCTGACATCCGAGACGGAGCCCGCCATCGTGCCTCGATCGTTGTTTGGAGCGATTCCCTCCTGCGACCGCGTCTCGCCGCGAAAGTTGTTCTGCGAGCTCAAAGATTCTGCAGCGGAAGCCGTCGCTACCGTGGCCGCGGAATGAAGTGCTTAAGATGATGAGAGCTTACGAATTTGTGACGAATACTCCTGTGAAGCTTGACGAGCATCGCGAGTATCTCGTCGACGATGTCGCTCTCGTTCGTTCCAGTCCTCCGTTGTCACCTCGCATGAAAGGTAAGGACTTATGACGAGTTGTGTAGCTAGAGTGTGAAGATCAAGATCTCATTCCCACTAGCTTTCAACGCCAGTAACTTATACTTTCGTGAACTTTTGACCCGATGACCGAAACATAAGCAATTATTTGAGTAACAAGGCTAAAGGGCTATAATAATTTGATAAAACTATTTGTGTATTACATGCATTGACTACTAAGGGTAAATATTTCATAGTCCGATGTTCTACAGGTGCTAAAGTAGAACACGTGGCGGTGCTTCAATCCCGATCCTCGACTTGATTGCCCTCGACTTTGTCCCACAATGAATCTCAAGCATATGTATAACATTGACATTTGGATGAGCAACCACATTGTTCAAAAACTTAACGTGGTTTTCTTGGCAGCCAACAAATTGTACTCTAGGAAAACCTTCTTGATGTTGCTTTACAATGGAAAACGAATCCCTGTGAGCCTGGCCTTTTTATTGCAAATCTCAGTTATCCATTTTTTTCTGCTCAAGGTTATGGTAGCAAAATACATGTCAACATGCAAGAATATGACTGAGATAAGCGCTTGTATGTATGCTTCATCATTTTCATGGTCTCGATCAAAGGAAGAACTATAATTAGGTGGACAATCAGAATACCGTATGCTCCTTGTATAATCTGGTTGCGGCTTGTTTCCATTGAGAAAGGAAACTCACTCTATTTCCATATAATTGCTACGTCAATCTCATTTCAATCTTTCTTTCATATTTTACTATATGTGAACACTCCTTCAAAGTGCAGCTGCTTTATTCTTCAAGCTTCCATTTTTGCCGTTTCTCAATTCGTTCAGTATCAAAATTTGTTACCATGTTCGTTTGATTTGTGAATTCAGACACTCTTGAATATAGCTTACCTAGGAATGTCCGCTGCCATCCTATACAATTCATATGCTGCCTCTTTTTTTCGTTCTAAATCTGCTTCGTTGTCAAGTCTCTGTTAGGAAATTGTCATTTTCAGCTGTCCTGTATGCTTCTGATCTTCCCAGGTTGAATGAGTTACAGATGGTTGTCCGGTTGCGCAGCAAGTGAAACGCAAATTACCGGGATTACCAATCGTCGACAAAATTTCAGCGAATGACAGAAAAGCAACTTGGTGAGGAGTGGTATAAACCACGTATTCCATCCCTGACATCTAATTTTTGTGTTTGATGGGAGATCTTGTTTTACATTAATACTTCTAAATCGGATACGTCGAACATGACGGTATTTATCTAGAAATATTGCTCGAGTTTATAGTGAAGTGAAGCTCTGCCAGCGTTTGTTGTGATTTCTCTTTTGAAACATCTCCTTGTCAGAAAGTGCACTATGCCAAATCTCCAATCTTGTTCATTACCCAAGGAATTTTGCGCATTTTTACATAGAACGTGGTCAGAAATATTGTTCCATTTTTTTCTAGCTGCTTTTGCTCTATGAAAAATTACAATTAGAGTTTTAAGTAGTATCTGCAGTATCTGCATTTTCCGAATGCTTTCAACTGCTTCAACAAGCAAAGTTCTATTTCGGAACATAATTTCCGGAGCAGAATATGCAGTTGAGTGCCGAACAATTGCTAATGTATGTGCATATATAGATGCACTGTCTCAATCATTCTCGCGATGTCCGTCTAATTCCGAAAATCGGTTTTGGTGGCGCATGCAGAGCAGGCCGTCAACTCGGCCTTCGATTTCCTGTTTTTTCTCTACTAAACTCTCTTCTTCTCTCGGAATCACAGCCATTTCTTGAATCAGTAAACTTTTGCTGTTAGTTAAACTTCGTATTTGCTCTAATGACGAAATTCCTTGAGCTATGTCATGTGCACTTTATTCAGTCGTACACATTTCAAACTTTGAATCTCTAGTGCTCACCACTTGTATTCTTTCCTTATCTCCTCAATCCTGCAACTTTTGCTTTGAATCTGATTATTCTATTTCCCCAATGTGACTTTCGCACTGGTCGTATCGGTTTCATATATTCTTACTCTTTTCAAACGATCATGTTCATTTCATCCGCTTTGGATCGCAGTATTTCCGTTCTCCAACTAAGAATTGTGCTGAAAGCGAACGTAATGGAAAAATATCGCTGTTATTGTGTTTGTTAAAGTCGGATGTTTGAGCAACAGCAGTGGAGTGAATAGCAAAACCTCCGTCGTATACCTAAACAGCGCTAGTTGAGGTTTTTGGTTGTCTCTAGCAGAAATCTTCACTAATTGATTCTGAATAACCCGTTTTCCTTTTTTTTTTCAACGTCACAAATTCTTACATTCAAAAGTGCAACGCGTACAATGAATTTCAAGCAGTATAGTCTTTATATTCTTCTGGACAGCCTAGAAGCTTGTCCAGCAGTTTTATTCTAGAATAAAATTCTGGTATGCTATGTGCACTTTGACGCAGCTCTTCACGCTATTCTCTCCTCCACTCGCTTTCTATCTAATAATTGAAACTTGCGACCAAACACTGATATTTTTCGAATGATTTCCATTTATGTTGAACTTAATTTGGCAACTTTCAGAACAAGCTTGTATTGATTGTTTTCGTCGCTTTCGTGGTGGGGCTGAGTTGCACAATCTTCCGCTGCGCCATTACCCTCAGGGCATATTTATCCAGCTACGCTTTAGCATGTCGGCGACGGCAAAATAAATTGCTGATAGCTGATTCTTCATAGCAATAGGATTTTCGAATTTGTTTGAGCGTTTAAAGGGAAGAAGATGGAGAGTTTTGAAGAACTGAAGATTTTGCAAGGAATTATGGCTTTCTTGCGAGAATAATGATATACCTCGTAGAAGGTGCGCAGCTTGACCTTCTGAAGTTGATTTAAACGGATCCACATTTTCGAGTCATAATACTTGTAAATCTAGTATTCAGTAGAACTTTTCTTGTCCGAAAACTCTGCTATTTAGGTGAATTCTTGCATTTGCATGGCTCTCAGATAAACATCAGGGAATTACGCTACTGTTTTCGAAGATTCTCTCACTTACATGTGAAACCACTTAAAACATATACTTCACATGGTGGGGCGAAGCCCTATCAAATCTCTTTTGATCATGTGCGCTTAGATACAACCTGTTTAGATTAGTTTAAAAGCGCAAAAAAACCGCAAAATTGAGAATGTACTGATTCGAAATTATAGATATTTTGTGATAAACAAAACGCAGCGCCAAGTTGTGTGAAGAGTATGATCACATTCAAATATTTATCCTTAAGCCGAGTTTTGCGTTTCACGTTTACTGACTTTTCTTTTTCTATAACTATCGTCTTCACATTACAAACAAATGCTGTCATTACTTTCATGTCATTCTACCCGTCTAAGCAAACCAAACAGAGGTGTCTAGCACCGACAAAAAGGGTAATTGCGCTCAACACATGCACAAGTCAACCATAGGCTGAAGTGGACATCTTTGATATTTTTGAATATTTTTTGCTCACAGATCATTGTGTGCATTCTGTGTAATTGCAATATAAGAAGAGTAGAGCAAGGCAGGTAATGGTCTTTGCTGAGTAGAAGTTGCTTTCTCCAGTGAGTCATCTTTTTCGTCCAAATGAAAATTTGAAAAAAAAAGGGTTCATATCAAATGCTCGGTTATGAGATTTCTCACGGCTGCTAGAATAACATTTTGCCAGAAAAACCACTGTTTTTCATGTTAAGCTAAATTTGAGATACCTCTCTCGAACAATTTTATCATTGGACGGCTATAGAGCTGTCCCGTTGGAAGAATATTTAGGTAACTTGAGCAATTATAGTAATTGCAAACTTCGCAACTTGGAGTTCAGACTTATTTTTATGAACAAACTTTCGTGACTTAGGCACCACTTAAAAGTACCTGTAGTGCTATATCTCGAAATTTTTCATTTTTTGAGTATCATAAACTTTTCCAGCACTTTCATAGTTATTTCTGCACAACAAACCTTGATAAGCTGTGACTCATTTTGTTTTAACAGTGTGCGGGGCGTTGCGATTAGAATGTAAAGGTCTTGTTTATGTTCTAGTCTTTTCTCCCTCTCCACTCTTCACTTTCTGTAAATATGTAATCCTTAACCGATTTAGTCCCAAATGTTTACGATTGCTAATACTTTTGAGGTAATATTCAAAATTTCGGAATCGGCAAGCCTCTTCTGGGGCTGGTCTCTTCACAGCGTTATCTCTTTTCTATATCATTGCTTTGTGTTTCAAGGGGACAAATATGAATCTATGAAGGGAAAACCTGAATCAGGTCCATTGACATTTTCAAGTAGGCTTCCATAGTCTGTTAAATGGCCATATCAAAATTTTTCTCAATAAATTTTAAGGATGACTTTCGCCCACAACTACAGTAGTTTGTTTGAAGTGACTCTGGTGGATTAGGGTGTTTTGTTTCTATGAAACAACCCAAATTTATCGCTGCCATTTGAAAGCTCAGAATTTGTTTCAGTAGCGGAAACGTCGACGGAAGGCATGATCGAACGATGTGTAGTGGTACAGCGGCAAAGCGACGGGTACGGCTTCACGGTTACCGGGGACCATCCGGTATTTGTCCACACGGTGAAACCGGAAGGTGCTGCGTACTGCGCTGGCGTTCGAGAAGGCGACCGCATATTAAAAGTGAGTACTTATTTATTTCCTGTGCAAAATTTTGATCTTTGAACAGCAAATCCTTTTTGTCCATGAGAAAAAAACTATTTCTGCCGACTTCCCAGCTCTCCATTATCCTCTAAAGCTAACAACACATTTTTTCCTGTGAAATCTTCGCTAACACAATTATGCGGCTCCCTAGCAGCATCGTTCTCTGAATCAGGAAAAATCGTAACTCAATAGAGGAAGTGGATGTGTTCTTGCGATGACTTATGCCCATCCATTTGGCCATGGTGTGGAATAAATAATTGCTTGATAGTTGTTTATGTGCAAATGTTCATTCCGGTCGTGTCACTGAGAAGCACTGCTATTCGGGAAACTCGCATTCAGTAATTGATGTGACTAACTTCAGATCTTGGGGATTCTTACAAGCTACGAAAAAAAAAACAATGTTTAGGTAAACGGGATGCCAGTGACAAGCAGCAATCACCTGGATGTCGTGCGAATGATTTCCGGTAAGCTGTTCCATATAAATCATTTTTAGTGTACTCTCTGCATTTAGAGGGGATGAAAACGAATTATTCCAGTAAGCTTGACTATTTCTCCAACCTCAAAGCAGTTCCCCTCTTTTTTCAAAATTTGAGACGCATAATGTAATTACCAGGGGAAAACTTATTTCCTCAACCGCCAGCTCACTATGCGAAGTTCGTTGAAGTTTCTACTCGAAAAAAAATGCAACGATACATAAAATGACTGGCTACTTTCTTATGTTCAATAATCAGTATCAATCGTCGTAACTGTATTGGTGCTTCTATAGATAGAAAATAGAGTCTAGAAAAGACCAGTTTGTGTTTATGGCTAAAAAAAGTTCCTTTGCCAAAAGTCGGATAAGGTTACCAGCAGCGGTATATCCCGGTTAGGACTGTCGAATCGGTTGCGAGACCCCATAATTATCACCACGGAGATAAAAAACAACAGAGCTTAGGGCAGCTAGCAGGGAAACGATGAACTAGTGTAATTGAGGAAACAGAATGCATGGCTAAATACAAGGTAAGATTAAAGAAGCATTGAAAGATTGATTCTCTAAGAGAGGCATCAGCAAGCAAGAACATGATGGTGAGATGGGATGTTAGGAAGTAAATAAAGAGAATGGTAAGCAATGCGCTACTGTAAGGCTTTACAGCAAAAATGGCCTCAGAAGAAGCAGTTTATACGGTAGTAACTGCAATACTTCTTTCATTTCGAGGGAGAGGCTTAGCAGAACACAGGCGGAATGGCTAATGCTGTAAGCTCAAGATTCCAAACAATGTATGGGACGTAAATAGGTGTTTGACATAAGCAATGGGAAGAAAAATACAAGATCTTACGCAGTTTTCCCTCTTGAAATCGTGAATGTCTCTATATTGCTTAAATCAAAGACCCTTTTTCTAAAAGTATCTAAGGAGTAGAGGAGTGGCACATGATACAGATAGACTGACTTCAATTAAGCTCCAAGTTCTAGCTATCAACAGATTGTTTATCTGCAGTTCTACTTGATCTACTTAAGGCTTTATCGTACAAGACGGAACGATATAGACGAGCTGCTTTTCTTTGCAATTTATCCTCTGATCTACTTCAACAACTCTCAATTTCATGCTTGTAAGACGAATTTATAGGCGGCCAGAATGTCGTTCTCACGCTGTTAGGAGCTCCACCGGAGCCATTAGGTCTTTACCTTATTCCTGATTCGAAGCTCGATACTGGATCAGTTCGTGATTCGATGCTCATTGAGGTTTCGTTACTCTCTTTTTTTAAACAGTTCTATTGTTTCGATTATGTTTTTAGCAGAACGTCGGTAAAGATGATTGGAAAAGAAAGCGAAAAGAGCTGCTGAGTCAAATGCTTGATGACGAGCGCAAGCACGTTGAGGTAAGATATCGTTCTTGTAGTTTATTCTCTGGGCTACAGAAGCTGAATAATCCTCTCTCCTCCACACCACTTGAAACTAACATCAGTCCCAGCTAAACTAAAGGTTGAGAGGTGTGAATTGTTAGGATTTAGGATCCTCCTTAATGTAAGCGGCAAAATTGACTGAGGCATTAGGTTCACAGTAACTTAAGTCTTGGTAAGAATTTACGCTTCCATATGCTTTACACCATTTTGCCTGTGTCTTTTGGTTATTTGTGATCTACACTCATGTTGTAGCAATTTTAAAATCGTGAATATTCAAATAGAAAATCCTCTAACAAACTTCAGTTCTCGAAGATGTGAGTGCGCATAATTTGAGCTTTTTGCTTTGGGATGGATTGCCGAAATTTCTAAATTCATTCTTTTTTCGGTATGCCGTTATCCTCATAAATATTCCTAATTGGTCTTCGCGCATTCAGATTAAGAAGAGTTGCATCAGACCTGAATCTATCTGAGAGCACAGAAATATTCGCATCGAGAGCTCATGATTTGCAGGGTCATTTTCGCGCGGATTGCATTCGAAAGCGTTTAGATGTCATTTTCGGATGAGCAAGGATCTCGACGCTTTATCTCGGTCTGAAGTGGTTTTTGAAGCGTCGTCGCGGGCAACACTTGATAATCTTGCGCGTGTGTCCGAGTTCATTCGATCCACACTTGGCGGTGGCCGTGATGAGATGCGCAGTAGAGTTGAGATATGTCAAACTGGTGTCATGGCTTGACTAGTTGGGATCAATGCCGGCCCAGCCTGACCGAGGCTTTCCGTCAACTAGCTTTGCTTCAGCCATAATCGCCTAATTTTGTCGTTTCTTGCGCGCGTTCTTGGACTTGTCTCGTTAACTCCTCTGAGGCAGCTAGTTTACTACTTCCGCTACTCGGCTCCCGTTCACAGTTTGTTACTCAACTCTCCAGTCGCTTCTTGCAAACTTCTCTTTGATTTTTTTCACAACGGATGTTAGCAACTGCGCATTTAGTATCTTCGCATATACCTGAATGTTTTTTTTGCCGCATATAAAGGTGCAGAGCATACCACAGAGCATATCACCTTGACACCTTTGAACGATCGTAATTTAATAGGTTGAACAAAAAAATCATTATTTTCTCTACATTCAATAAAAGCGTTTAGTGCGATATTATTTAGAGACAAGAACAATGATGCTAACAGCACCTGAAACATAAATTTCTGTCGTGTTGCGTCAATGGAAGCTGTTAAAGATAAGCACTCAAATTGTATATCTTCGTTTCCGTCACTGCTAAGAGGATCCAACAATTTATTTATCTATTTATTGAATGCACAAAAAGTGCGCCCATCATAAAACAGCAGAAAAACCAGGTAATAGTCAGTAAGGAAAAAAAGAAAATTTTCTAATTTATAATTTGAAAATTTCTACTTCACTTTCGGTTTTTTAATATCCTTTCTAGTTTTGACAAATTCGTGATGAAAGAGCTTCTCTGCTTTGGTTTGAGTTTTAAGATTCTTTTTTGAGTTTCTATTCAGCCTTGAATGAAATATCTCATATTCTAATAATGAAATTTTGATATTAGGTTGGTCCGAAAGTTTGCTCCTTTCCTGTTCGTTCCTGGTTGGCTCCTTCTTCAAAAACATAACTTTCTTTCATCTAGTTCCATGATATTTCTCTTTCCGTGAATTAGTATGAGCAAATGTGTGATTTAGCAAACGTAGAAAATCACTTAGGATTCATTTTTCAAGTATGCTCACAAAATTCAATAACATCACAGCGAACCGAAACAGTCATAAACATAGGTTTTAAGATTTATAGGTGAGCCTTCAAAAATCATAATTTTTCGTTAGACGTTCTAACATAAAATCTGCTCAGCTTGAGAGAAAATCATTGAATAAATCTTCAACTCTGTTTTGGCTTTTTTGTTACCGGCTTTTTTGTGAGCTTGTTTAAAAATGCCAAAACTCGGGTGACCTTCTTGCATTTTTAGCCTCGCGCTTGTGCTTAGTAAAAGGCGACTATATTTACAGATTACCAATCTCTGCATTACAAATTATAAACTTGACTATCGGTAAATTAGATACAGAGACTTACGTTTTTTCAAACATGATGCTAACGAAATGGACCAACCTGGTACATATATGGTAAATTACACCGTTATAACAATGAATGTGCAGGCTGAAATTTTTGGAATTGTTCAATGAATTTATTAGGTTGGAAACTAAGTTTTGCACCTGGTCTCATAACTTCCCTCTCTCTCAACATGGCGCACTCAAATTTTGCCACTGCGTTGGTTGTTACGTAAGCTACAAGCGCAGCTGCTGTTCTATCATATTCTGACGTCGCAGTGAGGGTTACGGTAGGTGCATGGTATGAAGGGAAAAAATTCAAAGCTTGACGAATTTGGCTGAAACTTGGCATAGGGGTGTTATCCGACATGCTGATCACGAAAACGATAGTAAAATTGCATGATAAGGGCTTTTTTGTAGGATTACTGTAGGTGTACGATATGGGGTCTCACCCTAAACAAGGAAAAAGACGTTGATTCAACAAATGAATGTGATATTCGCGTTTGGTAGGTCAAATAACCTTACCATGTAAAGTCTCGACGGAATTTGAGCTTCGGACTCTTTAGTCGTTGACGGTCGTCCCCAGCAGCTCTTGCGTACATCAACTCGTTCGACTTTATGAGGACGCCAAATCTCGACATGCCCTTGAATTTTCTTTCTTTCTTAATAGGCCAAAGGAGTCAACCTCCAGCAATAATTTGCAGACGAATCCGTATTACTGCGCATGATCTAGGCTGCCAAAGGCTTCATTTTAGCTTAAAACCCCAAAAATTCTCAAATTTCATTAGTTTTCGAAAAACGCCTGAAACTTTTCTATTTCGTGTTCAAAAATTTAGAATTTGTGTTCACTTGTAGCTCACTTTGCCTTCTACATAATGCCAAATTTTGAATGCGCCATATCCAAAGAGAGTGAAGTTATGAAAACAGTTGCAAAACTTAGTTTCCAGCCTAATAATATTTTTGGTGCAGGACTCATGTTCCAACCTAATACAACCTTTCTCAGCTGATTTAACACACCAAAGCAATGGATTGAGATATTTGCACTTTATGGTAAACACTACTTCACAGTAGTACTTCAAGTATTCGCGTGCCGGTATTTTTTGAAAGGAGTTTGAAATTCCAAGACCAAATCATTGTTGCGATACCATTTTTCTTTCTCAAACGTTTCTCCTTTGGGAGCAGAACATTAACCTGAATGAGCCGGCAGTTTTGGCTGCTCGTTTGTCTTTAACGCTTTCTCGTTCTTCTTGTATCTGTAAATCAGTGCCAGAACTTTGTAACATCGCAGTCGCATAGGACCACTATGCTAATACGAAGAACATAGGGAAGAGAAACCAGATAAAATGAAATTTTGATTTGCATCATGATCCGAAACACTATGTGGAAAATAAATAAACGCTTTTTTTGGTGGTTGCTTTTTTCAATGCTTATGGATCATAATTTTGTATAGTTGCCAAAAATGTTTACATAATTAGAAAAATTGAAATCATTTTCTTGTCTTCTTTGGTCTCGCCTTTGCAGTGCTTTGTTTTGGTTGGCAAATCATTGAACCTACTCAGTGCGATTTCAGTATTTTCTAGTTACGTTCCTCGAATAATCGAGGCTAGATAAGCTTGTCTACACAGCATAAAATAGAAAATGTTCGTCCAAAAAATTTTAACGAAAACTTGCTGAGTTGCCAATTATCAAACAATTCCTGTTGCGTATGCCGTGTGCATCCTATATAACATCAAATGCGTTTTGTTATAAGATCAAAAATCATCTGCGCATTCACAAACAAGCATTATTTTTTTGCGGTCATAACCATCATAAAATCTTAGTTTCTTGGAGATATTTTTTTACCCCTTTTCGAAGTTTCCAGATTCAAGTAGGTTGATCACGGAGATAATTCATCTTAAGTTTTTTTTTGCTGTAACAGCATTATCCACGATTTTAAACAAGTTACATGCTTTCATTTTTACGCATATGTAGAGCTGCAAGATAATGCCTTTTGGGTATATCATCTATTCTCAATAATGCAATGTCTCTTCCGTCTAGTTTTCATTCAGAATTGTGAGAAAAGATCTTTGATTTGTTCTATTCTTCCATTGCTCATGTCTTAGTAGTCATACCTGCAGCTTAAGGATATTAGGACCATCAAAAATCAGCTAAGATTTGATTCGACATTTCGAAATATAAAAGAAAAGAATTATAGGTGCTTCGCGATTCCGAGAACAGCGACAAGCTAGATCGCGCATTGAAACGAATCGTTTCCTTGCAGTCGCAGCTGCGACACGTCAAACCTACCGAACCCCCGTGGCAGGTAGATCACGTTAAACTTAATTTTTTTCATCTCCTTATTTCCATCCTCTTGTTCCACTTGTGAGTGTAAATATGTGATTTTTTGAAAAGGGGATTTCGTGAGTGCTGAGCTTTCGCTACTTTTGATCTCCATCATTATGTGCCATAGACTTTTTCTTGTACACATCCGCTCCATCCATCACTTGAGATGTTACGAGATAAAATGTCAAAACGCAGTTTTTGCAAAACCCGCAAATTCTGTGGTGTGGCAACAAATTCCTCATAAATAGTAATGCTTAACTTGATTTATGTTTCGTTTAATTTAGAATAGTTAGCACAATGTAGTAGGTTATTTTGTTGCCAGCGTTATTTTTGGAATGCTATGGTCCTACTGATCATTAAAATTCCTCTCTGTGTTGGTACCTTGAATAGTTTATTGCTATTGTACAGTGCATCTATTTTGCGATAACTCTTCTTCTTGCAGTCGCGCACACCAATGGATGACACGGATGACGAAGAAACGGAAAGTTTACCTTCGCGATTCAATGAGGTACTTTAGGAAATATCAAACAACGGTTCATCATAAGTATTGAAATGTTGATATTTGCACTTCTGAGTTCACAAAAGGCATGTAGAGTTTGTGGTGTACCATTTGATTCAACGGGCTTGGCTTCGGGAAGGCGGGGCTCGTGACCTAATTGAGGCTAGGTAATGATCAGAGAGCATTCGTGCGAGAGACGCAGGCACGTCGCATGCGCGAGCAATCTTAATTGTGTCACAAAGCCCCGCCTTCTTGAAGCCAAGCCGGTTGAATCAAAGGTTAGTTGAAATGGGATTGGAATCGTTTGTATAGGTCTTATTGGAAATATTTGCATAGATACTAGCTTGCGAATCACATAAAAGTATTATTTTATTTGAGCTACAATTCAATAAGATGGCAATATTCAAGTTTCCCGCTTCATCTAAATAGTCACTTTTAGGATCAACACTTGAACTATTTTAGTTTTTCCTTGAGAACATGCATGCATTTTGTAGTGTAAAACTGATCTGACGATGACCATGCAGCCTTTGACCACAAAACAATTTTGAGTAGACGAGCGAAAATGGGTTGCGAAATTTTCAAAAGTTACTTAGTTGGGTTATACTTGTTTGTGCTTGTAAATATGAAACTTTTAAAATTTTTCAATGATTCAGTTTAGCTTTATAAGAAAATTTCTCCCCTTTTCTGGATTTTGGGACCATGGACCCGCAAAAATTCTAGGAAACATACCGACAATTTTTTTCGGAGTGCGTGGCGTGGAGGGCAAGCGCTAGGCGACAAAATGTGCAAAACGTAAGCAACGTAAATCCCGTAGCTCAAAATTATGCACCATTTTTTTCAATGCGTCGGGTAATGTGTCGGCCCCGACCCCCACCCCCCCCCCCTGTTTTTGGCGCCGGAGACGTTTTGCACGGGGAGTTCTTTGGGGTCCAAAAAATTGGGTTTGTCGCCTAACGCCCTACACCCACGTGGCGTTAGCCACGCACCTTCATCAGAAAAGCCTCCCTCCCCCTGAATGGAAGTCCTAGGTACGCCATTGAAATTGGTCGATTCAAGGTTTTGCTGCATACGAGAAGAGTCTAAAGAAAATCCTAGAGCTCTCTTAACAATTTGCAAATTTCGTCTGTGCATGTTTGTGATCAGAAATAATTAACTGTCTTTATTGTTAAAAGGGACAGCTTTTTGAATCAACGATTTGCAACGAAAATACTACCTACTAATTTGTCTGTTTGACCACCGTAGTTGTTTAATATCTTGAAATTTCAGGTTGACACCCATGGTCCGTTTTCGAACCTGGCCGAACTCAAAACGCATCCTGCTCATCTTGCCGTGTTCATCAACTACCTGCTATCTATAGATAGTCCTAATAGTTTGGTGAGTCGTTCGGTCATTGCTGGGATTTGAACTCAGCAAAGATTGCCTTACTGTCTACAAATTCACGAGTCTTTCAGTTCTTCTATGTGATAACGGATGCCTTCCAATGTGCTCAAGGTTCCCCGAAAGACTTTCGTCGATGGGCATTTGAAATTTTCACAACATTCGTCATACCAAACTCACCACTGGTTATACCAAATTCTGACCAAAGCATTATTCAACCAATTGATAAGGTGATTTTTTGATTTGTTTGCAAGAATTGATCCATGAAAAATACAACTCGGTTAAGATCCTCGCTACAACGTCCGAACAGATTTGTGAAGGCGATGTAGATATACTAAAACGGGTATTTGTTCCTGGTCGTCAGCGTGCCGTCGCTGACATCAATGAACACATGGCTAATTTTCGGCAAAAACGACAATTAGGTTGGAGATTTTTGTTTGCAAAATGAATTTGACCTGTACAGTAACCCATTCAGGGTTGGGGACCGTATTCGATGCCAATCAGTTGACACAGTTGGTTCGAGGCGATTCCGCTATGGAACTTCGTGTATGCTTATTCATTACTTCTTGATGTTTCCCCAAATTATACATTCTAACCAAAGCTGTTCAAGGTTGGCGAACAAATGATGTTTCGAGCTCTGGAAGGCATTGTTGGTTCATCCAGTGATTTTGATGCATGCGATATGAAGACGCAAGCGGTCATCGCTAGTTTAACATCACTTATAAGAGTTAGTACACTTATTAGTGAACTACTTGTATTTCCCTAAACACATCTTATGTAAAATATATAGATTGTGCTCAACACTAAACCTTCTACTGCTTCATGGGAGAAACTGATGGAACGTTTTCCTCAGTTTATCATGAAGGATAAAGGAGGGAAGAGCAGGAAACCACCCGGTAATCTCAAAGCTAAAGCTCAGGTTAGTTGAAGAAACATATCTTACAATAGGTTATCGCAGGCAGCAAACATTCCATTCCTCATTGCGATAGTTGTGCATCGCGCTCGCAAGACAGCAAAAAATCTGTTGAAGCTCTTTGAAGTCATTTTGAAAAAATCCTGTGGTCGTAATAAAGTAACTAACTAACTTTAAATTCGTAGTCATCAGTTAGAGGTAAAAATTTTGTATGTTACGAAGACAGCGTCCAAACACATCTGATCCTGGTTAGCGCACCGCCCACTTTGGTGTGCCGCCCTCTTTCGGCTCGCGCGAGAGCGATCGTCTAAATTTGAGGCTAAATAGCCCTAAAAAGTGTTTTTGTGAGATTCACGCTCTTTAAATACAGTGGCTCAGGAAAATCGCATCTACGAGCTTTCCACACCTGCATGGTCTTCTGGATCCGCTGAGTTGAGCTGTGCTTGAAAAGGTTAAAAATAGCTTTGCTGGCGTTTTCCAGGGCTTGAAGATTGTGGAGGGGCTGGGGAGAGATTCCGGCCACAACTGGCTGCAGGAGCCTGTACCATTTTGGGGACAATTGGCTAATCGGCTCAGGCAGTCAATGGCGACTCAGTTGGTGAAAATCGCTCGTCCAGCCCCTCCAGCAGTCTCCAAGGCCGGAAAAGGCCGTAAAAAGCGCTTTTTTAAACTTTCAAGCACAATTCTGGACTTTGCGCATCCAGAAGGCCAAGAAGGGATGGAAAGCTCGCGATCGCAATTTTCCACGTGCCCTGCCTATGGGTGTCATATTCAAATCAAGCCATAAAAAGATTTAGATAAGGTAAAAATTAGACCGAGAGTCTTCCATACCTACCCTTTAGTGGAGTTGAATTGCTTGTTTTGACTTCAAACTGTTCTGGCCTGATTTTCAGGTGAAAGGTCATATGTTTGTTGTGAACCCTGTCAATACTGTCCACTACTGTTACCAATGTCGAGATGCAATATGGGGAATGCAACCATGGTGTTACTTTTGTGCGAGTAGGTGCTTTTTCAAATTTGATTTTCGAAGCATTCGAGATTTTATGGCGTTGTAGACTGTGACGTCAAGGTCCACACACAATGCACGTCGTCGCTGACCGATGCCTGTTATCCGGCATCTCAGAGCAAACAGAAATCCAAGGTGATGCTTGTTTCCTCTGCGTAACATGAACACATTTTTTGCTTCTTTAGCCAAGGCGATCAGGCTTGATGGGAAAATCAGATGCAGAGGATGATGATACGCTAAGGCCAGAACACAATGTTAAGTCCACGAGTTCGGACTCAGGTATAGGCCAGGATATACACGACAGGCCAGTGGGGAGATCGCACAGTATGAGAAATCGAGTGGTATGCATAATTGTTGATGAGCTATGACATGATGCTTCTGAACTCGTTCAGGCAACGATACCTCAGATTGCTGATGAGCGGACGGCAAAGCGTGATCGGTCGACTCCATCGTGGGGTAGCGATCTTCCGCCAGCTGATGAAGAGGAGGAGCCCCCAGGACGAGTACGGTCAATCGAGTCAAGATCTGAAGCGAGGCAAGTTTGGACAGTTTGAAAATTATTGGGCTGAAACGTTTGGGGTGCTGATTTCTGAAGACTAAAATTTTCCCATTTTGTAGAAAACTAGCGACAATATCAAAACACTTGTTTGAGAAGGTGTATGCTTGTAGGTCTCTCGAAGGAAGTCGTATTGCACTTGATGTGCAAAGTAATAGCGGAAGTTCGACGAGTATGTCACATACGAGTGCAATGGAGGAGGAGGTACTAATATATAGTCGACCGATTTTCCGCTCAATATGGTGTGCTTGCACTGCAGGTAAAATGCGGTAAAATTTGCGCGTGAACAAATAGCTACGCCAGTAATGCCGGCATTTTGCGCGCGCATTTGGCCGGCGTCATGGGCGCAGCTATTTGTTCACGCGCAAATTTAACTGCCGCATTTTACGCCAGTGCGGGCACACAATATTGAGCGGAAAATCTACTCGACTATATCATCGATCAACTCATGAGGATAAAGTCGTGAAGAATGCATTACATTTTCAGTCAAAACGAGTGATAGAGCGAATGCAAGCATCCGCCATATCAGAGGACGACAGTGATTTGGAAGTTGAGACCGAAGCCCCTCCGCTTGATCATTTGGTGGGTTGGGATGTCATCCGACATTTGAAACCCAAAGAGAAGAAAAGGCAGGAAGTTATAAATGGTGGGTGCACGGATAGGATCTCTAGATATCAGCGATGCTCAGAAAACACAAAGATAATCTTGCAGAATTGTTTCACACCGAACGAACACATGTACGGAATTTGAAAATCTTATTACGGGTGTTCTATAAACCGATGTTGGTCAATAATGTAGTTTCTCCTGATGTGGTGCATTTACTCTTTGCAAACCTTGATCAACTTCTTGAAATCCACACCGACATGTCAAATCGGATGCGCCAAGCTGTAGAACAGGTAAAGCGATTGCGATTTTGTGTACTCAAATTTCAAATAAATGTTCAGTGGCGACGGGATCCTAGCTTGAATGGTCTTTACGGCAACATTGGCGAATTGATGGAGAAGATGTTTGATGGTGAACCAGGAGAAAAATTTATGCAGGTTACCTCCACATTCTGTCAACATCAACAACATGCTCTTGAAATTCTGCGAACGAGGTATGCAATAAATTTGTGGTAACTGCCTTCTATGTGAAAGGTTTTCAGGTGCAAAAGGGACAAAGAAGATGCTTTGGTACGATTTCTGGCTGACGCTGAAGCGAATGCGTTGTGCCGGAAGTTACAGCTAAAAGATATGATACCAGTCGAAATGCAGCGATTGGTGAAATATCCGCTTCTTCTCGAAACTATTGCGAAATATACTAATGAACCTAGCGAAGTAAGTTTTTTGCCATATATATGCAATTTTTTGCTCGATACCCCATCTGAGAGTTGAAGGCAGCGGCTCGACAGAATAACAACTTTGGATATTCATCCTGGGTTCTCCTGGACGAGCTAAGTCCAAGACTGTGCTTTGCAGCTTCCGAAGATACCCCCCCCCCCCTTTTCCAGGTGCTATTTGGGTGGACCGCGTATCCTGCTCTCTAGAGCGCGATTGGCTTGTGAGTGGAGACTCGTACCTACCGTACCCATGAGCCAATAGCGCTCTACAGGCATACACCGTCCGCCCAAATAGCACTTTTCACTTCTGGAAAAGCGGATTATTGATATCTTTTGAAACTGCAAAGCACAGTTTTGGACTTAGCTCATCCAGAGGAACCTAGAACGATGAATCCCGAATTTGTCATTCTCCCAAGCCACTGCCCTCTAACCGTCAGCGTCTTCGAATGCTTTAGTAGGCAAGAGTTTGGAATTTTTCGAGCACAGATGAATCGTGTAAGCTGCAGCTAACCTAGATAATTATTGCCCGCCCATTGCCTTTTTGAAGAACATTTAATATCATCACAGCTAGTACCAAAGAACCTGAGTTGACTCAATGCTATCTCTGAGAATGGCGCAACAAAAATGAGTTTTATGAGTATAACCAGAGCTACTCTTTGCAGGAACAAGATCGATTGCTTCGCACTGTAGTCTCTGCTAAGCGTATACTGAGTGCCGTAAATACAGCTAAGCGGAATGCGGAAAACCTGAGACGCCTAGAAGAATTGCAAAGACGGATGGACACAACTCCTTTCGACAAAGAGTTCAGCGGACATGATTACGCTTACCTGAACTTGACAAAGTGAGTAGTATGAGCTAGTGAGTAAGGGAGTGATATAGAGTAAATGAGTATTAAGCAAGTGAGTGATACAAAGTGCAAATACTAAAAATCACCGTGTTGCAGATATCGTCTTGTCCATGATGGGCCTCTCACCTGTCGATTTAATCGCGGTAAAATGATTGAGCTCCATGTTGTGCTTTTGGAGAATATGCTGGTGTTTCTTACTAAACATAGTGATGGCAACAAGCTGCAGCTCAAGGTGCGGAATACACCAAATCTTGTATACAATCCTTCAAGCCTTTGCTTTCAGACTCTGGAGCCATCGAAAGAGACCAAATGGTCCCCTATCATGCCTTTAGCGCCGCTCATTGCTAAGGAAAAAGCTAACGACAAGCGTGCTTTTTTCCTAGTATTTAACAGTCAGTATGGGGCACAAATCTATGAGCTTGTGGCAGCGACTGCGACTGAACGGAAAACGTAAGCTATCTTGGCGTACAAGTTTCTCATAGGCAATTGTTTGCACAGTAAGGCTTAGCCTATACCATTAGACTTCGAATTAATCGAAGATTAATGGAAGTTTTCGAGTTGTAAGCTATTACTAGTTTTGGTTATTTGGAGCGAGTTTTTCCTGAAAGGCAGTAGCTCGAGAAAATTGCGAGTGCGAGTATTCCATACCTACATGATTTCCTGAATACGTTGAGTCCGGGAAGGTGCGAAAAGTCAAAAAAGTGCTTTTTCGGGGGTTTTTCGTCATTGTAGGTTGCTGAGGGGCTGAACGAGGGATTCCCGCCAAACGGCGACCGACTGGCAGGATACTGTAACTCCAGCCATTTTGGCGGCTATTGGCTGATCGGCTCATGCAGCCAATCGCGACTCAGTAAGCGATCGCTCGTCCATCCTCTCCAACAATCTCCAAGATCGGAAAACGTCATGATAAGCACTTTTTCGACTTTGAAGCACAGTATTGGCCTCCAGAAGCCTCCAGTGTATCCAGAAGGCCAAGGATGCATGATTTAACTGCAGTTTTTTCGAGCCACTACCTTTGAAGTGGCTCTGGAAAGTTGCGACTGCGAACTTTCCTATTTTTCTTGTTGGATTCATGATGCGCTGAGACCAGGAGTATGCTTAATCTCAAAGCTGTCAGAAAAGTGCTGTATATGGCGTTTTTCGGACTTGGATTGTTAAAAGGCTTCGAAAATCCCGCCAAAACATGGATTGGCCGCAGGAGACTGTATGGACGAAGCTACTCATTTTGATGACAACTGGCTGACTGGGCTAAGCAACCAAAGCTTTTCGGTTGGCGGACATCTTAAACTCAGCCCCTTCAGCCTTTAAGGCAGGAAAACCCCATAAAAAGCACTTTCTTGACAACTTCGAGAGGTTTCAAGCACGGTCTTGAACTCAAAGCAATCCAAAGGCTAAGGATGGATGAAAGCTCGCAGTCGCAATTTTCCCGCCGCTGCCTTCAACAGTATCCTGTACTGATAACTGATTTTTCAGCTGGTTCAAGTTGATTTCCGATCAGATTGAAAACGACAAGAAGCATCAAACGCGAGGAATCGAGTAAGTAGTCTCATATGAAATCGTTGAATGGAAAAACCGCTGTCATTCTGCGTTCTATATCAGTTGTCGCTCTAGAATCCCTATTTCTAAATGTAAGCGACAGAGCGTACATCTGAACATTTCCAGGCATTGCAACTTCGAAGTGGGCACAAGCTCGTCTTTAGATTCGGACGGTTTGGCCAAAGTATGGGTTTGCCACAATTTGCAATCAACAAAACTAATGCTTACGAATTTGAGGTCCACGTACTCACCCATCCTCGTCTCGTGCATGCATCTGAAATCACGATACAACAGCCAACTGTGCTGGAACATGCTCAACCTGTGCTTACCCCTACCGAAAGGTTACGACGCAGCGATGAAGTGATTTTCCATGCTCTGTTGACTAAGCAAACCATTCTGTCTCAGTTCTTACCTGGTGACAAGGTAAGAAACCTACTTTGATGTCTGAATTGTAATATATTTGATGTAGAAGGGGAGAACTGAAGAACTAGAGAAGTTGACCGAACTTCTGGGAGGTCTAGCTGTCGCAGATTTGAAGCAACGTGACTGTAAAGAACTGGCCATGTCGGCAATTGTACATGGCAACAGACTCTTGGACAGCATCAATCAAGGCATGCACCTTGAAGGTCTAAGCTGGTCACTGGGAAAAGCTATATTTTTCAGGATTGAATGCCCGAAAAGAAGCTGACGAAGGGAATCCTGGCGGTTCTGTTCTAGTGTTAGAAGATGCCGAAAAGGATTTGCCTTCTGTGCCTTGTTACAAGGTTAGTGCTTCCTACAGCATCATTTCTATGGTCATCTGTGAGAGGAAGTATCAAGTTTTATTCTGACAGCATCGTAGAGAAATGGTGATATAATTCTTAATCAAAAATCCCTATTCAGTTGACGGCGATTGCTGCTCCTCTGATGAACCACCTGAAAGCTCTGATGCAAGTAATCCAAGACCAACAGCAGGAGCTGAACACTGTGAAGCAACAACTCTACCATTACAAAGTTAGCATTCACTTTCACACTACAGCGCTTAATCCCGAGTTAAACTTTTAAATGCAGGAGTTGGCGGAATCTGGCTCACGAGATCGATCTGTCAGCGAAGAGACATTGACCGAATGTACGGATTTACAGGAGCGAAAACTTATGACAAAGCGTCAACGTACTCCCTCCATACAACCTGTCACATGAATATAATGCGCGCTAGTTTCAATTACGTTAAATCAAAGTGGGTAACTCAAAGATCATCTGGGAACACTAGGGCTATAATTATATGTGTATTGCTCTTGACGCTGTGAACATCTTTTTTCATTGCTCACTACGCAAAGTCTTGCCATTATGCACGAGTTTGGGTTGTATAAATTTAAAAATGTACAGGCCGTATGAGTACTGTAGACCGCTCGTTCTCAATGTCGGTAGCTTGACCAGCTCGGTCTACAAATCATTCCTGCGTGTATCGTTCCCAGCACCTCCTTGAATGATGTTTTATTACCGAAATCCATTGTTGTATTTACTGCCAGGAAAGATGCAAAGTCACAGTATCGTTCATGCAGCTATTTATCGGCTGCTTCCCCATATTTCGGTGAGATTAGTCGTTTCATGTCTATTTTCATAAATTTATATAACTATCTCTTGTCAGTGGTCATAATTGCTTTACTTAACTGTGAATTGAGTGTGTATGTGCTCGTGAAATATCGTAAGCGTTTTGACGCTGTTGTATTGTTTTAGACATATATCCTACATGATGTACAGATTACTTATGCTTGCGCGATTCTCCAAGCGCTTTTATTGGGGATCGACAATGTAGGAAATCTCCAAAGACTGGTTGAGTTTGATGGTCGTGTTCTTGTTGTTTCCGCGTATTTGTCGATTTGCTTGGCATGTCTATAAAGATTTCTTCATTGCTTGATACTTTTGATTCCATCTGTGAAATAAGAATCTTTGAAAATACCTCGCGGACTGCATATCAAATCGGATTGTGAATGTCCCTCGTTCAAAAAAAGATATTCGTTCTCCAATCTTCGTTTGGTAGAATCATCAACTAAAAGGAGTGCCAACCATTAAATTGCCTCATGTTTGCATACAAAAGTGAATGGAGCATGCTTAGGGTGTGCAAAAATTGAAATAAAACTGCACAAGCTGGCAAATGTTCGAGGAATCCGCAACAACGATGGATTAGGACGACTTTTGTGAAGACGTCTGTCTGTTTAATTACATGGTCAACCCCTTGTGAGAACCACAACGAAAAGAAATCGCATTAGTTAAAAATATATGGCGAAGAACAAACTATATCGCTGAGTCACGAAGACGGGACTCTTCTCAAATCCGTACTGCGAAGTCCGACAAAATGTTGCTTGTGTCGGCTCATCCTCAGAAGATCGCGCTCAAGTGCTCTGTGGTTGGTCCGTAGAGCTTGGCTACAGTGTCGGCCCATGTCTCAGCTGCGTAACAGAGCACGGAGAACGGTTGAAGGCTGCGTCCAGGCAGATCTGGAACTATGGGGCTTTTACGTGGAAAGTACTTTTGGGGTCCTAACTAAGGCACTGCCCAAGCGGCAGCTCAGTAGTGCTCTAATGGCTGAGATATTCCCCTCGAAACTGGCCCCAGCGAACGTATTCGCATGGATTCGTGGCAGTTTCGCGCCAGGATTCACGCTTTGCGCCATGAATCCATGCGAAACACGGTCGCGGGGCCCAGTTTCGAGGGGAATATCTCAGCCATTACAGCACTACCTGAGCTACCGCTTGGGCAGTGCCTTAGTTAGGGCCCCAAAAGTACTTTCCACGTAAAAGCTCCATAGGTCTAGATCTGCCTGGACGCTGCCTTTGAGTCGAACAGGTGGGCAGGAGAAGAACTTAGCAGGAGAAGAAGAGCAACCTGGGCCGCCTTCGGGCGTCTGAAGGAAGCCACCGAAGGAAGTCGAACAGGTGGGCAGGAGAAGAACTTAGCAGGAGAAGAAGAGCAACCTGGGCCCGAAGGCGGCCCAGGTTGCTCTTCTTCTCCTGCTAAGTTCTTCCCTCAAGTCGTTTTCCATGTTCATCGAACTTCCGAGATACACGTAAGAATACGTCTCCATGATAGGGGTGCCTTCCAATTCCATTTCTGCATCTTTGCAAAGGGTGTTCTTTATGAACTGGGTCTTCTTCCGATTTATTCGCAGTCCTATCTTCTCCCCTACTTTGTTTAGTTCAGCTCGTCTCCGCTTCAGTGATACTGCTCGAGAAGAGAACGATGTCGTCCGCAAAACGAAGGTTCGACAGGAATCCCCCATCAATTCGTATGCCTCTCTCGTCCCGCTCCAGTGACTTCTTCACCCACTGCAAGGCCGGGTGAACAGCTTCGGGAAATAGCGTCGCCTTGTCGGACCCCCTTCCCAATTGGGATGGCCAGGGGGCGATGGAATAGCTGCATAGTCGTTGTACAGTCCTTGCAGTTGGCTAACGTCATCATGTAAGATGGGTCTACTCCTTGATCGACTAACGCGACAGGATGGTGTTGGTTTCGACGCTGTCAAAGGCTTTCCCGTAGTCGACGAAGGTTAGGACGAGAGGCAGTCGGTACTCCCGGCAGACTTCTATGACCCTCGAAACCGTCTGGATGTGGTCCATGCAACTGAATCCTTTGCGAAATCCAGCTTGTTCCTGGGGTTGGGCTTATCCAGTGTCCTAGATATTCGAGCGAGGATAATCTTCGTGAAAAGCTTGTACAGCACACTCAGCAAGCATATTGGACGGTAGTTCCCGAAGATTCCCGTTCACCCTTTTTGAAAAGAAGGACGCTTCTTGACATTCTCCACTGATCGGGATCCCCACTTTCTGAAGGTACGATGCGAGAATGTGTAGACGTTGCCCTCCTGCTCGCAGAAATTCGACGGAAATATGGTCTGGTTCTGGAGCCGTTGACATCTTCATGGTCTGAATCGCCGTGCGCACTTCAGCCGCTAGAATTCGTGGCGGTACTTCTCCAGTGAGGACAACGGACATCGGCACGGGTGTTGATGAGCGCGAGAGGTTGGTGTAGAAGTTCTTTGCGATAGATTCCATCTTGTATCGGGAAGAAGTCGGAGTCCCTTCTTCTTCAATAGTGCAGCCAGCGGTACGTGATATTCAGAGAGGTCCCCTCGGCACCTCTTAAGACTTCGTCTTCCTTCGGCTGCTTCCAGTATCTTGGCTTGCCTGTACCTCCTGAGATTCTCCTGCAAAGCTGTTCGCAACTGGCGTTGGCTATCTGTCGCTCGAGATGGGTTGCATTCGGATCCTGCCTCAGAAATCTTCTTCTTCCGAGCAATTCCTCGGTGGTTTTCGAAGTTTGTTCCAAGTTCTTCTCAGAAGTCACCAGGCGCACTCTCCGCAGGCCCTCCACAAAATACAAAAAACTGAAATCCACCAATGAGAGATGAAAAAAGTATGAGTGCCATCTCATATTCTCAATGTCCTCGAATTCAACTACCATCTTCTGAGCTGGTTTGATTGCCACATAAGCAATCAGACTAAATTCCAAGAGCAACTCCGTCTTCGACTGAGAAGAACTCGCACACACTGTTTCTCTCTGTGCAAGATATCTGTAGGAATGACGTGCTCCAATGCTTTTCGCCGCCGCGCTGCCGCTGCTCGTGGAATGCGCGCGCTCTTCATTTTGTCATTTCCATCAGGATTATAAATCGCAATGGTTTTCTTTTCTATCTAATACTTTTTTGTTTACTGTTTGCCTGTATGCGCGTATTCTTACTAACGACGCCAGTATCTCAAAAGCAGCGCCATCTATGTTACGTTTACAGGGCAGGCGCTTTCATTGAAAGGTTCAGCCTCTTGCGTACTGCCATTGTTGAAAATGGATAGAACTCTGATGAACATGATAGTAGATGAAGGATTGGTGGTGACAGCGGTGACTCTCAGTCGCAAAAAGAATATCACAACAAGTGAGGCGAATAGGTATGCGTTTGAGAGTAATATCAAACCGTCGCTATATATGTCATTTAGAGCCATGACAGACTTTTACAAAGACCACCGAGACAGCAATATCTGGGCGACCTATATAGTCTCAGGTTTTTGCGAGAAATTCGGTATGTTTCGGGAAGTTTGTCAGAATGTGTTTCCAAAGCAAACTTGATGCAGGTTTACCTGTCAGATCTTCTATTGTCTGCCGCGAAGAAGACTTGGAAAATATAAAGAAGCAATTTCTGAGTGTTTCTTCTGTCACATTGTTCAGTCTTCAGGCAGTAAAAGTTGAGGTAATTATTAGGCTGGAAACTAAGTTTTGCAACTGGTTGCATAACTTCACTCTCTTTGGATATGGCGCACTCAAACTTTGGCATTATGTAGAAGGCAAAGTGAGCTACAAGTGAACACAAATTCTAAATTTTTGAACACGAAATAGAAAAGTTTCAGGCGTTTTTCGAAAACTAGTGAAATTTGAGAATTTTTGGGGTTTCGAGCTAAAATGAAGCCTTTGGCAGCCTAGACCATGCGCAGCAATCCGGATTCGTCTACAAATTATTGCCGGAGGTTGACTCGTTTGGTCTAGTAAGAAAGAAACAAAATTTAGGGCATGTCGAGATTTGGCGTCCTCATAAAGTCGAACGAGTCGATGTACGCAAGAACTGCTGGGGACGACCGTCAATGACTAAAGAGTCCAAAGCTCAAATGCCGAGACTTTGCATAGTAAGCTTATTTGACCTGCCAAACGCGAATATCACATTCATTTGTTAAATCAACGCATTTTTCCTTGTTTAGGGTGAGACCTTATATCGTACACCTAAAGTAATCCTACAAAAAAGCCCTTATCAAGCAATTTCACTATCGTTTTCGTGATCAGCATGTCGGATAACACCCCTATGCCAAGTTTCAGCCAAAGCCGTCAAACTTTGAATTTTTCCCCTTCATACGATGCGCCTACCGTAACCCTCATTGCGACGTCAGATTTTGGTTGGACGGCAGCTACACTTGTAGCTTACGTAATAACCAACATGGTGGCAAAATTTGAGTGCGCCACGTTGAGTGAGATGGAAGTTATGAGACCAGTTGCAAAACTTAGTTTCCAACCTAATACTTTTTGCTGCAATCTCATCATCCTACTATGCTTCTGTCTCAGTTCTTAGAGACTTCCATTTACTCGAATATCTGTTAAGAATAGCAGGGAGGCTTTTGTTGCAGATAAAGGTATGGCCTGAAATGCTGGTAGAGGCCCTTGTGCTGGCCGAGCTATCGTGCATCCCTTAGAGTTGTTCCCATCCATCAACTTTGATGCCTTTTGATCGTTCCAACACGTTGACTGCAGCAAATTTGAGGCGCTTACTCAAAGTTCACATGTTGAAATGATCGAAAGACAGCCCTGTTGATGATTCATATGGAACATTTCTGGGGGATGCACCATATGTACTATTAATAGTACTCGACTCTCGAGTCTATCTTGGCCAGGGCCATATAGGGTATAGCCCACGACGCTGGTATTTGCTTCGCATAGAACCTTATGAATTGTCATGGTTTTTATTAAGGAGCTACCATCAATACTCGCTCGTGATCGATTAGAGGATTTGAAGTTTTTTCGTACCGACGCTGAAAGAACAGTGATTTTGTCGAAAGTGGTGCAGCACTGTGCTGAGGAGTTATCTGTAAAGCTACAAAGTGATAGAAGCGACGTAGTTGTTGCCATGAAGCATATGTTTGATGATGAAAAGGTGGGTGTTTTTCCTTTGAGTTTTGCTGCTCATAGTTGACGTGTTTTATAAACTTCGTTGCTGTGGCAGGAAAGATCAGCGATTGTGGCATATAACGTTTTCGCATTTTTTCGTATGCGTTTTTTCCCCATGTCTTTCATTCGTGACTTACATAACTCTGCATGCACACCGGATATCACTGAGACGGTTTTATTGTTCTTCTTCAGAGCTCCCCCGCCAAGGATGAAGTGAAAAACCCTCATAAACAGCAAGTTGCCGCCCGAGAATTGAAAAAAGCAAATCCAGAGGATGGAAAAGAACATCACAACGATTTGTGAGGTTTTCATCTATATTAGGGGGGATTTAAAACAAAAGACTTTATAGGATTACACAAAAGAAGGTCAAAATTGATCCCGAGGATGTTCCAACAAAGCGCATACTGAATGGGAAGAAAAATATCTCAAATAAGACGACCGTAGTTTCACCTCCCAGAACCAGAAAATGTAAGTGCCTTTCAGCGCTGAATGCGTCGTCTGTGATGCAATAGCGCTCGATCCAATTTTTTTCAGTGAACAAAGAGATTTTTGACGATGGAGATAGTTCTCCCGAAAAATCTTGTGAAGTTCCGGAATCTTCAGCCGCAAAGCCTGCACAGGAAAGTGATATCAAGGTTGAAGGTACGTACGAATCTGTTTATTCCTTTACTTTTCACCTTAATGTACATCATTTTTCGCACACAGCTTCCCATTTTCGTTATCATATGTGAAGTTTCCAAAAAGATTGTTTTGCTGGAAGTAGATTAGTGGTAATGGGAATATCGTATGCGAATAAAAACATGTACGAACAAAATGTTATCTTGCATAACTTATAGTATTTTTGGGATTCTTGAACCGAGTGAGTTCGCTTTTCTTTCTTTTGGTTGGACATCGTGCTACTGTATATATTTACCAGTCCAAAGCGCCGCTTGGCGGCGCTTCGGACTGGCTGTGTTTGTGAAGTGGGATGTGACTTAAAGTCAGAACTGGAAACCTTTTCTTGCGCAGACATTCAACGGACCCAGAGATTAACAAAGATAAGTGTCAGAAGTTTCCTGCTTTATGTGGTTTCATAAGTACTAACAAAAGTGCCAATAGATTTTTTACCGTTTTCTCCCAGCTTCCCAGGTATGTATGCTCTTGTACTTTGCAAACTTGCGCTTTGCTGCCCTCCCTGAGTTCTTCGAGCCGAAATGCATCCCACTTTCCCCCAACTCCTTTTCACCCAAAAGCTTCCCTTATGAAACTTTCCAAACTACCATTTTTTTCTCGCACTCTCACATCCTTCAGATCTTAATTAGTCGTTTCAAGTCTTGCCTCAGAGCTGCCGTTGAGAAAATGCGAACTTGCACCTTTACAGTCTGTCCCCCGAATCAGGCCAAAATTGACATGATGCGCTGCGCCCTCAAGATTCCGCGTCATGTCTGCGGTTTGCTAATGGTGGTTATGTTGGGATCGGCAACCTTTTCCTAGCTATGTACAATCTGTTGACTGTTTTCAGCCGGGGCCCTCTCCTCCTCATCGACTGTCCTGCGAACTACCCCAACACTTCACAACACTTCACTCTCCATTAAATCTCTTGGGCTCGTATGGAAATCTGGGGCGAGATAAGCGACGTTCCCGGTCATGAAAGGGCCGGGAACACTGTCGAACACCGCTGCGACTCTAACCAACATTCCAACTTATAATATAGAATTTTCAAATCAAAGAGCATCCCTTCCTCTTCACAAAATATGCTTTGTTGGAAGCGTGCACAAATTCTTTCCAATTCATGAATCTTGATGTCAAATCCCGTTAGCGTTCTATATGGGCTATCCAAATTGTTCAACATCTATGCTTTTCCACCCAGCTCCACAGTCCACCGCAATTTCCAACTCATCTTGATAGGCTACTGACTTGTATTTCATAAAGAGAGCTATTATTAAAGTTCAATTTCAGATTCAGCTATTCATCCAAGCAAATCTTCAGTGTTTTTACGATTCTGGGGCTATGCAATGTTTTGACAAAATTGCGCCAAAAGTCTACATGTTCCTGAGGTTAGCAAGGGTTGAGATAATGGTTAAGGAACCCTTCCTTTTCATCTTTTTTACACTGACAGCATGTAGCTCTAAAATTCTATTACGATCACGGTGACGTTTTTCATAGTGATTCTGAAATATCCTGTCTCTTGAGTAATTCAGAAATTCTAAGGTGCAGTCTTCTGAACCTGCGATTTAGTTGCTAAGTGAGCTTTTTGCATCCAGCGTAGTTTCAAGACAATTCGCATCACCATGTTTCTTATCACTTAGTGGTTAACAATTTGGAAAGTTCACACAGTCTTGAGATGTCAAATGAATAAAATTAAAGACTTTCGAAAAGCATGAGACCTTACATTTACGCTTGCATGTGAACTGTGGAGTCGAGTGAGGAGGATTTTTATGGTGTTGTGTTCAATAGCTTGATTTCATAGTAAACATTACCGAGAAAGCGAAGTTACGCAAAATACGATGACGTCGTTAGGTTGCACCTACGCGACTGACAAGGAAAGAAAGGTTGGTCGAAATGGCCTTTTGAAAGGTATGTATGCCATCTTGTAGAGCTAGGAGCGCTGATTCCAAATCCGTCTTTGCTATCTGCTGCGGGCTTCTGGGCGAGGAGTTATGAAGGTTTTTGTGAGTAAAAAGTTGATTGCAAGACTAGTGTAAAATCAGTCGTAACAATTTTTTCTAGGGCTTAAACTGGTTATCGGGTCACTCTGTGCAACAAATATTCTTGTTCAAAATATACCGACTCGCTACTGCCTCATTTGAACGTTAGGAAGAGGTTACGACTGATTTTATAGTAATTTTGCACCGAAATTTTTACTCACAAAAACCTTCATAACTCCTCGCCCAGAAGCCCGCAGCAGATAAGAAAGGTGGGTTTTGAGTCAGCGTTCCAAGCTCTACAACTCAGTGTACATCACATCTCAAGAGGCCACTTCGACCAACCTTCCTCCCCTTGTGAGTCGAATCGTAACGGTAAACAGTATGGAAGCGAGCGAAAGTGCAAAAGTTAAGACAAAGATCTGGACAAACATCCTTGCTGGTTGTTGACGTGCGATGGTCCCCCCTGCGCTTTAAGAGTATGATCGTGCTACTGTATATATTTACACTCGTTGAAGCGTATGTGTGGTCCGATGGTGAAATTATCTAGTTTGCTCGAAAGTTCACATTTCATACAGAGTCTTGCTGCTTCTGTCTTCAGACAGTCACTCAAAACTTGTTCATCTTACGCGCATGCTTGGATTGTTTTCATCTAGACATGTGTCCCATGGCTTTGCCACGAAAGTGGTTCTTTCCCGTGTTTGATGGATTCGGGAGGATTGACTGAACTATATTGTGAAGGCAACACCTGATGCGATTGCACGGTGACGGCGCGTTCAGATGAAAGCAAGAGTATGGTAGTAAGATATTTGTTCATTGTCGCCATCTTGCCTAGACTCGTTAAACATCCAGACAGTTATAACAATGACCACAACATAGGTACGCGCCATACTTAATCCACTTGGTCCGCTTGATTGACTTCGCCATTGGTCAAATCAGTGATTGACTATTAGTGAAGCGGATGTCCGCTTGATACACTGGTCCACTTTGGTATTGGTCAGTTCACTGATTTGACCAATAGCGAAGTGGGTCAAGCGGGTCAAGTGGATCAACTATGGCGTGTGCCATAAATATATGGATCGGTTCCACTAATGCGTGAGTAGTCGTATACTCAAAAAGGGGATGAAGTTTACGTGCCTATGCATTTTGCGCGTATATGAGGATGCTGACAGGCATGTACTTCGTTGTGTTCTCATCTGCATTAAATGCTTGATTTCAGCCTCCACTGAAGGTCACAAGAAATTGGCATCCGATCCTGATCAGGAACCTCCTAGGAAGAAGAAGTTGATTAAAACTGTAGAGACTTACAAAGACGAAGATGGTTTTCTTGGTTAGCTTTTCTTCACTGGATGTAGTCATTATTTTTGCACTAAAGTTGGACTTTAGTGACCAAGGAGGTTACACATATGGTTGAGAGTGACGAACCAGAAGAAGAACATTCTAAACCGCTCCGGCCTGCGAACACAATCAAGGTTTTTTTTTTGAAATTCGTTATTCGTGTTTATTACATTGATCTTTGCACCATTTCCTAATAGAAGTGAGATGGCACGATAGTGTGGCTTTTAGGGCAGCTGTGATAAGGGCTCATGTTGGTGACTAAGCAAGCCTGCTGTCAAAAGATTATCTGCAACAGCTTCTAAAGACACACTTTGCGCGTAGATTCGGCATAGATTCGTGTGAGCGATGGCAAACGCCGCCTTCCACTGTAGCTTTTTCCTAGCAACATCTTCATTCTGAAGCGCATTGCCTTGTCATCTTGTATCCCTTCGGCCGCTGGTGTCATGCCCGGCGTCATTCCAAAAATAGAGTTTTTCTTTGCTTATGCGACGGAGCGCAATCTTTGCTTACCAAAGACTATAATAAAGTGGCTGGAATGAGTTAATCACTGTGGAAGCGTTTTTTTGATTGGCGTACGCAGCACATATGTTATCGTGTCATCATTTGAATCTTGAATTCAGGCCACTCAAGCACATCATCCGAGAAAAAAGCCTGCTGCAGCCGGAACACAGAAAATCAGTGCGTTTTTCACGAAAAAGGCATGATGGACTCGGAAAAACGTTTTCATCCCTTCAACTTGGGAAAGCATTATTTGAATGTTCTGTTTGTCTAGATCTCAATTTACAATTTTTGCTTTCCATTCATTCACACGGATTGCTTTCATTGTATGCATGCGGTCTCCAACAACGATTTCATTGGCGGTACTCAGTTAACCTTCACTTGTTGTGGAGATTTCCTTTGAAATGAATCCCAACGGTTCTGTTTCATTTGGGAAGTTTTTGAACATGAACAGCGAGCGAGGGGGTGAAAGTGCTATCTCGTTTTGTGTGTACAGGTGTTCTTGATTCTGTTTCCCCGAGTGCACTATACGCAGTATCATGAGTTTTTCTGCGCGTGTCATTTCATTTGACGATTATTCTGTTTTTGATCAGCCGTTTGTTCTGTCTCAGATGATTGTTTCACTAAATATTTTGAAAAGCGGGATTGTAGTACTTACTAGCTACATGTTTGCTTCTTAAGTATAAAACTTCTGTATGCACCATTTGTTTTGTGTAGATATTGTCGCTAGTCGATTGGAATTCAATTTCGTATAACCATTATATGAGTAATGAGTTTGAAATTCTTGCACATATAAATTCAGATAGTGCCATTGAGCGTATAGTATGTGACGGTATCAGAACTGAGTTTTTCCATGAAAAGAAATCATTTGCTTTTTGTTCAACTCTTATTGGTACATACCAACATTATAACACGATTTGGGATGATATACAGAGTGTCCCAAAAAAATGTGAACATTGTTTGATCGTTAATAACTCCCTTGCTTTCATGCTTTTCGTCGAGCTTGAGGCACCATTCTATAGAGCGAGGTTCAACTTAGATCTACACTATGGAGCGAATCATCGATCACTCTCCACTACTGTAGGATTACGGAGGGAACTTCGACAAAGATTTTAGGCCACTGGAGGCCATATTCTGCCCCGGAACAAAACCAAACAAACCAAAAATTTTTATACTATGGTAATGGAGGCCAATTTCGAATATGAAATTTCCACTTTTCCGTCACGCTTCTTTCCAAGGTAATCCCAGGTAAACCTTAATCACTGAATTTCCAGCATTTGTCAAAAATGTGATTACACCGTCAAGAAAGCTAATAACACTCGCAGAAAGTTGTGAAGGAATCAGCGTGCGCGAAAACCCTAGTACACAATTTTTCAGATTTCTTGAAAAAAATTCTTTCAAGTGGCGTATTTCACAATGGATCCGCATGCTAGAAGTTCATACCGTAATCCTACAGTAATGAAGGGAGATCGGAGTTTTGCTCCATACTGTTAATCTAAGTTTAACCTCGCTCTACAAAAAGGTGCCTCAAGCTCGGCGAAAGACATGAAAGCAACCGGGTTATTAACGATTAATCAATGTCCACATTTTTTTGGGACACCTTGTATATAATACAAGCTAACTAGTTTGCTTGGAGGAAGCTATTGAACCAGGAAAGGGTGTCACACAACAGAGAGTCATTACCTCCGTCATGTTATCTACAAAACGCCAACTTTTTGGGAAGTGAAGTTTTCGCGCTCCACATCAAAGTTGCAGCCTTTCGCCGTTTTCAACCCCCCTGGCACGCGTGACCAAGTTCCTCCTTTCGTCCTCGAATTTCGTAAACTATACAGTCGAAGGGAAAATAAAGGTAACAGTGTCCGGGCAAGGTTGGGAATTTCTGTTCCCATCGCTCCTACGCTCAGTAGTATGGAACACGTCCTAATGGGAGAGGCTTCATTTTGACTTTTCCTCATCGGCATAGTGTGCATGCTCAAGAACCTAGGGACCTACAGTGGCTCGACTCGGGTCTTAGCCTTGGCGGGAGCGATTCACTCGTTCAAATAGAATAAAGGAAAAGCTTGTGCTAGCCCTCTCTTAGGTGTATTTGGGTTTCAGTGTAGCGGATAAGCCCAGATAAGCAAAACTAGAAAGAAGTTGGGTTTTTGCCCGAATATCGAGAGGAAAAGTGCGTCTGCAAAATTTAGAATTCGCTCTGCGGAAGTGTTTCGGACCCCGCACTTCCAGCGGTCTCAAACCGTAAGCTGCGCGCGTACCGCACACAGTCATGATTAGAGAATGCGTCGACTCTGCGTCTCCAACCTTGGCACTCTCCTCCAAAAAAAAATTCAAAATTGAGATCTCTTTGAATAGCACTTTCGTCATTTTTGCACTCTCCGATTGTAGATCTTTGAAACGAGAGGGACGGTAAGCAGAATGTCTTCAGTTCGATTTGCTAGGGCGTCCGCGGAGGAAGGGTCTTGTTGAGATAATTGTTTCCCGGCTCCGGAAAATTCAGTATTTCCTGGACATTGCTACGAAAATGCTCTTCAACCTTTTTTTTTTCATTGAAAATCAAGTCATAAGAAGTGTTGTTGAGCTGAGAAAGATACATTCGACGTAGCGGTCAAAGTCTTGTTTTTCCACAAAGTACTAAAACAGTGGCGTTTCAGATTTCGTGAAATATGAAAGTTTAGATCACCGGTATCTCTATCTGTGCACTGTATTAGTGAGGAATGAATTCAGTTAATTGAAAATCTACTTCAGTTATAAGTATACGAGGAAAAAGGCTTTGAAATTTCATAAGAAATGAAAGTTTAGTGAGTTTTCTCCTAGGGCATGGCTGTCATAGCCAGATTTTTGAGAAATTTTCCGAGCAAATTTGTTTCCTCAGGTCTTTATCTAAAGATTTCTGACAATCCCCGTTCTCCGCTGCTGCTACTGCTTAATTTTTTTTTCAAAAAATAAAAGGAGCTATTGAAAATATTCGCAACTATTGTAAGGCCATGTCCGGGCAAAAAGGCGATTTTTATTTTGTGCTTACCCGGACCTAATCGCTATGCTGAATCCGTAAATCCGCACTAGAGAGCGCGAAAACGGCGAAAAAGGGCTCTATCGCAGGAGGGAATTTAGCAAGTGGGCGGGATCTTCCTCACTGTGAAGTCGCGCTCCCAGCTTCCGGAGCGATTTTTTCGTTCGATTTCAAGTCAAGCGTTCGCACTTAGCCGGTGGCGATGTCAGGACGGCTAGCGGAATCGAGAAAATAACTCCGGAACCTGGAGTCGTAAATTCATAGTGGGGAAGACCCCGCCCACCTGTTTCCCTCCTGCGTTAAAGGCCTTTTTCGCCATGCGCTCCCAGTGTAGATTTTCGGATTCAGCATAGCGAATAGGCCTGGGTAACCTAAAAATCTCAAAATCAACTTTTTGCCCGGACACTGCCTTTGTACTAGTGCATACACCCAAGCTCCACTGACTGTTTGAGTGTCTCAACGGTCGAAGTTTTAATTCGTTCCGAGTCACTTGAAGTGTTCTTTCTGGTTCTGTAGTGAACAATCGTTCATCAGAAAAATGTGTGTTTCCTGAGCAAGCAGTACAGCTTAGCTCAGCAATGATTTCTCGTCTCATTCCCTTTGTTTGCTGAAGAATCGATGCGTAGTCTGCTGGTAACTAAGACACGACTTCCCAATATACTCCAACTTAGCCTTTCAATCGCCGTCAGTGGATGCTAGTGATTCTGCATAAAGTGATGATAGTCGCACTAATGCACTTGCGCAATCAAAAAAGTGGCAAAACCGCTGCACCGTTGAATGCGCTACGTTTTTGATGACAGTCATTTGTTGCTGACTCACGCTTGTGCAGACTATATTTGAGAATTAAAGATTCAAACTTGTTATGACCGCTGGAAAAGTAAGCTTTCAACTGTTATTTCGACCAAAAAGCAGATCTGGGCAGTTTTTTATTTCCTCAAAACTGTAGCAGATCGACTCTTTCCCTCGCTTTCCCACGTTTTTGGATGTTTAAACGCAACGTCTCTAAAAACCCAAAGGAATTTCCGCATACTGGGACTTATCCTTCTCGCAGCTTCCAGAAGTGCAGTTCGAGTGCGCGAAATTTTCAAAAACTGGCTTCACCCAAAGCTGTTGATTTCGCATTTGGATTTATAGAGGAGAGCCATCTAAAGCTGAGGTGCAGTTTTGAAAGGGACTATGAGTTCGTTCCTGTGTGCAATGCGCACTAGCATTGCTCAGAATAGGCGGGTCCGGAACACACTTCCGGAGCGAATTTTAGGCTTTGTAGACGCGCTTTTTCGTTCCGGACTTCACCATGGCTTAGTTGGAGGAAGTGAGACTCTTTACATCGCTATAACATTCCAGCCCCCCCCCCCCTCCCTTCTACGCTTATCGTATGTGCGGGCTGTCAGGTTCGTGTTGGGTGTGCTTATACTTTTGTTACTGTAAAATCCGCTTATGCGCAAATTAGAAAGTTAAAAGTGGTCAGATCACCTGGATCCATGTAGTGTAGTTAGTAATATTTGATATTCTCGTGTTAATCCGACTCTCCCTTTGGCTTCATCCCGTAACCGCTGATCCCTCCCTCCCCCCCCCCTGCAACAAATCAGCAGTATCCGCGAAATGCCGCAGTTTCAAAAGCAATGGGGGCGGAGAGGGTAGCCGCACTTTCAAAAGCGATTGAGGGCGGGGGGGGGGGGGCAGTCACACTTCCTCCTGCATTGTGTTTTGTCTCTACAATTGAGTGCTAAGTCCGACGAGAGGTGGGGCCATATATGTAACTACATAAGATTTTAACCCCCCTCCCCCATTGTTGCTTACACACTGTCTTTGAGCAAGGGGCACGAACAGTTGATTCATTACTTTTGATGGAGTCGGTACAAACGAGTTAGTTCACACGCGGTGTCTTGCGTTTCAAAGGCGTCGTTCACGCAAGGTGGGGAACATGATTCTGATGTGGTAGTATGTAGGTTCTGCATTTGACAAGTGCTGAAGTTGCTTAACACGTTGACGACCGTATGCATCCGCGCGTATGCACGCCCTAACTCCCGTTTAGCATTTTCGTGCATCCGCGCATATGCACGCTAGTTTTCTAGGTGTAAACGAAAAGTTTCAAGGTAACTTCTATGCAGTAATACTACTGGTAGCCTGATAGTCTTACAGAACACAGGGCATCGCGGCAGCTGTTCAGAAGTTTGGGCCGCAAAATTGGGTAATCAGTCGGTTTTTGGTAAGGTAAACACATGCTAATTACGTTTTTCCGAGAAGGTTAAAACTCTGTAAAGCTGTTTTGAAAGCAAAATAGGATAAATCAAGCAAACAATACCTGGTATTACCGTGTTTTTTTTTTTGAAAAGAAATTCCTCCAATATAGCGATTGCGCGGTTATTGGGAGGGAAAATCCACGCAAAAACCTTGATTTATGTAAGTCCTAGTAAGACTCTGTGATTTACATGTTTCTCTGAACATAGTTTGCATGTTTTCTAAATAATTGTCAAAAAGACTCCCACATAATGTTTTCGTGCATACGCGCGGATGCACGGGTCAAATGCGCGAAGGACGTTAGTGTGAGTTTCGTCCAAAATGGCGCGGTCGTCAACGTGTTAAGTTGCGAAAAGTTGCCTACGAAAATTTTCTCGCTTTTTGACAGTTCTCCGCCTCCCGTGTTCGCTCCGCCCATTTTAGGCACGCTGACGCGTTCTCACATGGCACAGTCAAGACGCGCACTGTATAAGTCTGTCCTTGTTGGAAACGATGGGATCAGCCGAAGCACTCGCACACGCCTGCCAGAATAGGGTTCCAGCGAGTTTCTCGAGATTTTCGCGTAATTTGCGCCTCATTCGGAACTAGGAACTAGGGTCAGCTAAAGGGGACCACAATGATAAAAACATGAAAGCCGAAAATCTGGGTTGACGGTGCCTTCAACTTTACGATGTCTTCCCTTTGCCATAGCGGGTGCAGCAATCGGCACGAGAGACTTCAAGCAGGCCCCGGCACGAGTCCATTTCTAGGCCTTTTGAGAACGAAGTACCCTTGACTCCCACAAAACTACGAAGTCTCTTTTGACTCAAAATTTGGAACGTCGACTAAAAAAACTCAGCGTTTTTTCGGACCCACAAAAATGATATCGCCTTTGCTTTCTCGCCACGAAAACGAAGTCCAGCTTGCTTCCAGGCGACCTGTTCCGGGTCCTGATTTCAGGCTTGACGGAAATACCTCTGCTTCTATAATGCAAAGTAGCTTTGCTAGCGGAGTTCTTCTGCTCGCGCTGCACAGAAGACAAATTGAGCGGTAAGTTCGTCGCTATGCTAGGAACTGGCCGTGCACGTGCACATGTGCTTGTTGATGGGCTTAGAACTCGCGCGGAGCCGGATTCAGTCGATCTGCGCGCAGTTTCCGCCGCTCGTCGTCACTCGCACTGCGGGGCGGGAGCGAGGATGCGCACTCGAAGTGCCTGGCGAAGCGCCCAGCTCCGCCTAAGCTGCCCAAAACGAGTCTGCCACCCGCAGGTCCACACCTCTCCCATTATCGCGTTCAAGGCAGGGTTGGGGTGCACTATTGATCCTTTTGGGACTCTGTAGTTTCCGTTCATATGACCGCTGCCTGAATCTCGCACATATATGGCGTCCTCGCATGCTCGTCGCAGGCGATGCAGGCATTTTCGTGTCAATAGTGCAATCGTATGACGTCAGGTCCATACGATGCCATTCCGTCTTGCAGCCGTAGATTTGTTGAATTTCTCCCTTTTTTTCTTCATTCTGAGAGCGACCGTCAATCTCCACTTCATCACATCTTTTATTCCGGTTTCACATCCATTTTCCAAGCAAAGTCTGCGGATTGCTCTCAACTAGACACGAGCGGGTGCAAAATAACCAGTTATCGTAATCTCTAGCAAAGTAGTTGAATCGGATCATTGGAATCAGATTTTTCTACAGCGTACGAATCATCCCTGATTTTTGGCTTATAACTGTCTTCCTTCCTTTTACCTATACTTTTTGAATTCATCTATGACGTATTTCACTATTTGCTGATATCAGAACGATCTCTTACAATTTGCATTGAAGCGTGTTATCACGCTAGCAGTGACTTTTGCGGAAGTCAAACGAATCTTTCTGATTTAGAATATACACCATTTAATTTTGCGAATAATGTATGAGCATATGTAAATCTCCGTTATAGTATCACAGACGCGTTCAATTGCCGCACTCTATTCTATTGCCACATTTTTTTCACCATAACAACATATTGATAAAGTTTCCATTGCTGATTACATGCCATATACGCAGTCATACACTCTTCTGCTTGCTTCTACATCGCCTTTAATAAAAAAGCGCTCAAAGTTATTTAACCATGCAAAAGAATCAGTAACATCACATTATTCTCACTGTGGCGTTTTCAACACAAAGCAAGGTCATCAACGCCATTATTTACTTTACTCCATCGATCCATGTATTGATGTGTCACTATCCTATTTAACATCTTACAATGTCTGTCTGTCACATTGTCATGCCGTTGCTGTCTATTTTTTCCGTGATTTTTCGCTTATTCTTTATTGATGTCGTTTTTTCGTTTGACGATGTGATTTCGTACGTTGTCCGACGATATTATTGCGATCTCCTAGTAGCAAAACGAGCAGTATCTTTCCGTCAATTTCAAACATTCTACAATCGATTTTTTTTTCATCGTTTCAAGTCTCACACAGTTTTTCCAAGGTCAACATCTCCACAAAATGTTTTGTTGCGAGCAGCTCATAACACCTTTCACGTTCTTACACGGCTAATTGTAGGCCATAAAAGCGCGACAATCTTTGCTTGCTAAGAATTGAGAGCAAACCTTCGTCGCTTCCTTTTCATTTCACTTCTGTTTTCATTTTTCCTTGGTAGAAACGAAGACCTATATTTTGTAATTACCATCGCATTTCATAAATCACGCTATCATAGATCTTCGTATGTCCTGTGTAATTCTTACTAGTTTCGGCAACATCTCTTGGTGTAATTCTCTTTTTTTGTGCACACTAGAATGCGTCTCCAGCTAGCTGGCTGAGCTGCACAGTAACTTAAAATTTTCTCATATCTTGCCGCGTAACGCTTCTGTTTTCCATCATATTTATTCATCTTCTAAGCCAACAATTTTTTTTAGATTGTAATTATAAAAGGGTGAATTTTCACCGCCAAATATGGTGAACTCGGACAGTCCGTCGTCACCATTGGATAGCCCGTTAACGACGAAGTTCCCACTCTCTGTTGAGAACTTTCAAGTTCTTTTGCAAGGTTAGTTCACCTAAACAAGTTCATTTCTTTCAGAACTAGCATCGTGCATACTTTCTCCCAGCCATTTTATGTCTTAAGAATCATCCATCGCTGGTCTAGTAGTCCTTGCTATCTTTTTTTTGGTTTGTTTTTGACTGTAGGAGGTCTTTGAGTGGAAAACATCTGCGACTGTCTAGCGTTCGTCCGCCACTCACCTGCAGACTTTGGAGGCTCGCTCCTTTTATAAATCTCGCACTCAGTGAGCTGACGGCACGGGCCCTATTGATCGCCAGATATAGCCTCAGTCAACCCCCGCTCTTTCTTTCAATTTCGCCAGGTATTAGATGCAAATGCAAGGCCGTATATTTTCTTCTTGGAAAAAAATTCTCAAAATTACCTTTTGAAGCTTCCCTTGGCCTTACTGCACGGTTTGTTCATGCTTAGCACTGACGGCTTTGCTAATCTGGCTCATCTTTGTCTTTTTCAACAAAATTCTCCAACCACCGAAAACTGAATTTGTCGCGCTTTCACCAATTATTCTCTCTCTTTCATCGTCTTCTTCGCTTTCCATCGTGCACTCACATTTCCTGGGGACACTTTCATCTTTCGTTCATGCCAAACGTTTTCGTTCTCCCGCCCTCATCATCTTTCGCGCAAACGGGTTTATCCAGTTTCAGTGAAGGAAGCTGGCTTCTTCCCTGCTTTATGGCTGGATCGACGCCTTGATTTTATAATTTTCTCTATCTGTCGTGTACTAACTACTTGTTAATTCTAATCTTAATTGCGAAAAATTGTTTTATTTATTTGGCGTTTTAAAAAAAGGAATTGTCACTTATGCACTTATTTGTGCTTTATTTTATTTAGCGCATTCCTTTGCTGTTTGCGAACGAATTAGTACTCTCTTGATACCTTATTGCAGGAGATTGACAAATATGTAGAAGTGTAAAGAGATTTTTGGCAACATGAAATCAATCTTCGGTAAAATGTTCAAAACCTATGACTATCGTGCTTTATATCTGCGCATTGAGATATAAAAGATTGAACTCTCTAAATGCTTCTAGAATGACTAATGTTTCTTGTGGAAATTACTATAGTGATGTCATTCGGCGCTACATCAGGAAATCTTGCAATCATATCTTGCACGATCAGCTCAATTCACCGTGAAGCAATCAGCAAACCTCCAATTTTTTGTCTTTCAGACGGGTCCCAGTAATTTCTTTTTGTTCACTAAATTGATTCGACGAGGTTTTCTTTACTTTTGTGAACTTTTGCTTTGCAAGCAAAACACGGTTTTCATGGTTGAGATAATTAGTTCAGCGATACTCATCTTGGCTGTCTTTCGTCAGAATAGAAACTCATTAGTACTTGCTGCGCTAGTGAACAACATTAGCTTCTGGCTGTTTCTTTCGTGTCTGAGAATTTTCAAATATTCGTCTATAGAGATAAAAATAAAAAAAATAATATAGAGCTAAACGACGGGGCCGCGTCGATGGCGACACCTGGAACGACTACTTCTAGTACTTGTTCGGATAGTGCAAGCTCAGACAGCGGACTCACAGCAACTTCACAGAATTCTCGGAATGGTGGATGTTTTATTCTAAAGTTTTCTTGCTATCTGATGTGATAGAAAATTTTTAGCGACTCCATCTACGCCAAAGAAGCGGCGAAGTTCGTTAAAAAAGGATTTTCGCCAAACCGTATTCGAAAATGTGAGTGTTGTTGTAGAACTGAGAATTTCATCTGACACCCGTAGCTTACTTTCAGATACATTATCTTGGCTGTTCGAAAATTGACGACCCGTCAAATGAGGCCGAAATGCTTAGGTTGATGCGTTTTCTTGATGAACAGCGGACATCTGCCACAGTGACCGTGTCCTTAGCTGTTCCGCATTCTGCTCGAGGCATAGTTGTGTGCGTTTGTGAATTTCTATCATCTGTAGTCCAACAGCTCAATGATGACTTATAGGACTTTTGCTTTTTTTATAAGCATGAAATCCCGGCGTGAACATTACATTTGCGGCGTGCAAGTAATCTGTGTTCAAATAAATCAACTGCTCTTGTCCAAAAGATCTGTGTTTTTTATGAAGCTTACAGCCGTTGCTTCGCTTTTTAGTGCATAAATCGCAGAGGCTGTTTATTATTGTTTGCATTTATCAATCTTTCTATACGTCAATGCTATATGCGCTGACGTATAGAGACATAAATGAAATGCAAACAGGAATTGACCATTAAGATTTGTCTCCAACATCTGACTAGCATCTCATTATTAAGGCTTCGTGATGGTTCCGGCACCGAATTGACGTCATTTCCTGTGCAAAGAATTCGATTTTGTGTCAGAGGTCGCTTGGATTCGGCTCAGAAGCACTGCTTCAGCATTTCTTTCACTCATTACGGTACAGATGGGGAGCAAACACACCAGTGTCATGTGTTTCGCAGTGCTCAACCTGACACGGTAATTAAGTTCCCTCCTGACGTATCGTATCCGTGCTTAGCGAGAGTATCACTTGTCGCTGGGTGATGATATCATTTGTCTTCTATTACTTCGCTTTCTTTGCCAGTTTGCTCATTTTAGGCTGGTCGAGCTTTGTATTGCTTCTCTCAGGCCTTCAGTAATAACGGACCCGCATGTGTGGACGGGGATGAGAAGAGGATGGAGTTCAAATTCGAAGCATATCTTGAAATCCGGGTGAGCTCTGCCACATTCTAATGATATCATCACATTTTTACTAAATGTGGGACATGTGCAGTTGTGTGCGAAATCCGCTTGTAGAACGTCCATGACACTCCAGTTGCTTGGTTGTTGAGATGATCGCTAAAAATATCACTAAAAAAAAGAAAAGAACAAAGTGAAGCAAAAGCGAATAATTGAGTGTCATTGAAGTCATCTATAATTATCGTTCACTTCAACCAAGGGTCGGCACAGGTGGCTTATGAGCAAGCTGGATATCTTTTTTGGGACAAAAAGCAAAGGGAATATCATTTTTGTGGCCGAAAAAACACAGCATAAATTACGTTTTTTAGTCGACGTTTCGTTTTTTGGAGGGTTTTCTAGGTTTAGGGTCAAAGGGTTCAGGGAACTTCATAAAATTTTACGAAGTTAAGGGAGCTTCGTTTCTGCATTTTCGGAAAGCCAGCCGTGCCGAGCCCTGACTGCAACTCGTGTAAAGATTTGCTTAAAAAATCTCAAAAGGCTATCCATGCTATCTACGCATGTGCTGCATGCAGTAAATTATCTTACTCGGAACTATCTGAGCGTTATACAGTAAGATCAATAAAGGCTTTTTCAACAACATATTTGAAAATGTTGGAGAGATGGCAGATCTGCCTTGTTTACGAGATCGTCATGAACTTTGCTTTTTCTAACGGCTCAGCCTTTCAATTGACGTCGGTCTATAGACTGCGCGGCATTTACGACCAATTTCTACTCGCGCTGTGCGCTGGTAGCTTGCTAAGGGATTAACTTACGTGTATTGCAAGCAGAAGTTCTTTTTGTCCCTTTTTATCATAGTGATGTGACAGCGTCATTACCTCACATTTGCATTTCTTTCTTGGAGGACACAGCGAAATTTACTCCAGTCACTCAGACGCGCAACGGAAAACTTATGGCGGTGGCAAATGGCTTATCATTTTTAAGCACCCCTTTCGGATGCGGAAATGGTTTTTTCGTTGTAATGGCAGGGCATAGTTTTTTGAGTGCTCATTGTCTAGGAGGACATACGACCTCATGAAAGGCATGGGGTACCATACTCCTCGAAGACGGCGTCCCGGCAAAATGATGGGTACCTGGAAGCGTTGCAAAGTCAGGCTCCCCAGCTAATATGTCAGTAAGTGTGGGACGAAAAAGCGCGTCTGGGAAGCCTAAATCCACGTTGGAAGTCCTGCGGACCCCGCCCCTTCCTTCCGCACTCCGCCCACTTACACGTATGTTGCAGCGGGTGCGGACATGGAGAGCTTCGTGCGCTGCAAAGCCCAGGTATGGGCTCAGCATGGCGAGTAGGCTCGAGAAGGTGAAAAAGCGGAGAACGAAATTTTGCCGGGACACCTTTTTTAAGGAGACTCGAAGAAACCTCAAAAGTGTCTGTAATAATAATATATCCTCCGCTTCGCTCGATAAAATTCCTCAATCACTTTGAGCTGAAGCTTCAAATATCTACAAGTTGCAAAGTTTGCGAGATCCTTTCGAAGTTTTATATGGGATGTATAGTCCGATCCATAATGAAATTCGGAGAACGACTTTTATATTTAGGAGAACGAGGGATCTCACTCATCCCCTCACTGGGTTCTATGCCCACAGCAAAGTAATACGCTGAAGTTGCGAAGAGATCGTCCAAAGAGGCTCATAGTCCAGCTCAAGCAGGTGTGTTCGCAATGATCCTTTTTGCAAGCAAGCAAAGCTCTTTCCAGGTTTCCGGTCCACCTCTCACAGTCACGAAATGTTTCGGGATGCTGCTGGCAGCTGGTCGAAATTTACGACATAGTGACATGCAATTACTCGAGCTTGAAAGCATGGGACCAGGTACGGGGCTAGTCACGAACGAAGACACCTGCTTTGCCATTTGTCCGATTTCCTGCTTCGAGAACGTTTATCTTTAGGCGCAAATCCATCTGTTTATGTGATAAACGCCATCTGGGATCCTCGCGTGCATATATTTGACGTGTTAAATACTGAAACTCCTAGAGGTATAATGGAGCTTCTTTCACTCTTCAGAACATGCTTTTTCTTTCAGCACCTTATTGCTAAACAGCTTATCTTTGCAGAAGTTAAGAGCCTATTCAGATTCACGTGTGTTCCTGACGGTAGCCGCTGATGTCATCTTAGCTGAGGCTGGCGAACCGATCCGATTTCGAATTGAAGCGAAAGCCAGAGTATTTCATCGCGACGAGCGCTTTTACAAGTTACCACGAGTGGCCGTGCGTGAGGGATACTCGCTCACGCTTGAGGTTTGTCATCTACAAATTGCTTTTATTTCGACGTACCATGTAAGCTGTGATATTTGTGTGGATATCCACTAGGCTGTCCAATCTACCATATGCTCTAGCCAAAAAATAGCTCTTATAAAGTTTAGTGTTTTGAAGAGGAAGTTTTCGAACTTTTCCCGATTTTCTGTTTGCTCCGGTGTATTGTCCCTCAATTTCAATTTCGGACAAGTCCTCATCCACTAACTCTCAATTCAACAGTTTCATAGCCACTCAATATAGTTTCTTTTTGCATTTGTTGAGTCCTAAACATTTTCGTCATTTTTTCTCGATGTGTCAGGCCACTAGTACACATTCTTATGTGTACCTTAGCTTAGGCGAAAGTAAGGAAAAAATTCTGTATAATTAAGAAGAAAGTAAGTTAGCTTGAAATATCTGCAAATACTGTGAAAAGCAGCTTCTAGTTTACTTTGCTTCATCTTCAGAGGTGCTTTCACTGATAAATGCCAGGCACCAGGCAACTTCTGGTGGAACATTTTTTTTGTAAATTATGTCCGATATCTAAAGATCTGACGTACAGCACACACACATAGATAAACAAACAGAAATTCATCTTTACTGTAAAAAAAAGTAAGAGATCTATTTCAATGCAAAAGCTGTTCCAAAAATCAAATATTGCGCCATGAATAGTATGTATTTTTGTTGTGCTTTGAACTCGAAATCTGGCCAAAAGAGCCTAACAGCACTTGAGTCAGTTGTGTGTTGGCCTTTTATCAAGCGAAAGTCTTATACATTTGTCAAATTGTAATGCAGAGATAAATCTAGTAAAATTGCGTAATCCAATAAAATGTAGAAAAGTTTTACTTTGTTTGATCATCATACATATCTTGTATACAACTATGTAAGTGTTCTTTGCTGTGAAGAATTTATGATAGAGGCTTGAGGTGACGGCGCAGTGCATGTTGGCTTTTTTTCGTATGCCTTTTTCCGATATGGTGATTTATTGCAGTAACGAGCTCTTGGTTTTATTGTTGAAAAATTTGAATATGTGCTGAAGCTTGCAGACTTCCACACCTTGCAATTTTTTTTCTGTCAAAGAAAGTAAGGGTTGGATTTTCCTCCTGAATGGTTAGTTCTTCAAGCATAACAACACGTTATGAGATCCAGGCGCAAAGGAAGAGTTAACCTAAGAGTCGGACATTGAGTACGTCACCATCGAAATTCTATGCTTTTTTGCTGCTGGTTGTGGAAGCGGTGCGTCAAGCTTTGCCATCAACGGCGCTCATTTATTACATTCTAAAGCATTCAAATTCTCTTGCTGAATCTCAACGTCTCTAAATTCTGGCTTGCAGTATATGATCAGTGGCTGATAATCAGCTAAAATTTATATGTTGCAAAGATTTTGATCCGTTGTCTGCTGTAAATTTCATTATTCGGATAAGGCAAGTATTCCAGCATCATAACAATCTCTTCTGTAGGTCTCAATTTAGTTTCTATGAATTGTGAAAAAAACCGATGTCATTATTAAAACATCCCTTTCTATGTAGTCAGTGCATACCATTCCTTCTCACTTTTAGTGAAAATGTTTTTTGTATTCAAAATTGTCCTTAATTAATTTTCTTTGTTCCTGAGTGTATCCGGACCTCCTAGTTGCGGTGTATAGTGAAGCGTAGGTTCTATGGGGATAAGGTGAGTCTCATTTTAGAGAAATGTGGCTAGTTCCCACCCTCAGTGGTAACAAGATACCAATCCGAAAAAATTGCAAAGAGTATCTGCATTTTTTGGGGAGGGGAAGGTCGAAAGTAAGAAGGAAGACAGTCACCTTTGTATGTTTGCTCTCTGAAACATAGTGACGAAGCATAAAGAGGAGCACGGTTGGCTAAGCTCTACCACCGTCAAAAGGCCAGGAAAGCGTCAAATGTTGTAGATATTTTGAAAGACTTTGTTTGGGATTTGACACCGCGTTTTTGATCTGAATTAGCTTGCATCTTTCTTTGTTCCTTTTTCTTTTCAGTTGATCAATGGCACTGAGCGCACTTACGGGGAAATGCTCTCTTGCGCTTCTTGTCCAATGACGAATTTGAAAATATATTAGTCACTTGCAATCTCCTCATGCACCAACACTTTTGGATCGGAAGAAGCCCTAGGCTTCTACTATTCTATGTGTTTGAGGAATGAAGTCTTATTACACGTATCATTTTTGTAATTAGGCATTCACTGAAGTGTGCTGAAACCAAGAAAATTCTTATCATCTTGGGTTTCCAACTTGTTCGATCACATCAAATTTTTCATTTCATGCTGCTTGCTTTTCTTTGGACGCCTACACCTACCAAGAACGATCACCGTGCCCAAATTGTACTTCTTGGTGTTTGCTTTTTCTCTCTACTATCAGAATTGAATAAATAGTCAGGATCCATCGAACAGCTAAATCCTCTATAAGTCTAGGTACACTTATTTGTTCGTGCGTACGTGCCCTCCAAGCTGTCAAAACAGCACTTCACAAATTCTTTGACCCATCATTCGTTTTCATTAATGTAAAGTATCGCCTTGATTTGATCTTTGGGAAATTCTGTCATAGCGATAGAATTGTTCATCTAACTTCATCTAACTGTCATCGATTCTGGGAGTAGTATACTCGGAAACGCTTTGCACATCCCATCAACAGATTTATACGTCTAGCTTCATATCCTATGGGGAAATCAAACCGAAAGAAAAAACAGTTCCCTAGCTTGTTACTAAACTATGCGTACGTTCTGAGTATGATAATCTCAGAATCGATTTTATGTTCGGTCTTCGGCAGCATTACAGCAGCAAATCGGTTTTCTCTTCTTGAACATAAAACTGATCTAGTGAATGGTTTTGCTCAAATTTTACTATTTGCAGTGTTTTGCATGCAATGCGTGTATGTTACATTCAAAGATCCAAAATGGTCGTCATACCTGACTTGCAGGCGAAAGTGGTATAATGTATTTTGTTGATAATTTGGTTGCAGTAAGAATGATCATGTAGCGTTGTCGAAGGGAAATAGATTTAGCTTTTCGAGAATCGTTTCAGTGAAAATTCGACAATGCGTCTCTATCTGTATGGATTACGCGTTCTTCGCAAACTAATATCTTCTAAGTTGGGTAGCTAAGGCTTTTAACACATCGCATTTCTCATTCAATGTAAAGAAATTTGCCGTTCCTGAGGCGCAGACAGGCTAGGGTATGCAGGAAATCACTTTTCTATGTTTGGGTGACATGAGCAATATATTCTTCTGACACTCTTGGCGAGTGCTTTGTTCATGGAAGCATCATCTCTTCGTGGTTATATTTGGCTAAATAGTAAAAAAAAATGAGTGGGTTGCTAAGCTTTATGTATGCTATGAAATTTGTTAGATATTTTTTTCGCATCTTATATTTTTTATTGCTTTCATATTTTCCTTCTGTCTCTTTGTTCGATGTAGCCTTTCAATCTGAAAGAGCTACTGAACATTTCCATCTTTTTATTCTTTTTTTCTCAGTACATTCAATTCAGTTTTTTGCTGCATGTCTTTCTTGAATGGAGTAGAAAAGTAGTGGTTTTCTTCTTAATTCTTTCTGATTTTCATAAGCGATCACTTCTGGAGGAACTGTGTTTAGTTATGCTCGGCTAAGCCATTCGAATGTTGATTATGTGTGGTGTGTCTGTGCGTCCCGTTTTCTCGCTTTTCTCCACCGCTCTTCTCTGCGCGTCCCGTTCCGGCGCGGTGCCTTCGTTGTCATCCATGTAGCACCCTCCACGAATGTATTCTCCACCCGGGTCCGTCTAACACCGAGCTGATTGGCACTCGGCCTAGACATCTCATCCCGCTCGTTGGTCCACCTCGCGAGCCTTGGACCGGTGCTTCTTTGCTCCTCACCGGTCACCTTTGAGCTGGATTACACGGCTGGCGCTACGCGTGCAATGACATCATCATCCGCATTGTTTACATGCTTTTATCGATTTGTCAAATCAACTCCCACCCGTGAGAATGGGAATATTTTCTTCTAGCAATATTTTGATGGTCATTCATTGCATTACTCTTCCGCATGCGTATGTGCTTGACCAGTTCTTCTTGCGTTTTTACGTGGTACTGATACTTGATCTAAAGCACTCTACTCGTTGCGTGCTCTGAAATGTCTGTTTATCAAGCCTGAATACTCATCAAAAGTGGTCTATGATTTTTTTTTATCTAGCATTAGCTTGTAATATGGCGACTAGAAAATAACCCTTTAAAATGTTATCCAGTGTATAATGACTGTTTCATACATGTAAAATTCGCCTACTGTCCAGTTAGTTTTTCATTATTCAAACGTAATGGAGCTTGCGCCTGGTTGATTTTTGGGTTAGGAATACGTTCAAAGCGTGAGAAGTCTAGAAATTACGAACGCGAAAAAATCCAGGACAGCGTAATACCATACTTTGATTTCTTTTCTTTCAGCGTGCAGAAGAGCCAAGCAACGGCGAGGCATCAGGAGGCAGCTTGGTTTTCGTTAAAATGGAGTCTGATACGGATCGGCTTTCCGCGAAACAACGCTTGGGCCGAAGTCCTAGTCGGATGCCCACTCAACTCATTCAACCAACAGGAGATGACGAATCTGGTGAGATGGACACGTAATTGTGTTAGAGTGCGTTTTCCAAACACACTGTGAGCGAAGAATTGCTACACGTGGCACTTGTCTTTCAAGCATCTTGCATGTATCTGTCTGTTCTCATCCAGCGGTTACAATTGACTAGATCTGGCTTACGTTCAGATTCTGACGAACCGCTTCTTTCGGGATCCGGAAATGTGAGCAAAGATTGTCCAGAAGAGCTGATGAAGCAGTGGACAGAATGCATAGAACAATGGAAGAAGAGTGAGGGAGGGTTGGTGTTTGGTTATATTCATCGGTCAATGTCTCTTATAGCATACGTTTAGCGAAAAGCCGGAAATTGTGTCGTCTCTAATCCTCAACGGTGTCCCTGACGTTTTACGTGGCGAAGTTTGGAGGCTGCTTGCTAAGGTTTCGCTTCTCCTATGTTTTTGAAGCTCAGCAAATCGCTAAGCGATGCTCTCTGCACACAGATCAAGCGATTGCTTGAATTTGGATCTCTCATAGAAAAAGTTTTGTTCAGGTGCATCTCGATCCAGAACTCGTCAATACCTATCATTTACTTCTAGGCAAGGTAACCTCTTCAATGCTCTGGCAGTTTTTCAATGAGAACTTCTTTGTAGGATTGCCCTTCGGAACAAGTTATATTGAGGGATATTCATCGGACCTTCCCAGCTCATGAGAACTTCAAAGAAGCGGGAGGTGAAGGTCAAGAATCTTTGTACAAAATTAGCAAGGTATGCAGTGTGGTTTTATCAAAGAGTTGGGCTTTTGCCGAAATAAATGTTCTAGGCGTACTCTCTTTACGATGAAGAAGTGTCATATTGTCAAGGATTATCTTTTCTGGCGGCCAGCCTTTTGCTTCACGTAAGTCTTTATGGTACTTATGCTTTGCTTTCTTTACTTTACTATATGTTTGATGATTTTTTGAATTGCCATGTGAGGTTGCTGTTTGCTGAAATTTACACAGTTTTGATCCCGTTCTATTTTCTTTTTTCCTTGACATTCATTGGTCGTTTGTTGAAGTGACAATGCATACACAGATCTAAGCAATCATCTCTGGTGTTCGATCCGAATCCATTGTTTGTTCAAGTGGCTCCCTTTTACGTAGAATGCCATTGTGCTGTGTCACCAAACTGTAAACGTCGCATTATAACAGATAGGGGCTATCAGCTGTTATGTATTGAGTCGGTAAACATAAAGTATATGAGTTGAAGTTTTCTCAGGCTAGAAATCCAATTACGCTTTTTTCCTATGTCTTACACAAATCCCAATTCGGAGTTTGTGTGAGACCCGGCAATTTCTTTAATAGGTGCAAGATTCTCAATCATATATTCTCGAGGAGTACACCTAAAGTTGTTATAGAACTGGCGACTGAGTGTCGATGTGTTTCGTCTTGTTCCATTCACACTGAATCACGTTTTCAGATGAATGAGGAGCAGGCGTTTTGTACATTGGTAAAGATAATGTACGACTATCAATTGCGAGACTTGTTCAAATTAGGCTTTGATTCACTTCATTTGCGATTTTACCAACTAACACGGTTACTAAAGGTGAAGTCGGAATTCTTTGACACTTATCATTTTCTTAAAGATATTGTTTAGGAGTACGAAAGCAATCTAGCTGCACATCTTGAGCATATCGGCGTTGAAACGCATATGTACGCTTCACAGTGGTTTCTCACTTTATTTACAGCAAAGTTTCCACTTCAAATGGTTTTCTTCATAGTTGATCTCTTCTTGAGTGAGGTTTGTGAAAATGTGCTTTCCTACCAGAACTGTCCCACTGCTTTCTAGGGAATGAACACAATATTCCATATATCTTTGGCATTGTTGCATGATGCTGCTGCAGATTTGTTACAATTGGATTTTGAGGGCGCGTTGAAGTAAGTTTTTCGATAACGATTATACCACGTCTTCTACCTTATCTTCATTTCCAGATACTTTCGCGTAACACTTCCCCGCAAATACCGCACAGAAACTAATGCAAAAGCGCTGATTCATCGAGCTGTGGAATTTAAAGTGAGTTATATACAGTTCTCCTTCTCACCTTTTATCTTTTTTTTGCGTATCTTCTTACGTTACGTTTGTCTACGAGGTGTTTGGGTTATCAACAAAGCTTTCGTCGTTTTTCACTTTTTTCGCCTTTACATTGCATTTCATTCTGCTTAGTTAATTAAAGGTTGCTGACACAAATGTTATTGCGCTAAGGTTATTTGTTGAAGCATCAGTTTGTTGAATGTTGCACAGAGTAGCTGGTTTTGCGAGTGTGGTCGGTCTGCGCCAATACGACATTAACAATTTACTCTGGAAAGAAGCCTGTACTATTTCGCGCAGAGGACGATGATCTCGTTTTTAAAAATGTTTCCTTTTCATCGGATCATAGTCTCAAACTCTGCAGCGTTCCTCCTTTGCTCAAGCTAAATTCGAAAATTGCACCAACTTGTGCAAATAATAGTATTGTGGAAAACACCTTATGTGTTGTATCTTTTTGTTTACGTAAGGTGAGGGCTCTACTGTTCATTAGAACTGTGTTTAGCAGAAATTGCCGAATTTCGTAGCACTTAGTTCTTGTACATGCCTTACTGAAATTCGTACCGCATCGATTGACAAAAATTATATACGTTTCTATCTTTCTGTAATTGCTGCAGACCGCTCTTGAGTGTCTCGTGTTTTTATCCTCACATCTGAAAAAGCAGATCATCTTGTACTTTGTTTTGCTCCATCTCCACCTTTTCTACGCTGTCGATGAGAACACGTAATCATTATCACTCAGTTCAGCCTGCAATCTAATTCATGTACCTTTTCAAGTGTGATTCATTGAAATGACTCGTTAGTCTATGCCTGGGCTTCCCTTTTAAAAAAAGTCGCTTGGTCTGCAACAATTTGAATTCTTCACCTTTGGTGACTGTAAACTCTGTTGTCACCTTCAAAAGAATATACATAGTTGCACTCGATTTTCTCTGATGTAAAAAAGTCAGGTTTTATGTAGCACAGGGAGACAAAATGTAAGCAGCACAGACAACTAGGTGGTAAATGGCTCATTAACTGGAGTGGCAATCCACTATCGCAACAAAATTGTGATGGGAGCGATGGGGCATGCGCAGGGCAATTTCAGTGCAATTTGTGAAAAAGCGTCGCGATCATGTGCTGACCGTGTCAAACAGGCGCCATTAGTCACCCCTGATTCATCCTCTATCTTTCCAGCTGAAGCACAAACGTTTATTGAAGTACGAGAAGGAGTATCTAGAAATGAAGGAACGAGAGCGTGAGAATGAGGATCCTCTTGTGAAACTTCAGGTAATAGCTGATTTTTGTCAGCCACTTTATCTCTCCTGTTGGGTCTGTACTCATTTGCTATAAAAGGAATTGCTTCTTTGTAGAAGGAAAATGCTCGGTATTGCGAGACGATTCTTCGACTTGAACGCGAAAATGATGACCTCGCACATGAGCTTGTCACTAGCAAGATTGAACTGCGACGGAAACTCGACACTGTGGAGGTATTTCTGCTACTTCATGCTGTATATTTTCTCACCAGACTTTTTTCTTTGATCTTTCTTTCAGTTTCCTTTTTATCAAATCGTAGTTGACTCTCTTTTTTAAATCAACAGAACATTTTTCTTTCTTTCCACTTGAAACGTCAATACTTTGCATTTTCAGTTTGCTGGTTTATGAATTCTTTTCTATGCCCATTTCTCAGCCCAGCACTGAACATACTTTTTATTTAAGGATCAACTTGAAACATCAGCAAACACTATCGAACGTGTGACAAGACAGAATGAGGATCTCGCAGAGGAAAATCGTAATCTGCAGCGAGAGTACAACCAAGTAAGTTGTCTTAAGTGAATTTGTTTGATACAGTACCAAGCTATAGAACGGTAAAATTACCGCGCGTTTCGTTTTTTTAGGGATTTTTCATTCAATTGTTCATATTGGCACGATTTTTTTCCAGATAAAAGAGATGTACCGTAGAGAGGTGTCGCGGTTGGAAGAAGATGCAAATCGAGCGAGTAAACTGCTGGCTGAATATAAACAATTGTTCTCACAGATGAGTCGGAGGTTAGTGATGACATTTTTGTTCTATTATGTGGGAAATATATATACTGTTTGCAGATGTGACGCTGAGCGCGAGCAATTCCAAACTCAGAAACGTGCCATAATTGTGAGTCTTGCTTATGTGTATTATTGCTTTCACTAAATAGTATTGAAAAGCAAACGCGTTTGGGAAGGAGAAATTCCAAGTTTTGTCAAATTTTTTATGGTTATAAGCTGTTCAGTAGATGCCTTTTCTGAAATATACGCTTTTTTCCTCATTCTCCTCCTTTTCCTCTTAGTTCACTGTGAGTCACCACAAAATTCCGTTTTTGAACAGCTATTGCTACCGAATAGCACCATGTCCATGTTAATATTCTGCACTAAATACTGACCCTTCATGGAAAGTTTTGAATTCAGCTAGTTACTTTTTTCATCTATATAGTATAGTAAGTGTCAATGTGCGCTCTTCATCATAACTATTGAATAATAGTGTATTATGAATATATCTAATTAAAATGAAATTGATTACAAGCAATCATAGATGAGATTTGTTTGTAGGAAAATTCGTGCACCTAGTAGTGAAAGTTTATAAAAAGGTACTGTAAAATTGCTGCAATTAGCTTTCTATCCAGTCTCGGGTATCAGCTTGTGATAAATGCTGGCCAGCTGTCGAAGAGTGGGAGGCGAATCGAAGTCCAGCTCGAACTCCGCAAGATGGTCCGGACCTGCTTTCACAGCTTGAAGAACGAGAGGCTCATGTGAAGTAAGCTACTCTTTTTTCTATTGTTTCAGCGTGTATAGTTTATTTATTTAACTCCTCAATTATGAGCGTGATCTTGAACCTTTCAGAGCTTTGGAGATTGACCTCGCTCAAACTAAACTAGCGCTCGTTGAAGCAGAATGCAAAAATCAAGATTTGACCCATCAGATGATGACTCAGAGTGAGAGCGATGGAAAGCGGTTAGTCTATGGTTTTTCATTCTGCTCACATCTCTTTCTTTGTAGTATTACCAAGCATTAGTATAAGTCTAGCTTTTCCTCGTTAAGTCTATGCGATAAGGTTTAATCTCAACTGATAGTGTCTCTACCATCGCGCTTTACTATATTATCGTGTCAGCATAACGTAATTACAGCTGCGTATTTCCTTCCAGAATGATATTTGTGCAGGTTTTCTTTTCTATTCAGGTGGTTCAAGAAAACGATATCATCTTTGCGGGAAGTTGGCTCATCATTGAAACAACATGAACGTTCCCATAGCGTTGTTTCAGTCGTTGATCAGTGACCATCACTTTTGGTTTAGAAGAGCCGATATTTGCATTAGTTATTGCATAGTATAAATAATACGGGATGCATTGATTTTCACATGTCATTTCTTTTGTTATGCTCGTTTTTGTCTTTCAGAGATTAATTTATTACTCATCACGGGCTGTGCATGCACAATGATTGATTTATACATTATTAATGATATTTCGTATATGTTTCTATCTGGTTTCGATCTTGTGCAATTGGGAACTGCAAATGCTGAATCAAATAAATATGATTTTGAACTTGTTCACATGTTTTTGAGTGTGTTGGATGTCTCAGGTCCAAATGCGCACTGTACTGAAACCAATTGTCTCTACTACTTAATGTGAGCGCACCATTACTCACATTTTCAGTTTTGTCTATAACATAATCTGCTTTGATCTGTGTTAATACCTTTATTGCTTTCTTAATCGCTTTGAGAAATTCGTGATATTGGCATTACCGTACTGCTACCGTCATCCCACTGTGGGAAAGTAGTGAACAAAGTGAACACTATAATCGTGATCAGCACGTGAAATAACTTCAAAACACGGTTTTTCATGAAAATCCATGACGTTGGGTTTGTACAGAATGACTACCGTAACCTTACCGTATACCGCCAAAAACTGAACTAAATCATACTTTGGTAATCAGCGCCTTCGCTAGCCCTTGAGGGGAAATTCTCGGAGACTTGTTTTGAAATTCTTTCGAAAAGACTACCATTTCGGACAATACGACCTACGGGTGGGTCGTAACTTTGACAAAGCAAAAGAGGCTCTGGTCCGAAACGGCGGTAATCGAAAAATCGGCCCTGTCGTGAATGTGTTAAGCGGAAAATCTACCGACTGTACGAGTACATGATCCTGACGGTAAAATGGGGAAGTTAGATAGTACAATCTACGGAAAATCTACGCGACTGTACGAGTCTTGATCCTGGTTAACGGAAAAATGGAGAAGTTAGATAGTACAATGACTGTCAATACCTCGTCTATCTTTTGCGTAAAAGGATGTTGACGTTATATTTGCCCCAACTTTATATAGTTGGTAATGATAACAGCATCTGATACTAGTGGTCCGACGCGTACGAATTGGTTTTCAGAAAACTGTTTATGAAAGCAAAATGTTCCTTATTCTACCTCCCTGAATCCTAAATCTGCCAGCCTAGGGTACACATCGATTCATAGCTTCAATGATGAGTGCCGCTCAAACTCATCTGTCATTTACTTCTCTCGAAAGACCCTTACAGTGACAAGGTCTTGATTGTATTCTAAGATCGAAAACTTCCCCTTTCTTGGAAGAATGGACAAAGTCGATATTTATCTCGAGTTGTGTCAGTTCTGGTATTTGCGTTCAACTTGGGACATTTTGATAGGTACTAGTGAACCACGCGACCTTATGTGTTGCATGCTAGGGAGCGTGGTAAATTTACGCTGCATCAAGTATTTGCTTCCTATACTTCCTTCCTAAACGTGCTCCTCAGCTCTTAATGCTATAAAACAGTTCAGCTAAAGCCAACTAACAATAAACACGCTTTTCGACTTCCAACTCAGTTCAAATGTATACCACATATCTCCTCACTTTCGTCGTTAAAGCCAATGGTCTATCTAAAGTTCTTATGGCCAGTGCGCCCATAGTTTGTTTTTAACAGAACTTCCCAATTTGTTGTTAACGATTGTTTTGTTATTCGGAAGTGCTAGCCTATCCTCCCAAAGTCTGACCTAAATGCCCGCAGTAAGCCCCTCGGGAATGCTCCTGGTAGCTCCAGCTTCCATAAAGCGTACCTTTCTCTTTCCTTTTGTTCTAACTGTTTTGTAGGACGAAAGAAATCTCGTCAAAATTTTTATGCCAGTTACCAAGATATTACTTCCTTTTTTCTCAGATAGACGCTCTCTTAAATGTCTGGTATCCAGTCCTTGACAGTATCAAAGTCTGCTGCAAGCGAAGCGCCAATAGCTTCCTTAGGGTGCGTTCATACTGATCCCAAAGTTTGGGAACAGTTCCAGCACAGTGACTGAACTGAGCACTGTGGTGGATTTGTTCCCGGACTACGGGATCAGTATGAACGCAGCCTTACCAATACTCTTCTCCAAGACTCTTTAAAAGTATACGAAGTTTCTGGAGGACTCCCTTAGCTGAGTTTCCTTAGGATACTCACTTCTTTTCCAGTCCCTGTTGAAAAATCTCTCAGGGTTCCCGTATTCCAGCCCGCCGTCTCGAGACTTTCACCACTGTCCGAAGTTTCCTCCTAACTCTTCCAGGTGAAAGCTAGTCTCGAGCCTACTCCTTCTCCGTATTCAAGGGTGCCTTAAAGGCAGCGTTTAGGCAAAACTAAACACAAACGCGCCCAAAAGCGCACCCGGCTTCCCGTGCTCAGCAGCCGCCTTCTCTGAGGCTCCAAACTATTTGATCTCATTTCTCATCTTTTCACGCATTCCGCGCTAAACCGAAAGCAGCTCGCTTCATTGACGTGCAAGTGCTACAGCGGAATGTGTATAAGGAGTGACGAGATCTGGTTGGATTTTGAATGCTTGGAGGAAAACTCACAAATTTCAAGACAATGGAGCGGCAATGCGGATGGCATACTCGCAACTATAAGATATTCGAACCATATCAGACCCCGCTACCGTATCTGGAGGATAACTTGCACAAGATTACATGCTTTTGCGTGCCTAGGAACGTGATGGATCCCCGCACATAACCCTGTAAGCCGATACAGTCGCCCGCTAAAAATCGTACTGGGGACAGGTGCTTGGATGCTGCCATCTTTCAAAAGACACACTGCTTTCGACCCTTAGCTTCTGTATGTCAAACACATTCTCTTCCGGTGCCAGGATTCCAAATTCTTTGCTATTCTCCCAAGAGCTTTCAGTACCAGTGCATACTCCTTATCTCTGTTTCTAGCTTTTTCGTTAACAAAGAGAATATCCTCTGAGTTCATATCATTATAGTGCCCAGAGCTTCCAGAACTCCTAAATAAGAAGGAGACTGACAGCATCTGAAGCTCACCTAAAGAGGCTACACGCTATACATCTTGAGGCGGTTTTTACCTGAACAAAGCAGAGAAGGAGAGGAGAGAGGCTGCCGAGGCTTGTATCGTCATCAAAATGGCCACTGGAGGCCGCCGTACGTAAAGGCTATCCTCCTTATCTAGTCAAAGTGCCCCTAGATTCAAGCAGTTAAGCGCATTTCAGCGCCCAAAAACCTTTCTCTGAAGCCAAGATGCCCAAGGTTTCCTCTTCCACTTTCCTAGATGTACTCAGAGGAAACCAGTCTGCGAACCCTGCTACAATGCGTCTAACGCGACGCGACGAGCGCCGGTAGTGCAGTCACACATCTACGCGCGAGCGCTACCATATCCGCAGCGTGCAGGAACAGTGCTGCGCACAACATCGCAGGACTTGTTCTTACCAGTGCACCTCGTAATGTTCCGTTTTTATAGTAACGTATTGTCATTTTTTTGCTTCTATGCTCTATGCTGTCTGCCTTGATACCGGGTACGATTTTCCGCAGCAACGAAGAAGGTATCGAATCGTTGACCGTTTTGCGTTTTTCCTCATGATGAATGATTGCGTTTTTTCTCATGATATTTTCATTCGCCTTCTTCGGATAGCCCCGTTTTCAACAAATAATCGCATATTGGAGTTTGAGTGAACAGCGCCAACGCGCTGTTCACTTGAACTGTTCTCTCAACCTAGACGATATACGACTACACCTTACCATATTCACCTTTGGCTGTGAGTAGGAAAAGCACCAGTCGTTCTCGGAATTCTCAAATGAAATGATTCAGATCACATCTTCTTTTGAAAAACATCAAACCTCCATTTTGTCTTCCACTCGCGCGGTGGTACTTTAAAAGATTTCAGGAAGTGCTGAAGTAAAGTTTCAGACAGGAAGAAATAGAAGCAGGACAGAGAATAAGCTAAGAAAGAAGCAGGATGGGTACTAAAACAAGGACTACGCCGCTTGTGTGTGGCACGGTTCTGCACGTTGCAGCAAACGGTAGCGCTCGCGCGCAGGTGTGTGACTGCACTTAGCGGCGCTGGCTCCGTTAGACACTTTGTAGGTAGGAGCACTGATTAGGATGCATACGCCCCTATACACCCTCAGCTTTTTTGTGCCAGAACCTATTTGATTCATTCAAAGATTTATGAGCGGAGTGCCGGGCCCCTCACTCCGCAGAACATCAAGCGCAAGCACATTTCCTTGTCTAATCCCCTCTGCAGATACGGTTTTTCTCAACCAAAAGCTAGAACTTTTGAATTTTCAGAAACTCTGTCGACACAGTTTCGCCTTTCTGTGTATGTCCCAGGTCGCCGCCTTGACTGTATTCTGCGCCGCGTCTGCGGAACGTAGACTTTCAACATGCCTTCACGCTCTCCAGCTTTCAAGCGCCGCGTAGACGTGGGTATATGGCCGTAGGATATGTCGCAGACACGGTGCAGGGCTTAAAAAGACAAGCGCATGGAACAGGAACTGCATCCAATGACCGTCAAGAGGGTTGTATAAACCTTCAAAAATCGTGAAAAGAAATTCGAATGCACACTACAAGTAGATACATCATTCTAGGCCCATATGCATCAACATCCCTGCGGCGCAAGGAGCGGCGTCCCCGTTATTGCTCTGCCGAACTTTCATCATTAAAGGCAGTGGATCGGCAGAATGAGACCCGTGGCAAAACAAGGTCACAGGGTAGGAGCCCCCATAATGGAACCTATGGGCCAAAGTTCGGCCTTTCTCTGCCACTTCTAATCCCCGAAATTTCAAAGCGAAAGCAGCGCTCATTTCTTCTCCTCTCCGACCCCGCCCACCCCACGGACGAGTGAACGCGAAGCCCGCCATGGCGAAGACGCAGTCGTTGCGGGACCCTTATGCTTATAGCATTGCGGCATGCGCGCTCTGACGGTGGAAGTCACTCGTCCATGGTGTGGGCGGGGTCGGAGAGGAGAGGAGATGAGCGCTGCTTTCGCGTTGAAATTTCGGGGGTTAGAAGTGGCAGAGAAAGATCGGACTTTGGCCGATAGATTCCATTATGGGGGCTCCTACCCTGTGACCTTGTTTTGCCACGGGACTCATTCTGCCGATCCACTGCCTTTAACACGTTTCGGACCGCGAAATCGCGCGCGGCGAAAAAGAGAATACTTTCAGCCGTTAGCCAACAAAGGAACCTTAATTGGTATACTGTGTGCTACATCTGTAATCAGCATGTCAGATAAGGTTCATACCAAAAGTTCTGAGTGAATTCGAAGTGTTTGAATTTTGTCGCCTGAGAAGGACTTCTGTACTTTCCTGAAAGATAGGAACAAGAACTGTTTCTGGTTGTATTTAAAAGTATACATGTTGTACACGGTACACATCATTATTGAAGCTACTTTTCTCTTCGGAATCGAAGCAAAGGAAAGTTGCGACGTCGCACGCGTTGTTCGCGTTGCCGCACTTCGTTACAACTGTTGTTGGATTTGTCCTCATATCTCCTAAACAAATATACGCGGCACAGCCTTACAGATTCGTTTGAAAAGGGGGAGCTTAGGCCTTTGACTTGATAGCCTTGGACAAAAAGAAAACCTCTCGCAAATACTAAAAAGATCCTTGAGGCGCGTGCCGCACCATGTGCATCACCGGTCCGAAATGTGTTAAAGGACACTTCCATCGCCAAAGAGATGTTTATGCACACGGGCTTTATTCTTACTCGCTAGGTAAGCTCGCTCTGAAGCACGATTTACCTATTTCTTGAACTCCCTCATCTTCTGCATTTTGAAGCAAATCTACTTCCAAAATTTTCACAGACAATGTATCCAAAGTTGCCTCCTAGACAGTTTTCATCAACGAACCCAATAATTTTGTCTTTTAGGTTAGCTAACCCACTTTGTTCGTTAGTGAATAATGGTCAGGTGGCCTTTTGCGTGGTTGTGGAAGCCACTGGGCACCCCTAATCCGCTAGTTTCGGGAGCACCGGTCTCCTGTATTGAACTACCCAGTCCCGACACACACTGAGTTCGTTCTCAAAAACCTATCGAACTCTAAAGATAAACGCTGAATTCTGCAAAGTTCTTTATCCATCCCATCTCGAGGCTGTTCTGCTTTAAGAGCCCACTGCTATCTCCTCAGCTTGAACGTCCCAGATCTCTTCTCTCATGTCTTTCTGTAGACGTATTCATCGACGAACCCAGCGGTATATATGGTTATGATTCTTTATATATTATATTCAATAACATTAGATCAATGAACACCAGCGATAATTCCTTATTTCCGTTACATCAAATTCCATTTGATCGTAGACTTCGTAAAGTTGGGTTTTGCGAATATCTTGCTTGATTCCCGATCTTCGAGCATAACGGCACCAAAACCCCAGTTCAATACATCCGCGGCAGAAAAAAGTCCTAGACACGGTTCACGATTACCGGATGATGGTGACCAAAATCACACCTATATCAACTGTTCTTGCTTTCCAGATCCTATTTTCAGTAAGCATGTCTTCCAACTCATCAATCCTTTCGGGATGAAAAATTGTAACTGAAAATATGTGGTTCGCGGAGCGAAAAAAATATGATATCAGAAGACCTGCAAATTAATAAATCAACATGCCCAGACCAAGCACATTTTTCAGCAATGCTGATACGATTTGTTCTAAATGGTGTACCTTCACGGCAGTGGCGGACCGAGGGGGTGGGACCGAGAATGAGTCGCGAAATTTTTGAAACTTACTTACATGGGCTAGGAAAATGTGTAAGTGACTTGCTTATTCTTGTAAACCATTCAAAGAATTTTCAAAATTTTTTAAAAAATTCAAATTAGCGTTGTAAAAAAATTTTTCGACCCCCCCCCCGGTCCGAAATCCTGGGACCGTCACTGCTTCACGGCTCAGTCGTAAATGTCATTCATTAAATGCAGCGGCTCGGCAGAATGACAGCTTTGGGATATTCATCGTTCTTGGTTCCCCTAAAAGAGCTAAGTCCAAGATTGTCCTTGGAGCTTCAATGAGTATCAATAACACACTTTTCCAGACGTGAAAAGTGCTATTTGAGCGGACGGCGTATGCCTGCTCTCTATAGCGCGACTGGCTCGTGAGTGGAGGCACCGTACCCACCCGTACCCACGAGCCAATCGCGCTTTAGAGGGCAGGCATATGCTGCCCAAATAACACTTTTCACGTCTGGGAAAGGGGGTTATTGATATCTTTTGAAGCTACAAAGCACAGTCTTGGACCTAGCTCATCCAAGGGAACCGAGAACATGAATATCCCAAACTTGTCATTCTGCCAAGCCGCTGCCTTTGACCCGAGAGGAACATCCCATGCTACATCTCATGAACGAATGTAATTTACATGCATTCGCACACCCGAGACACGTTCTTGAAACTCAAACAGCTTCCCCTTTTCTGATGCGTCATAATTCGCACATGATAAACGCATGAAAAACACAAAATCGAAGCATGAATATGTGAAGACTTACGGTAAAGTCACCTTCAAACATCCAGAAAAACGGAGTCATAGCGCAAACCTCGACAGCACGCGTGGTTATGCCCATAATATGATTTTGCAGCCTAGTGACAGCGATTTTGAGCGAACATTGCAAAGATACTTGAGTCAGCTCCTTCAAAACTGCATACAAAGCTCACTGCGGATACACTTTGCCCGCAGCAGAACTTCGATTCCCAGCAGCTTTTCGACAGCTAGAGCAAAGAATTGTTCATTGGACATCATAGAGACATAATCCAGCCGATCAAGATACGGCACAGCCTGAAGATTTTGATTGCTGAAACAACGAGAAGTCCTGAATTTTGAAACTTTCCGCAGAGACCGAGGGGTGCCTTCGGAACACAATCTTATAGCGAATTTATTATTTTCAATAGCCCTGAACACAAACATTGAGACGTACTTTCCATTACACTACTGCAAATCATGGAAATGCTGAGATTAACTGCAACAGCAGGCCATAAAGACTGACCCCATTGATCTCAAGTATCAATGAGCTATCCCAACGAGGTTCGCTTGAGCAAAAAGAGGGTTGTGATTTGGGTTGATTCTGCTGATAAACACATGACATGAATACCACTGTGCAAAGGTTCGAATGTCAGTTCGAGAATATGATAAAAGATATGAGAAAATGATATTCGAGAGTTTGTTCCCAACGAAAACAAATAAAAGGATCACAGGCCGTATCCATTGACAGACAACTTCTGAAGACCTCTCTACTGAGCAGTTTTACCCGAGTCTTGGGTATAAGCATTATTTGAGCCAGTTTGGCGATTTTCCACATGTTCATCATCGCACGCGCGGATACTCTAACGCACACCACGCATGCGGTGGCTATGCCGGTTGCGGTTGTGGCGGGTAAGTGGTTGTGGTTGTGTGTACTGCTGTGGAGGAGCTAGAAGGTCAAGAGAAGGTCAAGCTATTGTTTTTATGAAATTATTTACAGCTCGTAATACTCACGGCTCACCATTTAGACCTAAACTCAGTGTGTACGTAAGAATGACACAGATATTGAGCACCACCCCTTTCTCCATTCCCCAACCCTAACTACCAGTTTGAAATGGAAAACTGATTTTCAAAACTGATCTTTTTACTACCAACAATACTACCGACAATAACACTTACCTTGACGTACAGGCGGAGTGTGCATCAGCCATATCAAGCTGCGGTGGCTATGCCGGTTGCGGTTGTGGCGGATAAATGGTTGTGGTTGTGCGTACTGCTGCGGAGGATAATCAGGATGCCCTGGAAAGATACGAGCTACAAACGGAAGTTCTTCAAAACCTTTTGAGCCCACCATGAGAAGGATAACCTGGGTGAGCACCCGACCTTTGCTGCTGTACTGCATATGCATTAGGAGGCTGCCCCTGTTGGCCGCTGCTGAGGAGGACAACCTCCTGACTGTGGTGGGGCATTTGCGGCCGGCCGTGGTTGTCTAGTAATCGGGCGCACCGCCTTTCTGCGGTGGATAGCCTCTAAGGAGATTATTCAAAGTTACAACTAATCACCAAAGCCGAAAAAAGCCAAAAAAGGTTTTATCGAGCTGGTGTGGTTGAAGCAATTAAAAAAAGGTTAATAAACTATTTCAACCTATTCCAATATCTGAGTAACAACAAACCTTGTTGGGGGAAATATAAGCGCCTTGAGCCTGTGTCTGTTGGGCGTAGGATTGAGAAGGGTCAGGTTGAGGAGGATATCCTCCTTTCCTCCTTGGTTGTTGAACACCTGCAGGTGCAGGAGGGTATGTTTGGGGTGAAGCTGCGCAGCAGGAGGCGCTGCAGGCTGTAGTTGCTGTAATGCCGGAATCTACTGCTGCTGTACAGCTGAGGTCGTCCAGGTGTGGAAGCTAGAGCAGCAGCTTCTGCCGAAGTCTCATTCGTCTTTGCAGTCGCTGAAGATTTTAAGGTTACTGCAAAAAAGCACAGAAAAGAACTTCGAATAAAAACAGTCTGCTTCTCTAATGAGCTGCTACATTCAAAAAAGACGAAATCGCTATGACTCACGCTCATGAGCAGGCGGAACAGCTATTTGCACTTGTGGGGTCGCCTGAGGAGGACCATTCACTTGAAATCCAGGTGTTAACGATGCGGCAACTGAATCAAAGATAAAGACTTACTGTATCAAAGATAAAGACTTACTGTAGGAAGGAAAGGATACTAAGTAACTCACTTGCCCCGCTGCTACCATTTTACTATGTGCTTCGTGCTTAGCACGCTGCTCCACATATCTTAGCTGATTCATATGGAAAGCTTGTCGTTCAAGAATAAGTTGCTGGCGCTAATATTCTATCTAAAAGGAGCATAGCACAACAACAATCTAATTAACGATTTCAAAAAAAAACGCGAGACTGACTCACAGGTTCTCTTTCTGTATTCACAATTTGCTCTAACTCGTCAAAGTGCCGTGATTTCATTTCCAGATTTTTCATTTAAGTTTGCACTAACTGAGCTACTAATGACTTGATTCATCGCTCTTCGATGGTGGCGAGGTGCTGAATTTAATCAAACTACTAACAAACATTATATTCTAACGAGAAATCTCAGTAGAGAACTACTCTAACCTTAACTTTTACTGCGGCAGAGAGCGGCAAGAGCAACTGTAGCAGCAGCTTGGACATTTTCGCTTACAGCCACTTTGGCTTCGTGCTCATGGTAGCATCATCGGATTCTTTGCGTTCTCATCGTTCTCGCATCTTCTCGCTCTCTTCCTTCTCCATCTTCTCGTCAGTAGCTATAGCGGATTCGGACAGTCGTACGCTACCATCAGCACACCTGTTTTCTCTTCGTACGCTTGTACATTCCGCGCATGTGCTTCCATTATCAATGCTGTCATCTTCATATAAATGATTTCAAAGAGTGAGACCAGCACACCACATTTACTCAACTTACCTCATCTTTTATCTTGGCAAACTCTTCAGTTGCTGCCTTGGTAGCTGCTTGTGCGATCTTTGGACCGACCACGGATACTAGAAACGTTGGGCAACTCGACAAAGATATCTTCGAAGAGATCCTGGAAGAGAGGAATGAAAAACCTGCCACAAACAACCGATTTTTTAAGATAAAGATCGAAAAAAGGAAAAATTTCAGGCCAGGATGAATGATGGCGCTAACCTTAGATTTTCACGCGCGCGCGCTGGGACCGCCATGCGGTTTCCCGCTATGTGCACATTTTTGAATTGCGCTTACGATTCTTTATATATTATATATATTATATATATATATTATATATATATTATTAGATAGATATCGAAATTCGCATTTGTGTCTGTGTCTACTTTTGTCATTGTTTCTCGCACAGTCGCAGTCTATTACCACAACATATTTGCAGAAATCATTCACAAGTCTAGAATGGTCGAAAACCAGATATCGGTCGTTGCACGATTGAGACCGTGAGTTTCAAAGTTATTCGCCTCGCTCCGTAATGGATATTTAGCACGCACTATTAGCTTTCATTCTTTTGAAAAATCATCCATGCATTACATTTCATATCTCTTATATTTACAGTGGATGGGGAGGGAACCAGGAATGGGTGAAGAATGGAGAGAAAAATATCATGAGGAGAAACGGCACAGAAATCTACACATTTGGTATGGCACTCAGCATATTTTCTTACATTTACCTTTTCCAGCTGGGATTTATTGCTACAGTTTTTTTTCATTCAATATTGAATATGTTCATTTTCAATTTTTTTTGGAATTTCCGTGCTCTTCAATTAGCGATCAGCTCTAGAAAAATGTGATAATTAGGGTTACCTGTTAATGAAGAAGTTACTGGCTTTGTCATTGCTCTATTCAGATGATGTATTCGATCACCTGTGCTCAAATGAAGTGATTTATGAAAAAGTCATGGCTGGTCTAGTAGATGCAGCATTATCTGGTTACAACACTGCTGTATGTGCATATGGGCAGTCTGGCGCAGGTAAGCTTTCTACTAATGATTACCAAGGATTCTAGTCTTTTATTTTGAGGCAAGACCCATACATTGACCGGATCGGAAAATGAAAATGGCCTAACGGGTAACGCTCCCCAGCGATGAAGAGGCTTGCCCTAGCCGTGGGGGAAAATACTCCTCCAAAAGGAAACTGCATAAGAGTCTCGGATGGGCCGCCTCAGACTCAATGGATATAGGTCCGGTAACCCTTTCAATCCCGATAATCTTTGTTGCATGTTATCCTCGTCTCTTGATAGTGCGGAAGGTCGCCGTCAACTTAGAATGGTAGATACCGGTACAAACAGTGAACACTGTGGAAACAGATGCAGTAGAAATACATGTAAAATTTGTGACAAAATCAGATTCAACAATTATGTCACAAGCTCAACTACAAACTATTCATTCATAACGAATAAACCTAGTCACTCCAACTGTGACACTAAAAATGTGGTTTACCTCACTACATGTGGAACATGTAATTTACAGTAAGTAGGGGAAACTCATAAAAAAACATATAAAACAAAAACAAAAACATATACAACAAGCGTATAAAACAATTGCAACAAGTGCAACAATGAAAGCCATGGTAATTCTCATGATTGAAATTCACTTTATCCATTTGTAGCGTTGCAGGACGAAAACAAGCGCTTGCAACTGTTGGTCAAGGATTTACAAAGTAAGCTAAACGAAAAAGCAGAAGAGATTGTGATTCTGCAGGTGGGAGAAAAGAAAGTCCTATATCGTAAATTGAAACAAGAATTATCAGGGAACGGTGGAAAACCTCAAAATAAAAATGAAAGACAACATGGACGCTGAGCAAGGAACTAGTGAATCAGAAAATGCCATCGATTTTGCTGAAAAGGTAAAACAGGCTTTCGATAAGGCAATAGTGATGCGAAATCCTATGAATCGTTTCGAATTTTGGTAGGGTACTCAGTGTGCTTTTTCATTGCACTCACTGGCAACCTACCACAAAATCTGAGACGACAGTAGGAGGTAGTACTGTAATCTGGACAGTACTGTCCAAATTTTTTTACATCATATGAAGAAAACAAGGAAGTTAATATATTCAAGTACTACTGGAGCTAAAAGACATGATAAAAATATATGTATAATGATATGTTCTCTAGAATCCCAGTTGTGTTTGCGGGAGCACAGACTTGAGTGAGCCGAAATGGAGCATTACAAGGAATACCGCCTACCTAAGGCGAAGGTAGGCTGGTTATCATCATATTGCATAAATTATTTCAATTTTTAGATGTCGTAAGCCGAAATGTCATAAATTTCTTCGCTCCATACAACGCCAGAAATTAAGCAATGAACAGGAACAAATGGAATTCCGATTGAAGCACATGTCTGGTTGAAAGGTATGTTGTTCTCAGCTTGAAGAACGAGAAGCTCATGTGAATTAGGACCTGTTTTTTCATTGTTACAGCGTGTATAGTTTATTTCATGATTGAGTCTTCGATTTTCATACGCCATTTCTTTTGTTATGCTTGTTATGCTCACTTCTGTCTTTCATATTCTCATCACGGGCTGCATTCACAATGATTGAATATTATTAATGCTATAGTTCGTATTTGTTTCTATGGTTTCACTAGTGCAAAGTAATCTCTGTTCAGGTGGTTCAAGAAAACGATATCATCATTGCGGGAAGTTGGCTCATCTGTTTCAGTCGTTGATCAGTGACCATCACTTTTGGTGTAGAGGAGCCGATATTTGCATTAGTTATTGCATAGTATAAATAATACGGGATGCCCTGTTGTGTTTGTATTTAAATGTTATTTAAGAAGTCCATTACTCAAACAATCGTTTCGTTGTTATTGTTATAGCATTATTATTGTTATAGCTGTTTTAAAAATAAAGGTTTAATTACCCAAGTTTGAGGTACCATCCCGCGTGGCACTCAGACCGACCTACCGCTAAGCCAACCTTTGCTTTACACATTTTCAGTTTTGTCTATCGCCAAATCTGCTTTGATCTGTGTTAATACCTTTATCGCTTTCTTAATCGCTTTGAAAAATTCATCATACTGGCATTATCGCATAGGAAGCATAACCTTGTCACGATTTGTCTACATCAGATGATGACGCGCTCACAGCTTCAGTCGTGCTCTTTCCTGAAGCTGTTCCCAGCGAATTTTTGACTATGCATTGAAGACCACGCTGGACAACACAAATTCGCTTCCCACTTGCCAACGGATGTTCGCGGGTAAGGAGCTTCTTACATCGCCTCTTTTCACTTGCTCTCGCTGTTCTGCTCCAATTATGCCCGCTCTTCTGTCAAAGAGCCTAATCCAGAGGGAGACCAATACTTGCAGTTATCATACGTTTTTACATTAAGAAAGCTTGCACGTTCACTTTGAATCTTGCACTGACACCTGTTAGATCTTCCACTGGTCTTAGTTTACCAAGAATCCTTTACTTCAAAAAGCAAAGACTTCGGTGTTTTAACCACTTCATATTGAAGACTTAGGAGCAGATGCGCCATATGAAGCTTTACATTTGCATTTCATATACGAGGAAATTTTCTACATCATTTGCGTACCTCTGTCGAACAAATCTGCATGGTTTCATAAGTGCTGTCGAAGCATTTCCGGAAAATCGTAATTTCCTACCCTAATTGGGTATTATTGTTGTTATATAAAAGAGATAATTGTCTTTGTGGCAAGCCCTAAGCCGCTCTTCAAGAAAAAGAAGGAAACTCCCGAATATGGGACCAAAAGAACTTGGTCATTCAAATTTCGTGTTTCATGAATTAGGTAGAATATATGAGAAAAAGACTTGGACCATTACATAAGTTTCAATGAATAATCTTTCTGTATGAGCAAAGTTTGGCTTATCAAAAGTTTCTATGAAGGACAATTGGAAATATCAGTATTAGTTATTTCGCGAATCTCGCTAAAATCATAAATATTTATCGAGCCGTTACTTTAGCATGCTTTGGCACGAGTTTCGCTCAAAAGGTATACATCAAACTCATAATATGATTTTTATTAATTCCCACCGATTTATGGAAGGCTAACACAAAAAACCAGACTTTGATTGACCATATTCTTTGCTTCTATCTGGCAGGTTCTTTTCGTAGTAAGCCAGTTGGGTGCTAAGAAAAATAGTGACCTGCTCCTTCATGAGTGACAAGCAAATCAATTAAGATATAGGGTAATTACGGAGATAAACTAGTTTAAAATTAGTTTTGTGACAGTTCAGTACAATACACCTTTACGTCGTCTTGAATTTGCCCAAAACACTTAATCGTCTTTTGTAAGCGTTGCGCAGTTTCCAAACAGGTAAGCAATCGTTCCAGGCTATATCTTGTGTTATACATTTCAAACACTCTCAATACGGATTGCAAAATGGAGAAGTCTTGCATAGATTTATTTTGCAAGCATCTTGATATGTGAGAATTGATATAGTACCTGCCAAATGTTTTTTGCTCATATCGTTGAGGCAGAACATTCGCTGTTTAGGGTACCGTCATTTAACTATAGAGCGTCGATCATGTTTTAGAATAATCTCAACAAGTGCGATACAAAATCGAAACTCGCTTCAATGCGCCTCTCATAGGTTCTCCCAGCTTTTGCGTATCATGCAAAAAGTGGATTCTCACAGATTTGGTAGAGGAATTTGTGCTTCAACTACAAGTAGAAAGCTTTCACAATTGCAGAAAAATTCTCATTTGAGTACAAACAAATCGTTTGTACGGAAGTTGTAACTTACTTTTATTTGGAAAAATTCTTTTTCTATCACCGAGAGAATCTCTGTATGCTTTATTTGGCTTATTATCTTGATTGTAAAGCTTCCTATGCCCACGTGAAGTGCCTCAAACAATCTGGTTCTGCCCATTAGAGTGTTCCGTAATAACAGTAAGCTGCGCCTTTCGCCCTTGATAGATTTCATATTGTGTTGATGCAAAAATAATGGCCGTTTTTTCAAGCCTTTTTTCAGGACAACTTTTCTCTATCAAAATATATTCTTTGAAAGAGAAACAGCACACGAGAAGCATTTTTTATGCTCTATCTAACAGCGGTTGAAGCGATCTTCTATCTGCAGTTTCAAAGAGTTACCGAACTTCAAATAACCGCATGCAAAATCAGAATTTCATTGCATTAAATTTTCCCGCCAGAACCTAAGCGCGAATGAACTGCGCGTTTTTCGAAAATTTAGCTAGTGTATGTATCCAAGCTGAGATATCGACACCTCAACACGACTAGTCTTTGTGGCCACTCTGAGGCCAATGGACTCAAGAAAGCTATCATCGAAGCTTCTCATTCCTGTAAGCGCAAGGGTAGGGCATCTTGTAAACAGGATTTGTAGAAACATCATCGGTACGCAAAAAATCAAAAAAACTAATTTGAAACTTCGAGGCCTATAGAAAAATGTTGAAAAAAGTGATAATTTCAGAATTTAATTTTTTTTGCAAACCTTCTTTATCAAGCCCTTTTTATCTCTTCCTGTACTACTGCGGCTACAAGGTATGCTACTTGTCATTTATACTAACATACTTCAAAGGGAGTTATGGTTTGTCAAAAACAAGGTTTTAGGGAAAAAACTTTTTGTTTTCAAATCCAAATTTTTCCGCCCTTTTGTGATCTTAACATAATTTGATGAGCGCTGTATTGCAGAAGGTTTGCTGCTTCTGATGGTCTTCATTGCATTGAGAAAGATAGAATTTTTTAGAACGTTATAACGGTCAAGGTAAAAATTGCACAACCGTCATTTTTTTTGCATCAACCTAATACTTTGAAAATCAGAAATCTAAATAGATTTAGATTTCCCCGTCTTTTTTACTACATTGATACTTCCGTGCAGATAATCTCGCTGTCCCTCTTAGTTGCGCTAATCACAAGTTTCTAAACCCGTTTATCTCGTTTGCTATATAACACAATCGGCCTTTGTTTGCCTACATCTGAGTTTGACACTTAAGTCAATGTCTAAAATACTTTATCATCTACTCTTTATTGTTTTGATGAAATCAAACGGGCTCTGCGTTTATTCATGCGCTCCAGTGCGGACACCGGAAGACTTAGGTAAGGTATTTCAAATTCATGCTTCTGTAATGAATTGTCTGGCGTTGACTCAGTCTAGAATTTTGTGCTTACAGATAACATATAAAAAATTCTTGGACGGCTATATTGGAGGTCAGCCTTTACAGTAACACTGTAATTTTAGCTATCACTTTATTCCGCTGCTTCAAATATTTCCTGTTTATTGAAATCTATCTTCAGTTTGAAAGCACGTGCTGCATCTAAGTCGTCAATGTTTGAAATGAGATTCATTTATCCTTCCGTTCCATAATTTATGTAATCACTTCGCTGCGGAAACGGCTGAGTGAATTAGATTTGACAGCTTGTCTGACGTAATTACGATGGAGTGTTTCTCCTAAAGGATTGATTCGCATAATTTTGTAACTTGGTCCCGTATTCGACACGGACCAAACTATCTCGTGTTTTTTATGTAGCTCAGCTTGTATTGCACTCAAAGTTCTGAAAGATTGCATAGTTGCATGGAGGTGTATCCGCACAAATTCACATAATTTCGTAGAGAAACTAATTAATGACTCGTCTTTCTAATTTTTGAAAAGCACGCATTCAAAAATCGCTTACAAACGAGGGGTGCTATTTTTTCAAACCAATTTCAAGCATGAATCGGGGAAAAAGCTTTAGGTTCAGCTATCGACTGATCGGCCAAAACTCTATGATGATGTTTTCCTCTCCAGAAGTTTGATAGCGTTTCGCAAAATTAAGTGAGTTTTGTGCGGATTCCTCTCTATGCGTACTATCTTCTTATTTTAGAATTTTGGACATTGCAAGCTGAACTCTGAGGCAGCAAGTTGGTTTGATACGTGTCGATTGTTCGAAGTAGCTGCGACTATAAACAGTTTAGTGCTCACTGTTTCTATACATCCGAGTTTTTCTATTTCTAGCGCTTCAAGGCCAAAGTTTTATGTGGTCAATAAATATTGTACGCAGAAGGTTTGATTTATGGCTGAAATCACAGAGATCATGAATGCTGCATTGGCCAGTTTTGTTACAGTCTGTCGAGTCTTTCATGTGTTGTGAAGTATAATGAATAGTTGTTTTAGTTGGAAGATTCACAAAGGTATGCATAAATATGTTAATTACTGAATTTACAAGTGAACGAGATGTTGCACTTTGTAATGGCTTGATACTTTTACTCGGCGGTAAACGGCAGAACAATCGTGAGATAAGAGAAGCAGGATAAATCCAAGTTTTTAGAAGAATAAAGCCGATTTTTTACTCCATGCACTTGTTATGAAAAACTCCTCCTAGCGCATTTATGGAATTTACCATATTTTGGATTTATGCTGTTTATCGCTTTACATACTATATGGCATACGGAATTTATGCATGTAGCCAATCAAGTCTTCTTTCTTATTTGTTACAAATCAAGCAAAACACTTACGGGGAGTATAAACCAAACGAATATTTTATCTGGAACATCTTGAACAGTGTTTCAATCGATTTTCTTTCAAGAAAAGCAATCATTAATCAATACTAGCATCTGTATTCGACTTTATCACGGAAATGGGTGGGACATCTAGGTGTCGTAGCGAATGGAAGTTAACGATTAGAATGGGAGTCATTTTGCTGACGTAATGAATCTGTGATATGCTCTTGACGTGTATTTTAGATCATTTTAAGATTTTTGTGTTTGTTAACGTGTCGAATCTCGTGAAGCTTCTGTGGGAACATTGTAGATATATCAATGCACTGTCTTTGCTATAGTGTATCACAACACACTCTATAAAAAGGCTGTTAGATTCAATGCAACCTTCCAGATGACTTGTATCCGCTGAGTTTTGGAGTTCTTGATATAACTTTTTGTGACGATCGTGATTAACTGAATCTTTGCAAAATCTCGCCGATTTTGCTTTTTCTCGATTAACTGTCTGTTTCTGTTTTCGTCCTGGAGATTGTCCACCCCACTAACTTCTCCGACCTTATATGATCTACGATCTGACATATTTTCAATGTGCAATATACAAAGTGTGTACTCACCAAGTCTCTTCTTAATTCGAAATCTATCAACACTTTTTCTGTATGTTCATGTTAGTACAAGACTATGTCCTTTTTGCACCTATACCAAAGCTCATCGAGTATGAGTAGAAAGCTGCGAATATTTCTTCGAAGCTCTATTTTCTGTCAGCTGACAAGTTATAGCTAATTTTTCATATCATTTACAGTAATTTTGTAAAAGTTTCTACCAATAGAGGTCGAGCTAAATTGCTTTATTTATATCCTTATTGTAAGTGGCTTCAGTCAACGATATTTTGATTATGTTTACTGACAACCTCAGACTACCGATCAGTTCTACCATGTTCTTGTTCTTGTCTTCTCTTCTTCAAAAAGCGCGCTGGCTGCGTTTCAAAAAGAGGTAAAGAATCCGATTTTTTTTAACCTGAAAATGATGAGCTAGCCAGGAGTTCATAGACCTGAACGCACTCATCACTCTCCTTTTTTCGGGGTACTTTTTCCCAGTATATCGCTATTTTCTCGAGAATAGCGTATTTGGTAGCTGACGCCATCGCGCATTAAAGGCAGCGTCCGGGCAAAAAGTCGATTTTGAGATTTTGTGCTTACCCGGGCCTATTCGCTATGCTGAATCCGAAAATCACCACTAGAGAGCGCGAAAACGGCGAAAAAGGTGTCTAACGCAGGAGGAAAATCAGCAGGGGGCGGAGCGTCCGAGAGGGTGGATTCTCGCTCCCAGCTTCCGGAGCAATCTTCTCGGTTCCGATCTCAAATCACTCGTTTGTACTTGGCCGGTAGCGATGTTAGGGCGACTAAAGGAACCGAGAAGATTGCTCCGGAAGCTGGGAGCGAGAATCCACCCTCTCGGACGCTCCGCCCCCTGCTGATTTTCCTCCTGCGTTAGACCCTTTTTTCGCCGTTTTCGCGCTCTCTAGTGGTGATTTTCGGATTCAGCATAGCGAATAGGCCCGGGTAAGCACAAAATCTCAAAATCGACTTTTTGCCCGGACGCTGCCTTTAGGTACACATTTTAAACCAACCGCTTGCACGCATTCAGTCTTCGTATGAGAAGAATTGGTAAAACTTTCTTTACCACCTAATACTCAAAGCATTGCACCAGAATTTTTAGTCTTACTTATGGTTTCAAAAAATGATTGAGTAACCTTCTACAAAAATAAACATCTTGCATATTTTCTCACGCTCTATCCCAGCTAACTTTCCAGGATTTTTGTGATGCGATCTCCGGAAGCCTCTGATTTAAAAAAATAATTTGTACCTAATTTCATGAAAAATATCATTCTTGTGATTGAAGTGAAAGAATAAACGGGAAGCTGATTGTAAGTATGCATGGCTCCCGCTATGATAGAAAGTTTAGCAATGTTAAGAGGTAGTTAACGATACTTCTGAAACTTCTGATACCCAGCTTATTGCAACAAACACCATAATTAGAAAATCAACTGTACTTTTTCAACAGCCTATGCTTTTCTAGCGAGACTTGCGGCTCTGTATATTTTTCGGTTCACATTCAGGCGATAGAAGATTATAAGGTTGCTTTTGAAATTGAGTAGTGTTTTGTTGAATATATGCAAGCTACTGAAATTTAACTGTGCCAATCTCGCATATCACTTCAAAGAAATATTTGAATGGCTTAGTCTCAACGACCCACATGAGAGAACTTTAACTTCACCCTATCATATTCACATGGAAAAATGTACAAGTCTATGAAATCTTGATGGGTCACGAGTAAGTCTCACAGTGCAGTGCGATCGGACATCTTTGCTCTTTCCTCATAAGTTCTAATTGGATAATACGGCTCCGAGAAAATATTAGGTTGATCTAAAAGCTTGTTTGCACCTTTTTCCCGAAAGACTATAATATCTTTGGAACTTTGGAATTTTTATGTTCCTGTCTGAATGCTGGAAACATGCGCTTTACAGCAGCGTTTGATCTAAAAATTGTAAAAAATGCGAGTGTTAAGGACAAACGAAAAATTACTCAAAATTGGTGTTGTGTAAATACGAAAAATAGATCCCAAGCCTATGGGACATAGCAGGTAACCACTTTAAAACAAAATGTTGTTCTACTCTGCTAACATTTTCTATCTTGCTATCTTTTAGTATTTTTGATAACCTGCTTAAAAAATGCAATTTCAAGTCATTTTCTTCTGCTTCGAACTCTCGCATTTAGTATTATCAATTCACTCAATGCGCATAATCTCTGCTTTATACTTAAGATATATTTCAGTATTTGTAGTGGTGCTGCTTGAGCCCAATTTGAAAGATTTTTTCGTTTGCTTCTAGCTCTCGGGCAGACTCATACTGATTCCCTCGAAGAGTATTGCTGTAAAGCAATTGAATTCCGCTTTCGAATAGAAGCTATGATTTGAAAAACGCGAACAAACTTATTTGTCAGGTATGACAAACTTCAGGTGCTAGCCTGCACCTACTAAAAAAAGCGGCGGTACTATAGTATAAAATTTGATACATCATTTACTATGCTTCACCATATGTCATAATTGTTTGAGAAAATCGCTAATTAAACTATCCACATCTCTAATTGCAGTAAACTCTTAATAACGTTGGATGATGTTTTTTTAGGGAGTTTTCCTTCACCAACAGTCACGACAAGAGCACCAGGAGCACCAGGGACGCCAAGGAGATCATGTAAGTTACAGTCTGTGTTTATCTGAATCCTATATGTGTCAAAGGTCTTAGTTGTGATTAGCTTTTCAACATCGAAATTGTGGTTGTAAAATTGGTGGGCCATTCAGCAACCGTGACCAAGGTCAAGGTGAGTACGGGTATCGGATGTAGGGGACTATACGCCGATAACAAACCTGTAGTGGTCGTAATTTGTAATAGCTCCCTTTTGGAGACATAAAGCTCTCCACCCGGGTATGGAGTGTGGAATGGACGGGGGCGTTGGGGGAGGGGGGAGGGGGGTCGTTAACGCATTAGGATTGAAGAAGCGATGACCTTTGCAAGGGAATAGAAAGCGGGTTAAAGCGTAAGAGAACTTCTGAAACGTCGAATTTGAATATTCGATGGGCACTTTTTGAAATTCGAGTTGTCGAATATTTGGATAATTGAACTTGATCGAATTTGACTATTTAAATAATCGAATAACTGGATATCACTTCTTACGGCGATAAGGCATGCACTTCATATTCACTGTAGAGTTCCAGGGTACCATTCGATAGATGAAAGCGAGCTCTACGAGAAGGTGTGCAAAAGTTTGCTGTTACACACCGGAAGTCTGCATCCAGAAGCTGAGTCATATTGAGGTCTCAAAAATAGGGAAAAAAAATAATCGAGAAAACGAAAATTTTTATGCTTATACAAAAAGGGAGCTAAGCTGTTCCTGCTCACATGGTTGTATAGTACGAGCCCTCTGAAGTATAACCGTAAATTTTCAGCTTTCCAACGGCTCTAGTTTCCTGAAAACTACCGAATTTTGCTCTCCTCACTAGGGTGTTCCCTGCTGGAATCAATATTTCTCAAAATTAGGGCTTGTAGAAAGCTTGACATACACGGTTATACTTCTAAGAGCTTGTAGTATACAATTACTTTAATGGAAACAGCACAGCTTCGTATTTATATAAGCATGGAATTTCCTATTTATTCGGTCTCTAGATTGGGAAGAATTTCAGGAACGGTACATATGAGTGCCTGATGTGCTGAGCAGTTTGCGCAAGCAAGTTGGAGATCCGTAGGACTTTTTTGACCGAAGATATGAATTTTCCCTTATTTTTTGAGCCTTCAGTACGACTCAGATTCTCGATGCAAACTTACGGTAGGTCGAAACTGGTACGAACTTTTGCAAACCCCCTTGTAGAGCTCGCTTTGCTCTTTCGAACGGTGCCCTGGACTCATATTAAAAATGCGAAGTGTGCGACTCATAGTCATAAGAAGTTAAAGTTCAAGTAACAAGGCTTATGTTGCAACCTTACATGTACTTTTTTCTTGCTCGAATATTCGTATATTCGAACAACTGTTCTTTGGAACTTTTCAGACACTCGAAAATTCAATTAACCGTCTTTCAAAGTTCCACGAATTTGAATGTTCGAATAAGCCATTTTCAATTTGCGCGGATGAATGAACATTCAAATAAAAGCTTTTTTCACTTATTCAGCTATTCAGATAATTGTATAAATTCACCTTCTCGAATCAACTATTGGAATATTCGAGTAGTCGAATGTTTCGAATTACTCGAATATTCGGTTTTCGACTATAGACAGCGCCGCCCAATGATGCGCGCCAGGCGTCAGTTTTTGTAGTCGACGATGCGTAATGGGGCGCGGTACCATAGATGACAATTTTAACGTGCCCAGTTGTTCTGATCTGTTTTCATATTATCAATAAAGGCTCAGGAGTGTTTCATGTTAGCCCACGCCCTCTTTTGGCAAATTCGCTCACTTCTTTGTCTTTTGCAAGAAACTTTGCTCGCAAATCGCATAGAGGTCATAGGACTTGACAACTTCAAAGTAATCTCAAAGGCACCGCCCACCCTAAGTTGAGGGTATAGTCGTCCTCACCCCACTAGTCGGTAGGTGGTCGAATTTGAATTCGAACTGGAGCAGGCCGGCCGCGGCAGAGCGCGGCAGACCCGCGCCTCAGTGCAAGCAATTGGCTAAGGGGCGGCGTCTGCCGCGCTCTGCCGCGGCCGGCCTGCTCCAGTTCGAATTCAAATTCCACCATCGACCGACTAGTGGGGTGAGGACCACTATATTGAGCTTTTGGCAGCATATGACGGTAGAGCCTCCTATCAAGCCAATGCCCAAGTCGCGGCGCAGTGTGCCGCTTCGAGGCGAGAAAATCGCTGTGGAATAGCGAAGTTGCACGAGGACCCCCATCCAAGCCCGCCCTCCACACCCATGCTCGCCCATCCTTGCGCGATCACCGTTCCGGAAATCCAGCTTATTGGTCCCCCGGAACGGGGGTTGTCGGGGTTTTCGCGGATTCGACTTCATATTTTGGAATGAAGGACATGAGAAAGCCCTGAAACGACAAAAACCTGGAAGTCGAAAATCTGGGTGGACGGTGCCTTTAACCTCGATCTCGCTTCCCGTCAGACAGGCTCCGCCCTTCAGTGGCAAGCTCCGTCCACTTTTCAAAATTGCCAGAATCAGCAGGAATTCTTGGATTTCAAGCGGTTTCCAGCATTTTTGCCGAATGGGCGGAGCTTTCCACAAGGGGATGCACCCGCATATTCATAATTGCGCACGTATGCATGCATGTATACATGCAGCCAGCGTACTCTCACCATCAGCTCCTAGTTACTTTTCGACATGACTGGTTTGGCGCGGCCGCCTCGCTTCAGGCTTCCGCCACTTTGCGGGCGCATCGGTCAGCGTGGCGCGGCAACAAGGACAACGCGGCGCAGACTGCCACGCCGAGAAAGTTTGGCCACGTCGTGTTAAGACTGACATCGCCGGCATTCTTGCACTCGCTTTCAGCCATGCGAACGTCAACAACTACGCCATCAACAACGACGCCAACAACAACGCCACCGCCGCCACCGGCGAGTGAGTTTTTTCTAGAACAGTAAGTCACTGGAGGAAAAAAGCAATTGAAAAGACGCTGCACTGAAATGTTTGTGAACAATTCTACAGATCTTCATTTGCGCAAGATCTTTTTTCGCCGAAATTCATCGCTGGGCGCTATCGATTTATCGATTTTTAGCGCTTACGGCTCAGCAGTTTTAGTTACGTTCGGTCTAAAATGCATGAAGGAATTCGGGGAAACGCATTGAAGGCACCGTCCACCCAAATTGGGGTTGGTGAGATTATCATACCTAGCAGCTGCGGGGCCCGTAACTGTATGAGTGCCCAACTCGCGCTGCCTGAAGTTGCTTACGAAGCGAGAAAATTGCTTCGGAAATCGCGTCAGGTGACGTTTGCGACGTTGGCTCCTCCCCTTTCGGGTGGGCGTGACGTTCGTCCCGCCCATCCGTGCGCGCCCAACCAATCACCGCATCGAAGAAATCGCTCTGCGGGTTCTGAAAACGGGGGTTTTCGTAGTTTTCGCTTATTTTCGACTTTATATTCGGAATCAGGGGTAAGAGAAGGCCCTGGAACAGCAAAAACATGGAGGTCGAAATTTTGGGTGGACGGTGCCTTTAAACTTTGCAAATATGAATTTCGGGGCCGGGTCGGTGTCCTAAGGGCGCTATCGATTTTTCAGTTTTTAAGATTTGCCAGGCAAGCTCAGAATACTTTTCGAACTTCTTACATAACGCTGTAAGTACGAGAAACCAACTTTAACTTCATAGCCACCTCAGACAATTGCCGGGCCAGGCGAGGCGCGAAGTCGCGCTTTTCTGCAAGCGCTCAACCAAATTTTTGGGGCGTGGCCAAAACTTCAGGGACCGTTACTTCCCTCACTTCGCATGTCCTGCTAGCGGGCAGCAACAGGTTTTTCTGCAGCGCTCGTCAAACAATTACTCCCAGCGAGCGGGCCAAATCTTCAGCGGGCGTTCTGACTCTTTTCACTCAGTTTCGGGCGTACTCCGTGCACAGATAACATTCTATATGGCAGAGGTAATCTCGTTGGATTAGTAACCCATATTCTCTCAGTCTAAGTTACCTACGAGCTCCTTCACAAAGGACCGCACAGCTTGTAGGTACGTGCCTCCCTCCTCTAATTTTGCATATTCTCGAGGAAAGTCCGTGAGAATGCGGCCACTGCTTCGCAACTGATCTATGAAAAACCAGCGATTGTCCTCCGAGCGCTCGTCCGAAAAGTGGCCAACACTTTTTCAATATCTGCATGTGAACCGCAAGAAATCGACAGTCCATTTTCCGGTGCCCGCTTGCCTACAAATCGTATGGCCGCCTGTCCGCGGCAATCATCTGAAACAAATGTCAATCGATCTCTTTTAGAAATAGTTGTTAGTGTGAAAAATAAAGAATCGTCGCGGTTTCCGTCCTCATCTAACAAAGAGTAGGATCAGAACTGGAAGTTATCCTAATATTTTTATCTCATAACAGGATGTGCTATGGAATGTCCGAATATCTACGATCCCGACTGTAATAACGCACCCAATGTTGTATGTCTAAGCGCGCAAAGAGCCATGTACATGGTGATTCCCGAACAAGGAGGATTGGAATGCCGGTTAGCTTATTTTCCAGTTGGCACAGTTTTTTCCGAATTATTATGATCAGGTGAATGACACAGTAACAGAGTTGGTCCAGTGGTTAGTGTTCTACGTAACATCATTACCGTGCTAAAAGTCACGGGATCATTTCCACACTGAGCCTCATGTCTGCTGCGAAAATTCTGGAAATCAGTGTCAGGGCTTTTCCAAAGAAGGGCATGCAATAAGCCGACTGAAAAACATTTCTTCGCATCATACATGTGCCAAAGAATCTCGAGTGAAGGCTAGGGCGTCCGCCGGAAGTGATGCGCATTCGAGCTCGACGATTGCGAATATTGGACGGGTGTTACTGTCTCTTAACGGGGACGCTGAAGCGGCTGTTCATTAGAAGCGACGATCCAAGGCATCTCAGACTCTACGTCTTACCACCAATATTGGTACGCTGCTCACTCTTTGAAGTAGTCTCTGGAGTTGGCAGATCCTTTGAAGAGATGGCGGCTTCTTGTAGCTTGCATACAAGAAACGAAGTGGCGCGGGCAAAGTCACGCGCCATTGGAGGCAGGTATGAGCTCCTTTACAATGCCAGCAGCGCCAGGAACGGAGTTGGTATAGCTGTCTTGGAGACTCTAAGTAGCATTGTAGTTGACGTTGAGCGCATAAGCGACTGTCTGATGTGCATGAAGATATATGGTGGTAAGTCTTACAAGTAATTACCGCCTATGCGCCATAATCGAATGTAAGGATGAAGAAAAGGACGCGTTCTGACGGAAGCTCGTTGACCACATCATTCAGTTCCACTGAATGAACGCTTTTGCTAGGAGCAGTCTTCAACGGACATGTGGAAGAAAGGCGAAGGAACCAGCAGATGTGACAGAGACCACAGAACATGCAGTGGACGGCTTCCATGATCTCGTCTTAGCGAACGCTTACAACATCAATACGAATGGCCATTTCATTAATGACCGACGAACACAGAGGAACTTCTGGGCTATTCGCCAGCATGACCTCAATACGTAAAGGACTGCAGAATCATCCCCGTGACTGCATACTTCAACGAACCACTTTTTCGACATGAGAATCTCATTGGATAGGCATATCAGGGGAGCCAGACCAGGACACGCATCAAATGGTGGAAATAGACTTGGACCTGGAATAAGTCTTCGATAAATTGCCCCATAAAATCATATGGTGGCCTCAGGAAACACATGGCGCAGAGGAGTGCGTTCAGTGAATGAAGTTGATCCACCACACCCTTCAAGCACGTGCAAACAGCTGAGGGCAATCGGAGTTCCAAATCAAGGTTGGAGTACATCGAGGTCCACTTCTCTCTCCCTTGATTTTCCCCGCTGTAATAAAGCCGTGATGGAACCACTCGAATGAGAACCCCTGGACACTTTCCTCCGCAAATGGTGGGCCTTGATAACAAGTACTAGGAACGAATTACAAGACGAGATGCAAGACTGGAAGACTGGAAGAACAGGCTGGAGTTGTATGTTTCGGAACTTAAAACCAAGATGACAGAATAAATGGGTGAAAAACAATTTCCGGGCATAAGCACCGATGACAAAGAGCTAAAGATAATTACCTCATACAAGCATGTAGGCAGAAGAAGATCTGCAACCTATGTACGATAATCATGTAGGCATGCTTCTGCTAAGATCTAAACACAACATGGATGGAATGGAGAGCTTTAACAGGAGCTCTATGCGGCAAAAAATGCCAGTGCAGCTCAGTCCCAGCTGTACCATGTCCGTTTTTCGTCTAGCCTGTGTAGCAACGAGTGGTAGGCATATACGCGCAACAATGACCGCAAGCTCAGTATCACGCAAATCAACGTCTGCAGTGACACTATACGAGCCCAAATGAAAGTAGCTTCGATTGCTCAGGAATTGCAGAAAAAACAGATCGCGATGGTGCGGGCGTGTGCGTAGAAAGAAGGGTCACATAACTAGGTTAGCCGTGGCGAGGCGTGAGGCACTAGGCAGAAGACCCGAGGTAGGTCCAAGGTGAAGTGAATGGACAAAATAAAGTCGACTTGCGAGGACTTGGAACAGACGAAGACCTTGCATAAGATGAGAAAATATGCAGAGTCTTGACAGGAAATGCAGACCCTGCGTGAGGGAGGACTCATGCAAGAATAAAAAGTATTGTATGACACTGTATGTGAACCTCATAAAACCTTGAAAGTACTTGAAGTTTCGGGGATGGTAAATGTCTAGGGCGTGTTTCTGAGCTAGTGTATGTGGATTGTATTATAGAATGGCTTGATTTCAAAATTTTATCATCAGGGCAATGGTGACCTGTGTTGAACAAACCAACGAATACTACTACCTACCTAATACAAGAGGAATGGATGGATTTCGCGGTAATTTTCTATTTGCTCTTCTGCTAATTATGCATAATGCTGACCATGTGTTGTTTTAGTGGTTCAAGATGTCGTGTGCGTCTTAGTAAACAACATGTTTCAATGGCAGCTTAGAGATATGACGGAGATTAGTGGAATTGGATGCCAAGCAAGACTTGGATGATGACCTTGAGACAATGCTCACATGGCGAAGGGGCTTCGTAAGTCTCAGAATAGACGAGCTGAGATTGCATTATCCGAAGCAAATTCCTTTGAGATCTCTAGTTGATGTTCTGTATCTTGATACATTAAGTGGAATAATGAAAATATATCAATCGACGAATACCTTTTGGGCATTTGTCGTAACATGTGACTGTGATTGTAGCCTTGACTTCACGTGGCCTTTTCCAAGAAATTAGGCAGTTCAAGAACTTTAACTTTTGCATCGTTTAATTTTATATATGGAGTATATATATACTAAAAACTATTATCATGAATAATAATTTTGTACACAAGTATGGCGCGATTGTATAGCATAAAACCGATTGAAGCAGTGTAATGTATCGAATGAAAATAAATCTGTTTTCGGCAGGGGGGCAATTTTTGATAGTTGAAGCTAAATTATACGAAGATAAACTTATATGTAATAGCCATCGAAGCTTCGCATGGGTCTCGTTTTCACACAATCTCGAATGGACATCCGTATTGATCTTACTTTATGTAAGGTGCCCATTTTATAGTTGTTAGTTACGAGAAAAACAAAAGATATCCCAATTCCGTTACAAAACCTATAGTGAGACTTTGCTGTTCATAGAGGTGCCCGTCTTCGTTGAGTTGTAACATCCATAGCATCCTAACATTCATCCATCCTATTATCGATACTATTGAAAAGGATCTGAATTTGTTCATGATTTTTAAAAGTAAAGGAGTGTGGTTTCCTTATTTCTTTAGTGCCAACCTGAGTCTTCGCGAGAATTTTGGCAACAATTTTGTTGTACATCTAATCTGACTGAATCGCAGAATTACACCAATAAATATTCAAGTTCGAAAAAGAGATTGAAAGTAACTATTTTTTTTCTTTCTCTGGCACAGATCTCAGCCCAGCTTCTTCTGCCTACGTAATATGAAGTTTTTGGCAATCACTCTTGGAATTCTGACAATTCTTCACCCCTCCCTTATCCGCACTCATCTAAACTACCCCTACTCTCGGTAACTGCTCAACAATGTGACTAAGTCTTCTGTTGGAAATTACTTTGTGAAAATTATCCAGCATTCCTGGATGTGCATGAATTGATAGTGGTTTGCCGTTGTGTGCTGCAAAGCAGAAATTGCTCTTCGCTTTGACCCATGCCTAGAACTTTCCAAATTGATCACAGTACCGCGCAAACTTCGGACTTTGATACCCAAAAGGCCGCTGCTTGTCACTCACTGTCATCCTACCCCTTTTCTTACGAACGGTGCGTATCTTTACGTTTGGCTTTTACGTTCAGATTTCAATTCATCGAAGGCCCTTTTTGTAAGTGATGTCCACTCGTGTTTTTCGTGATTTCAGCATTGACAACTTCAAACGTATATAAAGAAACCGATTGGGCTCTTATACTAGCCCACGTTGTATTTTCGAAATCAATTTGATAATGGATTTTAAATAGCCGATAATTCACGTATTTGTAGCAACGGTAATCTGCTCGCACAACTCCCACCAAAATATTAGAGTAAAAGGTGCGAAAGTCAGGAGAGGGCGGGGTGCAATCGTATCTTTGTTCTTTTTTTCTATGGTAAGCAAACTTCTCCCCTGATCCATGCACCCTTTGCGAAATCACCGCCATAGCCTTTAAAAGGTTCTCGCAGATGCCTCCCCTCTGACTTTCGCACCTTTTACTCTAGGTTTAAAAGCATCGTTTACCCATTCGCGACTTTCATGTTTTGGTCGTTTCGGGGCATCTTTATGTCTATGATTCCGAATATGAAATTGATCCACGGAAAACCCGACAATAATTGAACGGACGCGCAGGGATGGGTGGGCATTACTGAAGAGGGGCCGTGCCGACTTAGGGCCGCATGTACTAACATCTCGCTGAGGGGATGCAGCTTAAACGAAAACTTCGTATTCAGAAGTCCAGATTTCTGGATTTCACGCTGTCTACAAAATAATTTTTAAAAATTCTTAAAAATTCAAATTAGCTTTATAAAAAAAATTTTTCGGGGGCGTGGCTGGCGCCACGCCCCCTTTTTCTGAAATTTTGGGGTCAGGGGCCCGAGAAAATTCGGGAAACATCCCGAAAAATATTTCGGAGTGCGTGGCTGACGCCACGCCCCCTTTTTTTGAAATTTTGGGGTCAGGGGCCCGAAAAAATTCGGGAAACATCCCGAAAAATATTTCGGAGTGCGTGGCTGACGCCACGCACCTTCATTGGAAAAAAAATTTTTGTCGCGCCCTCCCCGAGCCGAAATCCTGGGTACGCCACTGCTATGAACATATTGAACGGGAGCAAGAAGCTGTACTAGCCGTACTTTCCAGCTTTTGTATGCTCCCTGATGATCCCCGATCTTTCTTCAAAATCGCTTTTCTTTCTTCGAAGTCAACGAAAACCTTCCAAAGTTGTACCGAATTTCCACGTCAACGGTGCTGAGCATGTTGCTGAAAAAAACAAATGAGGTTTTGGAAAATTGAATTCTCACTAAATCCCAACTTTCGACTTGTGGTTTATCGCAAATTTCATGACTCCAATACATCATTTGTTCTTATCAGAAGAGTGCTCAGCCCTCTTCGTTCAGATAACCAGTAAATCTCTGGCAAGTTTTTATCAACTTTGAATAAAGAAAAGACTTTGAAGAGATGAGAATCGGTTGCCGGAGATCACCAGGGGATCATACAAAAAATGCGGCTTGTACAGCTTCTCGCTCCTGTTCAATATGTTCATAGTGAAGGATGGTAGGAGTGCTTACGGACGGATGGACAGCGTGAAATCCAGAAGTTCGGAGCATCAGAATATAAAACTTTCTTTTAAACTGCGATCCTCTCATAGGTTTTGCAGCTCAGTTAGTGCTCTAAATGTTGAGATATTCCCCTCGAAACTGGACCCCAGGATCGTATTTCGCATAAACTCATGGCGCGATGGGTGGGTCCTCACGCGAAACTGCCAGGAATCCATGCGAATACGATCCTGGGGTCCAGTTTGGAGGCTATGTCTTCGCCGTTAGTAAGTCACATGCACTGCCGCTTGGGGCAGTGCCTTAGTTGCGGCCCCAAAATTACTTTTCACGTAAAATCGCCATAGGTCCAGATCTGCCTGGACGCTGCCTTTAAGGTCGACATGCCTCGCTATTCCGAAGCGATTTTCTCGCTTCAGAGGCGACATTCTGCGCCGCGACTTGGGCATTGGGTTGATAGGGGTCCTACTATCAGAAGCTGCTAAAAGCTCAAGACCCCTAACTTCGAGTGGACGGTGTCTTTGAAGACGCAAATGACATTATGTAATGTAGACCTTGGTACATGCTAATTTCGAGTTCCTCTGGTTATTTCTGAGATTTTATAATTGTTCAAGAACAGTCCTTGTTTTTTGAATGAATATACACTTGAATTCAAAACTGTAAAAAGCTAATTCATCGCAGCAGAAACCCACTGTCATAAATCATGCATAATATTTCAGGCTTTGCATTCTTAGATTTTCAAGAAATTCGCAATTTTGGCAACTCAAATGTTTTGTAAGTTTACCGAAATGAGTCTGTAAGAAATGATTATTCAAGAGCAGAGCTGCTTTCTCTATTTGCTCCCCAATATTTATAGGTTCAGGACATTCTGTAAGTTAGCGGAACTCCGAAATGGAAATGGTGAGTTGTGGTCTATGTTATGAATTCTTCGAGATAGGGAGAAATAGGGAGCAATTGGAGCACTTCTTGGAAATGATATTCATAGCTTTGCTCTCTAGAATCCTAATTTCTGATTCATCGGCTATCGTGCCCAGGATCGACCTGCCAATCGAATGATCAAGGAGATGAAGGGCACGAGCGGAGGCGAAAGACTGTTCCAGAACTTCAGTATCACCATCTGAGCTGCCGTGCGGATACATCTAGAGATCAGCTATTCACACCCCTTTCTACTCATCGCCCTATGGTTACCATTACTACTGATCCTTATCGGGTTAGCAGTTGGTAAGTCGCATTCCCCACACACTCCCTTTTGTGTGACGTCTCGTTGCTATGGTTCTTTTCTTTGCTTCCTTCAGGTCAGGATGGACGGTTTTATGACAGTCGTTTTGATGGACTTTACGCAGCTGGACCACGCTTCCAGCTACAACCACTGCTATAATGGGATAGTCGCGCAGACCTCTGCTAAGGGTCTGGTCTTCAATTCGGGCAGTAACACATGCGACTACCACGGCGATATAGAAGGATGCGATGGTAAGTGTCCTCAGTAATCTGGGCACAGCATATGCTAGGGTTCTCAGGTCGAATGAAATGCCATGCTTGAACAGGAAGGATGATACACAGTCGGATGCTCGTCAACTTTCTTCCCTTGCTTGAATGTAAAGTCAATTCTATCAACGATAAACAAAACGGTAAGTATTTGCTCACATAGTGGATGATTTCCTACGGTATATAAGCGCTGTTAAGACATTCACATTGGGCTCTGCAGAACCATTGGCGTGAACGCATATTTCCTAACATATGCTACTTACACATTTCACTAACTAATATCTGCTTTTGCGAAAATGGTACACAAAATATGACTGCATTTGGTGTGACTATAATTTCGAGTGCGAGCTTGCGGTGGTCATCAGAGGTACAGAGAAAAGGGAGACGGTGACCATCTTCCGCTTGATTTCGACGTATCCACCAAATTCATTGGAAAAATGGACGAAACATCTACACGGCAAATGAGTTTCAACTTGTTGAGCCCGTAGAATTATTATGTGGCTAAAGCTTTAGCATAACGAGCTTTAGCCATCTAGAGTTTGTTTCGTCGTCTGCTTAACAATCAAATGCCTCATTCATTAGTAGGAATGCACTTGGGTTAGCCATTGTTCGACAACAATGTAAGCACGGATAAAGTCCTGAAAGCCAAAACCAACCTAGCTAAGTGGGTATGAGCTGTTGCTACAGGCAGTGGTGCTTACTGGTGAACTGCAGTCACTGTGCAGCTTGAACTGAGGTACCGCAGTGGGCTGTTGCGAGGAGCGGCTCTTTTCACTGCATGCGCGGAAGCGGACAGTTTCACCGCAAGCACCGGAGCTGGTCGATGCGTCAGCTCAGACAGTGGAGCCTTGGCTGAGAAGCGCTTCGCGAACATTCATCGGAACATTCAAGTTTGTTACAAACTTCCAATGTTCTATCCTCACCATGGGTGTCGCAACTCCATTCAAAAAATACCCAAAGGAGAGCTGGTGCTTTAAAGGCACTTTATGTGCGCAGTTATTTACCTAATTACGGCCTTTCTTTCCATCCAACAAAAAGAAATAGACGGGCACTTGGAACCTTTCGTTTTACCGTTCTGCAAAATTTTCAACAGAGTCACCTTAGTTGTCGCTGTCCCTCTGCTGCTCAATACAAACCAAAATGCAACCGTATGCTAACCGTCCCGTCTTCCCAAATTTTCGACTTCCATGTTTTTATCGCTTCCAGGCTTTCTGAAGGCCCTGATTTCGAGCCCACTCCAGGTATGGCATCATAACCTCGTCAACCCCCACCCAAGGTAGACGGTGCCTTTGAGCGTCGCTACTTCTTTGTTGGAAAAAGGAATATAAGGGAACATTAACTTGCATTGCAGCCATCCAGCATTCCCTCGAATGTTCCATAAATTCCCTCGAAAGCGAATTCAACAGTACTTTCTTGACCAAATCTACTCGGGGTTCCCAGTAGCAGTTATGAGCACTTTTCACGAACTCACGGGCACCATTTCGAACAAAGTAGATCACAGAAATCAATGTGAGTAGTAGCATAGTTGCTGAGACACGGGGGAGATGCATCAGAAACTGGTGTTAGGGTGACGGCTGCTGTAGGGTGAATGAAAGCTTCCGGTGCTGGGTGTGCCTTCATGTTTACAGAATAGTTCTCGATATAATCATATGTTCTCCTTTGTACGCTGTAGACTAATGCAGGTGGACAACTCGAATAAAAATGAATTGAGATTCCATAAAGCGCTCCTATTTTACCATTGAGGTTGCCACGCCTCCAGAGTAGAAGACAAAATTGGGTGTGCACCCACTGGAATGGTATCCGTCCTTTTTTTCACGCAGTCAACATCTCTAAAACATAAAGAAGGTGGCTGGCTATTGCAAGCATACAACTTGCATTGTATGCGTCTTGGCATGGGCAAGAACGCTCTTGGGCGCTCTCGCTCTTGTAGAGCTTGGAGCGCTGATTCCAACTCTACCTCTGCTTTGCTGCGGCTTCTGAGCGAGGAGTTAGAATGGTTTTTGTGAGTATAAATTTAAATGCAAGATAATAAAATCAGTCGTTACCTTTTCTTAATGTTCAAATGAGGCGGCAGCGAGTCGTTATATTTAAATCAGGGACATTTATTGCATCAAATGACCCGAATATTAGCCAAGCCCTAGAAAAAATGTTACGACTGATTCTACACTAATCTTGCATTCAACTTTTTACTCACTAAAACCTTCATAAGTCCTCGTCCAGAAGCCCGCAGCAGGTAGCGAAGGCAGATTTGGAATTAGCGTTCCAAGCTCTACAAGACAGTGGATATATCATTTTGATAGGCCACTTCGACCATTTTTCTTTCCATTGTTAGACCCCCCACAATCTCTCTTTGGAGCAGGCACAAGCAGGTTGCATGGTGTCCAGGACTTCAATAGGGACTACCGAATGACTTACTAACTTTTTGAACACCTTTCAATGTAATCACAATGTCCTTTTTCCCGTCAAAATAAGTGTCGGAGTGTTTTGTTCATTCTTAAACGTCACAAAATGTCGATGTGTTGTTTAAGAATGTACAAAAAAAGTTTCAGTCGCACTTTGTAATGACACTACCATCGTGACAGCCGCTCTCTCACTGCATAGTAGTAGGTGGAAGAGCCACCTTCGTACCTTTTCTTCTTCCCAACACAATCTCTTTAAATCATCGCAAACACAGCGTAGTTCCAGCACTGTGGTTTGGGAACTTCTCCACTCACAATGTCGTTTGCGATGTTGTATGTAGAACGGCGCATTGCACCAGATCCGTGTAACTGGAGGAGATGGGGTGACTGGAGGTTTTCAGCATTTCTCTGAATTATTGCACGCTACTGTAGTTGCATGAAATGGTTTTGTTTTGGTTTTGATTTCCTCACTAAGGCCTGCATACCTCACGCGACTCTAGTCGAACCGCGATCTGCCCTTGCAACGACGCTTCATATTTGGTCGCAAGCACCCTTTACTTAGACCAGACTTCATATGTCTGCGACAACTTTACAGAAGCTAGGCACCTATGCATTTGAGACCCGTGTACGGTTAATCTATAGGGACCTGGCAAATAGCCAAGTCACATGGATGTAGCGGTTTGACGAGATCGCGGGAGGTCCTTAGGCTTAAGGAATCCCACAGCATCTGGGTTCAGATATGGTTGCTTCCGCTGTCAAGCAGGATATGATTATCATATAGAGCTATGAGGATGAGACTACCCGGGGGGGGGGGGATGACACTAACCGAAGGACCCTCACTGAAGTGTGCTTTTTTGGGGGGCAGCCACGTCGGCTTTGTGGTTCCCCTTATGACTGAAATCCGCTTACTAGCTCACCTAATTGGTGATAGCCAAACACTCACCCTTGATCCCTCAAGATATTGCTGAGCGATGCGCCCGCTGACTGCTTAGCGGACCACTATTTATAGTATAAAAGCGTGATGACATGAGTATCTTCAGGCGTTGAGCATGCATTCATTCTCAAGGTTATGGCACTATAATTCTTTGTAATAGCTAATCAGAGTGAATTAGCTAAGGTAAAATCAGTTTATGGAATTTTTTCCTAGCTCAGGTGAAGCAGCGGTAGGTGAAACTGTGTTTGTTCTTAAAGCATTCGTTGCGTAGAGTGCTCTGACAATTATCAGCGCTCCCTCAAGAAAATTTACAACTAGATTTACTCGCTCCCTCGCTCCCTAAAAGATTTACCGCTAGATTTATCTTAATTACGAAGGCCATTTTTCTACTCCAATAAACGTTCATAAATTCTCATCTGGAAACGCTCCGCAGATGAAGAATGTAGATTTAGAATTAGCGCTTTATGTCATCTAAAGTGATATAAACCGCTTCTTGAAAAGCCACTTCAACTAACACCCATTTCCTGTAAATACTGAGTCAAACACTGAAAAAAAAACGATTTTTTGCTGCCATCTACATGATCATTTATTATCAACATCCCACTTTTAACAATGAATCAGAACCTTGTTGAGCAAGAAACCTTGCGAAATTGCTGTAGATAACCAATTATAGGTCGATGCATGTTGTTATTATCCAACTTTTTCAGACTTGAGAGGGAGCTGGCGGCCAGATCACAAGCTGGAACAGGTCTTATTGCAAATGAGGAAGAGTTTGCTCCTAAAACGAAGGAAAGTAAATCTGGCGAACGGCTTTTCGGAAGGTACCTGAATTCTGCTGCTAAGCGACTGCAGCGTCAGGGGTGGCACTAATTATTCCGTCCTTGTGAAGAAGTGTACCTGTTGCCATGCCTGTTATCACTTCGTAATAATCATCTTTTTATTTTTGTAGTGTTCTGTACACATGATATGAGAAGATCGTGGACTGAAATTGGACAGATAATATTTGTTTTAAATGCATCTGTTATTTATTCAAAATTAAAATGTTTTCGAGATGCTTTCGAGGTATTAGTTGAGAAGACGTCCTTGTTTATTGTTCAATTTGGTCTTATTTTCTATTTGAGATAAATTTTAGTTCGAGTTGCGAGTTGATTTTGGAAAGTACGGGGTTGTTCAACTCGTTTGAGGACTAGTGGCATCCTGCGCGAGTAATGGCCGCAATCTCACCCAGCTTCACGACCCCACGCAGCTCTATAGCACAGCGTAGGTGGAGGATCAGCTCGACTTGAGCTTTGAGCTATATTCGTTAGTCATTACGTTAGGAATTCAAGGGTAGCTCATACCGAAGATACCTGGCAGCAGAGGTGGGCTGTTTGATCTAAGCTTTGGGAAGAGTTTGTTCAGCTTCTGAGCCCCCCCCCCCCCCCTCCCCCCTTCCCCCTGAAGGAGATGAGACGTCAATGGCTACATTATGAGGAAGGCATGACATGGGTCACTCTGAAAGATCTTTTTCAACAGATTTAAGTTGATGCAAAAACTAGCATAGGCTATCAAAAGTTCCAGGGCGTATTTAATACTGCCAAGCTTCACCTTTTGCAGCGCATAAGGCAAGGCATTCTGGCAGCTCATTAATTGTAGAAATTTGCAAACTGTTAATTTTACCTTTACTCAAATTTAATTTTTTTCCAAATGTAATCTTTGTAAACCATCGAATAACCATTAAAGAAAGCCTACGCTTCGCTACACAGTTTACAAGTTTGAAATTTTATTGAATTCAACATTACTTTTCGGGGGAGTCGTGGAAATGAAAAAAGAAAGTTTTGGGATTTATTTCATAACTGCTGGAAAAATGTTGTCATAATCACTTTCAGTGCGTACCTGGTTTCCGTTCGGGGAGGAGGCGCGACAAAAATATTTAGGCTAAAAAAAATCTGGAATAAGTCAAATACTTCCCACGCCAGTGGGACAAAACTTTATACAGGCTAACTTGGATTTCGAAACGTTTCGGAATTTACTTCAATTTTCACAAGTACAAACAAGTCGTTTGCACACCTACAATTCATGTGAGCAACTTTCAGGCCATTTTCTTAAATATATGATTGCTTGATGAGCATTTGGTCTTATTCCTTCGATGCCTTTATTCGTTTCTCTTTCCTCCGAATCGTCTTCTATGACATGCGGTAGCCTACTAATCGTTGCACACCCCACTGCGAAAGAATCAAGCTATTGGGTTGTCAAGGAAATGATGTCGGTTTTTATTTGCTTGCTATGGTACTGCAAGCCGAACCCCCAGGAAAGCACGAAAGATACTGGTCGATAGAGCAAATTAAGCTCCACAAGAAGATATCAATGATTTCGCAGAAAGTGTGATCTACATGGACTCTGAATTGAAAATCTAAAGGTTCTTAATGCCCAAAAAATAAAAAATAAAGTGAATTTCCGTCCAAAAAACTTTAAGGACCTCCCATTTTCAATATCAGAATTTATAAGCGCAGGTGCTGTATTTTTTTGTTGCTTGATTAGAAACTGAGAAAATGAAATTCGTGTTTTTCTCAAAGCAATGCTTAGCCGTTACATAGGTGATTCTATCCAAGCCTAAGCCAGTTCATCTGCAGTTTGTTTGCCTTTTTAGCGCTGGTTTTCGCGAAATACCAAATTTAGCTTCCCATCTCTGGGTTTGTTGCGAAAATTGAGATCGTCAGCTAGCGCTTGCGAAGTCTTCTAACTTACCGCTCATTTCAAAGATCCTTGATAGAATAACGTCAAATTTCGTTTATTTTTCAAAAGACTTCTCAGCGATGCTACTGCGATAAGAACCCATGAAATCACTCATCGCTTTTGAACGGTAAATTGTAGCTTGCTAGATGGCTAGGTTTAGTGCACATGTTGAACAGATAAAACTTGCTTTTTTACTTCACTTTCTCTATTTTTACTCCATTTTTATTATATTTTAATCATTTATTTGTCCCTCATATTTTTATATTCTACTTATTTATCTATACATTTTGAGACGTGTTATACTTCTTCATTTGAAATTTGATGAAGAAACACTGTTGACGCACATAATCCCAAGGCTACAATGCAGCCTCCATGGTCTAGTGCCGATCACACGTGACAGCCCACGGTGTTCGGCTGGAAAGTCATACATTGGTAGTAGGCTTCAAGCCCGGGGATTGAACCCGGGTCTGGCAGCTGAGAGCCGCACCGATTAGCCACTAGACCATGGAGGCTGCATTGTAGCCTTGGGATTATGTGCTCAGCAGTGTTTCTTCATCAAATCTCAAATGAAGAAGTGATGTTGGGTGAGGGGGGGGGGAGATGGAGCGTACGGTATCCAGGCTCCCGCAACGATTGTGCAGAAAACGGGGGTTCTGGTTTCCATTCTTTTTATATATTAGGATAAGCGTATATCCAAGTTGGAGGATTGCATCGATAGACTTTCAAATGTCAAGGAATCCGCAGTGGTTAGTGAGGAAATACTTGAACAACTTCTCGCTGAAAATTCTCCCAATTATTCCACTCCACATTTTGTGCGACATACGACTTAACTACAGAAACCAGAAATCGTGGCTAAAATTGCGCAAATTGTGGCATCACTCCTCATCAATTACGACGTATAGGTTAGTGTACTCATATATATGGCAATGTTTGTCTTGATGGGTCTTATTCTAGATGTTCCACACGCCAAGTCTCGGCGAGGTCCAGTAGCAGTAATAGCTATGTTTTGAGAAGATTTTAGATGAATAAGTTGTAGAAGCAAAAATCGCAGATTTTCTGGAGGACTCGCGAAGTACAAAGTGAATCACTCATCTTTGTGCCTGATGATTTTCCACAGTGTAACTTGCTTTCGTTGATCGATACAGAGTTTTAAGGTGCCAAAACGAGTCGTCTCTCTACCAGAACTTCCAAGAAACCTATGGCAAAGTTACAAAAGAACGTCCATCGAGAGCAGTACAAGCGTATCCATGATATGCAGCTGATAGTATAAATAGACCTGTACATAGCAAAGCCATGATACTATAGATTCTACATTTTGTGTGCATTCCTCTCCTCAGTAGTTACCATACATCACCGTCCTTCCTTTGTAGATGATTCGCAAAGTATTGACTTGCTGTGTAATGGAGATGTTGTGTCGAAGCAGATGAGATACATTCTGTAATACTTTTTAAGAATAAAAACTGCCTAACGAGAATGTTTGTCTACATTTTGAGTCAGCTTTCTATACAAATCTGATAGCTCTGACTGAGCTAGAAATCATTGGAAGAACACAAAATTTTCAAAGCCACAGCACTTATTAATGATGAGCAGCTAAATCTTCCTGGTTTAGGTTGATGTGGCACATTTTCACGGCACAAAAGCAGATTTCTATGGTGCAGTTGGTAGTGATGCAGGCTCATACTCTAATGGTTGTGGGATCGATCCCTTCCGAAGTTAATTGCTTTGCAGAGTACAGATCCACTTTGTTGCAAAAAAGTGAGCCAGGTACCTCAAACTTGGGTAACTAAACCGAAAAAACCTGTAGAAAATTATCTGAACTTTCTATCTTTATCATAAGCTGGGGACAACATCCCTGGTAAATGCAAATATCGACAATTTGAAGTGTCTCAGATGGTTGAAAGGTATGTTGATCAACTACGGAGTGGAGCACCACAGGTTCAGCCTCAGCAGTGATAGGTGAGTGTAAGTAGAAACTTTTATATAAAAATTATGTACTCTAAGCAGAGAATTTCCCCACACTTTAGACAAAGACCGAAAGCGAGAGGTATACGAAGCAGTGAAAAACAATGCTCAGTCAAAAGGTAAGCGAGTTGGGCGAGCTGGGGGTACCCAACGACAAGCAAGCAGGGGAGGTAGGCGAAGCACACCAGGAGGAGGCAGCAGGGCCGGGACAGGGGGCAGCAGCAGGAGGAGGGCGAGAGAGGGGAAGAACCAGGGAGGGGCAAGGAGGAGCAGAAGGGAAACAGGGGAGCAAAGGAGGAGGAGGAGAGGGAGGGTAGGCAGAGGCACCGGGGAAGAGGGATCCAACAAGATGGAAAACCCCTATGATATTGCAACCCATCGCCATGAAACAAAAAGCGCGCAAAACCCCCATTCAACCCACGGCACACCCAAACGAATGTGCCCCAGGGTCCCCATTCCCCGGTACCGCGCAGGCCCCCGGGCGCCCCGGTACTCAACCCAAAACCTTCATTATCGAAGTTTTGAATAATAACCTGGCGACATACAGGACCCGAACCCTCTATGCACTCGTTGTAGTCAAATACGTTATCCATTCGACCATCCGCACACACCACCAAGGTGTCCTCGGCGCGCTATGAACCTTTACTGTAGCTGTTGGATGCAAAACTGAGTTGTCAACCAGAACTTGAACTTCCACCTCTCTTTTGAGAGACAATGCCTCTATCCATTCGACCACGCCGTACGATAATTGAATTGTTTGCTACTGTTCTATACGCGCGGTTTGGCTATCTCCAAATCAAAGCCTCACGTCTGTTGAATAGAAGTCTCATTTTTTGTGCCTCACATTTGAACCTATCAGCTAAAGAACCAATTCTCACGTTTTCTAATAGAAATTCGCAAATCGTGTTCTTGAAAATCGCTGACTTAACCTTCCACGAGATTGAACCCTAAACGTTATTCTATGATTCCGCTGCACTAACCACTCAACCAAATACACACAGATGCAAGCGAATTCCTTATGTTACAAATCCCTTGTAGGTTGTGATTAGTGGTTGGTTGAGGACTTCTTCAGTGCATTTTGAGGCGTACAGATGGTCGAGAGGATACGTCTCAGGATTGGCAATATTCTCTATCACATTCCAGGAAGTTCGACTCCCACGCTGTGAGTCATTTCTGCTAATAGAAAATTATCTTCCTGCATGAGTGAGATGGTCATGTACGCGGATTTTCAGGAGTGGTCAAGGTTTTGTGTTGCGCGTTCAGTCCTGGTGGCGTATGTCCGTTCTAGTATAGAGGCTATCTCAGATTCAGAGATTTGCGATTCAGATAAATTTTTGCGATTGAAGGGGTTGTTGTAAAAGATTATTTCCTTCCTCCTCTTCTCCTTGTCCTCAATGCGACCCGCCTTGTGCTGCTCGCTTCCGGGTGCTCCTTCGTCTATCGCTCGCCCTCACCGTTCAGCCTGTCTCCTCCAAATCGTCATCATTTATTGGAGTACCCAGATTCGTTGCTTCATAAAAAAAAGGCGGTTGCAAGAGTAAAGTGTGAAAGCATGTTTTTGAAGCGCAATATGTCAATTGCATGTCGCAACAAGGGCCAAACCCTGCAGATTTAATTTTGATTGTTGGTCAAATCCGCAGAAAACGCCTTGGATGAAGTCACAAAAACTCTACGCTTCACTGCGATAAAACTCCTGATCACTCAGAGGTTGCACACTTATCGTTTGCTCCATACAACAACCCTTTTATTGCATTGGGGATAGCGCACATTAACTCAACGATAAAGATCTCCTCTCTAGAAGATAAATTCGGCGATCCATTCACGCGGCTGTGTTGTAAGAAATCCTGCAATAACAACAAAAAGTGCTTTAAGTTGATTTGAAAAAAGCACGGATAACCTAATAAGAATGTAAATGATTTTTCTTCCAAATCATGTCTCTTACTAATTCAGAGAAAGCTATTCTGTCAAACCACTTTGTAACGAGTTTTATTGTACAAATGATCATCTCACATATAATCTTCATATAACATCAACAACCTAAGATATTATCTGAGCTTTCAACTACATCATAAGCAGCAAACTAAGTAAGTAGCTTCAGTGTGCCTTACATACGATGGAAATGATTAGGTTTGACATTAAATTAGATTACATACTGATTATCATTTTGCATTTGAAGGAATATTATTTCTAGAGATGTGCGACTAAGGTAAGGTCATCCTCCTATGATGCTTGATGTGATTGCACTTGCAAGAATCTTGGGAATGATGTAATTTCCAGCTGGAAGCAATTTTTAAGAAGTGGTAAATTTATGCCTGTTCAGCTAGATGTGCCTCGAGTAGCTTTCCTAACCTGCTCAGTTCAACTTTGTGCCTAAAAAATGTTTAGGGGACTGTAACTTGTTCATGCTGTTCTCCGTCTGACATTTATGTGCACCATTTACTGTATTTTTCTGAAGTAGAAAAGAGAAACAGAAAGTGGCCAAAAATACGATAATGTCGATTTTTTCGGACTTTTTACGTTGATTCCGACATTTTTCGGAAAGTGGTTTGTAGAACAGAAAATTTGTTTTTACTTCTAAAGCCTTATGCTATAGAATTACCCGTATAGGAACTGACCAGCATCGGAATGAGAAAAGTATTCAGATTTCGTTTTCTCGATTTCTAGCCCCAAAAAAATACAGCAATGTGCATTTGAAAGTTAAGCGAGGAGTATATATGCGTGAGCAAGTTACAGGTCCCTAGGTAAAGCCCGCATCGTTTTATCGAAAGCTATGTTAAGGCTTATTTGAGAAGCAAGAAAAATAGAAGTTATTGAGAGTGAAAAGTGAAAATGGATGGCACCTATGGGACCAGCGGAATATGCAATCACGGACAGAATGATCTCAAATGAAATGTTAGGATGTCCCAAAAGTTCGTTCACACCATTTTCAAAAATTCGTAACTTTCTTATTTTCCCGAAGGATTTCGCATAGTTGAATGCTTTGTGAAAAAGGAATCATGCGCTTCACAATAACACCAAAATGGCCTTCCATTATTCGTACTTTGCGAAAATATACGATGTAGAAGAAAATGCCAAATTTTGATTTTTCTGTGTGGAGTCGTTAAAAATCTGAAACTTGCCCTAGAACTCGAAGCATTTGGTATCACAGGTTTATAACCCGCTTCTCCTATAGCATTCGTCGTTTTAATTGAGATCTTTCATAAAAGTTATAACTTTGAGCAAACAATACAAAACAAACAAATCTGATTCAATAGCATCCTTCTCAAAAATGATAACTTTTGATAGAAACGCTCAATCAGCAACAATCTGCTCAGGTGGAAAAAGCAAGTTCAAGTTTTGTAATACCAATTGCACCTTAGCGCAACTTATTTCCTAATGACTTCACATAAAATACGCAAAATTTGAGTAATTCTTCTACAACTTGTATGTCCGCATTGTGTGCATGATAGAAGGTCAATTAGGTGCTGTTGTAAAGCGCATGATTTCTACTCAAGGTTGATTAAAGTGCTAAGAAATTGGATTTTTGAAAATGGTGCGTACCGAACTTTCGGAATGATATCTTATATCTTTGGCGTTAATTGACCAAAACGGGGGACGAAATCATCCGTCCGTCTTTGTACGCTTGAAGCTGTTTTCTTTAAAAGCGTCAGCAATTATTCAAAACTGCGTATAGAAAAATTCGTGAAGGAAAACTACACGCGTTTTCACCTTTACCACTTTGATTCTGCAGTGACAACTCGGAAAATAAGTGATCGTTCCACAAATTTCTTTTCAGCTTAAGTCGTCAAAAAATCTCTGAACCATAACTACTGCGGTGAGGGACACCTCCAACAATGTTGGATCTTGGATAATCAGATGCATTTTGCAAATGTTCAGATTCAGAAGCTATAAAAACAAAGTGAAAGAATCAATCTCGAAAAAATCCCCAAACGTCAATTCTGTTATTAACTGAGCTTAATCACAGAGGCCCCTTGACAAGGCCCTTTTTGAGATTTTAAGATCTGAGCAGTGTAGCTAGTCTCAATTAATCTCAATTCCAAATATGTTGGAAAGAGTGGTGAGACCGGGCAGCTCCGTACCACACTATATCTGACAGCTATGAAAATTTTGTATAAGTTTCATTGATCGCGTTTGAAATATCCGCTTCTAACTTCTTTCATTTAATCACTTTAGTGAGTTTTCCAGGATGCGAGCTGTCATTTTCAGTATGTTGCCTTCAACGCTGCCTTATATGATAAGTTTTGAAAAGGGCAAATCATGCATTTTCTAACAGCGCTTGAATCAAAAAAAAATTGCGTTTATGATCTTGGCCGATAAATAAAAGCACTTGAATATTGCATTTTCACTAAAAAGCTTTTCAACAGTACCCTCCTTCTTCAGAATTAAAACGTAATAGGAAGGACAACTATGGAGAAAACGATATGTCATTGCGAAGCAAAAAAAGCAATGAAAGATTGAAAGGTGAATTTTCAAAAGCTCGTAACACTTCATGTGGATCCTGCAATTCTCTTGGGCAAGAGAGTCCCCTTCCACAGCATACTTCATAGAAATTCTTGCGGAAGACTAACCATAAACTTATAGATATCAGTCAATGTTTGATATATACTTCTCTACTATTGCGTTTTCCGGCTCGATATCAGAGCTCCAAAAGTTTGCTGCCAAATCTCTATTTGTTTTAGGCCACTCTAATATAGGCTGTTCCAAAAGTTCTGTTCGAAAGCAGACTTTCTGATGTAAAAATTTATTACTTTTTTCAAAACCGTTACTTTCAAGCTATCTTAATTTTGGTGGATCAAGCGAGCTCTGGGCTATACTGGAGACAGTGACACTCGAAAAAGACAAGCGAGAGAGAAGCGAAACTTTGACAATTTTTTCAAAGTTTTCTCCAAGACTGTCTACTTTGAAGTAATAAATGCCCATGGATAGATTTGATTGTCATTTCATCATTAGATGGTTATGTTACAAAGTATACTTTGTGAGAAAAAAAGTTTACGTAATCTTCGCTACATAGAAAGTCTTGTGAGCAAATTTCAAAAAAGCCACTATTTAAGTCCTTATCGCGTGCTCAAATATACCATTTTCTATACGTAATTTTTTGTAACAGACGAAATCCCTGCTTGCTCTTGCTTTAGTCTAACGTATCAATATCGAATACAACCTTTGTCAGTGCTTGGAGCATCGTCTCTTGTAGGATAGCTAAGAAAAGCTTTGATCTTTGAAGACAACCTAGGAAGTAACACAAGTTCTGTGGAGAGTAAAAGTTTGCATATTTTAGTCCAATACACATTTATATAAAATTTACCTAAAGAAAACTTTGGACGCTGCTGTAACTTTGGACACTATTTTCAAAAAACATTTTTCTGCATGAAGCACTGACGATGTGTTTTGAATCTTGAAATCCCGTGATTGTAATGTCTCTCATCTCAACAGATATACTAACAAAAAGAGCGGGAAAAGCATTTCCAAAGGGTAAGCATTCTATCGTACTAAGTGCAATGTGAGTCACAAAAAACAGGACTCTCGGAACAAAATTGTTAACAAGTGCAAAAAAGCGGCTCAGGCCCGACTTCATTATAAACTCTTCTGCAGCAAAATATAGTAATTTTTAAAAAGGCATGGGATAGTCATATACCTGTTTTTGCAGACAAGGTACTTTATAGTGAACTGCAGTCTTCAATTTGCGCAACACTTGCGCTTCTACCATAATCAATTATTATCATGTAAAGCCTAGAACAGATCCGGCAGTCTTAGTGGAGATGTAGCACAAAGCATCCGAGAGGAAAAAGAGAAGATAATGATTTGAACTCAACGCAAAACATAAATAAGAAAAAAACGAAGACTTGAAACAACTAAGCATGCCAAAATCAGCATGTCTTCTTATCGATCTTGAAGGCAGTCATATTTATTCGCACATAAATGGGCAACACCACTTTGACTAATTAAAACTCGGAAGTATAAAGGTAACTCTCAAGACACAGCGGAAATCGAGTTGTTCTGACAAAGAATTATTAATACAATTATCACTCAAATGAGTCTGTCCTTTCCGATCGACACCTGGCTGGAATCAGACCGATTCTAAAAGTCAAAGCTATGAGTTGCGGTGAGTAAAGAGTAAATGAATATAAAATATGAATGATTATGAGAATTAACTTACATCACGCTCCCATTTTTTCCTTTCATCTGTGAACACCTGCATTTGGGCAGTGAGAGCTTCTTTCAGCGTTGCAACTTCGTCTCGTAGACTGGCCACTTCTGAACGCAGGGACACATCGCCATCCTAAATCACTTATTTTTCGCTAAATGAAATTATATCCAACTACAGTTTACGAATTAAGCAAGCGTTAAAAGAATGCTCACCACATCAATCTGAACGTGATGATCCTAACGAAACAGCAAGCTATTCTATTCTCACCTGTGTTCTTCTAAATGCTGCAGCAGAGCCATTACGTAGTCGACATTCTTCACATTCCCGTGGTTTATCGAGTTCCAGCTTCATTTGTGCCATCTCTCGTTCGAGTTGGAAACACTAGAAACACTCCACTTTTTCAAAAAAGCTAATAAACTTTGCACTACAAACCTTTCTTAGCAGACCAGTCTTTTCATCTCTTAGTCCGTCAATTGTTCGGCTCATATTGTCCGTCTGTTTTTGGCAACCAGCAAGTTGCGCTCGTAGCGCATTTTCGCCTTTTTCTGATGCACTCAGACGCGAACGTAGATGTTCTAATTCTTCCTTCCAAGCTCTTTCTTTTTCTTGATACACCTAGAATATCAAGATTAGATTTGGTCTCCATATTTAAATGTTGAACCTACCTTCACAATAATTTCTTCATTTTGTTCCATAGTGTTGCGTACGACTCGAAGTTCATTTTCCTTGTCACGAATTAGTGTCTATAAACATATAAATATTCTTCCTAAGTAAAACATTCCGGATATATAAAACTTTATTTACCTCGTAGTCAACGATACCCGAATCGCTTGGTGAGGGAGTGACATGTAGGGCAGAAACGCGTCCGGATTGTTGGTATGGTTTCTATAAAGACTTTGCTAGTTGCTTTCTTTGCAAGCGTTCTTACTACTTCTACAAGTTGGCTGGCTCGATATATAATGTAAAACCTTGTTCGTGCTGGGAGGACTGGACAGTTGACTTCCCGAGCTATGTGTACCACTAGAAGCTGTCGATGAAGTCATTTTCGTTGGAGGATGAATGTGATGGTATGAACCGTAATCGGAGGCCGATGAACCAACTGCAATGAACCGCATTTAACAAGATATTTTGCACAGTTGATATCGAATTTTAAGTGAAATAATATGACACTCACAGTCACTGAGCTTTTCCTTTTCAATATAATCAGGAACGGTATCGTACTCATTTTCTTGAGGTTTTTGCGAAGTAAAGCTGCAACAAATGGTTAGTCAATGGTCAACAGGTTTATTTGGGAGCATATAACTCGAGTAATGCAGAATTTAGTAAGTAATAGTTTTCATCCGTTTTGGTCTATCGCAAAACTGGATCTACCCCACTTCGTTACTGGAATCCTACTCTACTTCATGATCAGAGTAGTCAGTTCCAAGCTTTTACAGAGTTAAGCTAATGAAAAATCATGTTGTTATCAGCAAAACTAGAATTTTCCATAAGAATTTGCAACCCTTAATTCTGATAGAAGTCCAGATTCAAATAAGTGCCAAGACTGGAGACTAAGATACAGATTACTTGTGCCGAAATAAATGAATTTGATTTTCTACAGAAGAATATATATACATTTTACACTATTGTGTTGTTGAGCACTTAAGCTTTATTTGTTCATGTGCAAAAACTTTCAATAAATTTACCTCGTGCTCGGTTGGAATATGGCTCGACTTCTCTGTAACTGTGCACTAATCATCTGATTCACATTCGTAGTAGATTTCGTTAGATCACTAAAATAGGACCGTGAAATTCAAAACCAATTCCGCGCGCACTTAAGTGGATGCATTTCATTCTCTTGATAAGTGAGTAAGTACCACATTAGTACTAAGAGCCTAATCGATCTCTGTTGTCTCAGATATCACAAATACGCTCGAAGGAGACATTGGGTGAAGGATGACGATAAGCAATTAATGTGGATTAGCACACATACCCTCGAATTACTTGTCGCTCGACACGAGTGATATTATTTGTTTGGTGATTAGTCTGCTCGTCGTTCTGCGACGGTACTGGTCGGAATGCAACTGGTCTAATGATGCCGTCGTTCTGAAATCAGTGGATTAAGCTCAGGTAGAGAATGTTTCTAGATATTTTTTAAATAGTGGGCAGCGAAACTAGGCAGGAAAAGCACTGACGGCGGGAGAAGAAGAGCTAAGTTCTACTATAAAATATCACAAATCAAAAGCTGGTCTACTTTCTAATCCTTTGCCGTTGCAGAGCCTGATGCATATGGTAAATGAGCGCCAGGTTCCACCTAAGTGGTCACCTAGATCTCAGATCTTGCTGTTTTTTCACCTTCAATGTGTAGATGGAGCGCTACGATAGACCGTTATCGGGCATACATCGACTTACGTGTGGCTTCAGCAAATTCTTCTCCACATCATGACATCAGCAATTTAGTGTCATGCAATAGCGTGTATGTGAGAATAAACACTCAAATGACAGGAGCTGAGAGCATTTCTTGCCAAAACATGCTACTCGAAAGCTAGCTAGCATTTCACACTATTTGCCATGAGGAACGCAAATCTTTGCAAGTGAGATTTCGCAGCTATGAACTGCGCAAGATTTCCTGCTATTACAAAAGTACTGGTTCGCAAAAAATTCCAAGAAAAAAGTTTAAGCTACAAGCCATCTCATGATGTGCATCCCTTATACTTGGATAGACACAGAGCTTGCTTTCGAGACTTCCACCTTTTCAGTCTTAATCTAATGTCACTATCCCAACGTAGTAAGCTCACTGTTTCTAGCAAGCCTCGAAACCTTGACCGCATAATAGATTAATAATAGGAACCTCGGAGTGTTTATTCACTGCAGATTAAATAAGAATAGATTTCAAAGTTTTGATAAGTCATGCACAGGTAGAGAAACAAGCCGAGAACTGCAAGGAAAAGACGGATAATTTATTGTTTATCTATGTGAGAGCTTAGTTAATCTGGTAAAAAAATCATAGCAGAAGATTTTTTGCTACCTACAACTTTGCAAGAGAAAAACTGGCGCATGTAGGAAACTTCGTCCAGATTTACATAGAACTTTATAAAGATGTGCCCAATAGACCCCACAATGTATTAGAGAGTCTGCAACGCGATCTTCTTCAAAAAAAGGTTTTTTTACACAAAATTCATGCTGTGTGGACTTTAAAGTAACCATTGCTAGTCGACCTTGCTGGCAAATCACTACTGCATAGGTCTAACTGATTAATGTAATCAAGTTTTGGTAAGTTAAAGAGCGAGAAAGCTTGCCTTGATAATTCTGACCACAGTGCAACTTTATTTACAAAAAAATTTTCATAACCTTCTTAAACGCTTTGCAATAAATGAGGACAGATTTTCGCCAACACTCGCAAATTGAGGTATAGATATTAAAAGGCCACAGTCACCAAGACATTTCCTCATAAAAATGTAGTAAGGCATGCAAAAAATGATCCAAGAATTTATGCGATATGTGAACGATTTTGAGCGCCAACAAGCGATAGCAAAAACCCCAAAAAATCTCAAATCACTCAATAACGATATCGTACAGGTAGTCGAATAGGTACGGGGGATAAACGCAATGCGACTCACGGGACCCGACCGAGTGTGTGTCTCTGCCCGGTCCGTTGTGTCGGTGAGGGTTTTCTCTTTTGCCGCGCACCAATACCCCCAACAAAGAAAGACGCGTTGATTTGCGCGGGTAAATTGCGGCACTAAATTCACGGTCACAACGATGAGGATTGATGATGAGGATGAGCGTCGCCTTAGTATTTATTCAAAATTTCAACTTCTTTACTTACCGATGGTTTCATACCGGAAATTGGCAAAATTCGTGGCGGTGGATTGTCAAAGTTTCCTTTGGTATAGCCTGAAACAGTCAAAATTTCGCAATTTCTATCAAAGAGAATTTTTCGAAATTTTAGACGAAGAAATTTATCAAGAATGTTTGCGTTCCCTACCATTACGACATCATTCCTCACCTGCATACTTTTACATTACTATGATATCACAACCAAACTTTTGATTCAGCCAAAAAAAAAACTCGAGGTCTCTGGAGAAGGAGGAGATGTGATTGACAAGGACTATAAGATATGAATTGCGAAGTAAAATAGTAGCTCAATAAAGCTGACTAGCGAAGGCGTTTGTACAGGTTTTTTGTGGAAGTGAGCAAATTCTCTCAGTAATGCCACTTAATGGGTTTGCCGCTTACTAGCTTTTTTCTCAAGGAAAGAGACACTGAAGAGAAAAAAAGAGTTCCGGAGATAAAAAATATAAATGACAAAAATCAATCCTTCAAAATACTCCCGCATAAAACATATAGGTTCCAAGATAGAGCACAGATATAAGCCAATACTAGTGGCGGACCGAAGGGAAGTGGGGAGCAGTGAGGATGAGATTTTTGAAATTTACTTATATGTGTTATAAAAGGTGCAAGACAATTTTATTCTTGTAGATTGTTAAAATAATTTTTAAAATTTTTTCGGGACGTAGATGTCGCCTCACCATTTTCCAGATCAGGGTTTATGGGCTCGCAAAAATTTTGAGATACCCCCCAAAAATTTTTCGGAGTGCGTAGCTAATGCCATGCACCTTTATTTTAGAAGAATTTTAGCCATCCCCCCCCCCCGCCCCCGGACCGCATATAAAAAGTTCATAGAAAACATTTTCATGCGTGGGGAGCAAAAAGTAAGAATTGAAGAATCTAGCATTTAGCATAGCTAATCTTATAGCATGACTAGCTGGCTTACCCGGCTCCGCCGTATCCGGACCAAACTTGGCACACATACACTTCGGGCCCCGGCGGGTGTCACAGTCCACTTTTCGTTATCGATCGATGTCGATTTTACCGATTTTTATCGATTTTTTGGCAGAGTTCACCTTCAGGGCTAGGAGTTGGCACAGGGGGGAAGTGAGCATGGGGATTCCGAATACAATATTAGTTTTCAGAATTATCGATTGCTTTTATTGATTTTATCGATTTTTTGGCAGAGTTCACCTACAGGGCTAGGAGTTGGCACAGGGGGGAAGTGAGCATGGGGATTCCGAATACAATATTAGTTTTCAGGATCGTCCATTACTTTTATCGATTTTATCGATCTTTTTGCAAAGTTTGACCTGCGGGGCTGGGAGTTTGCACAGGGGGTAATCGAGCATGCAGATTACGAATACAATATTAGTTTTCAAGATCGTCCATTACTTTTATCGATTTTATCGATTTTTTGAAAATTTGAGCTAGGGGCTGGAATTTGGCACAGGGGTGTAATCGAGCATGCTGATCACCCCCCTTGGGGATGATCAGCATGCTCGATTACCCCCCTGTGCCGACTCCCAGCCCCCTAGCTCAAACTTTGCAAAAAAATCGATAAAATCGATAAAAGTAATCGATAATCCCGAAAACCAATATTGTATTCGGAATCCCCATGCTCGATTACCCCCCTGTGCGAACTCCCAGCCCCGTAGCTCAAACTTTGCAAAAAAATCGATAAAATCGATAAAAGTAATCGATAATCCTGAAAACCAATATTGTATTCGGAATCCCCATGCTCGATTACCCCCCTGTGCCAACTCCCAGCCCCGTAGGTGAACTCAGCAAAAAAATCGATAAAAATCGATAAAATCGATATCGATCGATGACGAAAAGTAGCCTATGACACCCGCCGGGGCCCGAAGTGTATGTGTGCCAAGTTTGGTCCGGATCGGTTCAGAAATGGAATTTTCTATTCGGAACATACGTACACACATACATACAGACAGACAGACATACAGACAAACAGACATTCAGCTTTATATATAAGATTGCTTCTGAATGCCACCATCGAAGGGAAAAACTCGGGCAAATAAGATTGGGAATAAATACGACGGTAGCAACGACAACTATACACATTGGTAAATTGACAAATAACAAACCATCCAGTGTATTCATAATGCTCTGCAAGCTGCTCATGTGTTGATAGTGAAACGATAGATCTTTTTGACTTGCACTATTTTCACGCATCTTCAATGTGCGATGATCCATTCCTTCTTTCCTGAAACGAAAAAAAGTGATGAACACCTTGTTAAAACTGCTCAATCAATCGAGTTCCGTCACCTTTTTCCAAACAACGAAGACAATAGTTGAGCAGCATGATGAAAAGAATAGTGGGACGAGGACGAGGAAAAGTTTGAGGATGAGGCAGAAGGCATCTTCGCTACAAAACGCGATTTGCTGTCAATTGCGGGGTCTGACGATGGCGGTAGCAAGGTCACACAGAAGAAGATGCGAGATGCGCACGCAAATGTCTTCGGGAAAATCCGTTCGTCTCGGATGTGATGTAATCATCGAGTGTATTATGAGCGAATAGTGCGCAAGGATGGTGGGGAGAAGGGGGGGGGGGGGGAAGAGGCAGGAAAAATTGTGGAAAACGATCTGTGGGTGATTACAAAGAGGATGATCGAATGAGTTGCTTGAGTGCGTTTATGAATTGCTAGAAACTGGATCTGAGATGAATGCACGATAGCTGACTCGTTCGGATTACATAATTCATCGAAATCAGCAAATGCTGACGAACCCCCCCCCCCCCTCGTTGAATGCCTGCACGACGAGAGGAGCCGTCTGCTATTAACTGCAGAGCCTAATGAGTAACCTGACTCTTTTATTTGGCACATTATGCTGTGCGTGACGCGGATCACATGGATTCCTTCAAAATTCGCTTCTGTGACTATAGGCTATTTCGCAGGCATAAAAATAAACGGTCCCATTTATCACAAAATCAAGCAAATCGACCAGAAAATCCCACAAAAATAGCACAACAAATTTTAGATTAAAAATATTTCTGTTGACGAAGGAAGAGTTTAAGCACTTCAGCCTAAAGCTTACCTGCGCGACACCTTGCCAAGCTTCATCTAAATACTTAGGGCGTAGATCAGGAGAAAACGTTTGCAACAGGTTTCGCATAATCAATGAGGCGTGCTTCCCAAGGCTATTCGGCATTGAATATCGCGCCATCAGCTTCTCGAAACACAGTCTTTGTTGATTTTAATGGTGATGAATATGCTATTATAAGAACGAAGAATATCGAGGAGATGGTGCGCAATGTCGGGGGTCTGGCGAGCAGCAGCTACTTAAGATGCCGATGAGCCTGTTCGCATGAACTCTTTGAAGAGGAAGATGCGCAATCTTTCCCACAGCATCCTTCGAGAAAAGCAAAAAAAAATTATTTATGATCAACAAGTTGGGGCAGAATTGTGAAAATTTTGGTCCTGCAACTTACAAAACGCAATAATTCTTCAGATTAGAAACAATGGAAGCCGGCGTAAGATGCATATGCCGCGAAACAGACAACCATCATATATACTGTGAAACTGCAAATTTTTTTACAAGACTTCTTATTTCTGTTCAAAAGTGCTGAAAGTGCTGAAATAAACTATCGCCGGTTTTATTTTCTCAATTGGTCTTCATTCCAAAAAAACCCTAGCACTTAAAAAAAACATACACACGCTACTTGAGAAATTCGCCGAGTTCGGAGGTTTTTCAACAGAATGACATGAAATGTTACAGAAAAATTCAACACCAGTCCTAAGTTGACCTGACATTGAGATTTCTTAGTCATGTTGAGCTCAAAAAGATTGGGTGTGTGTCAAGAGGCGCGATTTTTATTGCCAGATGTACACCAAACAACGCTTTTTTGGTGTTCAATAACGTTCTAAAAGATTTCTATAATAGATTTTTGATGCGATTGCAAGATCGTTGCCAGGGCTGTTCAACCTTATATCTCGAATTAGATGCAAAACATGAATGTTGGAAGTCAAAATCAGACGAAATTGCAACTAATCGCAATTTCGTAGATATTTCTTCATATAGTAACTATGCTAGAACACTTTGCGTGATATCTCTAAAACCCCCATATCTCAAAACTAAGCTTTTGTATTGGTGACCACTAGAGAAATCGCGCCTCTTGACTGTCTCCGAGAAAGATTCATGCTATTTTAGTCTCCTTGCATTTTAGTGAAGAAAAACAATCGAGAACAAAGATAGTATGATTTATGCTTGACGAAATTCGAAGACCTCAGGGATTCAAAGCACAAAATCCAACAGGCAAACATAAAATTGTGGAAGCAAGCTATGAGAGCGTGAAAAATGAGATGTGCAGCCGACTTGACTCCCTTGACATCAACCAAATTGAAAATGCAGCAAATGCTCCCATGAGAGACAAAAGTGGCAGAGAGCTGATATTCGTGGTACCATACGTAAACGAGCAAAGTGCTAATGGAATGACGGGCCGAGACGGACGACGAGACGGCGGATTATGCTACCATCTGCCGCTGATCTCGACACTTGCCATGTGCGGTCGTCGGACGGGGTGACGAAGGCTATTGTAGGACACAAGTAAACACCGGGCTGGTTAATCAAGATGAGCAAAGTGTCCGGGTGGTCAATTTGCGTGACAATAGCAATCACATGCGGGGCTTTTGCAATTTATCGTGATTGCGACGGGTGGTGACGGAGGGAAAAAGCGCTGCAAACAGATGGGCGAGGGATACAAACTACTTGGAACAGTTCAAGTTCGCTCGCAACCTGGAGCGCACCTCGATTCCATTATCGAATTAGTCAGGGACATCATTTATGATATGACTAAGTGATTCGAGGCGAGTAACTCTCGCCGCCGACCTGACCGCCACCGCCGAGCGAGCGAACGGGTGAGTGTGGTGTTGCTGAGAAACTCTCGCATTACTATCGCCATTGTAGATCTTTCGAGATGCACAGGGTTTCTTTTCTGCTCGTAGATTCCCGGAAGCAAAAAGAGAGTAAAAACAGCAAGTGAAGTGATGGCCGTGACGATGTGAGGTCAACGCTAGCGTGAACACAAGCGCCCGCATTTTTTGCTATGGACATGGATGGCAATGCTGGGGTGGTCCGCCATTTGTGTGAACAAAGACTTTGTACAAACATTCGAAAAGTGTGGCCGCGTGAGCGTTAGGTTCTTCGGTTGGAGGTCAGCTATGAATAGTCGACGCTTTTGCTTGAACACTTGGCGAAAGCTTCAAAAATAATCTGATTTACGTAGATGAATTTGCCATAATGCCGTCTGTATCGTCCTAGACAAAAAGAATAGAAAATGCACGACCAAAGTACTAGCTGCCAAGTAAAAATTCTCGTTCCTGTTCTAATGGAATTTGGAACATACTTTGCGAAAGAAGGCTAAACCATTGTTTCAATGCTGAAACCAGTACACGTCGGCTGTGGTTTTGATCACTCATACATTATCAGTCTGGGAGAAGTAATTCTTTCACAGAGATATCTTTTAAGCAGGATTAGAGAAAATCGCTTGTCTTATGATAGCCACTGAATCCACGATTGAATTTTTCAGTAACTGGGGGGGGGGAGGAGGGAGGGGAGGCTAAATTATTTACCTATCAGCTTGCTTAAGGAGAAAAATCTCTGATGTTAGGGATAAAATATGAAACTCATTTCTGAAGCGAGAGCTATAAATAGGTTTTCGTTGCCGAGTGCGTTGTTTAGATAAACTCAAAAATCAATAATGGGACATTACACTCCCGCTTTTGCTAAGCCAAATTCGTTGAGAGACTATGAGACTAAAACGACTGCCTTAAAAAAATGCATCTGTTCACTATGAGCTGCTGAAGCTGAAATTTGATCCCGTATTAATCGCAAAAACTATTTTTGTTCGATTTTACTCTATGAGGGGTCCGGCCATGCGAGATACAGTTTACAGCCCGATGATGGTGCGGATAGATTCGTGTCGAAAGGCCATAAACATTACGGCACCGCAATCTCATTCTAGAAGAGGCAATGACTAGTGCAGGCTGATCTTACGAAGATCGCCACGAATTCGATAATTGAGTGTAGACGTTTTCTGGCTGTTGAAACCAAATTAACCAGAAGCGAGATACTTAGCACATACGGTAACCCTTCACTCTCCGGTGGCATATGGCATGGATTTGCTCATTTTCTAAGTGACCCTGGATCGAGTAAAGTGAGATGATAACAGCATCCAATAACCATCTGGTGCGTATAGGCGAAGACGTCGTCGTCGATCCACACAGCTCTACACTGCTGCGGCGCAAATGACGATAATTGACATGGTGTGTATCAATAAATAGGACGAGGATACAGTGATCGAGGGCAAAGCACCTCGCGATGAGCGCGAAGAAACGAGGAAAACTGGACGATACAAGACAAGCCACGCCAAAGCAATCAAAGTAGTTATTGTACATCGAGCTGCTGCTTACGAACAAGTGTAATCTGGCATTTTGCTGCGAACATGTGAGAAGCCTTATGGACCTTTAAAATGACGAAAAACGGTCATTTGGCAGCTAGGAAAACCAGACGGCTTCTCTGACATTATTGTTAGGAAACAAGAAAAATTTTGGAGCTGATTAGGAGGTCGAAGACAAAAGACATACAGGGTGTCCCAAAAAGATGTGCACACTGTTTGATTGTTAATAACTTTCTTGTTTTCACGTCTTTTGCCGAGCTTGAGGTACCATTCTGTAGAGCGAGGATAAACTTAGATTTACAGTATGGAGGGACTTACCAGCCGCTTTTCATTACTGTAGAATTACGGTAGGAATTTCAAGGAGGATTTTCAACAATGGAAAGCTGTATTTCGCCTCAGAATAAAGCAAAATACGCCAGAAACTCTTGAACTGGGTTAATCATAGTCGCTGATTCTAAATATGAAAACTGTACGTTAGTACAATGTTTCTTTCATGAGTTAATTCAGATTTAGGGTAGCAACTGATTTTCCAGTGTTCAGCAGAAATGTGAATACGCCATCAAGAAAGCTCGAAAAACTGATGGAAAGTTATGTAGTGAAATCAGCACGCCTGAAAACCTTGCTACACAGTTTTTTAGATTTTTTTGAAATTATTTCATTAAAAGGCTTATCCCACAGTGATGCTGTATGCTGAAAGTTCATACCGTAATCCTACAGTAGGAAAAAGAGATTGGAGTTTCGCTTAATACTGTAAATCTAAGTTTATCCTCGCTCTAAAGAATGGTGCCTCAAGCTCGGCAAAAAACATGAAAGCAAGAGAGTTATTAACAATCAAACAGTGTGCACATCTTTTTGGGACACCCTGTATGTGTGAGCAAGAGTGACTGATGTACCTGTTGGTATAACATCGGCGCCAGACAAGAAAATAATTTGCTTGCATCGAAAATGTCTTACGAACGTATTTAAGTAACAGCGGCGTACCGAGCCCCCCTCCCCCCCCCTGGAATGGGTCGCGAAATTTTTGGAACTTACTTATCCGAGGTTATGAAAAATGTGCAAGCTACTTACTATAACTGCAAATAATAGAATTTTAAAATTTTCAAAAATTTAACAGTCTTAGAGAAAATTTTTCGGGAATTTTTTGAAATTTCGGGGTTATAGAATTGCGATAGTTTTGGAAAGCATACCAAAAGTTTTTTTGTCTTCCCCCCTCCCCCCCCCCCCCCCCGCACCTCCGAACGGAAATCCTGGGTATGCCACTGATATGTAGTGTTATCTTAATGTTCTAAGGAGCTGCTCAGCAATCTTTTAAGGGTTGTAAGCTTGAAAAAATGTTGGTATCATACAGATGTAAAAAACTACGCTAGTCCAACAGCAAGCTAAAATCACTGCATAAAAAACACTCGTCTCTATCACAACTGAGATTTCCAGCCAAAAAGCAGCCATATACTCAAAAATATTATGGTGATAATATTTTCAGCTTAATAGAGGCGACCTAGTCAAATGCTAGCGATCTGTCATTTTGATTTACTCGTACATAATGCTCGGCTCATTGGCAATATATAGAAAATAAGCATTTGGCAGAAGGAAACCAAGGCTCACTCGAATGCATAATGATTTTGCTTAAACTGCATATAGACTTATACAAAAAACTTCTTGCTGACTGCACTGGTCCAATTAATAGTACAGCTTCACAATCTGATTATAGTTCACAACTTTAGGAGTGGACTATGAAAAGTGGAAAGAGAAAGTACAAAAAAACCTTGAAAGCATTCTTCGCTTTGTCAGGGCAGAAGATTATAAGTTTTTGCCAAAGTGATCTAGATCTATCAAGCTTTATAAATCTTACAAACGAAAGATAGAATTCCGTTATTAAAGAAGTATGGAGAAGAATTTTGCAAAGATATGAGTGAACATGCGAACATGGCATTGTACAAGACACTTAGCACACCGGTAGCCTTGAGAAAGATTGAAAGGCAGAGATAAATGAAACAGGAACATTTGCCGGAAAAACTTCTATAAATTCAATGTTATCGATTTTTGCAGGAGTTGAAAGTTGATACAAGAAATTATTCACAAGGTTCAAGAGGCTAGTCTTTGAAAAAATTGATGAATCAGCACGGAGTAGAGGGCATGGCAAGTATTATAAGAAAATGTAATGGAAGACGTACCCAAGATTTTCTGCGGCTAAGATTTGATTAATCTGCAGAGCATTTGATGCTGATCGCGATGGATGTAGCGGACGAGGATATCTGTCAGTCCATACAGGTATTGCTTCTGCGTCGGTAAGCACTGGTGGCCTTGAAAAATAATTTTTCAAGGATATTTGCAAAGAATTTTCAGAATTATTCTAGCATAAAATCTGTGTGCTCCCGCATTTTGTGTACCTCTTGCTCCACAACATCACATACAGTCTGGCTGCGCTAATAAAAAAGAATGTGCAATGAATTTTAACTTCCCCAGCCCCTTCTCTATAGGAATGTCAGTAGCCATAAAATCTTAGGCTTTACCAAGAATTCTATCAAAATTCTGAATTCTGAGAGGCAATATTCGGGGGACTTACTGGATCTTTGGACATAGCACATTTTTTGCTCACCAACTTTCTCAATTTTTGCCAAAGCTACGGTGCAGTTTTCTGTTTCAGAAACTACTCTGTTCGAACGCAGCTGTTGTCGAGTAAATGGTTGGCCTATGAGAGAGTGCCACGATAAGGCCATCAGTCATTTGAGTTGCTCGATAACAAGTGATTTGATGTGACGACTTTGAACTTATGCAAACGTTCGCTGGGCTTCGCAGCTGTCAGAAGAGCAAGCGAAAGTGTAGAACAAAAGCGCATCTGATTTATAAAACGTGCTGTCTGGGTACGGTAGGTATACGGTAGCTAAAAAAGTTTTCTTTCAATCTTTACGAACCTTAGATTTCGGCTTACGGTATTTTACTCGGTCTAGTGATTACAACACATACACTAACTACGACTTCAGTCCCAACCTTCTAATAGGTGGCGGTTCGCTTTGATCCTTCTGTCTCCTACCATGACCGCCAGCCTGAAGTTTTGTCTTCCAACGCTGAAGGCGATCAGTTGACCCTTGCGTCAATTCATGGATTCCTAGGATTTCTCATCTCAGGAGACCATTATTCAGTCAAACTAACGACACACCTTTACTAAGACGATCAGCTAGACTTTCTCTGTTTCTTTCCGTATTCATCGACTGATGTCGAGACATCTCCTTGGTCTCGTCAAATATTCTCTGAGTTGCCTCAGCAATGGATTTCAAATCAGAAACTCGTTGTTTTGCTGCTAGGTGATGTTGAGGTTCGGAATTGCAGAGATGATGTGATCGTGACGGCGAAAATGACTTGCTGGCCTTGAGTACAGGAGAAGCAATTTCAACTCTGACGCAGTGATCCGGGCTTTGACAGTCTTCTGAATCTGCTACCAAAGAGCTCACTTCCGAAACTGTCGTCTAGAAAGATCACTTGTAACAAAGTCATTAGGTACATCATACTATTTACCTGATCTTCTTGTCTAGCTTTTCTACCAGCTGCTGCAGCAAGATTTTGCGCCTCTCTGGTAATTTCCTGAAGCTTTTGTTCAACCTGAAAAGTGCTAGCTATGCACATTTCCATAACATTATACTGTGTAGCTCCCACTCACCAGTTGTGCACATGTGAACGAAGAATTTGCTGTGGATGTGCCTGATAGGTCCGAAGGAGGTCGACAAGCCTGAAGTAACGGAATTTTTGACAATTTATCAAAGACAGATGTGCAAGTCGAAATCCACTCGTTCAAGGAGATTTGCGCGCAGCTGCAACTGCCCCATTGCGCATCGCAAGAACAGCATGCAACGACCAAAAGCGGAAGCAATCGAATTCAAAAAAAAGAGGCGATATGGCGATGTGATGCCGCATAAGTGACATTCTTCTAAAAAAACGCATCGGACACTCTCATCACGACGAAAGGGGGTCTGGTCGCGAGAATTTAGGAGGAAAAAGTGCGATCGCCGGGGCCAGTCGGACACCGAAGGAATGTTCGAGTGGGGCGAACAAATGAGGAACGACGCATAAGCACGAAAGACAATCCAGCTTATAACGGACCGCGCATGATTGCTGGTTTGGAAGGCTTCACAAGTGTTGCTAATCCCTGGGGGCATATTGATGACGAGCACTTTCATCAGATAAGGCAAATCGCCTTTGAGGTTCTCGCCCGACAAAAGTCGAAAGGACGACAGACAAAAGTGCAAAAATTGCACAGTTCCTGCTTTTTCGCAGAATCTCCAACAATCGATTATTGATCGAAATTGTATAAATTTATGCACATTTCTTTTTCGCTATAAGCTGAAGCACTACACTCCAAAAGTGCTTCATCTTCCTCCAGTTTCCTAGTTATGTCCCATCATTGCTGGCTAATATTTTCAAACAACTCATAAATATATCCCACTCAAATAAAATCCAAGCACAGTCACTACAATTTTGATAAAAAGCAGAGATTGCAGATGCATGTGCAGATACAAATGCGATTTCTGCGACGCATCTGTTAGCAGATTGAGTGCATAAGGTAGTAAAATATCCCGAACATATGTGAGCAGTGATGCTAGACATACTCGAACAGAAAATGAGTGATGATGTCGAGATTCAATACACTTTTGGGCTCATTACTGCAAATGTTCAGGTGCTACAAATAAAAATCTGCAGAGGATACGGATATTGCAGTCATTTCTGCTAACTGGAAAAATGTAAGAGGGTTTAGTGCCTCAATGAATCGGATTAAATGTTTCTTTTTTCCAGACGAGATCATGCGAGATATATGCGAACTTGATACAATGCCTAGCAGTCAATATGCACCCGCGGGGAGTTGTTTAAAACGGTCAGTTTGTTTACAAAAGATGTTTACAGAAGAGGATTGCAGGCGGGCTAAATAGCAAGTAAACTTAGCACTGTACATGAAAATATGTTTACGCATGAGGAGAATGGAGAGAAGTTTTTCATACAAATAATCTCTGAATTAGGCTTACCTCGAATCCTGGCTCCGTTACTGAGAGTGAGACTTTTTCGAGCACAACCTGCCGAGGGGCACTCTCGAGGAGAATCGTCTTCTGGGTGGCCTCCCTCGCACTGAAATAAGATTGTATTCACTTCAATTAATCGTGCGCTCATGCAATCTGCCTTCCGCAGCGGCCACTGGAGAAGGGCCAGCAGAAGTACGGAGGTGTCCGCACCAAATGCGAAAAAACACACAGGGGTGGATATAAACTCGATCAATGCCACCGCGCAGCTATCAAAAGGACAAGCCAGATTTGGCGGGGACGCTCAACACTGCGCTTTCCAGTGTTGTTGGTGAACTGGTTCGGCTACGTACGAGTAAGAATGAATGATCGAATGACTCGGCCATGAAATGCCCGCTCGCGAGGTCTGAAATGCGAGGTGAGACTGAACAAAGAGCGGCATTTCTGGCCGAGTCTTCGTTCCTGCATGTCCTTTTCAAGCCAGCAAACGGCCCGACAACATGCATTGCGCCTGGGTGCAAGGTTTTGACGTGATTACAGGCCAGTGGTAGGCAAAGAACGGAAATGTCAAAAAACATTCAAATTGCGTGAAGCTCTCCTGAGATCGAATTTCGGCGGTGGCTCGCATAGACCTAGGTTTATGTTGGATAGAAGGTGCATTGGGTAATAAGTCTATGTATGTTGCAAAATGTCGGGCTTCCTGATTTTAGAAGAAGAATGCGAGAGTGCCAAGTACGCATACACCTCACTTAAGTATGTAGAAGACACAATCAAAGACTTGTACTCGCTCCTCAAGTGTTTGTGATCATTGCAACTTTGTTGAAGTCTTGGCATAATTTGGGCAGCATCTCTTATCAATCCAACACTTTCCCAGTTTCTAGCAGAATTTTTTTTGACTATTCAAAACCAACTATCTAGTTCGTTCACAAGCAAGTAAGAATAGCTGATACAATAGAGGAAAAATGGCATTACATTATCAGGAATTTCGATATTAGATTTTGCAAAAAAACCAGAATTAAGCATTGGGCTAGTCTCTAAGCCCATATTCTACATTATTTTACCAAGGACTGGGACTGCTTAAAACTGACAGAGATGATAATGACTAGAGCATGAATACTGGACTCAATTCGCTATTTTCAGTGCTCTTTAGAAGGTAAAGCCAGGAAAATATCGTAGCAATGGCCAATGGTTTAGCAATAGAATGGACTTACATGACGATCCAACGACAATCCTTTGCGTTTTTCATAAGAATCGTAATTGGGTCAAATCATAAGACAAAAAAGAATACGTCTGTGAGTATCCTTACACTAAATATCGTGCATAGAGCAAATGATCAGAGCAGTTTAGCCAAGACGAATGTCAATTATGGTGCTCGTATGTGCTGCTGACGGCACATCGCTTCACCGTAGTATATTAATCCGAAGATAAATAGAGTGTTAGGGGGCAGACGGAGACAACGAAAGAGGGAGGGGCAGGGACAAAATTCGGTTGTCTATTCCGATGAACGTTCTCTGTTTGGAGATTAGCGCATACTCAAATGAGCCTCGTTTTCAATTCTGCGCTGCTCTGTGGACCATGTCGCAATATAATATGATATCTGGTTCAAATGACCCAAAATATGCTCTTATTGGAGGACTGAGCGGTAACATTTCTGCTAGCATTGGTGCAGTGTCATGTAAAAATATCTAAACAGTTATTATCAATGATTACGAGTACCAAAAACGAACACGGCATGTTTGTGCATGTCAGCATGGCGATTGAAACTTAATCAAAAAAAGTTCCTACTCAGTATCTTGCAAGCTATTAAGAGATTACAGTATTTATTCATTTTTCGGCGTGTAGCGCTGTCCAAAATGAAACCAGGACGTCATTGCTGAACTAACAATAAGAGAGAATGTTTTTTCAAGCTCAGAACAATGCTTTTTCTCTCCAAACTTTAACAGAAAACTGAGACCTTTCATTTTGGTTACCTAACGAATCAAGGTCGAAATTGAATATGACGGAATCTTAGTTTCTACATGAGACATGCAAAAGAATAGAAGAGTCTATGCTAGAAAATACAAATGGACCAACAGGATACGATGCGTGAATGCAATGAGACTGATCTTATAAAAGGAATGCCATTTACGAGTCAGCCAGATGTTGCAATATATGGAAATATAGCTAGGACGGGAATAGGAAGATAATTGCTTTCTGAGAGGGATGAGGCTAGAAGGCTAGAATTTGGTGTTTGAATTAATTCCGAAGAAGGTTACTTCACACTTATATAAAATTTACGTAGTTAGTTGAGATGGGAACATAATTATAAAATTGGAAGCCTAATGCTTTTCTAGCACTTTTGACAATTTACAAGCTATATACTTTTTATTCCAAAATGTTTTATTAGGCTGTTCAATAGGTTTTATATTTGAAGCTCCAAATTGATAGTTCTCAAAAACTAGTTCACCTACAAGGGTGCAAATTTGTGGCAGCCGATTGAGTAAGCTTTATAGATAGTCACATTTGCGAGGAGCACAGAATAAGCTACAAGCAAAGTTTGAAAATTCAGTGCGTTCTTCTTTTCTTGATTTCTAGCCATCAGAAAACTGCAGCAAATGTATATGTAAATATGAGAGTATATGCGTGAGTGAGTGCGAAATCCGCAGAACTGTTTTGGAATGAGATACGATTATTTTCATTTTTTCGGGAATTTGGGCTTTTTATGGCTTAAACTCAATGCGGATCATGCTTGAAGTAATTTCGAAGGCTCTATTGTAGGGCTTTGTTCTGTCGAATGGTATTCCGCATCAATTGCACCTTCGAAAAGAACTGATTTATATCGGTGAAAAGTCAGATATGAAAAGAAAGACTTATGGGACGACCTAATATCCACTCAATATAATCTGGTTTACAGACATTCTCTCGTTACTGGGGAGTTTTGGGGAGGGTCTGTAAACCATTTTATTCTTTCTAAAGGGGACAAACAAAACGTAGTTTGAATTTCTAACTAAAAAAAAATATTGTTTATAGAAGTTTCAATGAGGTTGAAAATGGTTCCGAAGTAGATCGTACCTCAGCTTTTCGACTTCAGAGAAGACCGTAATCGTTCGCATGAGCACCGTGCGTCGTCGAAGACAAAAAGCGAGCGGAATACGATGCAAGAGAGCCGCTGCACACCTTCTCAACATTTAGCGTGTCTGGCCAAGTGCATAGCAGGCGAAGTGCTGGTGCATCAGCAGCCGACGGCAACCACCTGGACTGGCGCTCGTCCCACGACGGCCACTACTTCTCTCTACGAGCTGTTACGGCTTTGTCGACGAGTGTCTCGTGCGTGGACAACGCGTTCGACGCTGTCGGTGTACGACGGCAACTGTGGGGCAAAAGTGGAAAATGCCCTCCGAACTCTGCTTTGATGAATGACGCCGGCTCGCTCTTCGCTCCGGCTTTTTTATAGAGAGTTTTTCATTACGAGCCGCGAGTTACACCTCTGCCGCTTCTCATCTCATTAACGCGTTCTGATAATTTCTTTCCGGAACGAAAAACGTTTGAAGGCCACCCACAAGGGGAGCAGCCAGCATGAACGATAGCTTGTGCTAGTCTATGCGTTCGTAGGTCGTATCCTTCGCAATATTCTGTATTTACGCTATTGTGATACTCGAAAAATTGAAAAAAAGGGACTCAGACGAAGTGGCCTTGTATGAGATGTATAACGACTTGAAGAGTATGAAACGCTGATTCCAAATCTACCTTTCTTATCTGCTGCATGCTTCCAAGGAATTCTAAAGGTTCTTATGGGCAAAAAAAAACAGTGTAGATCAGATCAGTGTAATATTAGTCGTTGGATTTCCCTAGTATTCCAAAGTGGCAGAGTTAAGTGGATATGTTTGAACTGAGAATATTTTCTGCAAAGAGTAATTCGAAGGTCGTTCGCGCCGTAGGAAAATTGTCACGACTGATTTGTCCTAGCTCATGCAGATTTTTGCTCTCAAAAACCGTAACTCCTCTCCCAGGAACCCGCAGCAGATAAGTAAGGTAGATTTGGAATCAGCGTTTCATACCCTTCAAGGCAGTATCCAACTCATATCAAAGGGCCACTTCGACTAACCTTCCTTTCCTTTTTAGTAGGCTCTTACTCTACTTTGCAACACTACTTCCAATTCAATGAACAACATCTTGCTCCAAAAGGCACGACTACATATCCGAAATCGCAGTAGTACAGTATGCTTAATTGCAGCTATCGTTCATCCATCCGATATGCTTGCAGTAACGGCATATCTTCAAAAGATTACTTGTCTGACATATTTGTTGTAAAATTTCTTCAAGTGGTACTAGCTGAAACCTTACGCCGTGTTGAAAAAAGCATACTGAAGCTAATATGTATTCTCCTATTACTAGTGAGTTTGTGGGAAGCTGAGCGTATAAGAATTTGATGACTCTACCTATGTCCAGCCACGACCTTGAGAGGATTCCAAACTGGGGCTCACTACGAAAGTACGCATTTTGTCCGGCTTTGACTCTCCAACCATTAAGCATGGAATTTATCGTGCTTTTTTTGGCTCTGATACGTTGGGAAGACAAAATGCCGATGATAATAGTGTCCCCCGGTTACTGCATTCACAAAAGGTTGCGATTACTTATGATCTAGATTAAATGTGAGAGTCGGACAGACATCACAGACAATTTTACGATAAGATACGAGAGTGTGCAATAAACGACAATTTTGGTTTCTTAGGTCTATAACAAGCTTGTTAACAAGTTCAAGCTGACATCTGGCATGGTATCATGAAGATAAGAAAAAGAAGAAAAATGAGAGAAAAAGGCATGTTTGGCGATATTGCAAAAGTTCTTTGATACGGTGATCCTCCTGCATTTTTGAAAGATATTGTCTTCTACCAAATTCTCTTTGTAGACTGATTACGACCGAGGAGTTCTATTTCAAAAAATGGCATGTCTAAATTTTTGGAACACAGCCCAGTGCTTCTTGCATTGAAACAAGCCCGATTTGATGTGTATGTAAAAATCAAGTCTCCTCGGGAAACGATGGCATGATAACTAAAGTAGCTTCAGATCTATTTCTTTCTTTTCTTATTTTTTATTAGTCTTTGAACCTCATGCATTAGTAACTGATTAGAATTCCAATTGGACTTACTCTTATATATTGACAATACACGCCAACTGATGCAGGATTCTCATAAAGTCGGGAAATTTAATCTAATTTGAGAATTGGGAAACGTGGAAACTTTCAGATAAAAGTCAGACTGCGGAAAGTCTTAGGAAGCGTGGGACACAATGTACCTCGAAGCGAAGCAGGTAATGAAATTATTCAGGCGGAACTTATCTCAGGCAGAACAAAGAAAGGTTTTCTCAGCAATGTTCTCTTGTGCAAAGCATTAATCCACTTAGAAATATCTATCTACAAAGTAGAATCAGCTCCACAGTAGAAAATTCTAATTTTGATTGTTGCCTCAGTGTATGTATCTGAGAAGCAAGTTCCATTCCAAGTGTCAAAATGTTGGCGCGAATTTGTTTTCCTGCGATATCAACTAACAAAATGAGTATAAATAGATCAACTTCTTCTCAATATAGCCAAAACAACTACGGAGAGAGCCGGAAAGTACGGACAACACTTGGTTGAATCTTGTTTGACCATAGGTAAGGACGCAAAATAGCATGTTATTCTCATCACAAGGCTATATATTACTCATTTGTTTGCTTTACATAATCACCACAGCCAAAATGTTCAAATACACTTGCAGTGCAGGGGCGATTTTTTATAGGTTAGACGAAAAAACTAACACTAGTAATTCAACTCCCCGGGAAGCACACTTTTATGTACGTTTTTTTTTCACAATTTCAGCGCCGAGATTCAGTGTATCAAGTTTAGAAAATGCACTTTTACTCTGTTTCCGAGCAGACAGCGAGTTCTTTTTGATGCTAAAATTGTTAGCTAGGCTAGCAATTGACAATGGGAATACCTAGGATACTTACTATGGAACTCTCAAGAACTTGTTTGATAAGCGTTTCTCCAAATAGCGATGTCTCGATGAATCATCTCAATCGTGCACCTGATCAATCCCAAGTTTAAAAAAGACGAGGTCATGATCAAAGCTGACGAGAATAAGGACATACGGAAGTGGATACAAAGAGAAAAATTCTATTTTCTTATGAAGCCGACTGGGTCCCTAGGGTGCTTTTTCTAATTGTGCGTATGCTAGTATTGCAGTATTGCCATTCTAGGACATTTTTATGAGAGACCGTGCCAAAACCCAATGGATCCGATAGCAAATTAATAATAGAAATTAACTTCACATTTGAATTATCTCAGAAACGCGGTAGGTGAAACCTGCTCCATGCACGGCAAGCAAATGAATGGCTGAATGTTATTTTTTGCAAATACATATTTATGTTAGAGTGGGTGGTGTACAGTTGTCTCACGAAGAGGCAAATCACATCATCAGAAATAGATAGAAATCCCTCAAGTTGTTAAGATTTCTGCGCAAACTCGTGGTTAGTATAGTTTACGAATAGTGCCACACAAAATGAGAAAACCATTTGTTGATTGTTGACAATGAAAATTCATCAAAGTGCCATGTCACATTTACTAGTCAGGTGATAAAATTTAACATTCGTCGATAGTCATACTAATTATACTAACAGAATTTAGTCCATCCTAAATGTCTCTTTCTCACATATGCAGCATTTCAGATACTCTCGTTAGCTGACAAATTCTTCACGTAACTACGTTGAAGTCGCCGACATTTAGCCATCTTTTTCACGCTTTTTTTCTGCGAAAATCCGCAAAAACTTGGCTCTTTGAGTGAAAGTGCAATTGTGTGCGTAGCTTGCAAAATGCTTTTCTTTTCGGATCGCAGTGGAGCGTTATGCAACAGAAACGGCTGAACACTTGAGATGTTCGGAGAACGGCTCAGGAGTGCTTCGTACAGCCGCACATGCTCGATGTGGGCCGAGGGCGAGATGCGGGCGTTGAGATAACGAGAAAAATGGCGCCGATAGGGATAGTAAGTACATAATGGAGAATAGAACGGAGGCAGCATTGGTTTACAACTCTCTAAAGAAAGAGCTGATCGAGAAAATATAGAGAGATGGGTTTCCTCAGCAATAGACGTCTTGCACGCAAAAGAAAACTCACATTTTCTTCTTGTCCACTCGCGTATCGGCAAAGCACTCACTCGTCTTCTTTTTTCTCATGAATATGCTTGGTTTCTTCGAATCCGACAGCTTCGAGGATGTCCTGGAAGAAGTTTCGTAGAAGAGAGCAGGCACGAGTAGCTATACCGAACCTAATGATTAGATGAAGCGTAAACTTTCGCACTTGTCAGGTGTTTACGAAGAGATCACTTTACAGATTTTATGCATGATCAGCTGTTTAGAATGTTAGGTGTCTTTTACAGGCGGGTGGGCTAATCTGTACTTTCATGAAACACTAGATGTACTGATCAGTTGTTACCTAAGAAGCTGTACATGTTTGTTCTAGTACATAGTTCGCAGCTTTTTTCAAATGAAACTCCTACTTGCAGTGGTGAGTGATACGTTCCTTAGCTGAGCGATTCATTCAAGTCCATAGCGACAAATTTAAACTGCTACTTGACGTCAACTACAGCCAATCGCAAATCTAGTCACTCAGAAGTGTTGGTTCATTCCTTTGTACAAGATTCATAACTGGTTAGCACCTATTTATTGCTCACGGCATCCTTCATGCTCTAGTAAGCGCGAGAAATTTGTCTGTATACATATGTAAAGCAAATTTTACGCGTGAAATTCATTCAACTCAACAACTACCACAGTGATTTTATTAATGTTTTTTTGCGTTTTATAGACGAAATATACTACTTTTGGGTGTACTTGAGCGATCAAAAGCGCTTTACCTTTGGTCCAACCATGTTTTACAGTGCAAAAAACACATCCTCAGAACAATGATAATAAAATCTCTTGAATCGTCGACGTAGCTCAAATCATAAACCACATCTGTTCAACACCTATTAATACTTCTTAACAAGATACCCATTCTGAATCAATTTTTTGCATTTTCTTTTAGGGAAAAATGAACTTATAACCAAAACAATTGCAGACGAAAGTTAATGAGGTAGCCATAGTTGCGGGATCTCTTCTTGCCGTTCATCTGCAGTAACAGAAAGAAGCAAATGAGCTTGTTTCACTTGCTCAAAAATTGAACTGAAGGGAAGACTCCGCCAGAAACTTCAAATTCACTAGGAAAGGCGATGGTAGAGTGATGATAGGAAACAACTTTCCTGCTATTCTGAAACGCCTCACTGTTGGATACATACTAAAAGAAACCTACAAGCCTAAAAACGATTTGCGACGTATGGAACACGTGTTCCAGTTAAGGCGATGCTGTGCGTTGGCAGCTCTCATGATATATTCAGGGTAGCGTAAATGAGGTATTCTGAGCAACGTGTATGAAAGTGTCCGGAAAAGCGATAAAAACCGACGTTAAGAATGATTTTTGAATTTTATGCGCCACATGGTCCAATGGAAATGGGAGACGATTACGACATCATATATAAAAGTTTTGAAAGGTTTTCTACGAAGTTTCTGCGAAGGCAAAGATAAACTAACTTCTGTTCCGAAAGCGCCGTCAATTCATCTTTTGCCTCCTCTTCCTTTGTCACATTTTCCAAATCTTCGTCCTCTTCTTTTATACTTTTCCTGAAAAGTCGAAAATTTTCATTCCATTCGTTGTTCGTGCAAAAAAGATCACCTTGTTTTGAAAATTCCTAACTCTAATCTTCGTTTCTCTGACGAGTGCATTATTTTTCACGAGAATGATCACATTAGTTGTTGGGAACAGCTGCTGGAATATGTCGAGTACAAATGAGAATCAATATCAAGAACCACAATAAATCATATAGAGAATTAAGCATCGGATATCGCATTAGCTTGCGAGTATGAAACGGAAATTTGATATTTTCAGAACCTTTTTGAAAGCTTCTGAGAGTGCAAGTGGGAGAATAAAGTATCCAGTATGGAAGGGGCGGAAGTACGAATTTGGGAAATTTTTGATCGTTTTTGTTATACTGATAAAACTGCCTGTTCGAGTTTGAAAAAAAAACAGATATGCATATTTTCATTCCCCAAAAATAAATTGTTGACGGAAGTCCGAATTTTCAGAAGAAAACCAGGAAGAGTTTGTTTGATGACACAATGCCAAAACTACAGAAGAAGGCAGCAAAATAACTGACATAAAGCCAACACATGCAGTCCTATTCCCAACGAGACTATACGAAGCTGCCGCTGAACCAGCTCAGACGCGGCTAATGCATTCCAGAAAGGAACAATGCAATCTTTATTCGAGATCTATTGCTGGTACATGATGACGATAACATCGTGGTCCTCCGAGGTCGGCGCACTAGCCAACAAATTTCGTTTAAACTTTCACACATGCGAACGATTTAATGAAATTCTGAGTTTTGTGCATGCTTGGCAATGTACCTTGTTGATCAAGTGGACCTACTCCTCAGTTGAAAGAGCGAACTGAGCACATGTGACTGGAACAATTGTCGTGAGATTAATTTCACCCGACAATCTTCGACGTATTACTCAAGAGCATTCACTATAAAGCCTTTTTTTGAACAGAAGCCCATCTCAGCTAATTTTAGGAACTCTTACTCTAGCATAATCAAAAGGTGAGCAAGCAAGGTCAAAAAGGTGAGAGCTGAATGAGCTGAAGACAACAACCACACTCGAGACAACATTTCGGACAGGACTGGTTTCGGTGCTCAAGCCTAGCACGACGAATCACTCCAGGTGGTCCCGCACACTTCTTGAGCAATCGTAAAAAACTAAACAATTAGCAGATGGTTGCGCTTCTCAAAGGCGAGTGCAGATGCAACGGCACGTGATTTGTAGCACTATTTACAAATTACTGCGTTTTTTCTTCAAAAACCAAAAAAGAACGCTTGCATCCATCTCAAACCAATCACAGTTTTTGCTTTGTTATGAAAGAAAAAGCGAAAGAACTCCGCAATGACTAAGTCCTAAGGCATACCTCCAGCGATCTCGTCGTTACGATTTTCAATCGCTGCGATTAGACTGCCTGCGGCAACTGCTCATTGCGTGAAAATCGCTCATCGTTTGATTACCGGACATACCCATATACGCACTTTCGAAAAATTTGCACTAGTTTGTTGAAGCACATTCATTCAAGGAAATTCGAATGGAATGTGTCGCCATATGCTTTCAGAGAATATTTCACTAAACGAGGAAGGATATGGACTCACACTCATCCTAGTATTTACCAACGTTTTTCTACCGGCGTAAGTTAACATCTGCAATGAAATCAGCTACTAGTCCATGAAGTTTTGAGTTCACTCTTTCAGTCATTGGTAGGCATATACCAGTGGCGGTCCCAGGAATTCGGACCGGGGGGGGGGGGGGGAGGCGACAAAAATTCTTTTTCAGTGAAGGTGCGTGGCGTTAGCCACACACTCCGCAAAAAATTTTTGGGGTGCTTTTTCAACCCCTAAAATCTGGAAAAAGGGGGCAAAAACTTTTTTATTTTAAAAAAATTTTAAAAATTATTTTAATTATTTGCAAGTATAAACGAGGTAGAAGACTCTGGTTAGGCGTATATTAAAGGGTAGCGTCCAGGCAAATCTGGACCTATGGGGGCCCCGTGACCGTATTCGCATGGATTCATGGCTCGGCGCATCAGTTTCGTGTGGATCCTCGCGCGAAAGCGCCACGAATCCATGCGAATACGGTCACGGGGCATAGGTTGGAGCCCAATTATCTTAGCCGTGAGTGCACTATCCGAGCTACTGCTTGGGCAGTCTTTTTTAGGACCTTAAGATTACTTTCCACATAAGAGCCCCGTAGGTCCAGATTTGCCTGGGCGCTGCCTTTAACAACGAGTGCTGCGCGAGCTCCTGCCTGCCTATCTGTGAACGATTATACATACAGTCGCTTCATTTCATATGATCATGTGTGCCACTGCACACACAGTCCACTTTGGCGTCCTCATCCTGGATCTGCAATCGCAAAAACGCAAGAGACTTACCAATTGTTGTCAATTACATCAATTTGAGGTGACTAATAACTAAAAAGGAAAGCAAATGTTAAGAACACCTTGGAAACACTTACCTGAAGGCTTGTTTCTCCCACGAATCCAGGATGGGGACGCCAAAGGTGAACTGTGTGTGCAATGACACACATGATCATATGAAATGAAGCGACTGTATATGCCTTAGCAATCGAGATTGCACATCTATTTTACTTCAGAAACTATAGCAAGAATATTCGAGGTTGTTCAACATTTATATGTTATCAATAAACGAGAACGGAAGATTAGTGCATTGTGATAGGAAATGTTAACACAGAGGGTGAGGTGACTATGAGAATCATTCCATACTACATACTTGGCATGTGTTGTTTTCAAGGATTGATAGTATGGAATGTTCGATGACCATTCTTCTCTCATGCAGAGAGGAAGCGCTTGTATGAGATGGAATAGTTCTAAATGAGATTCGCATTCGCAAAAAAAATACAAAACTTCGCAGAAGTCATTTGAGCGATTCGCCCATCGCTGGTGCAGAACCCTAGCGACGGCGACATCGCTGAGTTTGGGCGATGTCGCAACGATATCCCTGCTTAGAGTATGCCCGCCCAAAAAAGGTCCGCGATTCGTCGCAGCGTCAATCTATCACAGACGCGGCGCGACCACACATTGGGCGCGCTGCGCTGCGGACTCGGAACATAAGTCCGAGTTGACAATCGCGAGTGGAATCGCGGGAGGTATGCACTAGGCTTAAAGCATGGTTTCAACAACATCTCTAATCTGCAAAGAATTTGCCCAAGACCGACTAAAAAATGAGAAGAAAACTTCATGAATCACCATACTCACTTCAAATATCGCTTTTCGAAAATCAAGTCTTGGTCAAGAAGCAGTGAATATCAAGAAAAAAGAAAGTATTTCGACCTGATTTAATCTGATGATTACTGGTTATCACTCATTCTGTTAGGAATCTAGCCTTTCGGTCACATTGTGCCCTTCTAGGCCTGCATGCACTAGCATCCCCACTGGGGAGGGGATCGCAGCCTAAAAAAAGCTTTATATGCTATCTCCAGATATCTGGATTTCACGTTGTCTACCTATCCGCAAGTTTTCTTACCATCCTTCATCAGAAACATAATGAACAGGAGTGAGAAGCTGTACAAGTCGCATTTTCCAGCTTTTTGTATGATTCCCTGATGATCCCCGGAAGCCAATCGTCTTTTTTTCAATCATTTTTTTCGAAATCATTTTTCTTTCTTCAAAACTAACGAAAAGCTTTCGAAGTTGTACAGATTATCCAACCTAACAGTGCTAAGTATGTTGCTGATAAGAACAAATAATGTATTGGCTTCATGAAATTTGCGATGAACCACAAGTTGAAAGTTGGGGTTTATCAAAAATTTCAGTTTTTAAGAAACTCATTTGTTCTCATCAGCAACATGCTTAGCATAGTTGGGTTAGATTTGTACAAGTTTGGAAGGTATTGGTTAATTTCGAAGAAAGAAAGATGACTTTGAACAAGACATTGGCCGCGGGAATAATCAGGGTCATACAAAAAGCTGGAAAATGCGGCTTGTACTGGTTCTCACTCCTGTTTATTATGTAGTGAAGGATAGTGGAAATACTTGCGGATAGGTAGGCAGCGTGAAATTCAGATATCTGGAACTTCAGAATATGTAGCTTTTTTGAGCTGCGATCTCCTCCCCTGCGGGGATGTTAGCGCATGCGGCCCTCAAAGACAGTAGATTCGTGGTAGATTTAAAGAGAGCCATGAGATTAGTGAATCCTTTCATGTCTATGTAAGAGCTTTTCAAAGGGATTAGCCTGGACACTCACGTGCTCGAGATTTAACGAAATGTTGTTACAAAGACGAAGTTTTGCTTTCTTTAATTCACTTTTTTGTTTCGTTCGCTTGTTGTAATTGATGTTTGATATGAGGAACGAACGACAACTATTCATGCAGCCCATATTGTGATCAATAGTAACCATTGAAGCCACATTAGAGGTCCTAAATGCATATTTACAACTTCCCTAAGAAAACATAATGGCGCAAATAATTTACAAGTTGTGAAAAAGAGGAGATTCATTTAAACAAAACCGTGTACTCGTTATTTTTCTCTGAGATGGTTGCCATCAGCGATCATGGATTTGGCATGCCCGGCACAAGGGTAGCAAATGACAAGCTGGGAAAAGATTTCGTGAAGCAGCGAAGAAGATGCACGTACAGAGCGAAGCTCAAAAGAAGTTGTCACATACAATCACAAGAGTTGTAATATGACATCAAAAAATTTGCAAGCATGTGATTAGAGGGCAATGATCGACTTTCCCGTAATTTTTTCACCAAACTGGTGAAAATGGATCGTTTGCAGCGTACAGGTAAGGATATGGCATCAGACGTAATTTATTGGCGTGTAAACAGACAAGGGCTAGTAAGATAAGGAAAGGTCCAACTGAATGAAAGGTGCCGCTGGCGCGGTCAAACGGAAATCGTGAAATTCGAAAACGGCAAAGACAACTTTCGTTCCCGATGCCCAACCTCGTGTCGGGTCCTAGTTTCTGATACTTCCAAAAATCATGAAAATAGGATTTCCAGCAGCCTTCTCTTGTTCAAAAGAAAAGATACTCAGTGAAGACTAAAGCCGCTACACCAACTTTGAATACACTTAGCACATTAACGAGTAATACGGAAGATTGAATGCTGGTCTCGGCTATATCGTGAAACGTCAATAACACACCTGCTGCTCGCGAAGGGTAACGAAGATCAGTGATCAAGCATTATCCGTGTTGACAAATGAATCTTTGTATATGCTATAGATAAAGCTTGAAAGTTCGCGAAAAGAAATTAATGTAGAGAAATGTGCTATTGTACTTTTGTAATAACTGAATTTCTTCATGAGCAATAATTCAGTAAGAAACAAAGCTCTATTTTACCATTTTCCTCAAGCGGGCCAAAAGAAGGATAGCACCAACAGATCGGGATGTTTTCTGATGCAAGTATAGAAGAGTGAAATTTTCATATGCCCAAGATCTTGAAAAGACAAGCTCATAAAGCCATATTTCATCAATTCAGCAAATACAGAGTGTCCCAAAAAAATGTGGACACTGTTTCATTGTTAATAACTGTCTTGCCTTCACGTGTTTAGCCGAGCAGGGGTGCCATTCTGTAGAGCAAGGTTCGACTTAGATGTATGGAGCGAATCATCAATCACTCTTCATTGCTGTAGGATAACGTTAGGAACTTCGAGAAGGAATTAAGGAAAGTGAAAGCGATTTTGCCTTAGAAGGAAAACAATAAGCCAGAAACTCTTGTACTGGACTAATCAAAGGTGCTTATCAATCACTTCACTGTAATGCTTTTTTTTATCAGTTACTTCAGATTTAAGACAACGACTGTTTTTCCAGTGTTCGTCAGAAGTAAGATTACAGCATTAAATAAGTTCGAGAAACTGGTGAAAAATTATGTAGTGAAACCAGCACGCCTGAAAACCTTGCTACACAAATTTCTGGATTTTTGGGAATTTTTTTCATCAAAAGGCCTATTCCACAGTTAAGGCTGTGGAATAGGCCATATGCTGAAAGTTTATACCGTAATCCTACAAAAATGAAGAAAAAGATCGGAGATTCATAAGATGCTGTACTAAGTTGAACCTATTGGTGAAAGATATGAAAGCAAGAGAGTTATTAACGATCAAACAGTTTCACATTTTTTGCACCCTGTGTATGGAGGATACTAATGCGGCTGAGTCAAAACATTCGACTATAGCCCAAGTGCGCCACTGATTCGGAATTGTAAGGTCCTAACTTATTAGAAAACTCCATCATAACGACGGCAAAGAGACGATCACAGTTTGAGGTAAAGTTAGGTCCGTTGTAATATGGGGCTGTTGATGTATATATGCGTCCGGGTTCCATCACTCAATACGAAGGAAAAAGTATCGGTAAACCTGTTTTTGAAAAAAGATTTGAAAAAGGCATCTTCATGTGTAGATGTAAATTGCAGCGAACCATTAATCAGATAACAACCGTTCCAATCATATGTCATCCTATACACACGTTTATAGACCTCCAATCAAGGATATTGAAGCAATACGATCTAAATTACACTTGCTTCGGACTGTTCCACGCATCTACTTTACGAGATTGCAAAACCTTTACGCTTCCTCTTCTTTAACGACATTTCGCAAACAATGTTGATAGCATAAAAACAAAACAATGATGTGCGAAGAGCTACCAAATCAGTAAAATGTATTTTCTAACCTTGTTAATACATAGTCAGCAAGCATTCACCCAGCAACCGATAGAATTTTGCAAAAAAAGCAATTTCCAACAAATATAAATTTGTGATCGATGCAGATAATATATGTGAGCTTGAAGGCTTATAATGGCATGACCAATTTGCGCATAGTGCAAAAATAGCTGGAAAAAAAGTCAAACCAGCAAAAAGGGATGGACAGTTAAGATGATGGCAATATTCTTTATTTGTGCAATCAAATTCAACATCGAATGTGATTTCAATGAAGATGCGAAAAGAAGTTCTATAAAGCCATTATTTTTGCTGTTCATTTAAAAATTTAGAATAAAATCGCCCCTAATAGGGTAAGGAACATAGCTAGCATAAGATATACACGATAACCAGCTACACAAAGTAGCTTTGTAATTCAGGCAGAACACGCAACTCTTATTGCGACCACACTATTAGAGATAATCGCCCGCTGAATATGTGACCTTGCCGAGCAGCATTGAGAAAAAATGGTTATTTTCCGTTGTCATATTAGCTCAACGTAAAGCGGACAGATATGAGAGAACAAGCCAACGGATTAGCAACCTAAGAATTCAGGTAAATCTTAGTGCTGCTAAGAGAGCAGGAAGTTGTGAGTTGCGCGGATTGAGGCACATCGTGACTACGTTACACAGCAATTGATATTACACTTGAGTGTGACGAGGCAACTCACTTGATTTCAACTCTTTCGGGTTGTTGGCATGCAAACCTCATTCGCGTTTTATTTGACTTCGTAGGACAGCATCGTAGTTAGAAGAAATCTTGCAGAGTAAATAGATGGCTGCAGCCGTGCATGCAAAGAAAATTTTTGGAGAAAAATTTACGCGACGTTTTTGCACGTCTCTAAATGAAAAGTAACTCGAATTGCGTTGAAAATGGTTCTGTTAGATTACTTCAGTGCTCTTGATTTCACAAGGGATACTCCCATGATCAAATGTAAAATTTTACTTCAAAGGGAAAAATATTCTGAGTAGAGTGAAACAATTCAGAAAATAAAACACACCTTTCTGTCAAGTATTAGAGCTTGAAATGAAATACATGTCGGTGTTGATACACTCAACAATTAGACAGTTTGTTTCGGCACCTGTTTCAGAACGCCTGACCAAAGCGAGAAAAAAAGTGTAGATGTAAACTGACATGACAAGCGCAGAAAACTTCTACAACTTCCGAAATTTTCTTGTATACAGCTGTTCGAAATCAACACTACGTCATTGTTGTTCCCTGATATACGATTAGCTCTGATAAAAAAATATTGGGTCGATTAATAATAAAAGTATGTTTCGTTAGCTCTCTTGCAAGCGCAGTTTTCCAAGGAAATTGATTCTCGAAAACTATTCACGTTGCTTGAAATAACGTTCTTTCTAATGTCAAGTGTATGCTTTCCTTTTGGTAGGGCTCCACTATTAGAGACTAGAACTTGAAATTCTTTCCTTTTACTCGTTTTGCTCTTCCATAAAAATGAACCACGTTTATTTCGAAAAATAAGCATAACATTTGTGGAGCTTTCTGTGATAAAATGCTCTTTGAGTAATTTGGAAAGAATTTGCGAGAAATTTGGACATAAACTTGCCCGGTCACTGTTCTTCGGTGTAGAAGCAGGAACCGATTGCTGAGATCTTTTTACAGCATGAGTAGACAGCACATCAAGTGGTAGGATAAGGGTAAGAACTTTTAAGAATTTTCAACTTTCCAGTGGCGAAAAAAATCAGTTCTCAAAAAAGTGATTTTTTGCTCTCTTCAAAAAGTCGCGAAAAGTGATCACTTTTGATTTTTTTTGTAATATCTCATCGTAGTAAAATTCAGTAAAATCCGAGTTTTTCGCCGATGCTCCGTTGACCATTGGCTACACGGTGAGCAAAATTTGCTCTATCTTCCTACATTAGTGAGTTATGCTTTCTCAAAATAAAGTTTTCTAGAAAAGTACATGACATTTTTGGATTACAAACCTTCTTGTAATAATCGATGAACAGTATGTAAAGGTAAAAGGTAAAAGGTAAGGTAAAAGCATGTAATGTGTTGCCGAACGCTCTTTCCAACAGTTCTTATTGCCTTTGGAAAGATAATTTGGGGAAAAACTAGGCATCTTCAAAGTTGAGTTCCGGAAACCTGCATTGACTATGAATAAACCTAATATATCTGGAGATAAAGCTATAAGATTAAGACATAAATATGGCAACAAAATTTTTGAAAATCCGCAGCTCCTCCATATCAATTAGTCTGTCTGCGGGAAGAGTCAAAGAAAAAGAAAATAAAGCGCATGCTAGCAAGACTCAAACAAAAGGTTATGGTTATCCCATTGAGGCAACTACATACAAAAATACAAACACTCAAATTTTCTTCTATACCACTGTCGCTGAAACTGCTGAAAAAACCCAACAGGTTTCGGTTTGCTATACTAGCTAAAAACTTCTTGCAATGTTCGTATTTCTCCACAATAGTTGTATTTAGAATTTTCGTTGTCCGAATTTTATTTTTCTACCAAATAAAATTTGATATAGATAGTAAAATACTATTAATATTGAGAACAAACAACATTATTCGAGTTGCAACGGCTATCTAAGCAATTATAACAATTTTTCGGAACTTTTGGGGCAAGACTTAGTTTCCATTCGGTTGGTATCAGCTTGTTCCAGACTATCCAGAACACTTGTTTCGTGTCAGTGAGACAGGGAGGAGCCCCACTGACAAAGAGCAGTATTCTCAAGTTTGATGTTGAATATTCGTAAAACACGATAAAAATACATGCAACTTGTCAACCGATGCATAGCACAAGACAGTCCCGCCTACGCAAAGAGCTGGTTTCACGACCTATTCTATAAATTTCGTAAGTTAGGGCAAGGATACAATTGCACAAAACAGGAAGTAATTCCGTCCAAACTAAACCCTCGACCTCGACTGAAAACGAACTCTGCTCACTTGAGCGCTCTACGCCTAACCTACGCAAGCCGGCCAAAACGAGAGCAGCAATGAGTGGCGCAGCGTCGGTGCAGATTCGTACTCTTGAAACATTTGAATTCTTAGTATCACTTGAAGTGTTTGCTGGACAATAGAACATTTAGAGAGAGAGAGAGTAGCTGGAAGTGCTTCTACAGCTGCGTAAGAAATGCTCACAATCGTTTTTTGTTCTGTGTTTTTGCACTTTGCCGAAGCAAATGACAGTACGTGAACTCGACTCATGCGTTAGCATCGTCAAGAAATGAAGAAATGCGTAATTTTTCTCAGCTTCTACATTATTCATTAGTAGACAATAACGCTTTCTAAACTTCACGCAAAAACATACAATGTTCTTTGTTTGTTTGCTTTAGAATTAAATTGCATTACTCCACACGCGGAACAACTCGCGAAAAACACTGCCATAAACAAGCTATAGCCATGTCCATTCACTCTATCTAAGAAACAAGCAGAAAAAACTCATACATAACTAGCAATGTTAGAAAAAGTAGCTAATTTATTGATTTGGGGAGAAAATGATTAAGCGCCACCGAGGCATGTGGAACACCAGAAAATGCAGAAAGGTAACTATTCAAGTTCATACAAGTTCTGCAAGAAACCATCAATCATGTAAAATTTGCAGTCAGAATTTGAACAAATTGTTTTGACGCGAAAACAGCTCTTCAATCAAAAATAATCTTACGAACCTCATACTAATAGGTCAGCATAGGGTAAACTTATAGTGAAACAAATAATCGCCTTGCTGATTATTGTGAGATTGAATCTAAAATTTTAACAACAATGATAATATAGAACTACAAATCTGTCTCCTTTTCCTGCTAAATCTGTAATTCTTCGGTTGGTGAGCAATTTCCCGGGAAGGACGTCTGAGCCATTTCGACTGAGAAAGAGCCACAAATAATTGGAAATTGAATTAAATGTAGAATCAAACATGATGATCTAAAAATGACATGATCGACTTTCTCCTAGGCATCACATACCATGAAGAAAAGATGATTTTGAGAGCAAATGTTTGTTCCTTACTCGATTGTCTCAAATTAGGAGATAATAGTGAATACTGAATTCTTAAACCGCATTTTTTTCAAACAAAGTGAAGGCTATCTGTTGTGAAGAGCGTGATGCTCTTAGCGAGTGTTCAGATTGAGGTAGTTTCAGCGAACTTGACATGGTTCGATGCATTTCAGGGCGCAACGTAATTTGCAAAGTGAAGTGCATTCGATGCAAGTGCTATAGTACCTCTAGAGCACTGCAAATTACACGATAAAGGCACTGTTTTCTACACAAAAAATCGCTATTCAAAAAAATCAATTTTGATGCCATCTTATTATTAGCTAAAAGGAAGTGGCAAGCATAGGCATCCACCATACGTAAAGAAATACGGTTAATATCAGTTTTAACTGCCAGGTTGGGTAAAAATGTTCCCGTTTTAACATGCAAATATGAAACTCCAACATATCTGTATAGCTGTGGTTCAGCTAATATTGCTTTAGGCGAAATCCTTTATCAGCAGTAAACGACAACTTTTTAAGTTTCATTTTAATGCGGTATTGGATGCACAGACATAATTTGGTCTAGATATAAACAAGCTTTGGCTACATAGCAAAGTATTATATATAAACAAATCAATTTGTGCTAGCAAACTATTGATCAGGTCGGCTGATCAATAATTTCATTTTGGTAAAAGAAATTTTTTAACAATGTAAATAGCTTACAGCTAAGAAGTTTTGTCGGGAGGCAGTTCCAAACCTCTACGCTTACATATCAAAAATCTGGAATTTTCCGTCGTCATTAAATCCTTTTACGGCTGACCTTCTACCAACGAAGAAGGGATCTGCAGTTTGCAAATTACTAATGTCAAAATAATATTTGTGCAAGTATTAGGTCGTTCCGAAAGTAATGTCGCTTTCTTCAAATGAACGCCACATTTCAAGGTATCAAGATTTTTGAGAGATCTTAGGAGCATTCGATGCAGCATTTCATCTTCTTTCTAATGGTTATATAAGTACTGCACAAAATTCAATAACCTCTCGGAAAATTATCAAAATCTGCGACCCATGCTTTTGAGAAGGCCAAGTTTCAAAATTTTTCTAAATTTTTATAACAATCCCCGGAAGGAGTCCAAGTAATGAATGGATAGAGCAAACCCTACAGGAAACAGCACAGCTTTCTTCTACTTTCCAGAGCTCGTCATAAATTTTGTATAGATTTTTTGATGGAACAACGGAATTTTGGCAGGCTCGTATCAGACACAAATGCATCAAACACCAATAAATTTTTGGATTCTGAAACTTACAAAGATGGTTTATGGTTTGACGCTAGGTTTACAAACCAAATGAGCATTCACCGCTTCAAATTAGCAACTTTCGAAAATTCCAGGCACAGCTTGGGGCGCCCGGGAAAACCTGAATTATGGTGATTTTATCCCGTAAACTTAATAAATCGGAAACCAAAAACAACTGGTAAAAAGAGGAGAAAAAGCTGCGTCGAATGACACCCGAGTAGCTTGCCGATTGTTGTTCTGTGAGGTTTGAGTTGACCAAATATGAAATTTGATGGCATTAAAAAATTATTACAGAAACTCTAAAGAAGCAAGCTAAAGAAAAGAGAAAAATCAGTCTGTGTCCTATAGTCTGCTCTATCTATTTGTCACTTATACTTCTTCAGAATTAGGGACAAAAATTTAGAAAAATAGCCGAACTTGACCATGGCAAAAAGCACGAGTTACAGATTTTGGTAATTTTTCGAGAGCTCATTGAATATTACGCAATGAAATTACAACCATTAGAAAGAGGCTGAAATGCTGCATCGAATGCTCCTAAGATCTCTTCAAAATGTTGATTCCTTGAAATGTGGCGTTCATTGGAAAAAAGCGACATTACTTTCGGAACGACCTAATATATACTTTGCGCAGTTCAGATCGCTTGAGTTTGAACATCTATGCCCATGTAGATGGTGCGAAACATCGAACTTATGTACATATCATTTGTGCATTTTTCAACTTCAAACGTTCTGCTGTGTAATTTTTCGAAATTTTGGCGAAAAAATCTGAATCCATTTTTCTGCACCATTTCATCAGAGAAGTATTTTCTAGCAGTGTCGACCGTTTCATTCTCCTCACATCACTCTTAGTGCACCAAAACTCCCATAGAAATTTGTCAGTAACCCATAAACGTCAAAAACAACCGAATTATTTTATTATCCGAAATAATACAGCATTCCATAGTCAATAACGCAAAATCTTTTTTGTGCGTGGAAGCCAGTTACTTAGTATTACGGAACGCTTATTTTCTGGCCAGCAATGGACGTACCAAAATCATGTACTCGGGGACAACTTACTCTTTACTTCCATTAAATTCGTATTCTAAACAAAGTTTCCTCAAAAATTTTAGTGTAAGCTGGCTGTTACGTTCGTCTTTTAAGAAAGAGACTCATATAGAATTAATCTTCTGATTATCCCTGAATCATCGCTCCGTTGATAGCATTGATAGCATTCATACAATCTTATATATAAAGCTGAATGTCTGTATGTCTGTCTGTATGTCTGTACGTATGTGCGGAATAGAAATTTTTATTTCTGAACCGATTTGGACCAAACTTGGCACACATATACTTCGGGGCAGGGAGCGTGTCATAGGCTACTTTTCGTTATCGATCGATATCGATTTTATCGATTTTTTGCAAAATTTGAGCTACAGGACTGGGAGTTGGCATAGGGGGGTAATCGAGCATGCTGATTACGAATATAATAATGACAGGCCCGGGCGGAGCCGGGTATGCCAACTAGTTTTACAATAAGATGTTTACTGAAAAGAGAACAAGGGTCAGAAGTGCACAATTAATTGGCTATGTGATTTTGTGACTGAAGTAGGATAAGAAAAGAATTTGATGGCATGTATAAAATGAGTTTCATAACAGTTTGTTAAACGCAGATCATCCAAAAAAAACGCTTTTCGGTAAATTGACAATGGCACACGACCATCTTAGCAGGCACAAAAAGCTCCAAAAGAGAAAATTTATTCAAATTGAGCAATGCTTACAAGTACAACAAAAGAATACAAAGGTCAAAAAACAATACTGAATTCTCCTTGGTTCCCGAAACACTGCTGCCGCATTTGCTTACACCCCGTTTTTCGCTGGGCTGGAAGAAAAACCAGCCCCAAGTCAGCCAGAAGTGGACAGAGCAGAATCTGTAAGCAGAAATATGAGAGTTGAGAACTCTTTTCATGTTTGAAGATCCCATTGAGCCAATGGAGGCTGAAAAGTTCACCTCCACCATCTTCCTCTTACTCACACTCACTCTAACATACTCTCCCTCTTTTTCATACACTCGCACACAATCTCACCCTTACTGTGGCATTTTGGCAACTCACCCTACCATCTTATATATAAAGCTGAATGTCTGTTTGTATGTCTGTCTGTATGTATGTACGTATGTTCCGAATAGAAAATTCCATTTTTGAACCGATCGGGACCAAACTTGGCACACATACACTTCGGGCCCCGGCGGGTGTCATAGGCTACTTTTCGTATCGATCGATATCGATTCTATCGATTTTTTTGCAAAGTTTGAGCTACGGGGCTGGGATTTGGCACAGGGGGGTAATCGAGCATGCTGATCACCCCCGTGGGGGTGATCAGCATGCTCGATTACACCCCCTGCCAAATTCCAGCCCCCTAGCGCAAATTTTGCAAAGATCGACATCGATCGATAACGAGAAGTGGACTGTGATACCCGCCGGGGCCCGAAGTGTATGTGTGCCAAGTTTGGTTCGGTTAAGAAATGGAATTTTCTATTCGGAACATACGGCGGAGCCGGGTACGCCAGCTAGTTCCCTATAAAAATTTCTGCAAGACCTCAAAAACGCGGCAATTATTTTTAGCCAATTCAAAACTTCGTGGGACAGAATATATAGAGATGTAAGCGAAGTACACGGCTAGGCTAGCCACTATGATTTGTAGTAAATGCAGTGCTTTCACTAGCTTCTAAAAGTTTGAATTTATTCGCATGTCAGTTCACTTGCGTATGGATGTGAGCGACAATGACCGCAGCTAGCCCATTTTCGAATTTTAACATAGAATTCTGTTTAAGACGTAGAAGAACACACCGAATACACTTGCACATCGCATAAGCTGTGCTGCTTGGCCAACTCATTAATTGAAGCAGGAGAGTAAGGTGACCGTCCACCAATGATGTCGAAAGCATGCACTGATAATCCGTGTAGGTAACTGGAATCAACGAGGACTTGCGAAATGTGGTAGAGAAATCGAATCAACAGTGAAAGCTGTTTTCATAGGCGCAAACCATCACCTTTTATTTCCTTAGAACAGACACATGATTTTTGCAGCCAAAGCGGAAATTGAATATGGAAATGGAAGGAGACGGAAGCAAAAATTCTTCCACAAAGAAGGAGGAAAGGTCATTTTCCCAAAACAAACATGACAATTTCCTGCTCTAGCAAAAACTTGCACAAGTTTGGCAGTTCTCAAAAAAGGTTTCAAGTGTTACTTTTTGTCGAAATGAGAGTGCGTAAGATGCGGTGAGAATGTGGCGTTTCAAATTTTCACTAGAAGTAGGCGTTTTCATCACATGAAATAATCCATCAATATACGTACACCTTGCACATTCATAGATGTACCACTAACCTTATTGCAGGCCTTGAGTGGGATCGTTTGGAAAATAACAAGCATTGCCGCACATTTTGAAATCCCACGGAGTAGCAGACAAGCCTAAACACAAAATTTTGACCATAGTAAGGACTGGTATAGCGTTGGGATTCTACTAAAATGCGATGCCAAGCAGATTACCACTTTGAAAATGGACAAAATAAAATGATAAAATGGAGGAGTTGGCACGGAACAGCAGGACGAAAAGCGACTGGAGGGAATCATTATTGGGAACAGGAACTGACATTTCAATGCGCATTCTACAAAAAAGAGATGAATAGTCGTAAAATTTCCTCTACAGATATTTTTGGTAGGATCAGAGATGAAGCACAATATACGAGCAGACGCAAACTGTCTTCAAGCCTTAATTCAGACGCTCAGACGCTTCCGCGAAACACACACACACACAAACACACACACACTTCATTTATACAGATGCATGTTGTATTGTTGATGATATATAATATCAGACATAATACCAGATAATATCAGACATGACTGAATATGTTCAAGATGTGAGCTTCAAAAAATGCGTTTTGCGAATGAGAACACGAAACAAACAGTAAATGTCTTTTTCAATCATGAGTATTACAATGCGCCACCAAAACCAAGCTAGCATGATGAACCCCCATTCATTACTGTTCTTAAAACAGAAACGCTGAAAGAATTTAAACCGCGCTAGAGCTCTCCAATTGAGTAGCTTTCTTGAAATTCGAATTCAAACTCAAAATATATAAATATTACTGTACCCCGTAGATTCGACATCTTCTAAGGAATGCCTGTATCCCGTACGCAGTTAAGCTTCTAAACGATTTGCTTGTGCCATTGGTCCTACCAAAAAGGACTGTACGGTTGGAGATTGTTAGGATGCATGGTGTTGACTGCAGCTTCTGCCTCCTTGTGCTTCTTTTTCATTTTCTTGAAAATTTTTCATTTTCTACTGCTGTTACTTATGTAAATTATAGTCGGTACTCGACGGTATCGTTGACGTTTTAAAAGGGATTCGCGATAGTTAATGTGAGTTTTTCATTGGAAATGGTGAGTAGTATAAGAAAAAATGTTTTTTTTTTCGAAAGGATGCCCTATGTGATTTTTCAGCAGCAGATAAGCTGTAGAACCCTCCAGATTTGTCTCAATTGAAGATCTTCAGATTTCCGTGACAGCTGAAATGTCATCGTCATCTCTGAGCCTTGTGATCCAGTGCAGATGGCGTTGTTTGAAGAAAGATAAAAGATGATGAAGCGTTGCTTTCGCTGCTTTCGACTATCACTCACTCAGTTCTTGGTATGTTACTTACTGTGGTTTCAATTTTCTCACTGGAAAATACAAAACTTTCCTTTGTAGAAGAAAGCTTGAACTAAAGTTTTTCGTCTACAGATTGACCATTGTCTCTAAAGATAGGTGCAAAACAAGAATAAGACGTTTTGTTTGAAATTTGAAGAAATTCTTGGACTCACAATTTTCCAGAGATGTCTGCCAGCTCTTCAGCTACTAACAGCAAGCAGCGCCTAAAGGCAGCTCAGACCCAGGTTAAATTAAGATTGCTATGTGAAGATGTTTCAAGAAAGCTTCTTCAGCAAACACAAGCAGAAAAGGACTTCGAAAACTGCGAAGACTGCCGTAGAGCCAACAAACACGCTGTCCCACCCATGTACTTCACCTGTCCGAAGCACGTTATGGTGCTCGTCTGCCCCATCTGCATGGATCACAAGTGCAACTACCATTCTCCTCAGTGAGTTTTAAAGAAATATCTTGCTGTCGAAATGAATACGAACTTCAAAAAGACGACAAAGACAACGGCATACAGGGTGGTTCATTTGAAGTACAAGGAAAAGAAAAATTTGTTCAAACTTTTCTTGGCAATTTCGTGCACTGCTATTCGATTTCACCGTTAAAAAAACAACCCTGTCAAGACCAGACTTCCAGATAAGAATTATATCATTTGTGGTATCTCTGGATTAAGAACTTTGAGTGTAATTGTCAACTATATCTTCGCGCTCAAAACAAAACCTTGTGGTTTCTGCTGTTGAAAAACACACAATTATCCCTCTTCAAAAAGCCTCAAACCAAGCACATTTGTTGAAGGCATACGATTACTCTAAGCGCATTTGGGCTCGAATGCGGGAGTCCATGCCAAATCAACATCCAAAATTTGGTCATATTAGTCTTCCACATCTATACCATCAAAGCTACTTTGTTAGCAGAAGTAGTTGGCAGCTCTGCACACTTGGCTGACGCCTTAATCCTTGTCTGGCCCACCATAGAAATGTAGATATAAAATCCTAGCTCATTCAATTGATATTTTGGGAAATAATTTCATCGAGGCCTGATATGTAGAGATGTTTTCCGTAAACAAAAAAATTGATTTTGGATGAGCTAGTCATATTTAAAGTGCAGAGAGTACGGAAAGACGTAGCCATCATGCCAGGCGCGAGTGAAAAGTTAGAATTCAAACCTGCCTCCTACAAAATATGGATTGTCATGTCGTTGAATGTAGTCAATGTCTTGACCTGAAGAGGTATTTCACTGTTTTTCTGCCTTTTTCAAGGTGCCCCGTATAGAAAAAATACCCATTGTTTGATTATTAAAGATTCCCTTACCTTTCGTCTTTCATGGATCTGGAAGTACCAAATGAAAAACCTGGTTTTACCTACATTTACGCTGCAAAAAGGTTCACGTTTGTCATCATAGGATTACGGTAGATGCATCCAAGAGAATTTACAGAATTGAATCTTGCACTGATAATTACCATGAGAATGCTGGGAATTACGAAGTCAACTGAAGGAGTTACTAACGTGAAATGCTTATATAGAAACCCTTTTCAACAGGGTCACGCCTAGTTTACCGTATTAGATGTTTTAGTGATCATCAGACATTCGTAGACAACTTAATGAGATGATCAGAAGTTGGAATTCTCACCACTAGAAGTTCCTTTTTATTAGTTTTCCGTGGTAGCAGCTAATAATTTACTCTACCGTGCTGGAATTCTCCACAATTCCCCAAGAAGTACCGATGATTTCTACTATACTGTAGATCTAAGGTGAATCCAGCTCAATATGATGGTATTACAAGTTCATCGAAAAAAATTTGGAACTTGAGAATTATCATCGACCACACAGTAAATTGACTACCAAACATTCTGACGCATACTTGAATATCAAGCAGAAATGCATTGCTCTTTTTTCGGCACGATCGATTAAGTAGCAGTTAGATAGAATAAAGTTGCATCGCTTTTATTTTTCCGAACGACTAACTTCTTACGATTTGCAAATTATTGTTATAGACTGCAAAAAGGATATTGTTATAGACCGCAAAAAGGTACTACTCGCTTACTATGATCTAATGAAGAGTAGAACAAAAGTACGGGAATTGGAGAAGAGTAAGCAAGGTAAAAATGATTGTCCACAAACTAGTGATTATTTGGGCGTTATCGGTAAGCTTGAGAAGAAGATATCAGGTTGTCCCATAAATTTCGTCCGTTTTAATTTCCATTCCCAATAAGTCATGAACTTCTTGATTCTAGATAGGTTTCAAAGTAACATTTGAAGAGCAAAGCAAACTCCAGAAGATGGTGCTCTTGCTTTCGCACCAGTTCAATTTCTTTTCGAGTTTGAAGCCAAAGCTAGAAAGATGCAAACGCCTGAAATATAAATGAAAAAAATCGTAACTCCCTCTAGAAAAAATCCCAGAAAATTCCTAACCTGTTCACAGATACACTATCCACATCAGATATTTATCTATACTGTTGCTGTATTATTTCTTGGATAGAAATCGAAAAACGAAAATTCTTATGTTTTTGTCAAAGTGATGCTGTCCTCTTCAGGCATTGGTAGTTGTATACTACAGACTAGTAAACGTATGGACGTATATTTCAGCTCTCTACAGGCTTTAGTTCTCGAAAAACATCGAATTTAGCTTCGCTTAGTCGGGTGTCCCATACCAAAACGAATATCTCGAGAACTAAAGTCTGTAGAGAGCTGAAATTCACGTCCTTACTTACGTTTACTACTCTGTAGTATACAGGGTGTCCCAAAAGTAAGTACACACTTTTCAATCGCCAATATCTCTCTTCCCAATGGGTCTTTTTTTGCCAGTCAAGTATCATTTTGTAGAGGAGGCTTCAGCTTAGATTTACAGTATCGATCAAATCACCGACCTTGCTTCGTTACTGTGTGACTACGGTAGGAACTTCCAGCATGTGGTACCATTGAGAAATATGCCATCTGGCAAAATTTTCTCAAAAAATCCGAAGAATTGTGGACTAGGGTTTTCGCGCACGCTGGTTCCACCATATAACTTTTTACGAGTGTTTTCAGCTTTTTTGACGGTGCAATCATATTTCTGACAAATGTTGGGAATTCGGTTAATATGCTTTACCTGGGATAACTTTGGAAAGACATCACAGTAAAGTGAAAATTCAAATTTGGAATCAGCGGCTTCCACTACCATAGTACAAGAGTTTTTGGCTTGTTTGGTTCTGTTCCGAGGTAGAATATGGCTTTTAATAGCCTAAAATCCTTGTCGAATTTCCTACAGTAATCCTACAGTAATGAAGAATGATTGGTGATTCGCTCAATACTGAAAATCTAAGTTGAAGCCTTTTCTACAGAATGATACTCAAAAAGCCGAAAAAGAAGCAATAAGAGAGCTATTAACCATTGAAAAGTGTGCACTTACTTTTGGGACACACTGTACAACTACCTATGCCTGAACAGCACTCACTTTGGCAAAAACATGAAAATTTCCGTTTTATAGATTTCTATTCAACGAAAAAATACAGTGACAGAGTAAATAAATGTCTGATGTGGATAGTGTATCTGTGAGCAAGTCAGGAATTTTCTAGGATTTTTTTGGAGGGAGTTACGATTTTCATTTATGTCTCAGGCGGTTGGATCTTTTTAGTTTTGGCTTCAAACTCGAGAAGAAATTGAACTGGTGCGAAAGCAAGAGCACCATCTTCTAGAGCTTGCTTTGCTCTTCAAATGGTACCTTGGAACCTATCTAGAATCAAGAAGTTCATGATACTGCGAGTGGAAATTAAAACGGACGAAACTTATGGAACAACCTGATATTGTCTACAAAGAGGAATACAAGCCAAGCACAACGCCATAAAATAAAGTGATTGTCCAAGGCTGTTTTTTGTGATATACTGGAACACTTCAGATACTCCAAAAAACTCTCACATTCTTAAATTACGGGATAATTTTCATGTGAGATGTAAACGAAGCCAAAAGCATCAAATTGTTCCAGAAACTGTCCAGCACTCCGAAATGGAAAAGTGCCAGCGAAGAATCCGGAGGTCATTTTCGTGCACAAAGAGCTCAAGAGGAACTGACCCTTATCACAGCAATTCCACAAAGAGATTCGAACAGTAAGACAAGCAGAAAAGCTTTTATGAGGCTCCGGATACGTGTCGATTAATATTTCGAATTCTAAATATTTTCTGAAGATCACAATTATTTGTTCGAGGTTCGATTGCTAGCAGGGAATTCATAAATATTTTTAGGCAATTGTTAGCAGTGAAGAGTTGCTACGTTTCAGTGAATACGAGGGCCACCTAGCATTCATGGTCTTTGCTCTAGCTAACTATCATAAATCACACAAGATCGGTGACTAGCAACGATTATCATCGGCACAGGAACTTTCACAGCACTGATTACTGGACATTAAAAGCAACATAGTTAAGTATAAAGAAAAAAGCTCATTAGTTTTCCTATTGTTTGAATGAGCGTCAATTTCGTTCGTTTGTAGCAAATCGATTAGTCAGATCAAACACGATTATCGAATAAAAACGACCTGTGAAGGATTAGAAAGATTTTTTGCTGCTTTCTTGTGATGCTTACATTATTCCACCGAGAATGGCAAAGTATCTTCAAAAACATGCCTACTCAGGTGAAACAGCACGAGAACTTTCACAAATGTTTAGGTAAGTGAAAGCACAATTCGCAACACAAAAAACTGATGGGTTCAATTCGGAATGCATGGATTTTGACACCCTCACCTATAAGAAGGCCTCCCGAATTACGATAGAAAGTTTGAAGAGGGTTCTCAGCCATCGGCTACATATTGTCCAAAATAGATTTCCAACAAGCCCGGAAACCCTACTGAGTCGCTAAATACGAATACGAAACTCGAGCTCTTCCTTGAGTTTTTTTATAAGTAGCCAAGTAAATCGCAACGTTTATTTCAGCGTTTTTTAACAACATGGTTAAACGTCTAGTCTAGTGAAACCGATATGTCTGAAAACACTGCTACACAACTTTCTTGACAGCGGCATATTTTACAATGGCTCTATATGTTGGAAGTTCCTGCTCTAATCCTACTGCAACGAAGAGCATAGTGTTTCACTCCATACTGTGTATTTAGAAGCCTGCTTCACTGTATTTGTAGTTGAAGCTAAGCAAAAGATCGTGTGGAAGAGATTTAGAAACAATCATAAAGTATGTAGTTACTTTTTGGGATACCTTATGTAAATGTATTGCGCGCATTTCTACTATTGGAACCGGCATAGCTTTGCTTTCTCCCTGTGCGAATCTAATTTTAAATCCCTTCATATTCAATCCATTATTCCGCAATATGGTAGGGAAATAATACTGGAGGAGAAATAGGCAGCAAGCAAAGGTCGATGAAATCACATTTTTTTTCTGTTCATAAGCTACTAAGCGCATAAATGTCGATGACAACTTTAAAAAAATCAAATGTTCAGAATAGATCCTTTGATTTTCTTTGATTTTCAGATACGATGCACTGGACAAGTAGATACTTACACCGATGCAAACAAAAGGCAGAAAAGGTAGATCATAAAGTTCATCACTCAGCCGTTTTCCCTCGTACCTGACAAGGAGATGTTTTCTTTCAAGTGACTTTCATTGTAAAAAACTGTCTCCTATGGAATTCTTGGAAGTAATTATATATGCATGACTCTGCAAAAAGCAAAGCAGGCTGTCTTAATCATCATGTAAAGATTTAGTAGTTCATCGGAGTCTCAGTCTTTCGCACAAACACAAGAAAAAGCATCAAATATCTCTCGCGCGGTTGTAAATGTCTTATTCTATTGCATAACACTCGTGCAAAGATCGTATCGCATGCGAGAGAGAAAGCTATTAGCTGCTAGTCGAGACCGCAAATTCTCTTTCATTATCTGGCTTTCGGTTCTATGATCGCCCTTTACTAAAACTGGCAAGATTGACAGTATTTCTGCTTATTGACATTTTGTTGATCTACGATATAACGGCTAGAGTTAGCCTGTCTTGAATTATGCATGAATAGCTGAATTTAAAAAAATAAATTGCTTGAAGATTACGAGCTCATTGTTTATTCTTAAAGATTGAAAATGATTTAAGTTTTAAGATTGAATTGGAGTACATTCGCATTCGATACTTATTGCATTAACGGATAAAAGCAATTTTTTAGCTGAAGCAACATTTTGTAGGGACATCCTAGTCTCAAATGATAGATGAGTTCCAAATAAAAAATGACGTGGATGCTAACAGACACTACTTTGTCTCCTTGCTAGTCAATAAAACATGAATTCAACTGTAAAGGTATCCAAAATGCTTGAGCAGCTCTATTTCTGCGTCAAAACGAACTTCCTCATAAAAAATCAGATCAGAGAATCAAACATTTGTGGGACGCAATTTTTCCCACTTCTTTTCAAGGCTAACTCGACTTCTTATCAAAGATTACTTATTTTCGATTTACAACAATTGCAAGAGACTTATTAGCCCTCTCTCAACTCTTCAATAATGAGTTGTTTGATGTCACAAAGGATGTGCTACCATCTCCTTTTTCTATAAGATTGGCATATTGCCGAAAAAAGTCGAGTGAGCTTCTCCCAAGGCGAGGTTTTGTGTCAGCAGCAGAAGGTGCACTATTCCTTCCCTGCTAAACTTACTCTCTAATGCTTGTAGAGGCAGTTTCATTCAGAACAATAACTTATTCTAGAGGTAATGAGCAGAACGTGGTGATAAAAACGCTGGACATTTCAAATAAATGAACCCTGTGCAATGAAGTAAATTTTGGCAAAAAAATTCTTTTGAAGAAGGAGAGTGATTCGCACTATTCTCTATTGGCACAAATTCTCAAGTTTTCTCGCTTCGAAAAACTACAAGCTAGGGCCAATGCATAGTTTTTCAAAACTTTCATTCCATTAACGCATCGAAACGAAATAACAAAGTAAACAATAGGTAAGGAACTTCTGTGAGCTTTGTTCACAAGTGCCCATAGTGTAATCCATGAAGAGTGGTAGAAACTTTTTTTAGAAAGATGAGAATCAACCCAATAAAGAAATTCGACAGCGATCTCTTACACTTTCATTCGAAGGAAAATAATTTGATTACAAGGCAAAGTTCAATAAACAAACAAGAAAACATATTGGAAGAGATGGAACTAATCGATATGCGCATTGGCGTGCTTTGACTCCATCGACTTTATCGATGAGATCAAATTTCAGTGGATCACGTGCCTGGAAAGATTTTGTAATTTTTTGTGCAAGATTAGTCTTGACTCTTGCTTTGACGAACTTCCTAGTCAATCTGTAGAATCTCTTTTTCAGAATCTTTGTTCATGTTAAAATGAAAGTTCCGTAGCAGTTCGCTCAGAACAATCCCTCGTAGGCAAAGAGTCACCGTTCCAGAAATGCCTTGCAGGATTTAGTGTTGATCAGTGTTTACCATGCAGTCGATTTCGCTCTCTACAGCTGCTCTTCCCATGACTTGGCTTAATAAGAAGAGGATTATGACTCTATCTCTCTCGCTTGTGTGTGCAGCAGGTTATCGAATTCTCGATGACGTAACCCACGAGAAGCACTGCTGATTCTGACAAAACTCACATCTGACAAGCTTTATTATAGAAGATAAATGTCACAATGTGGCAAGAGCGACGAAGAATTATTAAGTACGAAATTAAAGTGTAGCATGACAACGTGCGATTACGTATCCGTCGAAGTCTCGTACAGGTCGGGACGAAGGCTTTCACGGCGATTATCCGAACATCCGAACGCAACACTGACGAAGAAGAAGAGCTATTTGGGAAGGAAAGAAACAAAAGCCTTCGGCCCAGATCAAACAAAACGGCTATATACAACACAACGCGGGAAGACGAACAGAGAAAGGAAAAGAAAAGAGCTAATCGGCGCAACTAATCCGGAAACGAGAACACTCAGCGAGACTATTCACAAAACAAAACTCTTCAATTGAAAGCAATCTATAAAGTACTCGGTGGCAATTCCAAAAGCATAAGTGAAACGAGTGAGGACCATCATTAAAACTCTTCAAATGGATAAAGTGGCTCGGGAGAAGGGTTAGCACTCTGAACGAGGCTTACGGGATATGATGCTAACGGGACAAATCAAAGGGTTAGGTGCAAGGGTTCGAGAGGGCAGCGACAAGACATATAAGTATATTTCTATCGAAAAAAATGATCAAAAACAATAAAATGGGTAACTCAACTAGACTAGAGCCATATGCGGCGAGAAGGCACTCCCACAACACGGATTAAGATTTATATGACCCGGATAAGTTACGAGGGTACGTGTGAGTACAGAAAGCGATAGGGGAAGAATGACATGTGTTCGTTTGTGTATATAAGGATGCATGATACAAGGAAGAAACTGAGTACTGGACGAGTTGTCCACTTCTTTCATCACGCGAACAGTTTTTCCAGCTTCTCGACCATGCCCGTCTGCATGCGCTTGCACTTTGCACGACGGTTTTTGAACCAGATCTGGAACATGGTATCACTTTCCGGGACCTCTAAAATTTTACTAGTAACACTTACCTTGACATTATGTTGGCTGATGTGTGGGTAGTTCTCCCGATAGGGGCAACCGTTCAGCATCTGTGTGTACTGATCGATTTGCATCCACGTCGGATGTGGATTTTCTTCAAACCATTTCTCCAAAATTGGCAACTCCGTCAACGGATCGAACATCAGACGTGAGCGTGCAGCTTAACCGATTTTTTTACAATTTTTAGAATCAAAATTCCACTGATGAGTAGCTCCCACCTTGTGAGCCTATTCCCATACCTCCAAGGTTATTTCCAAGTGATAAATCGTTTTGAATATGCTTTGGAGAAGAGCTTGCTATAGAGTTGATAAGAGACAGATCCGGAGATGAGGCGGTAGATTCCTGGTATGCCTATTATTGAAAATATTGACATTAATATGAAGAAGAGTGCAACCCAGACACATCTAGGAATACGTGGCCCATTTGCTGGAACATCTTTCTTAGCAGCATTTGGCAGCGATAATCTTGAATTGATTTGAGCTGTTCTTCTCCAAGATATTGAACTATCAGAGGAAGTTACAGAAAGAAGCGAAAGTTTTGGAAAATTAATTGGAGAAGTCTCACAGTTTTGCGAAGACGTTATTTCCGCTCCAAAAATTTTATTCACAAAATGCATTCCACGACCGATCGCCCCGGGTCCGACAGGGGATTCCGGAATACGAAAGCAACCATATGCCCTTCCATTATCTCCGACGATCGCAAACCCCAAAATCCATGCGAGCACAGCTAATCCCATTAGCAGACTGATCTATGTGCTTTGAATTGCAATAGATTCAGAGTTAACTCCTGCAGGTGGCGTCTTTCAAAATTTCAAAGTAATTTAGGGATTTGCAAGTTTGTTGTGGTGGCTTGAAAGATCACGAGATTTGAGCACAAAACAATCAGTTTATATTTAAAAGTATTCTATTCGTCCAAATTGTTCTAAGTTTAAAAAGGGTAAAGGAACAGGAAGTGGTAGATTGATATTACTTCATTAATTGAATTTCGAAAAAGATTATTCAACATTCACCATCTCTAGTTCCAGTTGCGCGCGCATATGAATTATCCTTGGTTCCCTCTCTTTCTACTCACATCTATTTTCGAAGAGAAACATCAAGATAATGTTCTAGTACCAAATTGATAAAGAAAGTGTTTGAAACCATTTGAATGCTCTAGTAAAGAACTGCACAACATGTTTTCCCCTGACAGGGCATTTCAGCGCCCCTCGGCCGCTATTACGGTAAAATTCGAATCGGGAGCGATTGCTTCATAAAGATTTCTTTTCCCAACTGAAAAACGCAGCTTCAGAGGTGGATGCCGGCACGCCGACCTCTATGATAAAGCGTTGTCGCAGTCGGGAGTGAATTGTTGAGATGAGCTGGAGCGGTGGTCTCACACACGGTTTGTGCCTCGTTTCGGTGCTGAGCGGTGAGAGCGCGATTTCGCCCTTTTCGTTTCGCTGGCATCCATCTTGAAATCCGAACAGCCCACAAGGTCATATCGCCAGGCCCAGCAACACCTCACTAGATAACATCTAGCCATTACGAATAAGCCGATGCAAAGGTCGGAGAGACTGGGATGGCGGCGAATTTCGGAAAATTCGCGCCTGCTAGGCGGACTGCATTGTGCGGCGAACGCGCACTGTCGAGTTTGCACTTTCTAGCGGTTTGTACTCTCATATATTTGCATGATTCGGGGGTGTCGAATAGTCCATTCGGTTGAAGTGTCGCGCGCGCCCAGTTGAGATGTGTCGAGTTGCAAGGAACGAGGAAACTGGCGACAATTGAGCGCTCTCACCTCACCAACCTGCTTTATGTGGGGGAACGTGGACATCTCCGCGCCGTCGCTGTTGCTGTGCACCTCGTCGTCGTTCGGCGTCGGCGAGTCGGAGCCGCCGTCAATGCGGCTCTCCTGAAAGGGGCAGCTTGCGCTCTCAGCTCGCAACTTACAAAACCCGAACTCACGTCTCCGTTGCTGCTCTTCTGACAGCTCTCGATCACATTGTTGAAGTCGAACTTCGGCCGAAAATCCGGAAGCATCGTTGGAATGCTCGGCACCTGGAAACAGCAAGATTTAAATTTGCCAGAAAGATGACAGGCATTCCATTCCACTCAAACACCTCACACACCTGTTGGTTGACTTGTGTGTGAGCGGCGGCTAAGGCTGGCCGACGGGTGGATGCACGTTGATTAGCAAACCAGTTACAAATCTGAACAATCAACTTAGCACTGCGAAAAACGACCTCAGTGATTTGTCTCCAGAGAAAAGATAAAGGTAAGTGGAATGCGAAAAAAGTGGAATTGTCTTCGGAGTGCGTACAATCGCATTACAACGACAGCTTGGCAGTGCAAGCATAGGATTGATGTGGTCTTTTGTGATCATGTGCTCATCAATCATATAAAAAACTTGATAGATGGCAATTTTTTTCATATGAAGGTAAAAAAATTGATGAAATCCAATCTTATCATGAGATTGTGAATCTATCAAAGGAATAAAGGTGGTTTTTGAGATTATGAAATAAGTTAAATCTAAGCACAGATATGAGTTTCGGGATGCTTTGTTCTGTTGCCTCCAGAAAATAAACAGTGATGTAAAAAACTTCAAAATTCCTTCCTCGCAATGGAGCGATTTGATATACTACGTATGCAAACTCTATTACTCCTGTTGTATATAATGCTAGTTCCCGAAGTAAAAAACGAGTGAGAAGACCAAAATAGAGGGTAGATGAAAGAGATACGATGCCGTGGAATAAATGATTTGAATGGAACAGAAAATCTGGGCATATGAGCACTCAAGTTGTACAAATCGAATACCTGTTGATAGCTAATTTTTTGATGATTTCGCCGATAACTGCTTCCGTTGAGGATGTTCATATAATTCAACAATTTTTGGCGGCTAGGACTTGAATCTGTCTTGAACCATTTCTCCAATTTTGGGATTTCGAACAATTGATTGAACCTCGTCTGCGCGATGGGACTGAAACAAAGAAAACCCTTACTTCTAATCACCTCCACTCAGACTTGTTTCCAATCCACGATGCAATCAAATGTACCCGCTCTCGATCGACCTAATCATGCGCCATTCAGGTATGCGTGTTACCCAGCAGTACTTTGATCAGCAGTTTAAAACGCTAAATGATGCCTTGTGCGTGTGATGAGCGAACACTTGCGACTTGACGTAACAACAGTGCAAATTGTGGATCTCATCTTCGGTCCCACTAGTTTCCAGCAAAGCTTCGAATGTGCGTCATGATGTGTTTACGAGTGCGCTGGCAGGGGTGGGGATGCGCTTGGGGTGTTTCCCACAGCTATCGGCAGCGCTGCGCTTTGTACTCCTCGATCAGATACAAAAAAGGCATTGGAAGCTGATGCGCGACGAAGCGTAAGCTCCGGGGAGAGCGGCTGAGAAAGCGAGAGCTGCGAGGTCCACTTCAACCTTGCCCAGCCCATTCATTCACTTATTCTCCCTCCATGGCAGTAACGAACTGCAGTTGAAGAACGACGCGTCACTTTCATATAAAGAGAGCTCCCGAAGGAATGTGAATCACTTTCATTCCAGCCAAATCACACAAACTATCAAAAACATTGATTGAGGCTGACGTATCCGACGACGCCCTGAACACGAGGTGAACGGCAAAATCCACACGCTATTTTCGAAAAGAAGCAAAACGGTCTGTTTACACGCCGATATAACATCTCGCACTCCTCAACCCCTCCCGAAATCAGATCGATAGTCTACATGTATACACACAGACGCTGGTATGGAAGTGATCCTGGCGGGTCGCGGCTTATCACAAACATTCCCCCTGCCCATGCCCGCTGTCCAAAACACTGAAATCCCGATCGATCAACGGGGTGATCGATTCGATTGAGGAGGCAACGAGCGCGATCGATCGGGACTGAGAGAAGCTGCGGAATAAGCAGCCGCTTTCTTCGACATTTGCATATCATATCATGCAAATTGGATCCACACTGGCACTACATTGCCCGAATGTGCGCTTGCGCAGCGCGGCGCCGTGCCGATGCACGCCCGCTGATCGAGGCGATGCGGCGGTTCAGACGACGTGCAGGATCTCGAGCCTTAGTTCTGTTTACAGCGCAGCGTAAGGACTTTCGATTTCGATCAATCGCTCTTCAGTCACTTGGCTGACTCGAGTTATCGCCCGCCATAGGGGGAGGGGAGCCGCATTACGCAAGAGATTCATACAAGGAACGAGTTTCCGGGGGCGAGATTTTCGCTTTCATGCAGGTGTTTGACAGGCATCGGCGATAGCACGTGGGGGAAGCGCAGACGCAGGCAGAGGCGAACCTCGACACCTGAGATGAACGCATCGAGGAGAACGTCGTCATGCTGTTCCTCGAGAGCGACTTTCACCCTCACAGACCTGTTTCGCGAACATCAACGCGCTTATCTGACTGACTCTCGAGACACAAAAGCAGTAGCAGCAGCAGGCGAGAGTGGAACCGTTTTGGACGCTGCTATAGCCCCGGCAAAACAATCTAATTCACCTGTGCCAAGACCTGACGAGAAAACGAGTTCTCCCCGGCAGCGTCTCTCGAGATCACTTAGCCTTGTATGGCAAGGCGCCAATTATCCAGCACGCCACCGCCACTACAGGAACACGAGAAAAACAGTTTGAGCGAAAAGCATGGCACACCGCGCCGCGAACTCCTTTTGCGGCATGATTGAGCGCGGCGGAACGAGCGAGCAGCCAGCAGCCCGAGCACGGACGGCGACACCCTAATCCAAGTGCTGTTGCCTCCTCAGCCAATTTCCCCTATCCTAAGCGAGATAATCAGCGGTGTGATTGGCTGCCATTCGGATACGCCAGGAAATTGGGCTGGCGAGGCGCGACTACCGTATCCGAGCGTGAGTTGATCCCGCTGGCCCGCTCGCATCCGCATTTGCTGGATGAATTGTGCCATTGCCCTCGCCAAACTACAACCGTGGTGTGAGGCCTGTGTGACAATATATACAAATACACGGCCAGCCTCGGCCGAAGGCTTAACTTCAGCGTCAAATAGTGGAATAGCTTCGGGATCGGAGCGCGCCTCATCGCCCGTGCTCTCCGCTATCCTCGCGCTATTCGCGCGCGCTACGCGTCTGCTCACTCGGCTATCCCTCGCTGCCTCGCCACGCTCTTGCCTCGCATAAGCTTATCCATCTCAAAGCACAACAGACAGCCGCTCACAACTTGCCGGGATTACGGTAGACTAACAAGATTATCGTAATCCGCTCCAATGAGGGATATGCGGCACCGGGTATTTGTTTTGCGGATTGACGTATTCGCAATGTCGATAAGTGAGTGCTTACTTACCTTCGTCGCTCGTCACCCTGGTCGAGCGTCTCGAGCCACTCGTTGATGGAGTTGATCTGCTCGTGATTCAGCATGGCTGGATCGTCACCGGCGATAACTTGATTGATTAATTCCTAAACGAGAATAAAGTGCAGTGAAATGCAGAAAGCTATAACGGCTGCAACCGCATACTTTGATTTGTTGGTTATCCACACTGTTTAGAATCTGTGGGTTCTTGGAGACTGCTGTCTTCAAGAGTCGCTGTTTGAGATCTGTTATACATTGGGTGCTAGCTGAGTCGGAAGTGCTTCTAAATATATGCTATTAGAACAGCAATTGGCGTTGGAATCACCCTGAGTGTTCATTCGACAAATTCCCTATCTATATCAAATATATTGTTAGACAGCAGTCTTTCGCAGCCGCTGACGTATTAATCCCTCCTTTTGTTGGCTTCGCTCGTTATCACCAGGTAATAAAAGCCGTCGGCGTATTCTGTGCATCGCATGCGTTACAAGGGATCGACGGATCGCAAATAATTACGTATTCAAATTCCGTATTCTCGTCGAAAAATCCGCAAAACGTTAATGGAACCAAAACGATACATAATCTATTGATTGTGTCGGGCTGGAGTCATGTCTAGGTTAGCCTGTCAGGCAAGCGAACGTCACGGTTCAGCGCTAAGAGGTCCCGAGACAGGGCTTACGGTAAGCTGGCCGTACCGGCGCGGATCTTCAAACAGCGAGCAGATACCGCGCACAGAGCGAAAGCGCACTGCTGTTCGAATGTGTTGAAGGGCGAGATTGCAAACATGAGCAGTGTTTGAGAAGTGGCGTTTGGCGCATTCATGAGCCCGAGCTCGAGCAGCGACTTGAAACACAAAAGGCGCCAGGTATGGCGAGAGTCAAATGTGCGCTCGCGCGCGCGCACACAAAGGAGGATCGGATTGCGCGGGCGACAATCTTCCGTACATATGTTCGAGAAGCGAAAACCGACGCTGCTGTACAGGCGCAAAAACCGGAGCAGTCCTGATCTCACCGCGACTCGCACAGAACATAACATGAGACCCACGGTTTTGTAAGAATCCGAAGAGTGATGTGTCCGGAAATGTCTTTAAATAGTGAGTGCACCGTCTCATCCGGATTATCGGTGATCTGTTCAAATGGCAGCGCCTTCCAGTTGTTCACTTGCACGAGTCCTGAAATGAGTTTTTACAGAATTGCGGCTAATTCAGTGTTCCCTCCTACGTTATGTTAGTAGTGATCAGATGTCGATGCCTAGAGATGTTTTTTTTTCTAAGCGCGTGCCCTTGTTGGGCAATCGTTTGGAGTTAACCGTGGGAGAGACTGCCCTCGATACACAATGGATTTTGAATGTGATGGTGCTGCGAATGAGGAAAGGTGGAGCGCTTTTCTTTTAGTTCGTTGTCAGATTTCGCGTGTGTGTGTTTGTTGGACGTCTCGTTCAAAGAATGGGTGCGGCGGCTTGCCTCTCTTGTCGTTAAGCGAATAATCTCGGTAACAGGTTCGAGTATGTAACACGGGGCCAAAGAAAACGGCATGCGCGATCGCATCTCGCTAGATTTTACAACGATTGCGCAACTGAAAGGGAAAGGCTCAAGCCATAACAGGTTCTGCCCCCGAAGGAGTCGATGGCAGCGAGGCGAAAACTCGCGCATGCACGCTCACATGCCGAATTAACGATACAGCCAGGGATACCGAACAATAAGTGCGAGATGCTGAGACCCGACCCGCCAGGCTCACAACATTTCCAGAAAGTTCGTTGGAGATCGATTTGTGTTTCACTTCTGGCATCCCTTGAGCGAGCGTTTCGTGGCAATAATCATGTCGACACACACAGACTCTCACACACGTGCTGGCTTGGGTAGACAAGGAACGGGGGTGAGAACATAGGGCAGAACTGAGGATTTCGGCGAGTGCCATCTGGACGAGTGTCAAAAATAGGCGACGGAGATACACTGACACGGACAATAACACGCACACCACATGACGATGCGCGAAAGACGCGCGCGCGACTGACGGAATCGGAGAAATCGGCAAGCTTTCGGAAACATTGGAAAGTGAGTATATTGAGTGACAAGTGCAAAACAAGTGAGTTTTGAGAAAAGAAATGTTCAAAAACTCTTATTTCAATATGCAGGAAGGAGATCACAAACATCAAATATCAGCAGAAACTGGAAAAAGTGCAATAAAGAAAATAATTAATTACCTCGAGCGTTGAGAGCTAGCTGTGGATGTCCCAGCGCTGACAATACAGTTTCCACTAATTGACTCAGTACTGTAGTGCCAGATACTATAGCGTAAGTGTCAACCAGTATATGACCATCGTGAGCGCATGAAAGACAATGCTGCGCCCGAACTGTTTCCACCGCCACCCGTACGGGGAACATCTGTAACGGCGATCTCTCAAATTTAGCAACGAAAGAGTTCAAAAAAGACAACTTTCAACATGAGAGTACACAGAATGAAATGCGAAAAAGACTGCAATGGTCGCTGGGGCACTTCCCGAAAATGCCACATGCACAAGAAGCAAGCAGCAGCAAACGCTTGTCGGCGTGCGATCAAGAGATAAAGAAGTCACATAAGCTCGGTGAACGAGGCAGACAGCGTGTTGAAGACCGGGATTCGAGCAAAAACTCGCAGGTACAGTGAAAGGCGACAAACACAGTAACAATGAAAGGGAAATGAGCGGCAGATCTCGCTGCACGTTAGTAGAATTCGAGCATGTGATAAGGATAAGCTAACAGAAGTGAATAGATAGTGTAAAAGTCGTGATCAAGGCAAGGATTTCGGGGTTACTGTATTGACGAAAAGGTCAGACGGGCTGGATCTTGGCAACCGACTGGCGCGGACCGGAGCGATTAGCCTAGCCTGAACCCCGCCCCCAATCGTCCCCGCCCTCGAAAAAGCCAATCTCGACACGGCACAACCCGAGATACGATTATCGTATGCCAAAACCAGCTCGAACTTCACCTCGGTCAGGCCCTACACTCGACAAGCTCCGCCACGCACACCAAGCCACCAGAAGACGTCGCCATTGTCGAGCCAGCCGCTGGCAAGAGGCAGTTGCAGCTTACCTCAGTTGCTATTTGTTTAATGGGAAAGCGGAAACTACTCAATTACTACTTTTTGAGTTCTAAACAAAAGACCATATGGGTACTCTTAAGTTCCCGACAGTTAATCAGCAGTTGAATATCATAACCAAAAAAAGCTTCAGATGCCAAGATCCAGAGATGGGTGATCACGTAATCGGTAGCAGCATGATTGAGAACAGTTCGGGATTGGTCGGAGAGGAGCGAATCTGCGCGGCAAAACGCAACGGGTTTCAGTGCCCCCGTGTTTTTGCTTAAGTTCAAGACGGGACGCGCGACACAGCGCAGATAGAAGTGATGCCACCCATCACAACGAATGCGATTATGTGCGAGGAGGTAGAGAGCGTCTGGAGGAGGTACGGGGTGGAGACTTACGTCGGCTACGTACTCGGAATAGGACGCTGAAGGCATGTGGGCCGCGGTGTGTACATCCAGATAAGATAAGATACGTCGCACTCAAAGCTGTTGCACGCACGGTGCTTAGCGAGTCCGAAGAAAACTCACCCCGAGTGCAGGACACGAGCAGACGAGCAGCGCAGGAAAGCGATGGCCCAGCGAGGCAACGAATCGTAAATCTAAGCTGCTAATCGAGATTGTTAATTGGATGGATTTAGCTGGTGTCGTGTAAGCCCGGCAATGCACGCCCGGCTCAGAGCGGAAGGATTACGGAACGACGATGAGATGCTTCAAAACGGATAAGGCAGCATTCGCTGTGCTTCGAGCCCCGTGCCAGCACTTGCACTCTCGCCATACTACGTAGTCCCGCGTATATGCACAACAATGATATGCGATGGATAATCGCTTTCGAAATTTGGAATGCATTTCCACGGTTTCGGAGACAGCCCCGGCTTATCGGATACTCATTGATTTTGACGACTAGTCAGTGGGAATTGAAAATTCCATTCCACGTTACGGGTATAGCGAGGTGATAGATAAGGAGAGCCCACAGATTTCGCGTGGTATCACTCGAAAACAATAGATGAACGAGAGCGAGTGGAGAGTGAGAGGAGGCAGCGGTGATTAGAGCGGTCGGTGAGGATAGCAGATTGATTGGTTTTGATTACTCGAGGATTTGGAAGGGGCTGAGTAGCGAGGAAGTACACAAAGCTTCTTTGAGTGAGACGTGCCAGCCAGCAGAAGAACAGCGGAGGGGATCGAATGATAGGGACTAAGGCATCGCTATCGTCTGTTATCTTTAGGTCAGGCCGCCAAATCGGATCCCCGGCTAATAAACTAGGGAACAAACAGCGGTGCTTGATAAAGCGATGGATTGATACCAAGGCATCAAATCAGATCAATAGCTAAAACGTCAACCAAAACAGCGTTTGCAGAATGGAGGGGCACTTTTGGCGCACAGGATAAGCGACTCACGATTCGCTTTCTTCTGCAAAGTCGACAAAGCACTGTTGCTGGGCACGTGCTGGCTCTGCTGCCGTCGAGAAAAGGAGAATCGCTTCCTTGAATGTATTGATACATACGAAAGAAAAGCGCATTCATCCCAGGTCCTTCTTCAGCTGCATCGCCCCTCTTTCTTAGAAATACCTCCGTTGCCGTGCGTGATTCACCGGCACATTGAATACTCGAATTTTACGGAAAGATCCTAGAAATGCTATTTTCGTTGTTCCGCGGTGGCGCCTACTCCTCATGGAAAACTTAAGGAGGTAAAAAAGCGAGGTGGAACAGATTCTCTATCATCGCGGCGATTATTCGCCATAGTTCGGGATCGATTTTAGCGTTCAACTCCACACATTAGGCATTGTGCGGAACGAGACGCTTGTACAAAGGGTTGACAGTAAGAGAAAAACTCTACTTAACATTGTAGCTGAGCTAAATTCTAAGGAGGCAAGGAAGAGTGAGGAAGGTTGCGGTAAAAAGAAACCCTGAGTAGTTTGGGGTGCGCAAACTCACAACTCTCGATGCCCTTCAATCAAACTCAGAACGTTTTCTAACGACTTTTATTGGTCCCCGGAACGAGTTTGCGTGTTCGACTGAGAGCGAAATTCGCCCCGACGTAGACGACGAGCGCCTTCCACGCGCCTCGTGTCGAGATTGCGCAACCTGCTGCTGTAGAGGAGCGGATAAGCTCGCAGATGACAAGAAAGACACAGAGACAGACACACACGCGAAAGTTGCTGAAAAACTGGATCTGGCGCAAGAAACACCGCGCATATTATGCGCTTAAGTCGGCGAGATCGAGCCTCGTCATCAGGGAGTTTCGATGCCGGCTTTGGCACCCGAGTAGAAGCTGAGGGCACAGCGCGGCAGGCCGCGCTTCTCGTCCCTTCTCAGACACACGGCTTTGTCATTTGGTTTGCCGTGTTCCAATCATCGGCGCATGATCAAATCAGAAGATGTCACACGTGAGATTATTACAATGTCGCGTTGCCCACAGCTCTGATTGAACAAAAACGAGAAGACAGTCGCGAAGGCGAACTTGCACCGGTCGAATGATCTTGTTGTTTCCTCAGCTTTCCGCCGAAAAACTGTGCAGGCCGCCTTTTCGCAGACTTCTGCTGCTCTCTCGGGCCGCTGTCCTGGTCGTAATCTCGTGTGACCCTCGCCACAATGTTTTGCTGGAAGGGAAAGAGGGCTGATTTCTCGAAAACATGTCTTGTCTGTCTCATTGTTGCCCAGCGGAACAGTCTCACACGGCAGACGCGCAGTGGTTAGCCCCATTGCTTATAGGTTCCGGTTCTCCGTGTTCCTCTCCACCCACCTTCTCGTCCTCGCTCTACCATGGGCTGCCCTACGTGGTCAACAGTTCCGCGATGTACACTGGCAGTCGGCATGCCAGGTGAGAACGAGCTTGGATGTTTGTCTCGGATGGAGTAAACACGTGCAGTATTCGATCCGAACCCTCCTGAAACCCGGTGAAAACAATCGCCGCGTAGTTTCGCTGGCAGGCACAAACGAGAGCGGCGTAATCTGCTAGCGCCCCAATAGGAATGTAAATATGAACGGGGAGAGCTCATAGCATGCATGATCTGGCTAAGTTCAGTTGTCGGGTTCAGGCAAAGCTTCTATAGAGAGAACAGAGCTGAGCAATGTGAGACGCTGGAAGCTGTATGAGCTGATGATGGCGAGTGAGCGCCGGAAAGCTGTAGGGATCACTCATCTGAGGCTGATTCATACGCGGCAACGCGGCGTCTTCGTCAGGAATACCAAACACGGCCTGGATGGCATTTATGACGGGCGAAGAGGCGAGGATGAATAGATCCATCGATCGCTCGCAAGAATTCTGGCTACTCACGTCGAAAGACTTCGCGCTTGCTCCAGGGAACTGTGCAATCGCTTTGTTCTTCCCAACAAAACCCTCACTCTGCGCTTCTCACGAAATGAATCTTCGCCCTAAGAGCCCCTAAACGTTGATTAGGCTGATACTGAACGACAGTCTAGTACTGATCGCTTTACGTCGCACTCAAAGTTCCATTTCTTTCAGTGGGAAGTACTTATCCATTCATTTAGAAAGACAAAGGTTCTGTCGCCGGGCTGGCAGATGCTCAAGCAATCAAATGATGAAGCCAAATTCACTCTTTCGATTATTTTGTGTTTACATTTTCTCTCCCAAAAGAGCGGATAGAAGCTGATCGGTTCAACAGCGGTTTTTTGATTTACGGGAAAAGAACTTCAAACGATTACACAATATTGAGTTGAATCACACAAACATCAAAAATATTTCCAAAATGTTGCAAGTTTGGATCTATTAAATTCTTGAAAACAAGTGCTCCTTACTCTTGGCGACTTATGCGAGTTTGTTTTTATTTCTCTCGTACCTTAATTAAACCCTTGCAAAAAAGGTTGTTATGGATGTTCACTGCCGGATTGCTCGCAATTCTCCGAAACTGCTCTAAAACCTGAAATAAATTCATAGAGAAAGGAATTTCTTGTGAAGTGGTGTGTGTCCTTTCAAGTCACCTTGTTCTGAAAACCTTCGCCATCTTGAATAACGCTCGGTGATTCAGCACAATATATCTATAGAGTAGACACATAGCCGCCCTATTCCTTTATGTTGCACAATTGGAATTCGTTATTTCATGACTCAAACACCTTGCTCAGACAAGAGATTTCCAACCATCACATGAGCTGCATGAATGAGCTTCTTAACTTTGGCACTTGGATCGAGGAGTCTAAAAATAAAATCTATCACAAATGCACTTTTTGCAAAGAGGTAAATGTTCTTCTCAACAGAAAGACCACTGCTTTCCGCTGCTTTCCAGTGTCTGCACTTTGACACACTCTCTGTATGACATAAAATTCGATTGAGCAGTTTGAAAAAAATCATATGCGTTCTTTGCAGCGTTGTAAAAAGGAAATGCTTATGGCAGGGTAAATAAACAACATAGCTACGTTGTAAACAATTTCGTAGGCAAAAACTGGTGGGTGTGTTCAGCGATAAAGTTGTAGAACAGAAGAAAATCGACACTACTAAAGAATTTTTACAGCTAACAGGCACTGATCTTCATACATATGCCGTTTTTCACTAGCACTAATCTCTACAGAGACGAAATAAGAATATCTAATCAGAATGTAGCCGCATTCAGATCAGAAACCAAGAAATCAGGCCTAGTGAATAGCATAAGAATTATGAAGTTCAATACCATTCCCTGGAATTTATAGTTTCTCTTTAAGCAAAAATTGGGATTTTTTAACGCTTGATGGAAAAATGAAGTCGGCTGTGAAACACTCGTCAAAGCAAACAGGGGAGGATCTGAGAGCTCGACGGAAAACTCGATATTGGAGATCAAGAGCATATATGGGCCACTTGACTTCTACTTCAAGTACTGCGATATTAGGTCGTTTCGAAGGTTTTTCTTCTTTTTTGTCCGTCTCGAAAGTTTTCCCAGAACTGAGAAATCAGAAAGCTTCGATATGCAAGTAGAATAGGCACTGCGCTAGATAAGGATTTCCAACTGCTTTCGAAGATACCGCTTTCTTACAAACTTTCATTGGTTCCGACCACTCAAAATTTCGCGCTTTCAGATCATTGAAAAATTGAATATAGCAGGACAAGCTGCCAAAAACCACGTAGGGTTTACTGGAGTCTACAGTCTTAAAGCCTCTGCTAAACGATCATGTAAAAAAATTCATTTTTGCGAAAGAATTGTCAAAAATAGGATCTGCAAAAGAATTATTACAATAAAAAAGTTACAAATTTTGAAGAGAATTTCTTGCGCAAAGAGTAAGCTCAGCCCTGTTTGATGGTTGGCTCCAGAATTCTTGAAACTCAAGATACAGAATGAGAACATTGTCGGACTTTGAGCAAAGGTGACATAGGTAAAAAGACATACTACAAATAATACATATATTTGAACGCTGTTGCATGATCTGCGTTCCAAACTTGTTCATAAGAAAGAGAAGGCAATGCTTAATTAAATTCGTTGATTGCATCTTGGACGTAATTTTAGTTGCTTTTTTTGCAAGATTTTGGTATCCACTGAAACCTAGTGGAAATAGCGAAGAAAATTCTGTGTGAGTAATTATATTGCTCATTTACTACAGATGTTCAATATCAACTTCCAAACAGTCAGGCAGTAGTTTGATCCAATTAGATTTAAATTCGTACAGAAACTTGACTTTGAAGTAAAACGATTGCTCCAGATACGTACTATTCTTAGATGCATGAATCAAAAAGGTTAACGCCTATGTTTCAAGCCATCAGCTTGGAAAAATAAAAACCGTGAATAATTTGCTAGAAAGGAAAAAACGACAGGAATATTGAACATTTCTGAAATATGGTAGCGCAACTTTCAATGCATAAAGACCATAGGTTGCGGCCACAATATCACCTGAGCCATAATTAAACACTCATTCATTTAATTTAGTATTTTATAGGCGAACTAGCTGGCTTACCCGGCTCCGCCGTATCCGGACCAAACTTGGCACACATACACTTCGGGCCCCGGCGGGTGTCACAGTCCACTTTTCGTTATCGATCGATGTCGATTTTACCGATTTTTATCGATTTTTTTTGCAGAGTTCACCTACAGGGCTAGGAGTTGGCACAGGGGGGGGGGGGAAGTGAGCATGGGGATTCCGAATACAACATTAGTTTTCAGGATCGTCCATTACTTTTATCGATTTTATCGATTTTTTTTGTAAAGTTTGACCTGCGGGGCTGGGAGTTTGCACAGGGGGGTAATCGAGCATGCTGATTACGAACACAATATTAGTTTTCAGGATCGTCCATTACTTTTATCGATTTTATCGATTTTTTTTGTAAAGTTTGACCTGCGGGGCTGGAAGTTTGCACAGGGGGTAATCGAGCATGCTGATCACCCCCCTTGGGGGTGATCAGCATGCTCGACTACCCCCCTGTGCCAACTCCCAGCCCCGTAGCTCAAACTTTGCAAAAAAATCGATAAAATCGATAAAAGTAATCGATAATCCTGAAAACCAATATTGTATTCGGAATCCCCATGCTCGATTACCCCCCTGTGCCAACTCCCAGCCCCGTAGCTCAAACTTTGCAAAAAAATCGATAAAATCGATAAAAGTAATCGATAATCCTGAAAACCAATATTGTATTCGGAATCCCCATGCTCGATTACCCCCCTGTGCCAACTCCCAGCCCCGTAGGTGAACTCAGCAAAAAAATCGATAAAAATCGATAAAATCGATATCGATCGATGACGAAAAGTAGCCTATGACACCCGCCGGGGCCCGTAGTGTATGTGTGCCAAGTTTGGTCCGGATCGGTTCAGAAATGGAATTTTCTATTCGGAACATACGTACACACAGACAGACATACAGACAGACATACAGACAGACAGACAAACAGACATTCAGCTTTATATATAAGATGAGTTGGAGCGTCTGTGAGCTGTGAATATCAGCATTTGCATGAAAACTACATAATTTCATAAATGCATCTTTGATTAATGTGGTTGATTTGATCTGCTTCGGTTCCAACAAGTGGCAGAGCTCGTGCATAAGATGAAAGTGCAGTTCCAAAATTGTCCAGGTGGAGGTGATTTCCATTAGAAAATATTAATGGCAAGATTGTAGCGGCTGAATTTTTTCCGAAATATTTAAAAAGATGTGATACGATTTGATTTCCATCGCTCGCAGAAGTTTCAATTATGCAACTACAATTTCACCTCGTAAATTTGTCTATTACGGAGATATTGGCTTGTAACTTGGCTATAATTTTGTAAAAAAGGTGTTATCGTGTGCATGTCAGTAGACAAAGAACGGTCATTTCTTTACAAATAGCTGCAATCACCAAAGTTATTTAATGCGCTTAAGCAATCGAGTCCAAGGTTCTTTGTATTTGAAAATAGGCTTGACAAGTACTCATTTAACTGGCTTGGGGCCAAGTGATGGCATCTCATACTTATCAAAATGTGTTTACATAAATCTTTCCCTCCATTGAGCCCAATGATTTTAAGCAGTTCCAAATATGCTCTGTGCGGTTTGTTAAGGCTTCAAATGATATGAACACCGCTATTTTCCACTTTTTACTGTTTCTTTCTCCTCTTCTACCTTTTCTTTATCTGAGTTAACTCACATTCTGCAGGTTGCGTCGCAGCAACTCTACCATGACCTCGAAAGGGTGCTACCGTAAACTTAAGGAAAGAAATCGTCTGAGAACTTCAAGGAGCCCCCTCGTACCGAGCTTCGCGTGTATTAGGAAATTGAAGTTACAATATTCTGTAATTCCACAATGCACAAAAAATGAAGTCTTTTCTCAGTATCGATCTTCCGCTATCCACCAAACTCATCTCGCATGGTGCCGCGGCAATCTCCGGATTAGCCGGCAAAGTTTCCGTCGCATGATTGTTGCCATTTCTCAAATCCTATGCACATACACCAAATATTTCACCCATGCGAAAAAAATAAGAATTACATTTAGAATCGTATTTGATTTTACTTATCAAGAATCCAAAACGGTATTTTTGTAGATAATTTCCGCTTGATTATATTCTCCCAAATTAGAATCGTACGTTCTACTTTGAAACGAAAGATTACAGTTCTATGCTTTCTCAGTGAAATCAAAAGACCAATAAGTCAGCCAATTTGGTCCTTTCAAAAAGCCCATGATTTTTCCATTCAAGATTTTCACCACACAAGATCTTGCGAAAACGTTCTATAAAAAACGTTTTTTCTAAAGCTTTCCTCAAAAAAGCTTTAGATAATCTAGCATTTCTGCAGATGAATCTTAACCTATTAATGATTCAAAACAAAAAGACATCAACTTTATGAGAAAATTTCTTTTTTGAAATTTGGTATAAATAGGTTGCAGAATCACCGATGTTTATCTGTTAGGGTGTCTCATAATTTTTCACTTTTTTTACTGCAACTGCAGTCTTTTCGCTCCTTTTGCTTAGCTGAAGTGGCTTGGGTAATCATTCGATAGAGCAAAGCAAGCTCTACAAGATGGCTCTCAAAAGTTTGCCCAAATCATATTCCACGTGGAGTTTTAAGCCGAAATTTGATAGTAGTCGAAAACGAACTTCACTGTGAAAAATCATATCTCAGTCCCGAAAAATCTCAAAAAATTCCCCATTTATCATATTTTACACATTCAATTGTACGCTTTCCGATTTTTTCATGGTTTTAAACAAAGAAAAAATATTAGGTTGGCACGAAAGTTCTTGCGTAATTCAAAGAAAATTCAATAACTTTACAGGGAGCAGACCAAAATTGATGGTTTGATATCTCAAAAATAAAGGAAGGTTTAAGCTCTATAATAGATGTTTAAGCTTGACAATCTATGAGTCGGCTCTCGAGAACGAAGCTTTCAAAAATGACGATTCAAATTTGGCGATTTTGAGTTTGATGCTAGAAAATCAAGGAGGGTCGCTAGCTAGTCTGAAAAAATCCGTAAAAATTCTCTACTTACTATACATCCATATAACACTTTGGCAGGCTTCAATCTCGTACAGAAATGTAAAAACAAAAAATTCTTGAAAAATGTCATTTTACAGAAAAAGTCCCTTATTACAGTACCTTTTTCAGCAAAAACACTGTTTTACGCTTCAAAAAACTTCATAGTGTTCTAAATAAACACCATGTCTGATTTCTGGTTTTAAGCCGTGTTTCTGTGAAAAAACTACAACGATAAGGAGACTTTTCCTGTAAAGTGACATTTTTCAAGAATTTTTTGTTCTTACATTTCTGTACGAGATTGAAGCCTGCCAAAGTGATATATGGGCGTATGGTAAGTAGAGAATTTTTATAGATTTTTTTAGACTAGCTAGCGACCCTCCTTGATTTTCTAGCACCAAACTCAAAATGGCCAAATTTGAATCGTCATTTTCGAAAGCTTCGTTCTCGAGGGGCAACTCATATAATGTCAAGCTTAAACATCTATTATAAAGCATAAACCTTCCTTTATTTTTGAGATACTGAACCATCAATTTTGGTTTGCTCCTTGTAAAGTTATTGAATTTTCTTTAAATTACGCAAGAACATTCGTGCCAACCTAATAGATGGGGTAAAATGGCAAACTTCGCCCTTAGATGTCCTGAGCTCCTCTCACGCACGTGGTCAAGTAGCTCATCCTTAGAAGTACGACCTTATATTTGTAATCCTTTGTAGGTGCCCAATTTCTCGAGAAATGCTGATGTTTAGGGTAAAGACGGTAAAAAATTGAGACACCCTAATATAAAATTATTGCGTGGGAAAATTGCATATACTGTCGAGAAGATTGAGCCGTTTCAAATTTTTCCTCTTCAAAAATCTCATCCTTAACTGAATTTTTTACATCCATGTTTTTGTCAAGTAATAAACGGCATTATCTTTATTGCAGAAGCCATTCTTGACATGGCATCATGAGATGTGCTATTCGACAGGAAGCAATTTTACGTGGGATGATGTCCACGTAAAAACCGTTTTGTTTTCAGTTTTGTAAGCCTACGACAATCCAAAACAGATTTTCGTCAGCTGACGTGATTAATTAAGTTGACCTCAACCCTTATTCGAAAACTTGTGTTGTCTTCATTAATTGTAACGAAGAAGCGAGGGTATTTAAATTTGCGTTCTTATCAGTACTGCCGAGAAAAGCGGTTTTTGGAAATGAAAGCCGTTCACGCCCTTAACTGTGCTAAACCACAACAAGAAAGAAGTGGTCTTCGAAACAGCAAAAATTTCCAAACGTCTTTTAGATTTCTGAGCGTTCAAATCAATCCGAAGCCATCCTCGGAAAAATCAAAAGTTACGAAACTGGAGCTCAATTAAAACGGGACTAAATAAGAGCATGAGGGTAAAGCGCAAGTGAGAACATATGCACCCTAATTTCAATTTCTTGCAGAAAACGGTAATAACAGGATAAAATTCACATAGTCATAGAAGTTCACCAAGAATATATGGGGAAAAACCTGGGCACATTTTCCGATGTTCCAGTGAAAAAAACGAACTGAATGTCTTATTTCAACAAATGCATACATACATGATTACATTATACAGCAATCGAAGAATTGTAAAGTGAGAATTGTTCCAATGTGAAAGACGATTATAGGAAAAATTCCATCAACTATCTCTTACTTAATATGGTTAAATACTACTGAGGTTCACAATATATCTTTTAGAAGAAGTTTGCACAATTGAGAATCAACAATAATCGAAATCAAGAGGATAATTAAATGAAAGAACAAAATGACCGGCAACGGCGAACATCCAATGACACAATGAATAAGTGGTCTCGGCGCTCAAAGAACAACTGAGAGGTGCTACAAATTGGAGTGCAAACTACTTCTGATTCCTAGGTATCGTCGTGGAGGAAACGAGACAGGCATGCGATAAGGACGGCTAGAAGGGGATGCTCGTGCAAGTGCGGCACTGTGCTGGTGGCGGTGTATGAAGCGTCTCGAGAGCAGGGTATGTTTTTCCGGATCAGCATTCACTAGCAGTCCACCCTGGGCGAAAATCCCATCGGGAAGCTTCACCTGCTGAAATGGTTCAAAAGTACATTGAGCGGCCAAAAGGGCAGTGATCCAACACCGTCAGCGAGCCCTATACCGAGAAGAAAGCGCCAAAAGACATGGTCCGCGCCAACCCTCGAAGCCGAAGCTCACCTTGAGCAAAGTGATGATGTTAGTGAGTGGTTAGTGGAGCAGGAGGTTAGCGTCGTCAGCCACACCGACCGGTGTTGGAGTGGTGATCCCCTGAGTTGGCACTGTTCGCCTTGGGTACTTTCGCTGCGGACGATCTGTCACACTCCGATGTGCTCGAACGGATGACTCGACCAAATGCGCGGTGTTAGTCACCTCTGCTGACCGCACACTGTTGGCTGAAGGTGGTGCTTTTGAGTCCTGAAGAGAACACGCTTGTAGAGCTACGATCACCTAGTAATCAGTACCCTTACTCGTTCTGTTCGTTGCCTGCTGCTATAGCCTACTCCCCGCGTTTTGCCACTATTTGCTGGGGCTGATCCTGGATGTACGGCTCTGGCAGCGACGTGTGCGCTTCTCTAAATCTAACTTATTCTGGATATGATATGGGTCCCTAGAGGATTGTGAGCACATCCAAAATGTATTAGGTTGTGTCACAAGTTCTTTATCTTTTTTACATCCTCCCTCAATAACTCATATTCTTCTTGCTCCCTTGATAGGTTCTGCCATTCGACAGAGCAGGGTAATCTTTACAAAATCGCACCCAAACATTAGCTCGAAGTTCGTAGTTGAAACATTAAAGAATCTGAATGCCTAGAAAATCGAATAAAACGTGTCTTGATCTAAAAAAGTCCTACGAACTTCTCCTGCTCAAGCATGTACTTTCCACGTCTGGTATTGGTCCGTATATTTGCTGATTTCTATGGAAACCAGAGAAGCATAAATGCATCAAAATAGGTGAAAAATACGAAGAAATTTTTTTCGGGATTTGCGCTAAATTGATGTTTCTTAAAAATTATGTCCTGTAAATGGCCAAATTCGGGTTTTACTTCCAAAGGTTCACTCTAAAAGCCCCGCGCAACTTTTGCAAAAACAAGAAAATTACTTGTCTCCATCTATAGCCATGAAAAAAAAGGCAAATGTACATATAAATGCCAGTTGTGTGGAGAACTTTACCAATAGCTTGACAAGGGGCATTTTCTGATATGCAGAGACCCCTGTTTGGATACGGTATGTGCACGATAGGCAGCCATACTTCGCCAAGGAATATAATTTTTGCTTACGTGGATTAGTCAGTGCGCGTGGTTGAGCACTTAGCAAAAATCTAGAAAGATGGCTGCCTACCGTGCTGCTATCGTGAACAGACAGGCAGTTCTACACATCAGAAGATGCGCCTCGTCGAGCTGAATCGAATGGTTCCATTGGATACAGATTTCGTCAACTTTGAAGGGAGATACGGCCACGCTACCGTGAGATGTCCCCTAACTCAACTCACTGTCAGGAGACTGTCGCGTCTTTGTTCAGAAAATATGAGCGGTATTGTACGTGCCTGAGCAAGCAGGGGGTCCTAAGAAATTCTTGGACAAATATATGATTTTTCACGCTTTCTGGCATTCAGATTCTTCCGAATTTCGTCTTTAAATTTATGTAGGAACGTACTCTGAGCAACTATCAGGTTGATGCAAAATTAATTCATGTTCCTCATCCCCCAGAGAAGAGTTAAAAATATATACGACACATATTTTTTGATGGACCAAGCAATTTACAGGATGACGTTTAAACAACCAAGCTTTTGAAGGATACACGAAAAGATTAGAAGAAAAACCTTTGAAATTTCAAAACCTAAAACTCGAATTTTTGTCTAAAAAACTTCTAAAATTCCGACTTGCTCAAGAAAGTCACTCATGCATCAGCTAGTCATATGTACACTTACTGCATTTTTTCCTGGCTAAAAGTTGAGTAAATAAAATTCGGGATGCTCTAGAAAAAGCAATCTTGACTCTTCCAATATAAGTCAATCTATTAAGCTGTTTGAGCATAATAATAAATTTTCAGCCTTCTTCAAGATCTAGTTCAAGAAATGTCAAACTCAACAAGACCGAAAAAAGGCGACATTTTCGTACTCTTGGCCTCTTTTTAATGTTTCTTACTGTCAAGAAAAATAAATACAGCTGGTTGCATATGAATGTCCGATGTGGAGGCATACATGTATGCGTGACCAAGTTGGAAGTTCGCAGGATATTTTCAGAGGGAGTCCTGTTTTTGAGTAGTGAAATTTTATAGATTTTTCATTCCATTCCCCTGTATCGAACTTTTCGCGAGTGTCTAAACGTCATCTCGTCGATACCTTCTGTGCTATAGCAGGATAAGGAACACGCATTGCTATTGCATCTTGTAGAATGCTTTGCTCTGTGAATGCCGCTAATATATTTAGAGAGCAAGAAAAATAAAGGTGATTAAAAACAGCAGAAAATCAAGAAACAACTCGAGATATTGCTGATGCCACCTAGCGTTCTTCCTGAACTCATATTCAAGAACAATCTGTCAAAAAAAACTATTGCACAATCTGAGCACTTACTTCGCTCAAAACGATTGTCATCTAGATATATAGTTCTCAGGTCTAATTCTACCGACTGCTAACTCAACATACAAGTTTAATTCAAAAATTCTAGATCAAGGATGTAGTGGGCCACCCACAGTATGCGTTTACTTTCGATTCAAACACAGTAGCGTCAAAATCTGAAGCTCTATAAGTTTCAACCAAACGACGCTTTTTGCTTTGTATATTTGAAAAAAAAAATCAGCATGTCACGCTAATGAGGTTCACTCGCTAGATTTTTGGCGAGATTTATGACTCTAAAAGGTGTCTCTTTCATCTTTCAAAATATAATTTTGCAAAGTTTTTGAGTCCTCAGCTAACTAAATTGCCCGTGTGTGCTAACGATGGGCAAAGTCTGTTGAGAGTAATGGCTTTGCCTTTATTGAAAAAAAACTGAATAAAAATACGTTAACTAGACCTCAAGAATTTCGATTCAATACTTGATTGAACTATCAAAATGAATCGAGAACTTACCGCCCCTTGTGCAATTACGGTATCGCCTCGTCGTATCGGAGCGGAGAGTGCTACATGGGTAATCCTGTTGTATTCAGCTGGAGTACCTAAATCAAATCTATCGATGAAACATGAGAAGAGTTGTGAGGATAGAAATTTACAGGGTGTAATTAAGGTAAGTACAAACTTTTTAATTGTTAAAAATTCACTTTCCACAACATCTTTTGTTTAGCTCTAACAATAAGTACCATTCAGTAAAGCAGGCTTCAACTTAAATTCATAGTATAGAGCGACACTCATCGCTCTTCATTATTGTAGGATTACGGTAGGAACTTTCAGCATTGTGAAAGAGGTCGTTCGAAAAAAACCCCAAAAACATCTGGCAAGTTGTGTAGCAGTGCTTTCAGACATGCTAAATTTATTAGACCACTTTTCACGAGTTTTGTGAGGGTTTTAAATAGCTTGATCACACTCTTAAAACACATTGAAAAAACGTTGTTTCGGTCCACATGGCATAACTTATGAAAAAAAACGTTACCGTGGAGTGAAGTTCGAATTATTAGGTTGGTCCGAAAGTTCTGTCCCACCATTTTCAAAAAATCGTAACTTCTTCCTAGCACAATGTTTTTGCAAGATAAAACCATATTGAAAACAGCAATTCATGCACTTTCTAAAACTACCTTGGCTGCTATTCACTAAGCTCTGAATGCAGAGAAAAAATTGGAAAAAGGAAATCACTTCTATTTCGGAATTTTTGAGCAAGCAGCCTGTTGAAAAATCCAAAACTGTGCCATAAAATCCAAAACAGGCAGTATCCTAGGTTTTTTGATCCCCTCTTTTCAGCTGAGCAAGATTCGCGCTGATCGAGCCTTTTCGAAAGAAGTTATGGTTTTCAAGAAAAAATGCCAAAAAATCAGTTTCTTAGGAAAATTGATTTTTTGACATTTTTTTCAAAAAATCATAACTTTTCGGAAATCAGCTAGATCAGCGCGAACTTTGCTCAGCCAGAAAGAGGGGGGTAAAATAGTTTAGGATACTGGCTGTTTTGACTTTTATGGCACAGTTCTAGATTTTTTAACGGGCTTGCTTAAAAATTCCGAACTCGAAGTGATTTCGTTTCCCCAATTTTATCTCTGCTTTCAGAGCTTAGTGAATAGCAGCCAAGGAAGTTTTAGAAAGTGCATGAGTTGCCGTTTTCAATGTGGTTTTACTCTTGCAAAACCATTGTGATAGGAAGAAGTTACGATTTTTTGAAAATGGTGGGACAGAACTTTCGGACCAACCTAATACATATTCAGAGTGACGAGCGACTCAGTTATCCTAAGGCCTAAGGCATACCTCACGCGATTCGGCCGAATCGCCACTTTCACGCGACTTGGTGATTTGCCAGATTTCTACAAATTTATAGTGTGCGCTTCTCGGATGCATATTTGGTTAGCTTGTGTAAGTTGCTGCAAATGGAGCAAGTTCTGACCAAAGACAGCGCATTAACGACGAATTACGAAGAGCGTTGTTTTGCCAAATCGCGAGAGGTATGCCTTAGGCCTAATGCTGGGCAAAATGTAGCCTCTGCGAGTCAAAACCCTCTCCAATGTTTCTACCGTAACCTTACTAGTGAAGAGCCATGGGTGATTAACTCTATACTGTGAATCTAAGGTGAAACCTGCTCTGCTGAAAAGTACTTGTAGCTGAACAAAAGACCTTGGGAAGGATGTTATCAACGATCGAAAAGTGTATACTTACTTTTGGGACATCTTGTATTGAACGCGCAAAAACTCAAGAATTTTTTCAGCTTTTTTACTTTTGGGTTTAATTAATTGATAGTTCGTGCTTAATCGGACTTATGTGCCATTCCAATAGGTGTCAAAAACAAAAAGACTGGACACAAAAGCACAAAATTAAAAGTGGACAAGTTACGCAAAATTACACAGCCGTTTTTTGAAATGATTCAAAACGCTTTGGTATCTCGCATTGAGTATACAAGTCACTTACACCCAACGGAAGCTTACGGTAAAAGAATACCTGAAATAACTTTGATGTTTTTTGACAAGAAAAGTGGAAAAAATGAGCAAAAACTAGCAATAAATACTACACAACGCAGTGTAGGTCTAGATTTTGATCAGATCATCCCTGTTTGCTACAAATCTATCCTTACCACCTTGCCTATGTCTTGTCTTAACGTGAATAAATATACTTCTACATTATATTTAAGTAACTATATAAAAAGCACTGAGCTATCGAGTTTACCTGCAGGTTGGTTTGTGTACACGACAGGACGCGTTTGTACACCTTGAGACTGGTAGGCTTGCCCACTTATTTGTCTGAACTGCCTGAAATGATGTTTCATTCACAAAAAAGGTACATTGTGTTTTTGCCATTTTTTAGATGACTGAAGGAAAATATTAGGTGGTCAGGAAAAAAGCATGCAAGTACGAAATACCAAAAAGATGCAAGAAAAAGTAGGACCAATCCTCTAATAGCCATAATAAAATATTCATAATTCAGTTTCGTTCTACAAAACAGCAAATTCTTGTAAGGCTGGCTCTCAAGCACTCTTTGAGTTATTTTCATTTTCATGCTGTAGTGGGTGCACAGACAAGTAAATTATTGATTGTAGCAAATAAAGAAATTTGTTATTTGCAAATTGTGAAATTTGTAATCAAAATGTGAGATTTCCCAACATTTGTGCGTGAAAATCAATTTTCGGCATTCCAGAAAGCTCATGACCATGCAAGTGACTGGAGATATCAAAACCAGACATATGCTACTAATTTCACATTTCACATCTAAACTGACTTCGCTTCTTGGAGCTTCATTACTAAGATTTTATGTAGGAAACAACTGCCTAATTTCCTGTTCCATTCCGCCATCAAAAATCAAAAAAAAGAAATTCTGCTTCAACAGAGTACGCTGTTGGATTTTTCTGAAATAGGCTCTCTAATGATGCTATAAATTCATTCAACAACAAGTCTTGAACCTTCTATAATGAAACGACGTGATTTACGTTCAAACTTGACAGAAACCGAGGATGAATGGAGTAAGAATCACAAAATCAAGCGCGAATCTGTAAGCCGAATCAATTTGCTTGAAAGTACCTGTAAGGTTGTTGTTGAGATGTAGTGACTTGTTGCTGAGTAGAGTAATGATAATTTTGCTGGCTCTGCTGAGAGTTATGCGGCTGTTGTCCTTGATAAGGCGGATTTAGTTGACCTTGCTGATGCTGTTGAAGCTGCAGGTGTGGTTGAAACTGTTGAGGATTCTGTACTTGCTGAAGTTGCTGTTGGAGAATCGGAGCTTGTGTCGGTGGTGGAGCCGACTGAATGTGTGCTGGCACCGTTGGATTCTGTATCTGGTTGGTGTACTGCTGTTGCATGTGGAATGGCTGCAGAATTGAGGAATTTTACCAAATTTCCTGAATTTGAAGTTGACAGCCTACCTGATAGGGGAGGTGATGGAAAAAAGGTGGGTGAGCGAACGCATGCGCTGGTGGTTGGGCAAGATTAGCCTGGGGCTGGTAGAGTTGTGGAGAATGTGGGGCTGCAGGCAGTTGCGGTTGTGGAAATTGTGGATTATGCCAATGGTGTTGGAAGAGCTAAATACAGTAAAATATCCGAATTTGGAATGAGTGCATTTTGAAGAACTTACATAAGCGGGTGGAGGTGTAAACTGTGCTTGGGGTAGTAGCAATGCTGGATTAGGTGGTGGAGATACTTGTAGAGGAGCCTTTCCAGTTGGTACAGCCGAAATTTCTCTCTCAAGTCTATTAGTCCCGAGGAATCCTTGCTGGTTTGGATGGGTCGGGATTTGTGAGAAGTGGGTAAGAGAAGGTGGAGCAGTCTGCAAATGATGAATAGGAACAAATCCGAGGCCCATAGAAAAAAAGTCGTGATGATATACCGTAGGAGTAACACCAGAATGTGTACCGGAAGCTGCTGGATTGGGAAGTTGATGAAAATGGTTAATATGTGATTCCAGTTCCTAGAAAACCGTTTTAGTACCATAATCACAATGTCATCACCCCTATAAACTGACCTTCTCATGTGGTCCAATATTCTTGTTAATCTCTCGCGATGCCTTTACAATTCTTTCCCGGTTAAGATGCTTCTTCAAAGGTATGTTTTGAACCGCAGAAGTGAAGTCGATTTTCGGTGGAGGTGGATTATTGTCATTGCCTTCGACCTGAAGAGATATACTACTTTCAACGAACAAATTTAATTCAGTTTTCTCGCACTTGTGAGACAATTTCCATGATTTCAGCTTCTTTGAGGTTGCTCTTGCGTAGAACATCTATCAATCTAGTAAGATCCGGCACTCCACTCCGGATCTTTGCGTTTAGGGTTTTCGCTGCAGAAGCTCTATCTGGCGCAAGCTGAAAATAGAATGAACCCTTACTGTCTGCAGAGTGTCAATATTTGTACCAGATTTTCATCTTCCGTGCTTTTGGCCTTGTTTGTTACCTGCACACGTGAATCTCCATCCGTTGTGACCTAAAATACTATTATGAAGTAGCAAATATTTCATACCAGTATTTGAGCGAATTTTAGCGACAGCACTCAGAAATGAATTTAGAAGAGCATCCGACACATCACAAACATTTTGTTACTAAGTCATGATAATCTGACGTATGATAGAAAACGAATGTAAGCAGGTAAATGGACTCGACAAATTTCCAGAAGTCTACGATTCTCAGTGGAAAAGACAAAACTGCTACGTTGATAAATCAAAAGGGCGTACCAAAAAGTCTTTTTTTAAGATAAATGCTTAGCAGCCAACCTTTCAATATAAGAAGGAAAATGGAGATCCCTAATTTCGGTATTCGGGCCAACTTTCAAACTTGGCCGAGCTGGCATTTCCCGCTGCCTTGGGAATGAATCGTCTTTCGTGCACCCTTGGAATTTTTTTCAGGCAAAAAATGGTGTTTGCACCAGTATGTAAAAAAAGTATCAATTCTCAATATCCTTTTTCAGGTCACCGTTCAATTGATAACCCTTTGCTTTTCGCCGAAACTTTGAGATTTTTCTCGCGTCACCCAAGTGAGACTCAAAAAATAGGACTGTCTATGGCATCAGAGGACGTAGAATGAAACAGTCATTCTGAATTTGGTACAGCAGATTTGCCCAAAGCTTGAAGTAATCCTGCCGTGGAAAAAAAAACCGATGCGCCTTGAAGGGGAAGTCTTGAAGGGGTGGGGCAGATGAATTTGACCAGCTTGCTCAAGAAGTATACAGGGCGCGCCAAAACAAACGATCGGACTCGGCACAGGTGGCTTACGAAGCAGGCTGGCTAGCGTTTCAGGGTAAAAGCAAACGGGATATCGTTTTTACGTGGTCCGGGCGGGGCACAGGAAGCATGTCTTACAAGGAAACGGTACTTGGGGTCCGTGGCCTTTTGAGATGAAAGAGCCACCTGGAGAGCCACCTGAGGTGTCTCAGAGAAGAAAAAGTCATAAACTCTCTTTTTTTTGCAGAATTTTTTTTTCTTTCTAGATAGTTTTGATCTACATCTAAAACTCTACAAAATAATTTATGAAGCTCCCCAAACCTCCTACTCCCCGACTAATTACCGTCCTTGAAACATTTTGTATAACGGCGGCAATTCTGCTCCAGGCGCGATGGTGCGCTCCTAACAAAGTATGCCGCCAATTTGGAGAACACAACATCATTACTTGTTTTTACCGTTTGTTTCGTGTTTTTTTTGTTTTCTTTTGTATTCCTCTTTTCTATTTTTGTTCGCTTATTCATGAGCGGTCATAGAGGACGTCGTATGTTTGTTGCGAAGTCAACGAGAACTTCGTTTTCGAACGAATGAAAAAGCCACCTCGTGTTGAGCACTGTAAATGGTGCGTGTTTCTAAAAGCCAAAAGAGTAAAGATGGGCTTGACGGCGGATCAAGCATGTATATTTTCACCAACCACTAACGTTGTAATGCGATAATCAAATCAGAATTTGGGTTTCACCTCTAGAAAAAATTCTCAAATTCTCTAGTCAGCCGCAGTGTACACCGTACGCAGGCAACTCTACAAATTATACGATATCTTTTTGCAAAACCTTTTATCTTGCTTTGAAATCGTGCAATAAAGTAGAGTACGCTTCTGCGTCTAACAGTGTTAGATATGAAAGTTTAGAACTTAAACAAGGAGGTGTTTGTAAATTTTGAAATGCTTGCGAGGCAGCATATCGAAAAACAGTAGTATTTTGGCTTTTCTGGGTGCGCCTGGAAGTAAGAAGATGCCTTCTAAATCAGCTTCAAAATCATTTCAACAAATCGGTCATGGTAGATACTTCTATATAGCTCTCGAATAGAAGAGTGCTTCTTATCTGGCAAGATTATCGTGTTTGTGGTCTCACACGTGATTTTGATAAGATCTTTGCTCATACGTAAGTATTTTTCGCAAATACATTTTCATATTTCGTGAAAGAACAAACTCTTGTAAACGTAGCTAAAACTGCGAAGTAGAAAAAAGTGTACTCTACAACTTCAGCTCAAAATTGATTAGAAAGGACTCGAGTTCAAATGACTGCAGAGCAAAATGTGAAGGGTTAGAAATTTCATTTTTGTTTTTTTCGACAACCACTAGTATTAATCTGAATTCCACATTATCAAATAAATACTTTTCGAATTTCTGAAAATATGTAACTTATGATTAAAGCATCATTTAACATATTAGGTCGTTTCAAAAGTAATTTCGCTTTTTTCAAACGGGCGCCACATTTGATGGAACAAAGGTTTCTAAGAGATCTTGGAAGCATTCGATGCAGAATTTCATTCTCTTTCTAATGGTTATGAAATTCTTGCAAAATAGTCGATGAACTTTCAGAAAGTAACCAAAATCTGCAACCCATGCTTTTTGAGATGGTCAAGTTTCACGACTTTTTAAAACTTTTTTATCAACCCTCCGAAAAAGTGCAAGTAACGATTTGATAGAGTAAACCTCATAGAATACGTCACAACACCTCTTCTCGTAGTTCGCCGTAATTTTTTAAAAGATCATTCAACTGAACCATCGGATTTTGGCAGGCCCACTTCAGCCACAATCGCATCAAACATCATAATTTTTCGGAATTTGAGACTACCAAGATGGTACTGTGAGTTAGCATCAATTTTACAAAGCAAGTGAGGGTTTACGGGTTCGAAATATCGAATTTCGAGTTTTTCGGGTACAGACTGGGGCTCGCTAAAAAAATGATTTATGATGATTTCTCCCCGTAAACTAAACGAATCGGAAACAAGAAACAGTTGTTAGAAAGAGGAGAAAATGCTGCATCGGATAGTGACCAAGCAGCTCTTCTGTTGATGTTCTACGAGGATTTACCTGTCCAAATATGGAAATCGGTAGCATCAGTTAAAAATCTGTTAAAATTATATGACAAGCTATGGAAAGGAGAAAAAAGTAGTTTTGCTTTTGTGGGTTTGCTTTATAAAAGCGTTACTTGCACTTTATTGGAGGGTTGATAAAAAAGTTTTGAAAAATCGTGAAACTTGACCATCTCAAAAAGCATGGGTTGCAGATTTTGGTTACTTTCTGAAAGTTCATCGACTATTTTGCAACAATTTCATAACCATTAGAACGAGAATGAAATTCTGTATCGAATGCTTCTAAGATCTCTCAAAAACCTTTGTTCCTTCAAATGTGGCGCCCGTTTGAAAAAAGCAAAATAACTTTTGAAACGACCTAATAAATTTGAGCTCCTGTTTTATGAACAGAATGGATTTGAATGCGCTCTCAATCATAGAATCATACCGGAAAAGTTTATCACAACGTTTTCTGTTAAAATTTCAGGGTTATAAAGTTCAATTTAATTTCCGGCGAGGTCTTTCACTTGAACAGCAATGAAGCACATAATAAACTTTTTTGCACATCTTCTGAAAAGAGCCCCTCATGCGTTTTTATAGCAAACTATGAGATAGTTTCAGGCCTCATCAAAAATCAGCTATGAAAAACAACTGCACTGAATAGTCTGCTCAAGACATATGTGCCCTTCTCTTAACATAATACGTAAGGAAATTCAGGCGATAATAAGATTAGCATATTATTAACCAACTGCCTACCAATATCGAACTATTAACGTTTTTTCATTAATCAAAACACCCTAAAGAATTAAATTTACCCGGTCGATATAGTCGACATCCGTATCAGTGTCCGTACCCTTTGGAAGTTCAATACGAATCTCTTTTAGCTGCACCGTTGTCGCTTCTGTGACGGAGTTTGACTGGAAAATGTTCCTATAGAGATCAGAATACAATGTGCTCTTATAGGTATTGACACATGAACGCCATAAGAAACATTTTGAGTGAACGGACACTGAGATGAAGGACAAATAATGGATTATTGCATAGGCTTATATTAGGTTGTCCCGAAAGTTTTGTCGGTTTCTCATATCGCTCACTAAAACCCACAGAACGCCAAACCATGGACAATCTAGGTACCATGCGATTCAGACTTTTATCCTCTTTCTTACGGCTATATCTGCTCTCTGATCTGCCCTGTCTTCGCGATGTTATCGCCATGGATTTTTGAGCAGCTTAGCAGTAACGCCAAATATTTCCTGATTTTTAAAAATTTTTCTCCTGCTGTTTTCAAAGAGCGCTGATAACTATTACGTAGAGCAAACCTTCTGCTACATTGTGCTTATTTTAGATTACATGGACCACGATTATTAAGTCCTAGATAATTATTAATCTAAGAAAAACCGCGGCCTTTTGATTACATTTATCACGTAAAATTACCAAAAACTCCAAAAAGCTGATTTTTCAGAGCGAATTGAAAGTGGTTATGTTGCATAAATAATGTTTGTTAGCAAGCAAGTTTCAATTCGTAGAAATTTCAACAACTTTCATGTTTTTGCCGCAGTTGCGTGTTTTACAATTTTGCCAAAAATCGAGACCTTCGAAGAAATAATTTTTTTAAAGCTAAAAACAGCAGGTTAGGAGAATCTAAAAATATAACCGTATAGTCCGAGAATTGTTCTATTTGTGACATACTCCTCTTTCTAAAACCTTGGAATGAAATTTTTAAAAATTAGCCTAAGTTTGAGCAACTAAAAATGACGGGTGAAGAGTAGTGGCAATTATCAAAAAAAAAGGATACAGGATTGTGGCTTGAAAATGTAACCATGAGAGAGAAAAGGAAAAGCTGCATCGTATGCGCGTTGAAACTTGTTCAGGTCTTTATTGCGCGTGGTTTTATAGCGGTTTGAAAAAACCGACAAAACTTTCGGGACAACCTAATATTAGGTCATTTCAAAAGTTCGTTCGCATTGTTCTTTAAAAATCGTAACTCTCTGCTATCTGCCTGGATTTGCCTGGGGTAATTTTTTCTAGACTGAATTGATCATGTAGTTTCTAACTAGGGCTTAATTTCGCTCTGCTAAGTACAAGTTGCAGAGTAAAAAATGCAAAAAGAAGACCACTCAAATTTTGGTAATTTCAAAAAAGCTTACCAAAAATCTAAAAACGTTTAAAAAATATCGAAACGAACACAAGCATATGCTTTATGATCTCTTCTTTCTAGCTAGGCAAAGTCCTTGCTGAACGAATGTTCCTAGGAAACGTAATGATTTTTTAGGGATTTGCTACGTTTTCACGAAAATCAAAATTGCTCTCGATTAGCACGAAACTCTCTTGGCTAGAAAGAGGAGGTCACAAAACCCTTATCTATAACTGTTTCGACCTCCGCTATGGCGTTTCCAGGTTTTTTGAGCGTGCTCAAAAACTGCAAAATCAAAGCAATTTTCTTTAAATGCTTCTAACTCGTGGACTATTACATAATAATGCATGGGAAAGGTGCCACTGTAATGTGCAAAATTTCTCTTCCAAACAAAAATAGTTTCAGAATTTTTCGTGACCCTGCTTGAAAAATGTCAATCCTGAGTGATTGCCTTCAATTGCTTCTAACTCTCAAAATTTCTCATACTAACTCACGGCAGAAGTACTGCTGTAAAAGGCATAGCTTTTTCTTTCAAATAATTATAATTTCGAGGAAATCCATCAAGAAGGAAAGTATGATTATTTGAAAAACTGACGAACGGACTTTTGAAATGACCTAATAGATGATTAGCCATCTAAGCTCAACGGTTTTGTTTTGGAAAAAATATCAGGCACTTTCGAATTCCTTATCTTGCATTGCAAATGCTGACCTCATCCGGAAAGAGTGTCACTGGTACAGTGGGTGTTGGAGAAGCAGTATGAGAAGTTGATGAAGTGAGCTCATCGAAGTCATTGTCGTCAATGTCAACAAGGCTTTCTGGACTCTTCGTTGTCTTAAAAACCGTTATTGCAGAAAAGTAGAAGAGCCTGAGTTTGGAAAATCTGTCTTTGTAAAATGCTTACTTTTTTGTTGCTCTTGTCCTCATTGTCTGTATAGTCTTCAATGCTTGGCGCAGGAAATCCTCAAAACTCAAATGTTAGCTTTTTTGAAGTTTAATGTGAGTGAGCTAGTTCAAATACCTGTTCCAAATTCGGGACCAATTGCTGAACCGCTAACGCCCGTTCTACCCGGGCCCAGTGCACCAAGATTTGGTGGTCCTCCAAGTCCACCAGCACCACCCATGAGAGTTTCTGCAATGCAGATATGGTTAACAGGACTTTTGGCTAAATGCTGGCTCTTTATTTGGTTTGTTATGTCACTTATGGGGCCCAATTTTCATGGTCCCTCACATGACGATGTACGTCCTTCAATGATTCGTTAGTGCTAGTGGCTTTGGCTTATTTTAGAAGGTCAGACATGTAGCGCAAACGTGAAATTAGCTGCAACAACGCAAGAAGAGAGCGTTGTAGGAACGAGAAACACGCATTGCACTTTAGAACTGGCAAATTACCCGCTTAGCCTTCGAAGAAGTGCTGGAAAACTTCTCAGACGCAAGAATAACATGTTCACATATTCTCAATGGTTCAGATGCAGGAAAACGCTCTATGATCTGGATCGAGATCGTAAGCGCAAGCAGCGCTGCTATTGCGAGACAAAGAGATAGCCAAACAGAGTCGGCTATGGCGTAAGCTGTGATGAATAATAGCGACTGATAGATTGATTTGTAATCAGAGAATCGGTTATGCTAGCAGAACAAGCTGACACCTTCCATACAGATATCTGTGTCGAAGAGATTCTGGATATATTGATTCGCATTATGAAATAATCGAGAACGACAGAAAAATGGGTAATTTGGTGTGGTCAACACATTTTAAATACATTAGGTTGATGCACAATTTTTGCACCAGAGAATAGAAAAAAATGTTTTAAAATGTCAAGCAGACTAATCAGTTTACAAAATGTTCTTATTGTTTTGTACATCAAAAGTAGTATTTTATAGTACACTTTAGAAAATCAATATGATTTTAGAAAATCAGTATGTAATTAGTATATGTATTTTAGAAAATCAGCATGTGATTAACACATTTCAAAAATATTAGGTTGATGCACAATTTTTGCACCAGAAAGTAGAAAAAAATGTTTTAAAAATCTTAAGAGACTAACCAATTTATAAAATGTGCTTATTGTTATGTACATCATAATTAGTAATTTGTAGCACATTCTAGAAAATCAGTATGAAACAAAACCAATAAGTCAATCTAAATAAATCGAAATTCGTGACTATCCGCAGAGACATCCAATTACTATCAGCTTCTCTTTGTTGAAAATAGTATGTCATAGAACTAAGATCAAAAATAAATTCAAATCTCAGTGGACGATTTTAGCCATTTAGAAATTTTAGTGATCAAAATTCGAAAAATCACTTTTTGGGTCTTCTTAACCACTTTATATCTTTGCCATATACTCTCGAGGAATTTTGGCTTGAGCACCTTCACAAAGCGCAAAATTTTCTCTCTCTATGTTGTGTTTCAAACCAGAAGAATTCAAACTGGATAAATTAACAGGATTTCAAAAATTTTAGTGCAACAATTGTGCATCAACCTATAGCTTATTTTCCCATACTGAACTGCACTTGAAGTTACTAACGGCAGATTAAGAGAACATGTCTGACTCACTTGTGTTCTTAGAAGCTTGTTCGAGTACGGCTGGGAACCAGTTACCTTCTGACGCTTGATTGAGTACTCCCACACCGGTGCCGGTCAGCTGAAGCGCACCTTGGGCAAGTTGGTACACTGAATTAGATTGTAGGTTTTATATAATAATTATAGAAGATTGACATATTATTATGTATTATTAGTCGTGTGCCTTAGAGATACAAAACAAACTTCGGGATTGTCTACGTCTCATTTCGAAGATTTTCTTTGATTTCAATGCGCTAAACGCATTATGACCAATACGATAGTTTGCACCTTTTTGACTATTAAATCATGCAAATACGGATTTGATTAATAATTACTACTAAGATTGAAATATCTAAACAGAGTAGCTTTAATTAGCCCATAAAAGCATTAAGAATTACAAATTTGGCTGAAATCAGTCATCTCCGCGCTTCATGAGATCTTGGTAACGACTAAAAAAAATCATAAAACCAGTATGTTATTGAGATCATTTTTTAGATAGCAATGATCTCATATATTGATTTTATATATCTGTTTTCAACCAAGTGTTTTTTCTTTGTTGATAATGCACAGACTGTTTGCTTCAAATTAGGTGCACTTTATGTCCAAAAATTAACTGATTGTCTAAAAATGATGCTGTGAAAATTTGTGCTTCGCCAAAAAAAAAATCCAGCTTTACCTATGTGAAACCGTTCTCCTTTACCTTCAACTACAATTATAGAGTAAGTCTCAAAACTCATGACTGTACTTCTTCAGAAGGGGTCTGCGTTACTACCAGATTGTATTACTGGTAACAAACTCATACAGAGGCCTCTAATGTGAAAATTAGCGACAAGGGCTTCTAGTGAAAATATATGCTAGCAAGTCTAGTGACATACCTGCTTATGCTATGTACTATGTTGTACCTTTTATCCGCTAACTTGAACTAATGCTAGGACTTCAGTTTAATTTTTTAGAAGTGACAGTAACCCCCCCCTTTTTTTCGACACCCTCTACCTCCTTTTAGCCGCTAAAAATGGTCAACCGTAGCAGCAGCTATGCCTCGACCCTTCTATGCTAATTCGCAGTCAGACGTTCTCGCAAGTAATTCCAAGCCAGTCTGGAAAGCTTCGTCAAATGTCACGCAGCTTTAGCCGAACACCTACTGCCGAGTATGTGCGATTGTTGTCTTGATCGTTTGTGTAAGCACATGCAGATATTCGCTGCCCAATCTTTCTATGATCGTTTTGTCGGACGAGTCGACTCGACTGGATCTCAGCCGAAACGACTAACACATCACACTGCTGCTGGCTTGTCTTCGCCACATTAAGCGTGGCGATCAAAAAATTGATATTCGCTTTTTTTGGTTTGTAAACTAGGCGCATTATTTGCGAATGCTTCCATATTTACAAATTAGTATACAGATGGAAAATGTACGGCAACAAATGCGAGTTTTATTCTGTTTTTTTAAAGGTAGAAAAGACTCAATGACTGACGCTGTCCAATCTGTGACAATGCGCCGAGTGCAGGAGATGCGGCTGATCCGGCAGAGGCCGCTCCTAAAATGACGATTTGTTATCGTGCTGCGCGTATTTCACAATGAATGAATAGAAAAGGCAAAGAAAGCAAAGTGTGAGGTTGTCCGTCCGCGTTCCGTTCCGTTCGTCCGCCTTTGCACAGCAGGGGCGGTGTTTAAAACGTGAAACCCGCTATTTGCAACATTTGGCCGAATTTGAAGTGACTTCGGACGCGAATCGGGTGTCTAGCATGCACTGACCTCCGAGAGCTGGACCAAGTCCAGATCCGAGCAGCGATGTGGCTATGGAGGCAATCTCGGCAAACTGGGCATTTGTTGGATTGAAGAGAAGACAGAGCGTTACGAGAGGCCACATGCCTTAGTTGGTAACAGTCCAGTGATAGCCAGGTTATCCGAAGTACATATAGACGACGAAAAGATGAAAGTGGATAAGTGGACGTACTTATGAGATAAAAGAACAGATGTGAAGCAGTTGAAACAAGTGGCAATTGATGGAAAGGTATGAGAGATTTAGAGTGAGAATCAAGTTGTTGGAAAACACAGTTAGAGCACAAAATCGGCAAAATTAGAATCGATGCAATTCGAACGCATACAATCGCATTCGGTTAGCTTACAGTCTGTCTGTGTGGGGGGATAAGCTGGAGCGTTTGGCGAGCCTCTTCGCGCTCGATCGTCCCCCCGCCCGCCCCTCCTCCGGGGCAGAGACAGACCGAATCAGGTTCTCTGCACGGGGGGAAAAGCAGTTTACAGCTGGACGGGGCATAGCCATGTGAAATCTGAATTGCCCAACTGTTTTTTGTCAGCATTTGGAATGTCAAACCTAGTCAACAAGCATGAGGAAATCAGGAGCGAGGAGGGGGGGGGGGGGGGGAGTTGGAGAACCTAGGAAGTCAGGAAGCGCCCAAAGGTTCCAACATAATATGTTATAAATGCAAACAGTATAAAAATTTAGACTTATTTATTTGCTTGATTCAGAATGGACCTCTCAGTCGACATAGCGGACCTATAAAATCACAAATCTTGTTCCAATAATTCCTGTCCATTATTTATGCAAAGCGTGACAGCGCCAAGGTCATAGTCTATTACACCTGCAGAACGTTACAAATCTACCTTCACAAAATTAAATGCGCAAATTGTCAAATCAGAAAGCAAGCTTGGCGAGAAACCTGGAAAAAGCAGAGTGTAGCATTTGATGTGGTTGACGAGATTGCTTTATAGCTTCAAAAAACAAGCTGAACTGCAACAAGCGCAGAAATCAATTAGCAACAATTCTTCGCTCACATTTAGGTCCACAAAAAACGAACAGTGTCGCGAATGGATGACGATGCCGAGATATAAGAAGAGCTAAGAGTGCCTTCTCTATGTTATATAGAGCATGCAATTTCCTTCATTTTCTCGTTGAACAATTATCTTGGCTTGGGATACGGAGAAAAAGCTTCAGTGTACCACACAATACTTGCGTTGATAGAAAAGCAATCGTATAGTAGACCGGCACATGCTGTGGAAACAGTTATGATATGAACGTGATATATAACAGTTTCAAATGTGACCTTAAAACAAGGTAAAATAATTCTACAGTTTGACTCTCAGCCTTAGAATATTTGATATGTTAAACTTTGTACTTTCTCGAGAGATCGATTACTGAACGAGAATACGGATTTGCTATGGGTTCCATGGGCCAACGTAACTCTATTGAGTAATTTCTTATAACTTAACATGAATGGATAGCTCAAGCAATCCTTTTAATAGCAAGTTGGAAAAGCCAAACATGACCCACATAGTTGTTGGACTTCGGCCAAGTGGAGTAAAAGGTATGACAATAGCAAATCCGTCGAGGTCAGTGCGCAGCGCCCGTTGCAGTTGGCGTTATTTGATAATCTGAACATTTCGAAGTGTTTCAGTTGCTAACTAAACACCGTATATACACAAAACGTCGAATGCTTCAGTCGTAATTAAGACAACTCAAAAAAACCATCAAATTCTCTGGCTGTAACAAGATAGCAATTTGTATACCAGGAATATCCGTTGCTTTTAAAAAGTACTATGGTTTCACGGCGATTTTGGCTACCATAATCCTTGGGATGAGCTGCTCCTATTCTTGCTTGTACCTCGATTTTTTCCTGGTCCAACCTAAGTGTGCAATAATTGAATACTTGGAGAAGTTCGGTTTTTTTTCGTTTCATAACCTCAACTCGGATTGATAGCTTTTTTTGCCCCATAATTCTGCCACGACAGAAGCAATGCGGTGAAAGCAACCGCTGAACTCATCAGTACAAACTACACTGCAGGTAAATAAGTTCGTTTCCAGTTCAACGATTCGCTTTTTTTTTCAGAACGAGAAAATCTTGTTGCATGTTGCTAAAGCCGTACGCGATAAGATCTCGTCGACTCGCTTCTTTCCGGTCGCATGACGCAATGAAAATAAATGCACTTCCCTGATATTTTTAAGTTCTTGAAAACTACATACTTTCGCCATGATTACTTCATTTGATTCGTCGTTTCTAATTTGCTGTGTAAATCTGTTTTTTGATTGCATTTTATAATCTCGTTAGTTGTAGTATGCATAGGAATTTCCTACGCAATAAATAATTTATAAATATAATAATAATAATAGTATTTCGGACAGATAAAAGCTATAACACAGCCGAGACTCTCTAGCTCAGCGAAGCCTTAGGTCACAATTCTCAATTGTCTAAATGTGAACATAATGTGGATATAGGAGTCAAAAACACCCTAATGATAGCCACTTTGATTATTTTACTCAATTTCCCAACAAAAGCTCTCAAATTGTTTAAGTGCCCTATATCTTCGAAGATTTGTGATTGAGAGTCTTTCTGAATATTCCCCGAGAAGACATGCCGTTGCTTTCAATTCCCAGTTTTCTCGTTTTGTGGATGACCGCTCCTTCCACATCTATAAGCCTGCAAAACTGAATTCGAGATGATTTCGAGATGAATTGGCAGAAACACAGCTCAAGTAATTTACTCCAAAAAATGAGAGGTTTCTGATGGGATATAACTTAAACCAAACATTAAGCTATTTTTCTTCTATTTTTATTATTTTCGTTATCATATTATTGTTATTGTTATTCTTATTATTATTATTATTATTATTACTATTACTAATTATTATTTATTATCTATTATTTATTATTTGTTATTTATTATTTACTATTTATTACTTGTTATTATTAGATTAATATTAGGTTGTCCCGAAAGTTGTGTCGCTTTTTTCATCGCTCACTAAAACTCACAGAACACTCCATGGACGACCTACGTATTATTTGATTTAGAATTTTATCTTCTTTCATATAGCTATAATTACTCTCTGATCTACCCTGTCTTTGCAATGTTATCGTCATGGTTTTTTGAGCAGTTCAACAATAACGCTAAACTTTTTCGAATAGTAAAAGATTTTTATCTTAATGTTTTCAAAGAGCGTTGGTAACTGTTATGTAGAGCAAACTTTTGGCTGAATTGTTCCCATTTTAAATTACATGAGCCACGCTTGTCAAGTTACTAATAATTAATTATCTAAGAAAAACCGCGGCTTTTTGATTATGTTTACCACGTAAGAGTTCGAAAATTTCCGAAAAGCTTTTCAAAGCAAATCGAGATTGGTTATGTTGTAAATAATGTTTAATAAGAATCAAGTTTCAATTCTCAGAAACCAAAAGCATTCATGTTTTTGCTGCAATTGCGTGCTTCACTATTTAGACAAAAATCGAGACCTCCAAAGAAATAATTTTTCTAGCTAAAACAGCAGATTAGGAGAATCCAAAAATAATTTCGTATAGTCCGAGAATCCCTCTACTTGTGCCGCACATGACTCTTTCCAAAACTCTGAAATGAAATTTTTGAAAATTAGCCTAACTATCAGAACTATCAGCAGATAAAAATGACGGCTGAAGATTTGTGGCAATTATCAAAAAAAAGCATACAGGATTGTGGTACGATGCAACCATAGGAAAGAGAAGGAAAAGCTACATCGAATGCATGTTGAATCTCATTGTCTTTATTGTGCGTGGTTTTATAGTGGTTTGAAAAAACCGACAAAACTTTTGGGACAACCTGATATTATCACTACTAATGAAGCTCATTAGCTAGTATATCATCACTTCTGTGCGAAAGAATAAAGTACTCAAGCATAGAAATTGTTTAAAACTCTCGAAAACCTTCGTTATGCGTCGGGAATTTTTGAAAGATGATATAAGCGGCGCTTAGGTTTCTATATTTCACACCTCTAAAGGAAAAGGTCTCCAAGTCTCTAGCTAACGAATGCTTAAGGTAGAGAGGAAAAGTATTGGATTATTCAAACCAGACCCGAAACTTTAGACTAACAAGGGAAGCTTCTTTAGTCGATGGGCTTTCCAAATGAGATGTACACCATGTTGAAGGGCATAAAACGCTGACTCCAAATCTGCCTTCCTTATCTGCACAGCGTTTATGCACGAGAAGTTATGAGCGTTTTTTGAAGCCAAAAATTGGATATGCATTTTGGATGCAATGAATTGCTAGAATCTTACTAGCCCTCAAATGACGCAACCAAGTGCGGTATACTTTTCATTTGAAAGTATTTTTCAAATAAAATGCTCTTATGTTTATCACTGCTCCATTGAAGAGCTAGAAAAAGTATTACGGCTATTTTTGTCTTACTTGCACATTCAATTTCTCACTTCAATAAGCGCTCATAACTCCTCGTCCATAAACGCTCTGCAGATAAAAAAGACAGATTTGGAATCAGCAATTTAGCCCTTTAGTATGGTATACGTCTCATTTAAAAGCCCACTTTGACTAAACATGCATCCCTTGTAAGAGGGCTCGCATAGTTCAGTGATGCAACACAAAGGAAAGGCTTCTGGATTTACGAATCATGATCACAAAAGTGAAAGTTGATATACCAAAAGCCTTTTGAGACAAGATAGCGGATGATTACATCGTTTGCAGTGATTACTAACTTGTTCGCTTCTGTTCAAATTCATTACCCATGCACCATGATAACCGAAGTCCATCTTACCCCGAGAAACGTTGCTCATTTGCATTTATATTTCTTTGCGATGGTGGAACAATGGACTCAAAATCAATTACGGATTTTCATTGCGACAGCCCAGAAAACAGCTTCTTTGAAATTTCAAACAAACTGGCCGCGACGGTAATGTCTCATAAAAGACAATCGACAAATACCGAAAGAACAACTTGCACATTCTTGAAGGCGTTAAAATCAAATCTGCAATATTTATTAAGTGAAAATTTTCAACCTACAAATCATCACGACGTGAACAAATACAATGATAAAGATCTGATAAGTGAATACTTCAGTAAAGCAATCAGGTTATCAAAGCATTTATAATGTATGAATTTGCGCAATCTTAGCTTAAAATCGAGCTGAGAAAAATGAATTTCGCTACGTATGCTCTTCTAAGTATGACGCTGAGATGGTGTCTTCGAGCAACATGGACCGTAGAAGATGAACACAACAATGAGCTGAAAATAAAAATTGAGAAGCATTCAGCTTCCTAATTCGAAAAAACCTGAGAAATGCTTTTCTAAAAACTCACAAACATTACGTGAATAGCACCAATGATTGTGGTTGTCCACGCAAACCCGATCTTCTCGACGATAAACCCGCCAAGAGTAGGACCCATAAATCCACTAAATATCAGAACAAATTCGAAAATGTAACAATAATATAAAATGTAGGCAATTTGTCGATCAAAATAGGCTAAGTTAATTAATAGTGGAGATTACTTACCCACAGGCAAACGCCGATTGAAATACACCCGATACACAGCCGTAAGTATGGAAAGAGTCATCATAACCGTGTTCTCTGGAAATAATTACGGTTTAATTTTTTAGAAACACCGGCTTTTATTTTTTACTTGACAGTTGAACTTCTCAATCACAGATAGCGCAAAAAATTCCCACTTTAAATAAGTTCACTTTGTGAATGGCTTCGATATTGAAACTCTTCAAAAATACTATGAATTCTACAAGAAAGAGTCTGTCATTGGGTAAGCCGAGGCAAATGAATAAATTTAACTTGTAAAACTTACTTGACAGCATCCAAACAATTCTGGAATGTCGGAATGTACAAAGCGCCAGCTGCAACGCCGAGAACTGACAGTGAAATGCCGATAACGATGAGATTCCTGAAATACTAGTAATTTGGAAACCTCATCATCAAAACATTCATAATGCTCTATTGGTCTCCCTCATAGAAGTTCCTCAGAGCTTTGGAAATTCTGAAGATTTTCAAACAAAAAAAAATTTTGGACCTATGCAACGAAAGCATTTGCTTTTGTACTACTTTGAAATTATTAAATACATGCTAATTATCTTTTCCACATCAAAGGCAGCGTCCACCCAAAATTTCGTCTACCTTTTCTTTGTCTTCGGGTCCTGATTATGAAGTTCAAAATGTAAAACCCCCAAAAACCCGATTTCTGGGAGCCCTATCTGAAAAAGCAGACGGCGTTCACTATTTGAATGGGCGGAGCTCGTTAGGATATGGGCGTGGCTTGATAAAACTTTCTCGGTTCCAAGCCCATTATCTCCACTCGGAGACATCATTGGACGACCGGACCAACGCAGATGCCCCTCTCCTGGGGTCTATTCTCAAAGCACTAGCACATCGGAAGGGGTTAGGTTTTGCCTGGACACTGCGCTGCCTTGAAGATCATATTTTTTCCACCCCCCGCCCCCTTATGACTCGGAAAATGTCAGTGATTTTTCAGCTTCATAAAGCATGATTGTTTTCAAACTCACTTCTCAAATGGAAGAAAAGGCGATGGACCGATAAGTGCCATCGAAAGAACAGTAGCAGCAGAGCCAAAAATCATAACACCAGTAGTACAATGAAATTTGTCGATTAGTAGACCCCAAATGGGAGCCGAGAGAGTGTAGATTCCACCGCACAGCAAGAACATCAATCCAATCATGGTTGGAGAGAGTTTGAACTGAAAATCGAACACCACAGTAAGCTTATGAATTTGGTGGCAATAAATCTAAGAAATTGGAATTTTTATTCTATATGTAAAATGCTCAGAAATATTTGAATGCGAGGCTTAATACAGCTTCCCAAACTGCGCTTTGATTTCACTCTCACCTTGCTTGCCCAGTTATATAAATGATGGAACAATATATTTGGAGTAAAAAATATATTGAGACCGAGGCCGAAAAAAAAACATGTCCATTTTATCTTCTTTTTTTTTCAAACATGCAACTTCACTGAGCCTGATCTTGACAAATCGCGACCGCGCTACGGAAGCAGTAAGATGCTCGACTGAAGTTCTTAAGAGCTTCCATGGAACCAGAAGATGGGCTGGCAAAATAGGTGCCTAAGAGGTGGAGTTAGCCACTTCTCATGGTGAACTTATAACATACAACACTGAATATGAATACAAATCAACTATCGACGACGTGGTAAATCATATTTTTTCAAACTCCTCAAGTCCTCTCCCGTGCCCATACAATGAGAAAAACGACTCACAGTTGCAAGGTGAGCTGAGAGCGTTGGATCAAGGAACGAAAGCGATATGGCACATACAATTACTGCATAGATCATTATCCAGATTACAGGAATATGAAGCATGGCAAGCATTCCTTTCGACGCTCCGACATCTTCTAAACATAAAAGAAGATTGGTTTGCGGAGATAAAAATTTGATTTGAGCACTCACCATCCTTATAGTTTTCGATGAGCATCCAAGCAAGGAACACGGCTAACATGAGTATGGCACCTAGCCCAAGAAAAGGCACTTGGAAGCCACCGAACTCGTACAGAAATCCACCAATCACAGGACCTGCTGTGTATCCTAGACCGGCGAATGTCTCCATAAGGCCCTAAAAATCGAAATCATGAGTTCTAAGAGTGGCGTGCCAGAATAAAACACATAGAACTTTTTGATTCCAAGAACTTGCTATGAAATAGAAGAGAAAATTCCAAAATAAACTATTTTTGGAATGTAACGGGTAACTCAAATAATTGCTTCGATTGATCACACTCAATAATTTATAGAAATTGCTCATTTCCACAACTCAGCTGGCTCAATTCTACATGTCATTTCTAGAAAACTCAAACTATTCATAGTTTTCTTTATCCACTGAAAAATTCGGATATTACGAGAAACCTCCTCGCAAAACCCGAGTGAGCACGACATAGAATTTGGTGATTGAGAAAATATTCAACCCACCACTATCAAGGCAATATTTCCTGGAAAACATTTAGCTGATATTGCAAAACTTGAAGTCACAAAAGCTGCATCTCCTATCGCTTCCAATATACGAATGGAAAGGCTGGCCAAGAAAAACATTCGACCCGATGGGAGCAAGTTTAGGAACCTGAAATGATTGCATATAATGTGCAAGTGACTTGTTTATACTTGTAAATGATTAAATTAATTTAGCAAACTTTAAAAATTCAAATTAACCTTGCAGAAATTTTTCGGAGGCGCTGCTGCCGCACCCCTATTTTTTTCCGAGATTCTGGGATCATAGGCCCCAAAAGTTTTCTGAAGCACCCCAACAAATTCTTCGAAGTACGTGACTAACGCATCTTTATTAAAAAAAATTTCGCCTCCCCCCCCCTCCCGCCCCCCCCCCCCCCGTTCGAGCGGAAATCTTGGATACGCCACTGATATCATTGAATTTCCTGCATGTTCAAAAAATTTTTTTACAAACCATCCTTACTGATTGCACACAAAAATTATCTACCATTTTTGGCTCTACAGTAGCTGCATAATATAACAAATAAATTTCACTAAAAATGGATTTCGAAATAGTTTAGGTCACATTAAATGCAGCTCTATTAGCATCAAAGTTGTGCCTACCAAAAGGCAATTCAATCACCATGTTGAAAATATTGTTCATATCTATGACCAGCTCTCCTTTAATCTTCTGAAGTATTTTTCTGGTTGTGAAAACAATTGTAACGAACCTCATTCTTTGGGTGCCATTTCTGGATGTATTTCATAAATATAAATTTTTACATTATCACTTACCATAAAACCATTGATAAGAAAACCTTTATATGTCAAGAGAAATAAAGCCTACGTTAACAAATTTTGCTAGCCATAGGAACTTAACGTCGACTTTTTTGAGGTTTTGAGCTTCAAGAAGTTCGACGAATCAACAAAGACTGTTGGGTTCAACACCTTTGAGAAATTTTATAATTGCTATATAAGAAGATGCTCTGACAAGCAGTCGTTGACAAGAAAAAAAGAAGTTGCATTGATTTTGCTTACATGTTTTTGTTCTCAAAGTTTAGGCTAAAACACAAAAAAGCAAAGCGAAAAACCGTTAAGATTATTTTTAATCGATTTAGTCAGAAGTTGCTGAAAAATTCTCCAAACTTGAAAAGCGGAGGATACTAAGCCAAAAAAGAGAAATATGCGCTAGCTACATAAACGTACACTCTACCTGAATAGAGCAGAAAGAAAGAACTTCACTTCAGAAGGAGTTAGGATATAATGCAAAATAGGAGTACGGTAAGTGAATTGTAAAAGCAAACGCTTAACCAAGAGACGTTCTCCACAGTTTTCTAATAAGTTCGGCTCAGGAAAGATTTCGACATACAGAAGATCTATAATCGAAAATAGGATCGTATCAGAAAGCAGTAAGATAGAGACCAATGGATAAGAAAGAGCAATGGTTTTCACTCATGATCAGCGCAAGATCAACTTCAGATATTTTCTGAAAGTTACAAAAATATATATCAGCAATCTTGCATGATCTTACCCGAAAAGAATAGCTGTTATTCCAGTGATGGTTAGACCCAGCAGAAACATGTTCTTCGACCCGATAGATGTCATCTAGAAGAAATCAAAATTGATATTGCAAACAATAGTATACCATTTGATAAGCTGAAACATACTAGAACAAGAAATATGGATGATTCCGCAACAAAGCGCACGTATGAATCAAGAAATTTCAAACTTACGTATTTTCCAAAGATAGGCGCGGTGATAAACATCACTAGCTCAAAGATTCCGAACACGATTCCAGTCTGGGATTCACTCATGCCCTTTTTCCTGGCCTTAAAAGTATTCTTTTACAATTTGCCACCTCGTCGGTGTTAAGAAAACTATACAGACCTCGTCAGGATAAAACGGAGCGATGCAGCTGAATGCCACAGTTGAGCAAAGATTGGCCAGTGCCAGCATAACAACAGTTACCCATTCCTTGGATGAAAGGTTTCCAAATGAGCCCTAAGTAACATTTAATTCATTAAATTCCGTCAAAACATTGCTGCACATACCTTAACCTTGACGGTGGCGGCGGATTCATCTTCGGAAGTGGACTCCCTGGAAGTATGGTGTTTGAAAAATAACATTGAATGTAGCAAAATTATGCAAGATTTTCTCAACATTTTCGGTTGCATAAACTTGCTGAAGAGAAAATCAAGGAACCAGTTGTTGTCAATGACGAACATTTCAAAATAATTCAAAACAGGTAAATTACTTATCACGGTAAATGGGCTAGCCAAAGGATTCTTAACCCGGACTGGTACAATCCCCTAGCGGCCAACAATAGAATGCTAACTTTTTTTGACTTTCGATAGAAATATTAACAAACACCGCTTCTTCCTGCCCTTAAACAAATGGAAATTAAAATTACCACTATATATTCTCAGAAACACGAGTCCTTTGAGATTAGGTTTAGATGAATCGCCCAAATACCTATATGTTCCACCTAAGGCTCCCTCTGCCACTTTTGATTGACATACTTACGATACACATCTGGCTATGCCAAGTTATGTCGCAAATGCAACTTTTCACGAATTCTTTGCATGTCTAATGTTGGAACATTGACAAAATGAATTAGCTTAGCAATATACTAAAATATGCTCAACTATGAAATGAAAAATCAGAGTTCAAACCAATTATTATACGGTTAAATGCTTCACTGATAAAGCCTTGTTAAGCGTAGGATTTCTATAGCACAAGCATCAAACTTTGCAGCTTTCGCATCAAAATCAGGAAAATGGAGACTATATTGAAACTTTTTGAGGAAAGCTAGCTGCGCGAGGTGTAGAAACTTAGACCTGGACAAAGATGCAGATCTGAGCTGAGGAAGGAAGTGCAGAACAATAGCACAGAAGAGCAAATGAATGAACTATTGATGTCTTAGACGTACTTCTAATGAACATAGTTTTTCGCAATCTCCTTGCGTAAAGAAAGCTCCAAAGTCGCGAGACAACTTCTGCTATTTTCATCGCTTGCGGTTTCTCAAACCAGCTGAATATAATTTGAATAAGCTTATAAGACACTCACTCTTCGGCGCTGCTCGGTGCTTGCTGCTCGTCTCCGGATAGAAGTCCTTCTTCGGCAGGAGGTCGCCGATTGCTTCCGTAAGCCAGATTCCGTTTCGCTTCCTTGGGTGAACCGGGCGCTCGACGTTCCAAAGGTATCGACAACTGGGTGGCGATCGGCATAAAAGGCGACGCAATGTATGGCCTAAATGTATTGGACACCGTGTCGTCACTAAATTTTTAGAAACAGGAAATAGATAAGAAAAAGCAAGAAAAAACTGTCCCTTCAACACCACAACATCTAGCTCCTACCTTTCCTTACACTCAAAATTTGCTGATTTGAGTAAATTTTCATTCTTTTGTGGGGTTTCTGGAAAGGTATCCGGGCCGATAACAAGAACTTTCGCCATTCACACATACGGTATCCACACCAGATCTTGTTCGAATCAAGACCGATGCTCCTGAACAGGGTGATAAGGCAACACACTTGCTTGGAGCCACGACGGATTCGCGACTTGGGCAGGCGAGGCGACTGTGCACGGCGGGCATACAGCGACCGAATGAAGTGATTGTGGGTTGGGATTTCATGGATCTAGCACTGATCCTCAGGATACAGAGCAATGAACACTGCTTTGAAAGAATACAATAGGAGTACAGCTGATCACTAAGGCTGTTGGAATCTGGGAAAATGCCAGACAAAGAGAGCCATGATTCATGCTACGCTGCAAGATATACTCATATGATCCCTCAGTTCTCTGAGTCCACGCTGCTTCTGTGAATCCAGAGCGCGGACAACGAATCTCCAGCACACCAGCAAGTAACAGGTCAGTAGAAATTACTATTTCCTTTCTTTTCTTCGCAACATAAGTCATAAATCCTTTGACTAAGGCATACCTCATAAGCGGAAAACTAAAATCTATCTATGCGCATTCTTTGGAAAAACAAAAACCGATACAAGTTTTGGTAATTGAAACATTTGAAAAAGAGCGACAATGCAGAAAACCACGCAAATCACAGAAACGATTTCGGTACTGTTTCACAGATAAATCACATCCGATGACCTTTGCAGAGCAAGGTTGAACGTAAATTAGATATTGAGAAGAAATTATATTGTGTAAAATGAGTACAAGTTTTAGTGAATTCCAGTTACAGTACGTATGAACCTTTCATGCGCAACTTTTCCTTACATACTTCTAGGCAATTCCATCATAGGACAAAAATTTAATATAGTTTTTGCCAGATGAAAAGAAAATTACATTCATTATAGGCACAATTGATTCGCAACAAAACTGCTTAGGCATTCTCCAAGAGAAGCTGGAGAAAATTTAAAGGAATGACATAAAAGAAAGAGTGAGAAAATAATTTCTCATGAGCATTCTGAAGATATGAATATTAGCTTATTTTGTGCCAAGTCAAAATTCGAAAGTTGTTGGAAAAATGACATGATCAGCTGAAAGGGTAGACTTTTGGTATAAGTCAAGCTTTGGCACAAAAAGTTCACTTTTGCAGGGAAGTTGCAAAATTGTGATATCTTCGCAGGAAGATCCTTCTCCGGATAAAGCGTTTTCCGTCTAAACAGCGCGATAAATGTAGAAAAATCGTAGTAAAATTGACTTCGGGCAAAGGTGTGCTATACTGAAGCAAAGGGTCCAAAATTGACAAGATCTACATGGGACTCTTATTGACATTCTCGAGCGCGTTGCCCCGTAATCCAAAAATGTCGGCCACATATAATCCAATGAGTTCAACCGCTAAAATGCGTCGCATATGAGGATCGACGAGCGCTCGGCCTAGACTCTAGGGAACCATGGTGATCATGAGCGAAAAAAAGCGTTCCGTGCTTTTTAAACGATTTTCGCTAATTTTTGCTGTATTCTATGTTACTGTTACATGCTCGCCTGTTCTACATTCCGCTCATTTTTGTGCTACGGTAATTTCATACAAGCGCGAGCTTTTACTCGTTCATTACGGAAAAATTATTAAGCTGTTAACTAAGCTTTGCAACTGAATCCGTAACTTTTCGGTTCCTTGTATTGACGCGCTCATTTTTTGATATACAGATTGCCTTTCGAGCTGCAAACTGGCACAAACTGCTTTCTTTTTGATGACGAAATAGAAAAAATTCAAGGAATTTTCGAAAACCACTGAAATTCGGGGATTTAAGGGCTTCTGAGTAAAAATGAAGCCGTTCTCAACCTAGACCATGCACAACGATCCGGAATTGTACATGAATGTTGCTAAAGACTGATTTATTTAGCTCAATAAGAAAGAAATGAATTCGACAACGCGAGATTTGGCGTCCTCACAAAGTTGACTGAGCCGTTGTACGCCAGATTGATTGGGAAAAGCTTTAATGACCAAAGAATCAGAATCTCAAAATTCGCTGAAACTTTGAGTGGGGTTACTTGACCTGCCAAACACGGAAATCATAATCGCTAGTTGAATTAACGCCTCTTTTCTTGTTTAAGATGAGACCCCATACCGTAAACCTACAGTAATCGTGCAAAAAAGCTCTCACCATGCAATTTTAGTATCGTGTTCGTGATGAGCATGTCGGATAACCTCCCTACGCTAAGTTTTAGCCAAATCTGTAATATTTTGCAATTTTTTCCTTTGTACATACCATGTACCTATCGCCGCAACCCCACTGCGACGTCAGAATTTGGCAAAACTATCGCTGTTTTAGTTTACGTCGTAGCCTACATAAGGACTAAATTTGTGTACGTCGTGAGAAAAGGTATAAAAGTAGTTGCAAAACTTAGTTAACAACCTAATAGTGCTCCGACAAGAAGAATGCACAAAAAAGTTAGCAGACAAAGAATTCTTCTACATGATGATTTTCGAGCAAGAGATAGAATAGGAATCAAGAGACACTTCGAAAAATGAGTCAACATGATAACATGTGAGACTCCTTTCGAGTTCTTTCCTCGATAGTAAGAATTCGCAAAGTCAGATAAATACCCGATGGAATCGAAGAAATCATCCCAAGACCTAGTAGACCATCACAGAGATGCTCATTTAGTATCTAACAATAAGGAAACCAGTTAGCAACTAGAGGACGTTCACGGTCATCTAGGATGAGAACGCAAAATATTGAAAAAAAATAAACAAAAAATCCCAAAATATTCTTGTATATCAAGCATAGTGGGAAAGGCTAATCAGTAGGCTCGATAAGTATGAGTACAAATATGTGTGCAGTAGACGAATTACTCTAGTATAGTTATACAATCTCTACAGCAAATGCGACGAAGTTTTGTGGAACTGTTTTGGATGAAAAAACAAGAAGATCAAACAATTCATGTCAAACAACAATAACAGCAAAGTTTGAACTCAACGCAATCTATCTAAAACGTATAGGAGATCGTAAGGCGCATTCAAAAATCATCAGATAGCGGGTAACCGAGAAGCACGGTCCCGAAGCGAGCGCGCCTGCTTCTTGAGACCAGCACCTTTGGGATTATTGGTTCACCAGTATTTATCAAGCAAGCGAAACAGTAAATTATTTTGCACCCGAAACTCAGCCGAAACTCACATTATTTTCGACCAAACTGCACTCAGAAATTTCCTTCCTTTTATAGCACGTTTTTTAATCAAACATAAGCCGTGATTCAACTTTTGCCATCCCTGAACAATAGCAGTCATCCAAAAATCATGTCCAGTGTAATCAGAAAGTAATTACAGCGTAAGTGCTGAACATTCTGAACGGAATGTTGTGGTGAATGCGAGGAAAAGAAGTAGCCAGAATGCGAATAGTTTGCACCTTTCGCGGAATGCAGTCGAACATTGACATAATATCAAATTTCGTTCCACACAATTCAACTATTATAGTTATAGAGTAAAGAAAAAAATTCTCTTTGTCGCTATTGACCGCTCTCTTATTTGTATTCGTTTTTTCCTCGATTCACAATCAAAATTACAAGCAAACGGCACAAATACACGGTCAGATCTGTTTTCTGTTTCAGATTAGAGAAAAACAAGAATAAAAGTCCATTAGTTGGTAGTTCGGAAGCTTGCATTGTTGGACATAGTTTTCAGTGAAGGGTTTACGATCATTGCTTCCGACAAGTAAGAAGAAAATCGAAGCATTATCACAATCACTGCAAATATCTTGTAATTTCCAAAGATACATAGCCTGACCTGCCCTTAAAAAAGCAAAAAACGAGAACGCCCTTATATGAGCGCAAAAAGCCGACCAAAATCACAAAAAACTAGTGAACCAATAATCCTAACGGTGTTAAATTGTGGGCCGCACCCGGTTCCCCGCGGCTATCTGATGATTTTTGAATTGACGTTATGATTCTTTATATATTAGATGGTGCTTTGTAAATTCTGCAGTAGCGAAATGAAGACAGTTTCTGTGTCCCCTAATGCAGAACTGGTAAAATTGTGTGGTTTTAGCGGCAAGAGGAAGTATGAGGTATGTTATGCAAGCCGTTTATGTATAAATGGAACGCAAAATGACGAGCACGAGCCAGTTCCAAATATGCAAATTTTGTTCTTATAGTTCATAAAATTAATAGACACCATGAGAATAGGAGTTCAGCGCTAGAAAGTAGGAGATAGAAAGCTTATCTAGAACTAGAAATTATCCTAAGCAAGTCATGAACGGAAAAATAATCAGTTCCATCTATATTTTAATTTTTTGTTTCGAGTATTACGACCAATCAAACACCTCAATGTTACTGGTAAAGCAAAAATTCCTACTGGTAAGTGTTTGAATTTCAAATCATTCTGTGAGATATTATTGTAATATGATAACTAAAATTATTGATACCAACACATTCATTTATATGCAAATTACAACATCTAATACATTAGCCTTGAGACCATATGATTCCCACGATCAACGTCAGTTAACAGCTGGAAAGGGTAGCACTCCAGTTTCGTTGTAGCTGGATAAACAAAAAAAAATATTTGTCGCAGATCGCAGGCATCCATTTCGCACCCCGCAGGCATAACGCCTGCAAAAAGCAACTCAGGTCTTTGCTGTGAAAAACAAGATGCTTGGAAATTTAGTGAGTTCATATAAGAGGAAATTCTGCAATGACAGTTCACCACCGAAGAAAACTAGCAAGCAGAATAAATTTTTTCCTCTTTCTAAGCTCTAAAGCTAAGTCAGACCTTTTAACCATAACTTAACGAGCCACGAAATAGGTCAGTAAAGCTATCGGAGCACAAAATGTTCTCAACTTTGATGAGAACACCTTATAAGCGCCGTTTCTTGAGCATCGACGGTGAAAAACAAATACAAGCCGAGCATGAAAGCGGCAAAGTAATCAATTTCGAATGCGCAGCCATAGCCATCGTTTGCAAACGCTTAGTCAGAAAATTGGTCATGAATAAAAACTTTCTATACGTAGAAAACTGCAAAGAACGTCTTCATCCATTGCGAGCACTCTTGAAAATCATTTTGTGTATCTGATGGTATCTCTGCTCGTTTTGGGACGAAGTAGAGAGCGTTATGCATTCCATTTATATGAAAGAACTCCCTAGAGGATGGAAAGTTGGAGAGCATTTGTCAAAATATGACGAAAATGATGCAATTTCTGTGCACGAAAGTTGCAGAAGTGCAGTCAGGTAGGTACTAAGAAGAAATTCGATTAATCGTAAGTTCCATAAGCGAAGAATAGCAGAATTAACAGAGATGTTGATCTATACGCAAAATCCTAGACTTTCTATGATATCTTAGTGGATGGCGAAGAAAGAATGGATTCCAGAATGTCGTGAGGTAGATATTTATGGAAAAAAGTAACAATCTTGGTATTCATCTGGCAGACTAGATTTATGGAAAAGATGTGAATTCCGAGGGGTAGAATGCGAGATATAGTACGCGAGGAAATAAAGGAAGACAATTGATCAAAAATGAACCAGAAAAATTTCCAAAGGCATAAAGAAGCTTTTTTTCTAAAAAAAAGCATCATAAAGAAAAGGCGCTTTTCTTTGCCTTAGCTGAATGTGAAAGCGCTCCAACGAACCATCCTCTCTCAAAAATGACATTGAGATAAGTAAAACGGCGAACAGCGACAAAATGAGAGGTGACACAGGCTGCATGTTAACGAATGCGGAATAATATACTGAGCAAATATTTGCCATCTAAGCGCGATGTGGGAAAAGCACTCTGTTGCAGAAAAGCACGTGAAATCTGCCGCAAAAAGAATGCCGTTATAAAAAACGCTATTTCGGCTAGAAATTCGCTCATAATAAAAGCTGCAAAGCGTGCAAGCGTTCGGCGGTTCGAGAAGCATTGAAGAGGAGAATCTCATAATTTCGAAAGAAGCATTTCAAAAGCAATCTTATAATCTCGAAACTTCTCTTTCGAGCAGTGCGCAGCAGAATGAACGGCACGAAAGCACGAATACGTTATGCACCTCGAATTTCGACTGATTCATCATGACACAAAGGCAACGAGGTCGTAATTTGCAGCAGCAGTGTTTGCAAGAGGTCTGCCATTAGGAAAACATTTAAGTGCAAAAATGGATAAATTTTGATAGAAAGAAAAAGCAAAAAAATAGGTAAGAGATCTGTAACCAAAACAGAAGTTCTGGTATAAGGATGATGTGTATGGACGCTGAGAGGTTGTCAAGGCAACACGGGGTAGCGACCTCGATGATGTGGAGGCTCGAAAGAAGGCACAGAATTTTCTGAACATTCCCGTAATTTATTCAAATTTCGACCAGTGGTTTCATTTCATTTCAGAAAATGTAAGGACATGCAAATTTTGCAACGATATTATGGGAAAACGACAAAGGACGGGAAACAGAATGGATGGATAGATAGTTTACAGAACATGGGCAAAACATAAGAAAGACGAGAATAAAAGAGGATTCTGCAGAAAAAGTGGAACATCTTCACAATTGCATTACTGAAAACGAAATAAGCAGTAAAACCAACATTTTACGCCTATCGATTTTGTGGAATTTGAGTACACATGTTCAGAAACGAACAGCTGCGAATGACTTGAGCATGCGTTGAACAGGCAAAACACAATGTGAAAGTCGTAAAGACCTTTCAATTAATGCATAAAAAAACGAGTAGCAAATACAGCGATCTAGGCCCGGCCATTCGAGTGCAGCGGGTCGACGACCTGCCCTCACAGTCCGTACGACTCGGTCAAGTAAATAGTCCGATTAGAGCGATGAACGCTAGAGTCACCAGGTTGCGTGGTTCGGACGTTCAACGCTTGGAATTGATCCGATCAGATCGTATGATATCTAATTGACACCGACGCGATTCGAACACTACGCACTTCGATCAACATGTGGCCCGCTGCAGATCCAGAATTGTGCCGCAGACGCGCGAAGTCCGCGGATTCAGCTGTTTGCCGGCCGAACAATCCATTGATCGTATTAGCTGCGAGCGTACGACCAGACAGCCGACCGGCGCACAGCCCAACAACAACAATCGACGGCTAGCGAACGATTTCGGAGAGAAGCGCGGTGAAAAGGACAGCTGATCAGCGACGCGCGATCGATGCGCGCCATTCCGGATGTCCGCGGCGGTCGCGTTTGGGACAGCGCTGGGACGTGCGTTGCAGCTGCTGCGACTGCTCCGGCCGGACTACGTCATGCCGAGATGAATGAATGAGCGATGACCGAAAAACACGCGCGACGACACCTGTGTGTTACACAAAAGCAGAAAAGTTCCTAGGCAAAACCTAGGCGGGCTTGTGTCGTTAGACATCACCGCCGGCTAGGGCTGCTGCCGGAAGGAAGCCAAAGTAAGACGCTAATGCGAGCAAATCCGTGATATTCATGTGCGAAGTGCATGGCGAGCGGATTATCAAAATTGCATTCGAATCTGCATAATCTGCTTTTCAATCACATTAGAAGCTCTACAATTCTCTCGCTGCGTCTACTTTAGCTTCATCTTCCCACCCACTGTTTGGTGCTACTAGACGTAATATAACTGAACGGAACATAGACGAGAAAGTTCTCCAATACCTGGTTTTCTGGATTTTAGGAAGCTTCTGTGGGTTGTATCTCCTTCGTTTTCGCCTATACTCTCGCCTAATTTCATCTCTTCCAACCTATAAAAAAAGTCTTGTAAGTCTACTCCCAACACAAGATTCTTGTTGTTATACATATACTTCAGAAAGAGCTCTTTCTCTGTTGCTAAATGTGATAGCACCATCTCACTTAACAACTAACATACAAGAGCTTATACAAGTTTATATTTCATTAGATACCCGCGCTTGTTCTCACGATGTTCATGCGCGACCAGTGAACAATTTACTAATTATCAAATAGAAACCTGTTTCTGCTCATGGCAATCTAGCAAAACTTAACAAGTATAAACTGTTATATGAAAAACACTTTTTCGTACCTCAGATCGAGCAGTTGACGGACCAGGAAAGTCATAAACCGAGGGACCACTTTCATAGCCCATCACGGATGGAAGGGAGCTGAATAGTTAAGAATAAATGTTGTGAATGAAAGTCTGATTTAAGTGGAAGAAATTCGATTAGTAAATACTTTTGCAGGAATCTTATTACTGAATCCTCAAAGATATATCTGTTATTTGTTTTTAGCTTCATCAGTCAAGAAAACATGGAACATACTTACAGAGCAAAAATAATATAAGTTTTTTAATACCGCAAAAATATAACTTTTCTTGGCATGGAATTATTAGAGTGGGAAAAATTACATTCTTGGTAGACGCACAGAGTGCAGTGGGAATTGTATTATTCCCCCAGACATATCTGTATTTGTCAAGTGCCCAGGTGGATGTGGTGTATCAAGAATTTCGCTAATTTTCTTATGGTCCTATTGTGATTGTTCTACAATGATAATTTGGGTGTGGATCGAAGCCAGCATATCTCATTCGGCCAGCTTTCGAATAAAATTCAGCCTGAGGGAAACAAGTGCTATTCACTTGAAAAAAAAGGCCCAGAGATCACAAAAGCCTCCAACATGATACCGTAGACAAAAATCTGTATTTTACGATCTGGATATTCAATGAAGCTGAGATTCCCCATACACTTCGATATTCTAATTTCTTAAACAACAATGTTATGACGGCGTGAAACTAGAGCAGCCGACTTCAAATTTTTAAGCAATGAAATCCCTATCAAATCATAAATTTTGAATAAGCTGAGCACTAAACAAACCTGCAACCCGCAAGTAACGGTGTTCTTTCATTATAGCCAGCTGAATCGTCTTGTTCCGATGACATATCTGCCATGTATGGATCTCGATACTGTAAGCGAAAGCAGAATAGTTAACATTAATAAACACATCAATGAGCTCGACCACTCAAGTGTTCCATAGGGAGTTTGAATCAGATTAGTTGAAGGAAAATTTGCTGGAAATGCGAGAGTTTCAATTTATAAACCACGAAATGTTTAGATCAAATTTAATGATCATCGCAAAATGTCAATGTAAGCGCACCGTAAACGACCACCGAAGTATTACAATTTATAGACTGTTTCTGCAACAAAGAAAAACTCCGACACGACCAAAACTGAACATTTCGCTGATAGAACTAGTTCCATTTATTCAACTCCATGACAAGAGTTGTGAGCTACAAAGAAAATTTGTTACATACATCTTGACCAAAATCAGACCAAATGAATGGAGATCTTATTGATTTTAGATTAGTATCAGATTGGAACATAAGTCTTGCACTGAGATTTTTCCAAACTCCATATCCTCGAGGTTCAGCAACTTGTGAAATAGTAATATATCTAGGAGAACAGAACTTTGCTTTTTCCAAATATTTTCAAATCAAAATTATCATTATTGAATCGCGAAACTTTTGAATGCAAACACTCAAATTCAGTTTTTTCAACTTCTGATCAGAAATGCTGAAAAATGGAATTTTCTAAAATTACTTTTTATCTGAGTTTTATGATGCGAGCTTTTAACTAAGATAAATTTGTGCTGGTACGAATTTCTATCAGAAAATGTAATGTACAGACTTTATCTTAGAATTTTGAAAATGTTTGAAATAAACTAAACGAAGTTCAAAGTAAACTATACGATAAAATACTTGATAAAACCATAAACATCAAAAAAATACTATGCAGATCAAAACTCTGCTCTGAGCATTTTTCAATGAAGTTTTTGGAATTTTCGATGCAAGACTTATTTTCCAACCTAATAAATGCCGATTACCGAACCTTTTCCGAATTAATGTCCAGCTGAATCCTAGCGCAAGACATATCCCAAATCAGTTATCGAAAGAAGCGCTAATATTATCGAAAATAAACGAACTACATACGAAACTTCGAGCAATCTTCTAATCTCAGTCACTATTTCTATGAAATTACACAAAAAATCACGAGCAGTGAACTCTCCGCAAACAGCGAAACCAAGAATAGCTGCCACAACCGAGTTGTGTAAACAAAGCGTGACGAATTTGATGTTGATGGTTGATGTTTGGCGGATGCTTTGAAAAGAATGCCAACAACATTTCATACCAGATAAATTCTTTGAATCTTATTGCACGAAGTGGACAGGAGAGTATTGTATTTTGCTGTTGACAGGAAATGTATGTAGCAACAGAAATCATGTGTTTCAATGCATTGGGAGGGGGGGGGGGGGAGAGAAAAACTAGTCAGGGCGGTCACAGTATCGATATTTTTAGCAAGAGTAGTAACGTGTACGACTGCACAAAGCATGCAATGGACTCACCATTTCTCTCGTCTGTTGTGGTGTGTAGATGGATACGCTCTTTCGATGCCTTCGTGGGTAGTCACCATCAGTGTAATTTGAGGATTCTCGAAACACTCGTGGTTTGATAGCGTTAAAGGTGCTCGGTGCAGAACCTTTTCTAATTTTGCGCATATAGCCGTCTGCTAATTCCATTCCTGGCGGTGGCGACCCAGTGCCACGACTTTGCTAGAAAGATAGTGAAAAAGAGTTTTGCTTGAAACCCCCTTTTGAAAAGAAAGGTCATCATCCACTACAGTAGTCTGAACTACATAGTAGGTAGCGGCTACATCATGTACTATTTCCCCGCCATAGCAATAAAAAATAAAAGAGCTATACTTTTGATGTTGCAAGAAAAAAAATTTGACCCTCAGTTCTGGTGTTTCGCTCGTTATGCTAATGAGCATTGGGCTGACAGATCTCTTCCACTTCTCGGCGTGAACGTATAAATAATTTTCACAAGACTATAGCAAGAAAAGCGAAGGTTGCAGAAATACTACAGCAATGGGGATGTAATGGCAAATATGCAGTTTGATAAAGCCATATGTTGCTTGTGGTTTATCTAAGCTTAGAAGTGCCGCTGCAAAAATTATAGGAAAATTTGCGAGCGTTGCGATTTTGCGATAATTTTCTAGAGACTATTCAAGTGCACTCAACAAATTTTTTGAAATGATGCCTCCAAAAAACCTCCATTGCCAAAATTCAATACATGGATTGGGACAATAACCAAATCAACTTAAAGAAAACAGAGCAATTACTGCGTTGAAACGATAGAGAATGGAGCGAGTTGGTCTCTTTTTTGAATTTCTTATATGTTTGTCAAATCTGCTTATTTTTCGACGCTTGTCGATTTTGGTAGAAATTTACTTCGATTACTTCTAGAAAGTATTTAGTAGTGGAAAGCAGGTCCAATGAATCCATGCACCCACACATTTCATTATTCAACGAGAAACATTCGTAAATATTCGAAAACTTTGCCAGAAAATAAAAGATTGCACTAAGAAATGCAGAAAAACTCTTACTGATTCATATTAGGTTGATGCATAATTCGTGCACCGAAATTTTTGAGATTCTGTTACTTCCTCCAGCTTCAATGAAATCTTTTGATTAAATACACGACATACTTTTTTTGATTAAGACAACTTGTTAGTGATTGGACGTCCCTGCGAATAGTTTATAATTTCGATTTTTTTATAATTGACTCATCGATGTTTCATTGAATTTCTATGGTCTATGAGATACTACTTTTGATATACATAACAAAGAGCATATTCTGAAAGTTGTCGTTTGATAAACATCTTTAGAACATTGTTTTCTATTTTTTTGGTGCAAGAATTGTGCATCAACCTATTACATATGAATAAAGTACCGCTCGGAGTGTGCGGCCAGAAACCAAGAAAAAATCAAAAATGTCAGATTTTGGTGCCAGTGATAGCAATTCTTTGATGAAAATCTAAAAAGGCGATATCAATTTCCTGCCACAATAATATTAGTTTGTCCGGAAGTGGATGCAGGTATGAGTGCTAATCGTGAAGCATACTATCTTTTCAAAGCTTCAATGCTTCAAACTAAAACCTTCCGAAACTCGCATAAATTTCTGCCTCTTTTGCTCCTTATGACCACCATCCAGATATACCTACCGAGCTAGCCTTTGCCCAATACATGATTGTTAGTGTCATCCATTAAAGTACTTATGCAGGTCTATGCAAGAATCAAAACAAGCAAAGGCTACCACTGTACCCTCACCTTATCAGAAGCATTGTCAGGAGTAGGAATTTGCGAATGTTCAGGACTTGTGTGGATTTCCATCGGATCCTGAAACAACTCTTTGTTTGTGAAGTATCGCAAAGATATTTTTTTTGAAAAATCTAAGAAGTTCCAGTAAATCCTAAGACCATCGTACATTAAACTTGACTCATGTCTTCAACATATTATTCGCACCCCTCAACCACTGAATGAGCATTTCATAAAGAATTTCGCCAGAGTTTGCCCGGCAATCGTTTCAACTACACAATAAGAATTACAAAACACGAAACGATTATTTCGCAATCTACTCTCAATTATGTAGTCACATGAAAAAAGCAGTGAAACTGAAAAAAGAAAAAAGAAGCTGACCTGCGTGAACCGTATGGATCCCACCCGTGCGGCACGAACTTCTTCCCTAAATAAATCCTTATCAACGCTTTTTATGACTTGTGTTCTGGCAAGGATAACATAAGATTACACTGAATGGGCACTAAGGTCACTGAGACATTACTTCAAAAAATTTGATTCGGTCTCGAAGGACAGTTAAAGGCCCCTTTTCATTAGACTGACACCTATGTGTAAATGAAAAAAAAATAAACAAATAAACTTACATATCTCCTGTTTCAGTTGTATCTGCTTGACTGGGTACGCTTTCACTTGAACGACGCAAAGTGGGGTTAGTATATCCTGGGTTAGGTTCAAGACTGGACCGATTGTCACACATCTGGAACCATGCCAACTCTTTGTACTACTGTACTGTCGAAGAACGTGAAGTATGTGAATGAAGAAAGGAGTCGGGTAAAAAAATAACAGTGAGGGAGAAGAAAACCAAAACGCTTGCTCCAGAAAAAGAAACTAAACTTTTTAACGAAGAGAGGAAAACTATAACTTCCGCTCAATTAGTACCGATGAACTGTTTCTTTAGACTTTGAAAAAAAAATTGAAAAAAAAAATGAAAATTATCCGCGATTATAAGATTTTTGCTGAAAAAAACGGCAATGCAGCATGTAATCAAGGACTGGACAATGTACAGTTTTATCAGTACTGCACTTGCCAGATTAGTCCATTTATGCTGTCAGTACGTACTTCCATTGCTTACATGTTTTTCTTCAATATACAGTGACTAAGTTACCAAAGTCGAAGAAAAGCCTGTAAAAAGTTCAGATACTTGAATCTTTACATGCGTGGAATTCCTGTAAGCTGTATACTAATGAACAGCTGCAATAAAGCTTAAGAATGAGTGATTTAGGCTTTGATTGTTGCGATGAAAAAAAACTTTTATATGTTATGAAACAAGGACTGAGATTCAAACACATTGCCCTGAAAAATATCAACATGCATATAACTCTATCAAAATAATTCAAACAATAACAAATGGACTACGAACATTTATAGCGTATTCGGGTCAGCTTATCCTGTGGCTGATGTGCTCACAGCTGTATAAATATATGACTAAGAATAGGAATGCTCGATTCTATGACAATTTTCTGATAATTTTTTGGCGCTAATTATGAAACCATCCTTTCTCAAGGACAAATAATAATTTAAAAATTGATAAGTTCGAAGATCAGCTATTTCTACTACATAAAAAAAGCAAGAAAATGGTAACGTAGCAAGTAACAAAGGCACGTGAGCTATGGGTCGACGCCATTCCTTATCACTCTGTTTGTGGTCTCTGGTTTGCACTTGATACCAATCTGCTAATTTTGACTACGCTTAGGAGGATAGCTAGCCCAAAGCAGTAGTGTAAATGTAAGAGATTAGAAACGTCAGCTTGAGATTATTATCTCTGCTAATGCCCATATTAGTCTGCTATTCATTCAGAAAAAGAAAACTAAGCCAGTATCCATTCTGGTAGTGATTATTCACAGCGCCATATCACAATCATGATTTATTGCTCACCCCATTCAGTATTTTTTACGAACGATTATGTGCTCATTCTACCTTACACTGAGTTGTTGACAATGCACTGATAAGAACACTGTGTATGTCAACAAGATTTCGAAATTTCAGTTACCATTTGCCAATGACAACCTCGTAAAACGCTTAACATTTTTTTGTGGAAAAGCTCAAACCAGAAGCTGGAATTGATATAGGGTCGGTGCGATAGTTCGCACCGTTTTTCAGACTTACACTTGAATCACTTGAAAAAGTGACAGACAATGATCTAAACAGTATTCAATCTATCTAAAGGTGATGTTTTTGTTTCAAGCCCATTGATAGTGGCTGGCTTAGTCGTCAGAATCTCCAACCCGTGGCTTTTAGCAAATCTGATTTTAGCAATTTTTTAAAATTTTCATTTCAGACTTTTGAAAGAAACTTCATAATGGTTGGAGAGAGTAAACAAAGTGCAATACAAAGAAATTTAGGATTCCCTCAACTCTTTTTGCTTTACTTTCAAAGTGATTTTTCCGAAAGTTCTCATTTTGCAGAGTCGTAAAATACACAAACGCTTCAAAAACTGATAGATTTTTGTAACTGAAACTTCAAAAAACCACGATTGAGCACTGATTTTACAAGGCAAATGACCGTTTTCCACTTGCAAAAAAAAAGAATTACGAATTTGCTGGGTACAGATCGGGACGTATTTGGAAGTAAAAACGGGATGATTCCATCATCGAAGATTAGAGGATTCACAAAGAAAAAAATCATTCTATCAAAAAGACGAGGAGCTGCTTCGAATGACACCTTTGCTGCTAGCCGTTTGATGTTCTATGAACTTTGAGATGTCCAAACATGAAAATCGATAGTATCAGAAAAGTTCTAAAATTTCTGAAAAGCCAGCTATAGATGCTAAAAAACTGCTCAGTATGGCATTTTTTTATTCTAATTAATGGTTGTAAAAGCTCATCAAACAGTTGTAATAAAAATTTTGAAAACTAGCTGTAATCAAAGTCTGCAGAAACCGTCAGTTGGTTAGAGGTTCTATCGATCATTCAGCGACCGCGAAAGGACTCGAACAAATACGTCACCGCTGGAAAGAGGGAGATTTTCTCTTTTGAATACTGTTAAAAGTGATTCTCTATCATTATTCTGAGTGCGAGAATAGGTGTGAAAAGCGGCACGAACTTTCGGACCGACCTACTATTTGAAAATTTCCAGTGCCAATGCAAATATCAGGTATTATGGCTCTGTTGAAAATGCTTGAGCTATCAGAATGAATTTTTCTCTGCAAAAGATATCTCAAAGACGGAGGGTTTTTTCTGCTAAAAAATGACTTCACTCCATGTTTTAGGATTTATATTAGGTTGATTCATAATTAATGCACGTTTTCTGTACTTCAGCTTTCAACCAAGACAATTCTTTTCTAAAAAGCCAATTCTGGGCGCAATAAAAACTATTGTAACCAATAAATCAGTGGCTATAAGATTGATACTTTTGCGTGACTGTATCTATTAGGTTGTCAAGAAAATAATGTCCGTTTTTATTTGCTTGCTTTAACAAAGCAACCATACTCAACCCAACAAAGGGTAAGGGGTACTGTTCGATAGAGCAAAGCAAGCTCTACAAGATGGCACTCATACCTTTGCGCCACGCTCGATCCACGGAGAGTTCGAACTCAAAATCTAAAGATTTCCAAATGCCCAAAAAATCGAAAAAAATCAGATCTTCGTCTAAATAATTTCTACGGACCTCCCACTCACTCACATCAATACTATCGATATCTGATATCCATGTGTGTGATTGCCGTAATTTTTCCTTGACTAGAAACTGAGAAAACGAAAATTTCCCTGATTTTCTCAAAGCAATGCTGAGCCGTTTTTGCATATGTAGTTCTATACTACGAGCCTAGGTAAGCATAACTGTAGGTTTTCAGCCCATTCCAAGCGGTAGTTTTCGAAAAATAACGAATTCGGATTTTTTCGTTTCAGTTTCAGTGCTAAAATCGACATTTTTCGAAAAGTACCGCTCGAAATAGGCTGAAAACCTACAGTTATGCTTACCTAGGCTTGTAGTATAGAACTACATATGCAAAAACGGCTCAGCATTGCTTTGACAAAATCAGGGAAATTTTCGTTTTCTCAGTTTCTAGTCAAGGAAAAAATACGGCAATCGCACATATGGATATCAGATATCGATAGTATTGATGTGAGCGAGTGGGAGGTCCGTAGAAATTATTTGGACGAAGATCTGATTTTTTTCGATTTTTTGGGCATTTGGAAATCTTTAGATTTTGAGTTCGAACTCTCCGTGGATCGAGCATGGTGCAAAGACACGAGTGCCATCTTGTAGAGCTTGCTTCGCTCTATCGAACAGTACCCCTTATCCCTTGTTGGGTTGAGTCTGGTTGCTTTGTTAAAGCAAGCAAATAAAAACGGACATTATTTTCTTGACAACCTAATATTACGAGAAAGATTTTCTGGCCTGAAGATTGCCAACAACTTTTTTCAGAAGCCTCTACGTTGAGAGAGCACAACTTATGTTGAAATGAAGTAGGATAAATCAGACTTTGCTCATCGTGTAGCCAAGGGTCTCTTGAGCAGTGATGCCAAGTTTGGATTTTGCGGAAAATTTTTGAAAGAAAGTACCGCGAAAAAGTCGATAGTACTCACTTTTTTCTGACATCTCGGCGGGTTCAAAAATCGGTCATTTTTGAAATTATTTCATTTTCTCCGCTGGAAAGTGAGAAAATCCTAGCGCTTTTCTACCATCAAATGAACTAGGTCTACCCTTGCTGGATAGTGCAAAAGACCTGCAATCGCCTTTTGATTCAAAAATTTATATAGCACGGAAGGGCCGCGACGATCATTCAAGTTCGCAATTGAATTTTTCGGCTCAGAATTCACGGAGAATTTTGTTCAAATAGCATCTTGTAGCGCAAAGCTTCTTAATCCTTATGCATATTTTTTGAAATTAATCCAGCTATTCCTCATGAATTTAGGGCAAAAAAAGTGAAAAGCAAAAATTTTGAGATTTAGTCTCTTTTATTTGAAGGCTTAGAACTTTGGAACTGAAGGAGATGTACGAAAGCGAAGGCCCGCATAAGAAACTAGCAAAAACGCTTTTTTAGATATCGTAAAAGGTTTTTGAATAAATTGATTACTCGTCAAATACAGCGGAAGAAGAGGTGACAAAAACGTGCATTAATTATGAATCAACCTAATAATATGGTCAAGTATGGGGACGATCCTAGCAATTTCATTGAATTCCCGGGTTATCAATCATGACCCAAAGAAGATGGGCGTTAGATGCCTGAATCTCAGCTGATATCTTGAATCGAAAGTAACAGAAACAGTATTCCAACTTCTCCCCCTCCTCCCTCACCCCTCCCCTCGCAACCTCATCTTCTTTTGCGCTTCCTTCCCGCAATTATATCTGAGATTTATCATCAATAGGCTATTAATGCGTAACTCTGGGATAGGAAACGGGGTTTAAATACGTCACAACTTGCCCTATAACCAATCTGACAGGACAGTCGAACCATACAACAAAAGACAAGTAAGTAGCAGCACTATCAAGTTCAAGTTGTGCTACTTGATCTCACTTGATCCCCAAATCTCACAACGAGGTCGTTACGTTCGGTGCAGCTTTCCGGCATGAATTCAAATCAGATTCTGTGCTTCTATCAAAGCATCACATTTAAAGAGGCTTCAGACCTGGCGTGAATATTTTTGCAATTTTGTCTCGGATCTGGTACTGGTTATATAGAGCAAACTTAGACACTAAGTGGGCTTTTTTCTGGTCTACGAAGTATTTCCTAGTGAGCAACGCTTTGCATCATGAGGACAAATCGCGAAGAACGGCAGCACTGATTATGAGGCACCCGGAACGCATCGTTTTTGATCAACCTGATTGTCGCTCAGTCACCATCAAGATTTGAGGCCTATTCAAACATTATTCTGTACAGAGGCTATAAGCTGATGAAAGAACTGGTAAAGCTGACTCCCATAGCGGAAGCTTCGCTATATACGCTCTGTTTGTAATAGCCTGGCTCTCAAAGGTTTAACTGAACTTCAAAATTTGCGGAATATGTCCACGCTGAAGATAGCTCTTGAAGTGTGGCCTTTATTTCGAAGCTCCGAAAAATTTGGATAGAACATAACCGCAGAAAAAAGGGAGAATGCTATATAAAATGTGATCTAGTTCGTCCGTAAACCAGTGCTCTTAAGATAAGGTGTGTCCGATTAGGAATAAAGATTGATTTTTGAAACGCTCTAATGAATAACTTTCCAACGGTCTAAAATAGAGCTGCGATTTTCGAAAATTTACAATATCACGGTTTAAAAATCGGCAAAATCGAGAACCCATTGAAAAATAATTCGCAACATCGAAAAAATCTTAACAAACAAAGCGCAACGACATTTGTCTGTTTTTGCGAACGACTATAAAAAATCTTATATTGAAGGGAAATTGTTCAGATATGCACTCGATGCAAATTTTTTTCTCTTTCTGAAGGTTACATTTTCGAACCATAATCCAACGAAGCTTCTTGAAAATTCGCCAAAATTCACTTGTCATTTCTATCTGTTTAAGGTTCGGCTAGTTTTCAAAAACTTTATTCTAGAGTTTCGAAAAAATAAAATGTGAAACGTATAGGGCAAATTTGGACTTCAAGGTAATGCTGTTAGATTTTTTTGATCTACTGCAAATTTTTTTTGAAGATCTCGATTTTATAAAAGTCATGAGACAGGCAAATGCAGCAAAACAAGATAGCCTTCGAACTTTCCTGCAAGTCGATGATGATTTTACTAAATTTGCGCAAAATAGTCAAGTTTGACTTGCTCTGAAGAGTCAGCTTTTCGGATCTCGTTACTCCTATGCGCTACACGTGCTCAACAAATAAGCTAGCATACTCCAAAAATTTGATCACGTATTTATGAGCCAAAGGCTATGTGATACTTTTTCTCTACATAACAGCTACCAGCGCTCATAGAAACCGAGATTAAAAATTTCATTTCAAGGGATATTTTATTACTGTTGAAGTGCTTTAAGAGAATGGTGAATACTTCGCAAGCGCAAAATCAGAGAGAAAATATAGCTATCTGAAAGATGGTAAATTTGAGTTGACTGAAACCTAAGTAATTCGCCAACAGTGAGAGTTTTGGTGACCGATCAAATAAACGGAAGACTTTCGGGACTACCTAATAGATGAATTGCGCTTGGAGAATTTTCAGTTATAAAAAAACTTATTTGAAGGAAAAAAATAAAAGATCAACTTTGTTCAGAAGTATGTTCAGATCTTCGACACCCTCCAATGGATGAATGGTCAGATTTCCAAGTAATTAAACCTTCGTTTTTTTTTGGATTATAATCAATGCTCTTAGTGTTAGTTTCAGTCTCATATAATCCAAAATATGCAATACATAGCTTGAATGTGACGCCACATATCAATATGAAAAGTTTATGGCATTTGACGAAGATACAAGATGAATCGTGAAAAAATGGTTTTAGAAATTTTTGCGAACGAAACAATCGTGCAGAAGCAAACTAAACCAGATGTAAACAATTCTACTCCAAGAAAACAAGTTCCAAAATATAGGTAGGTGAGGTGAACATCAAAAAAGAAAGATTTGGAGGAAGAAAAAAATGATACACATGAACAAAGAGAGGGATAAACGGAACATTTGAAAATTCAGAGAATAAACGCTGGAACAGCCAGAAATAGCGTGAACCGGGGAAGAACACACGATCGATCAATAAATCAACGCTAACATACGAACCCATCGTTTCCGCCAGTAACCTGCACGCCTCATAAGGATAATGGTTAAACGGATTTGCAATAAATTAGACTGCGAAGAGCGGAGGCCATCACAAAAGTAATAAGATTGCAAAAGCTCAGGCGGTCCTTTGTAGTAACCATTAATGCAGAGATTTCATTCTCCTGAAATAGATAAAGCCTACCGCTTCTGTGCTCCAAGCTTAGAAAAAATGAAATACATCGCAGAGTTTAGATGATAGCTTTTCAGTTCTAAGGTAAGGTCAAATAACCCAGAAAAACTCACGAGTTTCAATTCCTAGTTGAGCAATAATTCTTTGTTTTTTAGTTCGTCATTTTCCTTCTTCAACTGTGATATTTGCGATTTGAGTTCATCCACGTACTTGATGCCATTAATTTTTTGCTGGAATGAATTTTTTCTTACACCTTAGACTTTGAATCATTGTATTTTTCAAAAGCCAAGATAAGGAAAACCCCAAACGATCCCATACCATTCGATAACGGTTGATTTTCTCCATCAGGCTTTGGTTTTCTTTTTTGCTGTCATCAAGTTGTTGTTTTAACTGGCCCACCTGAAACCCGCCAATAGTAGAAGGTGTCAAAGGTTCTTAAAATCTCGCATGCTGCGTTCTATGCTATCCCATCAAATCATCTCATATAGAAAATATGATGGTGGGAAATGTGTGGAAAGAGCACTGCGTCTCATTACGTTTATCGAAGATTAATTTTGGCGCTATTCCACATTAATTGACCCAAAAAATGAACTTGGCTAAAACTTTGTCAGGGGCGGAGGGGTTATTTTGCACGCGCAAATTTAATATTTATTTTGCACGGTAGTACCATCTGGTTACGGTAGAATTAGTGTAGGAGGTCAGAATCACGGATTTGCCCCAAACTTCGTCTGGGGAGATTTGGTACCTTGAACATGAGTATCTCATTTCTCAGAGTAGCGCCATTTCGGGTTACGGTGGCTATCCAGTAGATGGCTAAGAATCCCGAACTTGCTCAAAATTCGCCTAAAGGGATTCTCAGGTCTTTTGATTGCAAAATGCACCCCCGCACAAAGATTCGAGCAGATCTATCACTTTAGCTACCTACCGCACGCTTACCGTAATTTAGCGAAAAGTCCCAAAACGCAAAAAGAGCGCGATATTCGTAAACAGCATGCTTAGGAACCCCTCTTGAGCAACGGGAATTTTTACTTACCTACCGTATACCTACCTTAACACGAGAAAATGGCATTACCGTACGAAACTAGCAGTTTTTCATGTTCACTGTGCCAAATAACCCCCTAGACAAAGTTTGGGATAAATCCGTTGTTTTGACTCCTACCGTAATTCTAACGTAACTCCACCGGATGGCATTACCATGTAAAATAGATGTGACGTTCGTAAGCAGTGAAATAACCCCCTAGACAAAGTTTCAGCGAAATCTGCGATTTTCATTTTTTGGGTCAGCTAATGTGGAATAGTACCGACATTTTTTTTCTGAACTAAGATTTCAAGAAAAGCTCGTTTTCAGCTCGTTTTTGCTATTCAAAGTCGTAAGTGAAGCAAACTACTTGTGTAAGACATTCGAAAAATTGTGACGATGGCGCGACCGCGCGCAACACGCACGCACTTTCGGCAATCGCATTTTCCTGGTTTTCATCTCAACTTGAATGGTTTTTCTGCTTTACGACAGTATCAAGAAACTAGAAGTGGCTGAGCTGAGCGTTAAGGTGATGCCTTTTTGTATGAGTGCTTTGAGCTCCTGTGGGCGCAAACCAACAGTCAAATCCGTCGTCACGATTTCAAAAATGAATGGTTTTGAAAATGATGACCAAATACGAAAGCGAAACGCATATGAGTCAGGAGTACACCCTTCTCGATTACGGTGTCCTTCCCTGAGGCTACGCATACACAGCGCGTGTGACTCGCTGGCCATCCTTTCGGTGAGGACGATCTGATTGCTAGAACCAGCTCGCGAATGCCGCATGGTGGACTCGAGAAGCGATTTGGCGACCGTACAAGAACAATAGATTCAGAATCATATGCTCCTTGGATGACATATTCTGACTGATAGTTCCCCTTTTGATTCGCTTTGCTCCAGCATAAGCAGAAATGCATTAATGTGAACTTTTGTTACGTTGACTTTGCTTTTCGCAGCTGGCTGGATTCTGTAGAAGGAATTAGAGATTTCTGCTTACTTGTCTCTGCAATTCCGATGTGTTGTTGCATTCCAGCTTTTTCCTCTGACCAATTTGCAGTTTGCGCATCACTGGAAAATGTAGATTTTCGATTAGAAGGTGGTTTGAGGCGTTACTAGAATCTGCTTACTTTCCATTCTTTTTTCTGTAATTTTCCATCGCCTCTGTGAGTAACTCATTTTCTTTCTTCAGCTGTAAGCAACACACTATCTGAATTACTCATAAAAAGGAAAGAGAATCCCACTTTATTTATTTCTCTACTTTTCTCGTCCACTTCATCCCTCATTTTGTTGAGACGGGAAAACAGCTCCCGTGTTTTAAGTTCCTCCTTCTCGTGCTTAAGCTTTTCGATCTTAAAAAATACCGATTCACCAAATCATCCAATAGCGATCACATCTTACCTTGGTATTTGCAGATATTAGCTGTTTTTTGTGCTCTTCGGCAACTTTCAGTAAGTTTGACCTCTCTTCCGACAACAATTCTATCTCATAATTATCCGCCATAAGGAGTTAATATTCTGCAAATATTGGTTTTTCCCCAAAGTTTTGTATGCTTTTTGAAACCACTATAAAACCACGCATAATAAAGATCCGAATGAGCTTCAACATGCATTCGATGCAGCTTTTCCTTCTCTTTCTTATAAATACATTTTCAAACCATAACCTTGTATGATTTCTTTGATAATTGCCAAATTTCTTCACCCGTCAATTTTCTGCTCAAAGTTAGGCTAATTTTTGAAAATTTTCATTCAAAGTTTCGCGAAAGGTTAGGTATGGATCAAATAGAGCTATTCTCGGACTATAAGGTAATGTTTTTATATTCTCCTAATCTGCTGTTTTTTACTTCAAAAAATTAGTTTTTCGAAGGTCTCGATTTTTGGCAAAGTTATGAAACACGCAACTGCAGCATATTTACACAAGTTTTTAGAGTTTTTGCGAATTGAGACATGATTCTTGTTAAAAACGTTATTTATACAACATTACCAAGTTTAAATTGAAAAAGCAGGTTTTGTTTTCGATACTACGTGGTAAACGTAATTGGCTTTGGTTTCAGTTTTGGCTAGTAATAAGTTTGGATGCATATCTGTGTGATTCTGCAAAAAGAAAACTTGGCAAACAATAGGTCTAGATTTATTTTAGCATCAAGAAGAAAGTTTTTTCCTATCACCAAAATTGTGAAATATTTTTTGCGAAAATCGCTTTGGGAAAACAAATCTTACTTAGATTTGTAGAGGTTCTGTAGCCAAGTTCGCTCGTTCTCACTGTTGCTGCCACACTTGGAAAGTTTTTGAGGAGAGTGTCGCAAAAAATTGGGAGTTTGCCTGGCACTAAATATTTTTTGACGTAATAAAAACGGAAGGTATACAAACTGTTCCAGTTCACCTTGCTGCTTATGACAAAAACTTTGCAAAGGTTTTGCTTAAAGTATACGACAAAGGCTACAGCAAACTAAACTTGAAAAATTTCGCGGTTCAAAATTTTCCGAAGCTCTTCTCCTGATAGCCATTCTGCACCAAAAATCTCCGGCAATCATCATGCGTTGCTTCAAAAAAATCGGCTCCTCTTACGAACTCAGAGCAAGGAGAGCGGAAGATAAAAATTTTGACATTTGTTCTCTTCTTTCCAAAGGCACGGAACATTGTAAAGAACAGAGCTTCACAAAACAAAAACGTCCACAATAACTATGTGAGAGGTTCTGCTGAACAAACTAAAAACATGAAAGATGAAACAATATTTCGAGGTAGCATTTATAAGAAGAGATAAAAAACATGAATCAACTATGGGACAGCACAAATAATATCCTAACAGTGCGCAGCTTCATATTTCTTGTGATCAGAGGTTCTGGGTAAGAGACAGTTTTCATCAATCCAATTTAGTAGTGGTAGTTGTTTTGAGTAAGGACGAGCATAACAGAACTTGAAGCCTCTAAAGTGGCAGACCAAAACTTTCAAACGGAACAATCGTAAATTAATCTAACAAAGCATAACTGCCATTGTAAAAGGAAATATGCCTTCCAAATCTGAAAAGGTCTCACAAGTGTTTTCTGTCGCAAATCATGTAAGGAACGTGCAAACGTGATTTTTTGCCTCTAAAGAAATGAGAAACTTCCCAGCAAACTAGTCTTCTTACAAAGTTGGAAATGAGACTAGATTTTATTACACGCATAAGTACATACAATACTTCTTGAAGCTGTCGATATGCCCCGAATTTGAGATTACATTTTTTTTGAGGAAAAGCATGGAGAAAGAGCCAAAGTGAAGATGTTATAGAAGTTGCGCAAATGATGCAAAATGATGAAAATTGCAATGGTTATTGCTGGAAGCATCTATATAGTCAAATAAAAGACATCATCACTCCAACTAGATTTGAAGGCATCGCATCATTGAGGAAAAACATTTTTGAAAATGATATAAAGAATAGATTTGAGAGATAGCGAAGCGAAAAGAGGCGCTAAGTCTTGAGGATGATGTTGAAATCGATAGATCACTGAGCCACAGCGCGTATAAATCTATCGATAGTGATGACAGCACAAGAAAATTACAGAAATTTCCTATTTGCCCTTTTCTTATTGATGATCGGTGCTGGCAGAGTCGACTCTTATATTCAAGACGATTCTCGATATGCCTTTACATAGAACGGGACATTTCCTCTGCTATTCCAGACAGATAATCTACGGTCAATATTTCAACGTTTTGGTGGCACGATGATGATGATTGTGATTCAGCAATTTCAATGCGGTAAATAGGAGGTCAATTTACACCATAGGGGCAGTTGTAACAGAAAATTCATCGAATGAACGAATATCGAATGGATAATTGATTTTTGAGAGTTTTTCTAACGAATGAATATCGAATTTTCGAGACGTTTTCGAATAAGTAAAAATCCTCGAGTATTCGATATTCGAGTAAGTCATTTTTCCAAGACCTCGAATGAACGAATTATTCGAATAAAGGCCTTTTTCATTCATTTGATTATTCGAATAATCGAATAATTGGACTTTCTCGAATATTATATTCGAATAGTAGATTATTTCGAATGAGTTATTCGAGTAGGAATACTCGATTCCTACCATTAGGCTGTCCCGAAAGTTTTGTCCGTTTATTCAAACCACTATAAAACAAAGCGCAATAAAGATCGGAATGAGCTTCAACATGCATTCAATGCATCTTTTCCTTCTCTTTCTCATGGGTATATTTTGAAACCATAATCTTGTATACTTTTTTGATAATTGCCAATATTCTCCACACTTCAATTTTATCTGCTCATAGTTAGGCTAATTTTTAAAAATTTCATTCCAAAGTTCCGGAAAGATTTAAATACGGATCAAATAGAGCGGGTTGGTCCGAAAGTTCTACAGTTTTTCAGACTACATTTGAACCACTTAGATGACTGACAAGTGCTCTAAGCAGTATTCAGTGCAGATATTCTTACTCTTTCTAGCTGTAATGTTTTTGTTTCAAGTCTATTGCTGCTCGCTGACAATCGTCAGAATCTGAAATCCATGTTTTCCACCTATTTTGATTCGAGCGATTTTTCAATTTCATTTCAGACTTTTGGAATAGATTTGGTAATGGTTGAAGAGAGTAAACAAAGTGCAATACAAGAAAAAATTAGGATCTCCTCAACTGGCTTTTCCTTATTTTTCAAGTAATTTTTCGGAAAGCGCTCACTTTTGCAAAGTCGTAGAATACTTAAATGCTTCGAGCACCGATAATCCTTAGAATCTGAAACTTCCAAAACCGGATCATAACTGAGTACTGATTTTGCAAGGCACATGACCCTTTTCGCTTACAAGTAAGGGATTTCGAATTTTCTGAGTACAGTCCGGGACGTATTTGAAAGCAAAAATCGGGTTTTATCCTCGAAGACTTTACGATTCCGAAGAAGAAAAAAACTGACAAAAGGAGGAGGAGAAGCTGCGTCGAATGACACCTTTGTTGCTAGTCGTTGATGTTGCATGAAATTTGGGATGTTCAACTATGAAAATTGATAGCCTCAGAAATTAACTGTAAAAATTTTAAAAGCCAGCTGTAGATACTAAAAAAACTGCATTGTATTATTCGTTTTACTCTTTTCAATGATTATAAAAGCTCTTCAAAGGGTTTAAAATAAAAATGTTGAAAACTAGCTGAAATCAAGGAACGTAAAAACCACTGGTTAGAGATTCCAATGATGACCATGAAAGGACTCGGATAAATAGTCACTGCCGGAAGGAGGAAGAGTTCCGGCATTGAATACTGTTGAAAGTGATTTTCTGTCATTATCTTAGTGTTTCGAGAATAGGTGTGAAAAACGGTACGATCTTTCGGACAGACCTATTATTTGGAAATTTTTACTGCCAATGCAGATATCAGGTATTGTCACCCTTGCTGAAGCTGCTTCAGCAATATGAGCTATCAAAATATAATAAAATGTTCAATGCAAAATGAAGAAGGACATCAAATGAACGATATCTCGAGAGCAAGAGTTTGTTCTTTTGAAATGACGTCTAAAAATGACTTCACTGCATATTTCAAGGTTTGTAACGTTATGTTGGGATGATGCAAAAATAATGCCCGTATTGCGAGTTCTCACTTTGCTATAACTTTCTAAGAATTCCAAATTTTCCAATGCGATAAAGCCCATCAGAGACCGCACCCTTCGCAATACAGCGCGCATCCATGTATTAGGGTGATCACTAAAAAATTTGATTTTTGTCAAATTTTGAGATTTTTTGTTTCGATCAACAACGAGCAGGCTGCAACGTAAACGTCGCTTATATAAGCGACCTTCGCCTTTTATTCTGGCAAAGCGTCAACGCTCCTCTGGGTAAAAGCGAAATGCCTGAAAAATCGCGATTTTTTGGCGCAACAAAAACCAGTAAATCAAGTTTTAATCTGTATTTTCCGAAGATAATAAAATGTGAGGTAAGTTGCATATGGATGGATAGAGCGTAAAAAGCTCTATCAGATGGTGCCTACAGAACATGCGTTCACCTGCAAAGCATTGAATAGCACGTATCTTTGTTCTCAACGATGCTAATGGCCATATCTCCTGAGTTTGAAAGTTTACACCAGCACCCCACCGTGGGTCTGGTGACTGTACCTTTACGCATTGCAGCAGTAGTACTTTGGATGGTTTCGCATGTTTCACTGCGCAGATACTGTTCGAAGTTTATAATTTGTCAAAGTGACTAACTTTGCATTACAGCCACTATAAAAATTATTAGTTATGTAAATGACCTTATATAGGTATTTTCTGAAGAAAATAATCTATTCTAACATCTATCGAAATTGGGAAGTTTAATCATTTTTCTTTTTTGAGAAATCTACATTTATTCTCTAGGTGTCCCATTTTTTAGTGATCACCCTAATATACTCATGTCCAAGGCAAAAAAAATATGGAACAATAAACAAGAAAGTTTTTTTTCCCTGAAACCTCTTTTTTAACAAATCATAATTTCTTTCAAAGTCAATGAATGATGAGTAGACCATCATGTAGCAGCAAGCGAAAAGTACAAAAGA